CTTTTTAATTAAAGAAATAGGTATAAAGAAGCTACTTTTAATAATTTTTTAAACTTTAAAGTTTTTTATATTTACTTAAAAATAAAATAAAGTTTTTAAATACTAGCTTATTTTTTTTACCTATTTAAAATAAAATATTTTAGGTTATTAAAATTTATAATAGTTTTATTATTAATTAGCTATTATAATTTTAGCTTTTAACTAGATTATTATAAATCTTATAATTATTTATTATATAAAGCTGGGGGCAAGAACTTTATACTTAGGGCTAGGGGTTTTCTACCCCCAACTTTTATAATTAACTATTTACTTATAATAAGTAAAAAAGAGGATAAAATAGTTACTTTTAGGTACTAATTAAATAAAAATAAGAAGGATAAATTATTAATAAAGTCCTTTAAGGGAAAGGTACCTATTTATATAATTTATATCTAGGGCTGTTATTAACGGCTATTAAGATAATATAAAAAGAAGAAATAAATAGAATATAATAGGGTATATATATATTTAATAAACTATATATAATAATTAAAAATATTTAGAATAATAGTTAATAAATGAGGTAGTTATATATTAAATATTACTTTAAAGATTATTATAATATAATAATTAAGTTAAAAGTAATAAATTTTAAATAAATATTAAGTTTTTAATAAATTTATAATTTAAAGGTTATAAATTAAAATAATATTAAGAAAATAATTTAATTTAACTTTAAGAACTTTTTTATTTTATATTAATTTAATAGAAATATATTAAATATAATTATAATTAAAATAAAAGCTTATTTTTTAATAAATATTAAAATTAATTTTAATTATATATTAATAATAATAGTATTTTAATTATTAATCTATTTATTTTTAAATAGTAAGGATTTAGTAATAATAGTATTATTAAAGGTATAATAGATATAAAGAGAGAGTGAAAAAAGTATAGATAGAAGAGTTATTATTATAATTAAGTTAATAAGATATAATTATATTTTATTTAATAATATAAGGGTAAATATAATATATTTTAACCTTCTTTATAGTAGTAAAATTTAATAAATAAATAAAAAAGAGAAAATTAAATAAAATTAAGTTTAATATTTAGTATTAATTTGTTTATTAAGGTTAGTTATTTAATAAAAGTAACTTATAAACTATATAAGCTATACTTTTATTTAAATTATTATTTTAAATATTAATAAAATTATTTAATAAGAGAAGATTATAAATTTTAAATCTTTAAAGATTATTATACTTTTTAAAGTATTTATTAAAAGTATAAATAAAGAGTTATTAATAAGGGTTAAAGATAGATTTTAAATCTTTAAAGATTATTAAAAATTCTTAAAGTATAATAGATATATATAACTTATTATATATTTTTAATTAATAAATTAATATTAATATTAATTATTATTATAATATTAATATAGTTACTTTATTTATTATAGTAATTAACTATTTTTTTATACTTTTTTATTTATAGTTATTTAAGGTAACTATTAATTAGTGTTAATATAGGTTATTATATATATATATATAAAGAGTGGTTAATTAAGTTAGATTGTATAGAAGGGAGGAAGCTAGGCCTAAAGAGCTAGTAATGAGTCCCTTACTATAGTCTACTAATTAGGGTTATGTGACCTAAACTATCTACTAGTTGCGATTACCTCTATTTCTATATATAATATTTTATTTTATAATTTTAATAAATAAAATAATAATTATAAATAATTATAAATAATTAAATTTATAATTATATAAAAATAAAATTTTATTTTTTAAAAATATTACTAATATTTAAAAAATTAAAATATTTTTAAAAATTAAAATTTTATAAATATAATTTAAAAATATAAAATTTTAATTTTTAAAAATAATAAAATAAAAATATTTAAAATAAATTAATATATTAATAAATTAATTTAATATTATTTTTATTAAATTAATTATATATATAAGTTTTTAATTATTATTATAATTAATAAAATTTAAATAAATATTTTTTTAATATATATTTATTAACCTTTTAATATTAATTTATAATTAAAATAATTAAAATATTAAATAAAAGTTAAAAATTTATTAATAAAACTTTATAATTTTTAATTTTAAATTAAATTAAATTAAATTATAATATTTTAAACTTATAATATATTAATTAAAGCTTAATAGGGAGTCTTTAATTAAATACTTATTATTTTATATTCCTAATATCTTAGTATATAGCACTATATAAGCATGGTACTTCTTAGTAAATTCAAAGCCTGCCTGCGACTATAATGGGATGAACTCAAGCTGGGCAGAATTGTATTTCCTCCTGCCCGTTCAGAGGTTGAGCAACACTAGCCATAGCCGTCGCGTTGAGTTGGGCTCAAAGCTTTAGAATTGTCAATTGGTTACCTAGAGTACCCCGAATAGAATGGAAGCAATGGAAAATTTCTGTAGGCTCTAGAAGCTCTGTCGGCATATGCATCGAACATTCTGAACTCCCACCACCAGGTAGCATCTCTTCGCGTGATCCCGGCTGAAGCCTGATGATCCCCCAACGACACCTGGATGTCAGGGCCCTTAAGTATGTAGATGATGTTGCTATATGTGCTGTTAAATTTGTAAGGCTAATTTGATTTTCTAGACTCGGGGTTGGGGATCATGATTCGGCTGTGAGAACCTCGATTTGTCGATGCCTTAGAATTGTACTACAGTAGTGTCATTCCAAGCGATTCTTTCATAATGTGGCCTAGGCGGCAAACGCAAGGGTGAGTGCCGTCCGCTGGACCCGAACAGGTAGGGTGACCTACGTTTCTTACATGTTCGCCTTGCTGTCTTTTTAGGACTCGTGTCCACAGTCCTTCGTGGGCGGGACAACGCACCAGAGCTCATTCCCAGGCATGACGGGCGGTTTGGCCTAAAGGCTGCTTCAGACAGTCTATCGCATTTCCGTGAGGCTATAGTGGATACATCAGCTCCACGTGGTTATTGTGTGCCTACTTCGAGACCTTCACGGTGCAACCAGGTCCAACAATCGCGACCGAGTCTCCAGCAATGACATAAGAAGGGGTCTAATGCTAGAATACCTGGTTGTGTCGTCAGATTTATCTTAGCCTCATTTTAGAGCCATCAAACGTCCAGCATGCAAAACACAGCCTACTATCGCACTTTTGAAAACATGCGGCATCACCCACAGCAGTCACTGTAAAAAGGACTATGGGGATACCAGCTGCTATTCAGGCGCTCATTCACCTCGTCCCACACCCGCGGCTCGAGGACCGGAGTCGACTTTTCTCGCTCCAGTGGCATTGCAAATATGGACAGCTTTTTTCATGCTCAGGCTATGTGAAAATTCTTCATTATCTCCTAGCTGACTACATCACTCTCTTGATCGTTGAGTCTCTTCAAAAGCGGCTCTTTCACTCATCTGGTGCCGGTTCATGCGCTGCCTCTACTTTACCGAACTGCGTCGAATCAGGCCCAACATCATTGCATGGGGCTCTTTGGACTTGAGCTCCGTAAGGCTCTGATCTTTCCGAAGATTTAGATGCACTTAACCCCTTGCGCAGACTCTCGCAAGGCTCCCCGTCGTGACACATTTCTATAACATTCGATCACAAACGCTGTGCAGCCAGCTCTGCTCACCAGACCTGCCGGGGAATGGCCTTGAAGTCTACGATCTTTTGGTGAACCATAATTAGAGTAAGCAAGAACATCAACGGAAGCTTTACCTATCAGTGGCCATTCTTTGATGTTGCCTTGCACCCGGTCTGCTACCTTGGGGGGACACCTGAAATTCCGCATACGCGTCAAACGAGAGGGGGTTCAGGTGGCCTATATTCCGTGAGGACCTCCCGGGTAGACATTTCACGCTGAACGCTTTATGGTCCCGCTGGACCATCTGTTGCAGACCCCCGTCTTCCCATCACGACATGTGTTCCGCTTTGGGTGTCCACATGAATGGAGAAGCTGGGAGCATTGCCGCATGCCCAAATATCCACACCAAAAGAAGAGACTGGAAATAGAAATAAGTGTCTCCTTTGGCATTTTTTCCGAGGCGCTCTGGTTTCCCTCTTCGCACAAAAAAAGATTCAGCAGCTTCATAGATCGCCTCCCATAAGCTTGACATGGACGAAGGTCTGGCTGCATTTCATGCATCTCCAATGTAGGAACTGGCATAGTGAAGCCCAGTCAGCGCCCTACTTATTAGTCACGTGCTGATCTGGCTGTATCTCATGTTCCTCTCACTTCAGCCAATCCTTGTCTACTGAGTATCTTGATCTTGTCACGCTACTATGGCCAGCAGAAGAATCCCATAATCACTCCTGCCATAGGACCTATGCCGTATATGCTCAGACACATAAACTCAACATCTCTGGATCAGATACTCATCGCTAACATGGAAGCTGTGGGAACGGTGTACATGTACCTAGGTAACTGTCACTGTCGTCATTCACTCCCACTTGAGCAGGCAGAGCCAACATGCCTACACATGAAGAAGTAGCACACCACACACTGGTAAATTAAATAGCATTCTTCGCTATACTAGTGGTTAAGAGAAGACTCTGTTCATATCTCTTGGGCCTGAAGGCCTTCTCGACTTTGTTTGTGGATAGTGAATTTTGTTCACGTGTTGTCGCTGTGTTGTCACTCTGGGGTAACGGACAAAAGAACTTCAGATGTGGAAGAGTCGGGACACATTTCAAATGTGCAGGGCATCACTCGACATCAGATCCCCTAATATGCATCCTGGGAAGCCTGTAGCTTCGTCCAGCCCACGTGATATTAAATCTCGTCCGATATCCTGGGTTCCCACAAACGAGATTTCCCACCACACCTTTCCAGCAGCTCCAGGGTTTTGAATTCCACAAGCCAACTTGCACACCTTTCTTCCAAATCTTCCTTCTACCACACCTCATCGTCAATCCACAACTTGAAGACCGATACCCAAACCATCGACGACCATTCAGCCAGTCAACACGACACTCTTAGTACTATCCAGGTCATATTTGGACAATGTCGGCCTCCCACCGCACTCTGCGTATCCTGCGCCTGGCCTCTGGCAAGTCTGCCACTGCGATGACGCGTGCTCTCCCTGCCGCCCATCGCGTCTTTACCACCAGTTCTGTGGTCTCTAGGGCCAACACCGTGGATGATTCCAAGGTGCCCACCACGGTCTACACCACCGAGGGCAAGTTGCGAACCGCGATCCCCGTCAGCCCCAAGGAGAGAGCTGGCCCTGCTGCCCCGCAGCCAAACGAGATGGAGGACCTCACCACCCTCTCCGATGAGATTTACAAGATGCTGCCTGCCACCCTCAAGGCACTGACCGTCAAGGGCAAGGTCATCATCATCACTGGGTAAGCATCGCTCCTCTGCCCAATCTACTCTTATTTCCTCACTCCCTCGCCTCCAATTGACAAATCCACCCATCCTGACACTGGAATCATCGCAGCGGTGCCCGAGGCCTGGGCAACTTCATGGCCAGAGCCTGCGCTGAGGCCGGCGCCAAGGCGATCGCCCTCTTTGACGCCAACCAAGAGCTGGGTGATGCTTCTGCCGCAGATCTGCACGACAAGACCGGACTCCCCGTCACATTCTACAAGATCGATGTCCGCAACGAGGCGGCCATCCAGGCAGCAGTGGAGTCTGTCAAGGGCTCCTACGGCACCCCTGATGCCCTGATCAATGCGGCTGGGATTGCTGATAGCAACATCCCCGCGGAGATGTACGACGCCACCATGTTTCGCCGCCTCATCGACATCAACCTCACTGGCTCGTTCCTCATGTCTCAGGCCGTGGGGCGCGCTGCGATTGCTGCGGGCAAGCCTGCCTCCATTGTCCTCGTTGCCAGCATGAGCGGCAGCATCGTCAACTACCCCCAGGAGCAATCCTGCTACAACGCGTCCAAGGCTGGTGTGATCCAGCTTGGCCGCTCGCTTGCTGCTGAGTGGGCCAAATACAACATTCGTGTGAACTGCAGTGAGTGCCATTCTGTGTCTTTCACCAATTCCCCTCTTTCATTTCATGGCACACCCCAAGCAAACGCGTCACTTCAGATTTGCAACAAACAGCTAACATGCACCATCAGTCTCCCCTGGCTACATGGACACCGCCCTGAATAAGGTGCCCGCGCTTGATGCGCAGAAGAAGATTTGGAAAGGCCTCACTCCACAGGAGCGCCTCGGCAACGTCGACGAGCTCAACGGCCTGTGTGTCTTCCTCGCCTCGGACGCCTCCAGCTTCATGACTGGAGCCAACTGCGTCATCGATGGTGGATACTCCCTCTACTAGCGTGGGGGCAACTAGCGTGAATTCGTTTGTTTTCCACAGCGTTGTTTGTTTGGCTTGGGCTAGTCGCCGCGTTTGACTTTTTCTGATTCACTTCTGGTCGTTTGGATTCGCGTTTGCAAAATGCGATGACGACACAAGACCAGGATATCTAGCATAGCAAAGGCGTTGGAAGGAGTTCTGAAAAAGTTGGGGCCAGGGCAGAGTCTCTTGTGGTCATTTTGCCACATGGTTACACGACCTCCAGTACTGAGCTAGGATCAATTGATTGCAGTAGCTGGATTTCGTGCTAGGTGGTTGTATTGATGAGACGTGTCTGCTTTTCCTTGTGCTGATGTTGGCACGAGCATGGCTGGCTTCTTTGGTCATCGGCAGCCCTCTGATGGTCTTCTTTTCATTTTTGGCCCTGGCTAAATTTGCATTTCTTTTCCTCTCAACAACAGCATAGCAGCTCACAATGAGGCGTAGCTGTCTTCATTCGAGGGCGCTGGGGTTGGGGTGTTTTTCCTTTCATTCCATTCTCTAACATTCAGAGATTCATGCACTGCTCTTGACAGCATATTCAATGCATAGACTTTTTTGACAACCCATTGTACTTCAGTGTCATTTTACTGCATGTATGGCATCTGGTGAATACTTCTTTTTCATCTTGTGACAACAAATGACTTCAACCAGATGAAACCGTAGTTCAAGCTCATGCAATTCGCAAGGAGTGAACGTGAATTTCTATATCCAAATGAAGAGAAGGTCTCGGTCTGTTTTCCGGCCCATATGTACTCATGTTTTGAGGCCAGCGGTGTCCTTCTGGGTCACCATGTTCTCCACACCCAAAAAGCCCCCAGACGACTCGTAGTCCGTGCCACGAGTCACTACTACATCAAACGTGACCAGGTGGACATTAATGATCTACAAAACCATCTCGACATTGTGTCTTCTTGGTCGGGTTTGCATTTTTAAGCGTAATTAGGAATCATTAAACTGTCTCTCCTTTATGTTTTCTCAACTTCTTTCTATTTAATGTCATAGAAGCTGGCCGAATTTCAATCTCGTTACCTGCAAGCATTAAAACAGCTTTCACTTGTTCATAAGGAGTACATTCATTCTTCTACTGGAACTACAAACCAAGGAATGTTGGAAGAAGGGCCAATACATAGAGTAAACTCAAACACCTTAAGAAAGCTTTAGTGAGTATATGAAACATTCCTTCCCAAATCAGGCTCTTGTGTCTAAATGTGAACAGAGACATTCCCCGTCCGGGACCCACTGTATGTCTAGGAGGATCCACAAATCATACTCGACTCAAAGATGACATATATGAATACCACACACACAGCTATTTCTACTACTCATACTGCAGCTCAGTATCGCTTTCTTTGTTTCAACTCGAATACTGTCTGTTATTCGTTTGGCAACATAGGGCTTCTCCAAGAGTTGAAAATACTTTCTAGAGATTAGCTATATGTAAGGGAAATCGGACCATTGCAGCCGGGCAATGTGAGCACCGACTAAGCACAGCAGAAAGCCTAAAGACAGACATGGCCTACCTGTTCGGCAGCCTTATTAAAGGGCCCCAAATCTAGATCTGAAGAGGCTCAGTAGATTCCGACTGCAGTCCGAGGCAAGATCCAGCAAGTGATTGACATCTCCGAAGCCAGTCGGGCACCCAGTGGCAGCCGCCATACCCGGCCCAATGTCGCATATCCGAGTCCCGAGTGGCCCGATGCCAACACATGGTCCAGCCCTATGAGGTCAATGGGCGAGAGAGAATCTATGCCAAGCCCATCGATCCCGTCAGCCTTGCAGTCGCGTAGATAGTCGGCAGGCTCGGCAGCCCTGCGCAATTTCCGGATCAGAGGCTCAAAAAGGTGTTAGGCAGCCTGGCAGCAGGGTTGACTACCTAGGTAATGAACTCTGTACAGAACCGGCGCAAATTCAACCAACCCAATGCTACATGCTAATATGTAAATATGTGACCGCGCGGGAAAAAGAAGGTTCGCCTAATAAATGAGGTCGCCTAATTCACAGTGTATAGGGTAAACATAAATGCTCGCAAGGCTAATATGTGTCAACTGGAATTGTACGAGCGCTCGAGAATGAAGGGCTCGCTTCGAATGTTGTTAAACGGCATCTATTTAGTTATGGAGTAGTTGCCTAGTTAGTGTAGTCTATCCCACAAACAGAAATGCTCGAAACGCACCGCCACCTACCTAACTGGAGGCGCACTCTATCAATAACACGTGAGGCGGGAAACCCTTTCCTTCCAAGGTTAGCAGGCCAATGCAAGCGAAGCCTCAGCGCCGGCGCGATATTAGTGGGGGTGAGGGGGGGCCTGTGAGTGAGTCAGTTTATGCTCTTCCAAATACAGGAATCACCCCTAAACTTTATCACTCAGGGACTTTACCTATGGAAAAATACAACCTTCACAGACCAATCAGATCTTCTCTTTCTACTCTTAAATAATAACTTCTATATCGTTACACTCACTACCATTATATAATACTTTAATACTTAATTTTCCTAATAATCTTACCTTAAAACCTAGTACTATAATATTCCTTCTTATAATTTTAAGGTAGCTAGGGTACATCCATTTCTAGTCTCTTGGAAGTTACTCTTTGACTATGATTAGGGGTCTACCCTGTACACCACAAAAAAACGGGCTGGGCGGTGGTGGACACGGCGGGCCCTGCCACCGAGATAGGAAATGTGTGGGGGAGACAAGCCTCGCCTGCGGTTGGAGATAGATGAGCGGACCCCTGCCTGGGGGCGGGCCCTACGCCTTGTCAGGGGGCGGGCGCGCGCTTTTAGTAGTAGACTGTAGTAGGCTGCGCTACAAACTGTCATACTACACGTGTACTGTATGTGTGGTTGTTGTTCCTCTGCTACGACGTCAACGGGCAATAGTGGGAGAGACACCTGGACAGCACCCAACATGACGGGCCCACGGCTCCGAGATTGTTTCCGGGTCCGTGATCTTGTGATCGACGCCAAGGCTCTGTTTTAACCTTAATTCACTCCGTAGCTAATCTTGTGTACTCCATACTGCAATACTGAGCAAGTAGATGGATATAAAGCGAGGCTATTCCGCACTCATTCCCCAAACTCCTCCGTCTATCATCACTCACACTCACTCATTAAGCATACAAAGCATCAAGACACTCAAGAAACACACACTCTTTTCAACACACTCACTTACCCAACTCACCCCCCAACCAGCAAAAATGCACGCCACCGCAGCCCTCCTCACCCTCCTCCCCGCCGCCGCCATGGCCTGGGACCAGAAGCTCTGCAACGGCGTCGGCGGGTGCCAGGGCCTGACCTGGATCAGCGACTTCGGCTACACCTGCCCCTCGGGCGCCCAGATCGGCATGCAGGCCACCGCCCACGCCCTGCTCGAGATCGCCCAGGGCAGTTACGAGTACGTCGCCTCGGACGAGTTCCCGGCCTCGTGCGAGCGCAGCGCCGACATCCCCGGGCCATCCGAGACCACCCACCTCGTCAAGCACACCGTCACCGAGGGCTCCGGCAAGGGCCTCACCTTCTACGGCTACATCACCGACAAGTGCACCGAAAAGGTCGTCGCCACCCCTGGCGACTGCTACCTTTCTAACCCCAACCCGTCCCCGTGAGTTTTATCTCTCTCTATCTGTGTGTGTTGTTTTTTTTTGTTTCCCTTGCTGACCAAAGCCTCTTTCCTTCCCGTCACAGATTCACCCAGTGCCGCGTCACCGAGAAGGACGACAAGACCTTCTGCACCCAGGACCCGGCCCTGAACCTCGGCCCATAAGCGAGCAGCACTTGAGCTCAACCGACTCCGTGTGCCGCGGCAAGATTCTCGCACGAGGAAAAGGCTGCCAGCATACGTTGTATCATTACAACTGTATATATTTTTGAGATGGATGTTTGGATGTCCAGCATGAGAAGTCGATCATCTACCAGGATCCTCGTACATGTGTCATGTTTAGAACATGCCTTTCAACGTTCTGCAGATAGAAGTATATGAATATATACACACACAGATTGTCCCCCGAAAAGAATAAAGTACTTGTCTTGTCTCGACAGTTTAGCCGTGCCAGGCTACTTATTCATACAACCCAGTCCCACCAACCCCCGCCATCACGACTTGTGAACGATCGGTTCCGCCTCATCACACCATATATATGTTACCAAGACAGACAAAAATTCCTATACTTTATCTAGCCAAGCCTGAACATGGCAATGGTACTAGGATAGACATTTACATTATCCGAGAACCGCGCCACCGTCGTCCCGGAGTTATCCAGCATGCTGATCGACCCGATCGTGTTGAGGTTGAAGATGTTGATGTTGCTGTTGGCTCCCTGGAGGCCAACGATCTTGGCCTGGCACGTCTGGCCGGCTGCGAAGGTCGAGCAGGCTGCAATTACATAATGTTAGCGTACACATTACCATCTTGTTCACCCATCATGCAGTTGTCAAAGTACTTCCGCCGCATAACGGAGGGGCAGAAGAAAGGTGGAGGGAGAAGGCACTCACTCGTCGAGTAATCATTGAAGAAAGAATAATGATTAGCCCCGTACAGGAAAACATCAGAAGACCCCACGATCCGCAGGCCCCACGACATGGCACAGTTGCCACTGACGCCCGTGCAGTCAAACGTCGGGTCACCGAGCGCTGAGTTGGGTGCAAAGGGTGACAGCGAGTTCGGGTGTGGCTGGAAGTAGGGCGTCTCGGTCTGCAGCTGTGACGCGTAGACGTTCTTGGTGCCTGACAGCTGGTAGTTGTACAGCGTGTGGTGCTCCACGGCGGTACCGACGAGCCATACGGGGCCCGCGGTCGACTCGATCAGCAGGCCGCGGCCGGCGTAGATGTTGGTCTGCGTGTTGTCCACTGTGTCGTCGATATCGTGGTCGGCGACCCTTGTGAGGCGACATCTGTTAGTTTCGTTCTCTGGGCACACCGAAGTAGCGTGCCGATAGTTTTAATGATGAATGGTACTAACCAAAGCCACACATTCTCCATATACAACCCACCACTACCCTTGGTGGCATGCATGCTCATATAAGCACCAATGCAAGCGTTGTTGATGTTCGAAGACCCAGGCGTCTTCTCGCACTGCGCAACCTGCAGGTCCGAGCCCGTGAAGCCGCCGACGCGCACGTGGACGTCCCAGAGACCGCTGGGCTGCCCCGCGGGGCTGGCCAGGTTGTACTCGATCAGCGTGGCGCCGGGGGCCGGGCCCTTGCTGGCCACGACGAAGTCGCTCAGGGCAACCGAGCCGCTCTGGCCGCTCGTCCCGATCTGCACGGCAACCTGCGGCGCATTGATGTTGCCGAAGTAGCTGCCCGTCGCCATGATCACGGGCCACGTCTCGCCGACGATCTTGGATCCGGGCGGGATCCGGAGGGTGCTGGTGATCAGGTACAGGCCGTAGTCGATGTAGACCACCTTTCCGGACGCGACGGCCGTGTCGATGGCCCGCTGCAGGGCGGCGGTGTCGTCGGTCGCGCCGTTGCCAACCGCGCCAGTGCTACGGACACTGACAAAGCTACTGGCGCTGAGCGACTCGTACTGTGGCTTAGCCTGGGTGTAGTACCTGTTGCCGGATCCCACGAGTGCCGCCGGTCGAGAGTTGGGAGTGATGATCCCTTGGAAGTCAACCTTACCCGAGTTCAATGTGTAGCTGTGTCCCTGGCCCCATGCTGCGACTGTCGTTGTTCCTGTAGTGCCGGCTAGGACGGTGGCTCCGCCTGACCTGACCGCGACGGGGACGTTGGAAAGGGCGACATTCTCTAAGATCAGACTGCCAGCGGCGTCGGGGGTCCCACCAGTCGTATAAGCCGTGACTACGCCGACCTGGACATTGGTGAAGGTGCTGTCAATCACAATGATGGAGCCCACCTGCTGGCCAGAGCCGCCACTAGCGGACATGTCAATACCAGTTCCACAGTTGTTAATGCTCAGACCCTGGAAGGTCCAGTCCCAGTCCCACAGCATGATGATGGCCGTGACACAGTTGTTGAATACCAAGTTACGCATGGTGTACTGCTGGTTACCGATGGAGGCACCCGTCGCACCACCATTGAAGGTCAGGTCAGACAAGAACCCACCACTCCCAGACTCTGGTCAACACAGCTGGTCAGCGGCGGTAAACAAGAGGGTGGTTTTCCAGCCCGTGAAGGCCGAGTGTGCCAATACTAAACATACCGATGAACAGACCAACGTGCACGACACCGGCGGCAGTGGGCATGTTGAACTTGACATTTTGCAGGCTTGTGGCCTGTGAAGTCGGCCAGTGGATACCGGTACATGCTGTCCCGGGGGCCACGTTTGTCGTGTCGATGACAAGATTGCGAATCTGGCGGTAAAAGTTGTTTACGGAAACCCAATTCAGGTTCTCCGTCCAGTAGGGGTTGCCATCAATCAGACCAAATCCTGCAAAGTTGGCGGTGGCCTTCAGGGTCGGAGGGCTTGTGGCATCTCCAATGAGCATAGTAAAGTAGTATGGGATGATGGAAGAAGAGATGAGATATGTGCCCGCTGGTAAGTATACCACGGCCGGAGTGGTGGTAGCAGAAGCCTGATGAGGATTAGCCGGGACTGTTGAATGCCTGTTGGCATTGTGACTGAGATGATACATACACAATTCCTCCCACAACGGTTGCCACCAGCAGTGATGGCAGCATTGATGGCAGCAGTGTCGTCTGTAACACCGTCACCTGATCCTCGCCGTCAGCATCGTTGACCACAGAAAGCCCTTTGAACCTTAGCATACCTCGAGCGCCGTAGTCCTTTACATTCCTAAACACCGTGTAGCCGTTACCTGCGTACGGAGCAAGACCCTGGTGGGGGATCTGTTCCATCCAGTACGCGGCCTGCACGGCCAGCACAAGGCTGGCAAGGGCCAGAAACAAAGTGTTGAAGGAACGCATGGTCAACTTTGACCTATAATGGGATTAAAGGTGAGAAACACGGATGTCAACCCGCGCAAGGACTGGATGCTGGAGAGGGTTGGGACGAACACCCATCTTAACACGGCACGGGCAAGCAGTATATAGGTGCATCCGTGGTGCGTCAGGTCAAGAAGTGGCACGACAGTCGACCAGATGTACCTGGCATTCACACCGCTGCGGCCCTCTCACTTGGATTCTGCAACAAGATACCCGAAAGGCAGGGGAAAGGCTGGCATGCCTAAGACATCGTGGCATCCCTTGGTAGCAACACACCACCCCCCTTCTAGGCTGCGCGTGCGGGCCAGGGGCTCAGGCGAATGAAATTTGGCCGAAGGGCCGAAGCGCAAATGTCATGCCTGTCAGGCCTGCCTCGAGCCGCCTCTTGTCTTGTGGGGAAGAAAGCCATGAGAAATGAGGTTGCTTCGCCAGCTGGGTAGGCGTGCCACTTGATACGCTGGATATGTCCACGGGCCCCAAATCACTCCTTCACGGGACCTCAGGAGTGGATGGATGGATCATGGGCACATGGTCAACGGCAATGCCTTGAACTATCATCAGCTTTGGTATCAACCCCAGAAGCAGGCGCTGACTCGCCTCTCACATCCACTGAGGGGAGCAGGTGAGGACGACACTGTCGTCAGAGGTCTGCAATGTACCGCGTAGCCATGTGCCTGCTGGCCGCCTGGCAGTAGCCGAGGACGCGGCAGTGAGCCGAGTGGGCTGGGGAACAGACTCGTTGATTCGTTGTCTCAAATGGCTAAGAATGTAGGATCAAGCCCCATGCTGGGGAATGTGATGACGGGGAGGGCCTTAGATGGCTCTAGTCTCAAGCGCCCGCCGCGGTCGACCCAGGCAAGTGGACCAAATGAGCTTGGCCGGCCGGCTGCTTGGTTCGACTTTTGCCCAATTAGGCGATCATCTGGGCCGCCCAGGCACAAGTCCCGGCGATGATGGCTTCCTCTCGGCGCCGGGATTGGCGTAAGGGAAATTGCACACCTGGGTGAGGTCCTCTGGGGGTTACATTGGTTCAACTGCTGGACCCTGGCACGGAGCTCGAGAGCCGGGCCCCAGCGCTGATGGGGCCGGGACGATGTCGGCCTTATTCGAGAGGAAAATAGACTCCGTACATAGACGGCCACGCTTCTGCCATAAGAAGAAGGTGGATGTCGAGACTGGCCCAGCCTGAGAATATCAAACACCAGCCGTGGGTCAAAGTGCGCCAGTGAGATCGGGTACCGGGCCGCGGACAGGCGGCTCACTGCTGGTCTTGAATCATTTCCCCGTTAGTAAGACGCGGCCACCCAAAAAGGATGCTTGGAAGCAGCGGCGCATGTCATGCGGTGTGGTCTGCAGGGCGAGTGTATCGGATCACAAGACATTAGAGACGTCCCAGATAGACACAAGTGAGTGGCCTCATTGTAGGACAAGGCGAATTTGACACTGGCCAACGTCCTGGGCGAGATCTGCACAGGGGATCTGATCAGTGGACGGCTCCGCATGCTCAAATTGCGGGGTGGGCCTGCTGGGCGCTGCCGGCCACATGCCTCACGGTGCACACCTCTCAGACCGCGATGTAACCCGGGGACTTGAGGATAATGGAAGGCCCGGGGAAAGCTTGGGAAGCTTGGGTTTCCACTTTCCATCATGTCGTGAGACTTGCAGTAAGCCACCCAGGAAGGCTGAAAAAGGGCCTGCAGTTGTAGCGGCTGCCGTGTGACCAGCTTCATGTTGGTTGGCAGGAGACGCCCTAGAATGGTACATCATGTGCCTGGGCCGGAATTTCCAAGGTGAAGCCACCCAAGACCTGTGAAGGTGGCTCTCGAACAAGTGGCTGGTGGACGGTGCAGCCACAAGCTTAATTTTCCATAATTCTCCAACCTCGGCTGCGTATGATCCGTGCGCATCGTGATGCAGCGCGCTGCTTGGGCATGGTGTTTCGTCAGCGAACCTTGGAAATACGATTCGGATATAAGATGGAGCTGCTGCGAGCAACAGCCTCGGGCTCGGGCGCGGTTTCGGGCGCGATGACGAGCGGGCGGATGGCGATCGGTTCAGAGTCAGTCAAGCACCTAGCGCCAGGGCAGGCTGATGATGGCACGGGGCACGCAAGAGTGGCGGCGACGTTGAAGCTGACGGGCGCGTCAAACCTTAAGCCTCCTTCGCCATACCGTCCATACGCACGCATTGGCGGTTCGTCCTGGTCCTGCGGCACGGAGAAACGCGCAATGGCAAACTGGCTTCAAAACATCAAACAGCATTATGTCCATGCAGATTCAGATTGCGAAAGGCTGCGGGCTGCCGGCGGGAAACGCTCAGCGCCGAAAATCGAAACAAAAGCAACAGCCGAGGTCTGGCCCCAGGTTGGTTTGTTGTTTCTGCTGTCTTATACACTGCATACTGGTTTGCTTGTGGCTGTCGCCATGTCCCTAGGGTCATCGGACGAACTTTGGAAGACGTGATGATGCGCCGATTTCCGTGGGAGACGCATCCCAGTTATCGGACGGGTGAGGATTAAGCATAAGCATGCATATTCTTGATGATGCAGCGTGCCCAGCGTGTGTGTGTGTGCGTGTGCGGCAAGTGATATTTCTCTCGACTGTCATTCGTGCACAAATCTCATTCGGCCGAGATGCAGCGATAGTGGAGCGAGCCGAGTACATGTGTACGAAAATACAGCCACTGTCCCCACGGACGCATCCGACCAGCCGATGTTGGGAAACGGCGGTGGGTGGTGCTCCGGGAAGCAGTGCTGCGCCAAGGTGGCGGTTCGACGGGTTCATCTGCTGGGTTGGGTAAGGCTGGCTGGCTGGCTGGCTGGCTGGGCTGACTGATGCAACTTGATGGAGATGCAACGCAGCAGCAACAGCACAACAACAACATCTCGACCGACACAACACGAAGGAGGTTGGGGGTTGGAGGTTGGAGGTTGGGAGGTTAGTTGGCTTGTTGGGTTTGCACTGACCGACCGATGCAGCAATGACACGACTTGATTTCTCCACATGCTTATGATGAGAGTGCATTGCAAGTTGCGGCCGTGACGGGGCACGGGAGACTCCATTTTCTCACCTCCATCCCCCCATCTCCATTTTCCCATCTCCACCTCCACACACACACACCAGGCAGGGGGGCAGAAGCTCCCTTGGCCCCTTCCCCAGATTCCCCGGATTTTGTTGGAACCGGCCCAGCTCCCGTCAGCTTCTCCAACCCGATTTCCCCTTGCAGTATTTCCCCCCCTCTGCCTTTGGCTGCAAATCCCCACCATCGACTCGACCAACGGACTGCAGGCGAAAAGTTTGTGTGTTGTTATTCCAGGAACCAGAGTCAGTGCCTCAGGCCCCAGCCCAGGTTGACGGAACCAGGCCGGCAGCGTTGATTGCACACGCGACAAGTCGTCATGATGACCTGCTGACATAGAAAATTGCGAGTTACGGCGGCCGCCATTGGGTGGGGCCCTGCTCGGGGCTAGTCCAAGGTCGGCAGCAAGCCAGAGGGAGCTCCGGCCCAGAGCATTGCCGACGAGCCCCCGCCTTTTGGCCTCTTTTGCTTTTGCTACCCCTGGAATCCTAGGCTGGGCTGGCTGGGGTCCAGAGCAGCTGTTCCCTGGCCGCCCTGGCCTGTCAGCGTGTCTCCAATGCGGGGGAGGTTCAGACGCATTTGCAATCTACTCCAGACATGACCACCTGCAGACTGCAAATTTAGCAGAGAAAAGTGCAAAAGAAATGGAGATGGACAGACATGTCATGTAATGTACAGTAATGACCTTTTTTTTAAAGACCGAACAAGAAGCTACTAGTTAGTAGTGAGGGTAAGATTGATGCAGACCAGGCGCGATACGGACAGCCAGAACAGCCGGCCCCGTCTGTCGCAAACCTTGACCCGTCTCGCTGTGACTTGCCGTGACTAGCTGTTAATCCCAATGTTAAGATCCACGCTTACATCCTACCAATGGAATACCAAATGGGGACGGCTACCACCTCTTTCTGTAGCAGAGAGCCCGATGCAGGGCCTGCCATGGTAGCTGGGCAGCAGACCAGAGCAGGGCAAGCAGCAAGGTCAAAAACACGACGTTACACAAGCCATTTCCCTCCTCTGCCCGCTCGGTGCTGATGCCCGCCCTTTATTTTTTTTCCTTCCCTTTCTCTTTGTCGCTCGTGGCTCCTCCGCAAAAACCCCAACTCGAACCAAGTTTCTCCTCCCACCTCCTCCTCCCCTCCCCTCCCCTCTCGCTTTCTCCTCACCTCGCCTGCTGCCCGCTACCCGCTGCCCGCCTCAAGGTGCCCACTCACACCCGTTTGATCGCCCCCGCCTCCGCATTCTGCGCCCACACCTGAACATAACCCAAGCTGCAGTTTTGTGGAGCACCGCAGCAGACCAGCCAGACCAGGCGCGCCCGTCTGTCTCCACAACCCAGCCTGCAGACGTGCAACAGCGCATCAGCTCCAGTGTATCCGTACCAGCACGAGCAGCAATAGCAGTGCAGTGACCCGTACCACCCGAGCTTGCCCCCGTTTGTTCCGCGGCCGTTTGTCGATGAGGGACGGGCCATTCACCGATCTGCCAACCTTCTTTATTACTACCGACTAGGTGGAGTGAATGACGGGTGTGACTGACTGACTGACTAACTGACTGTCTGTCTGTCTGTCCACGGTTCTCATAGTTTGTCTGCTTGCGCTCGGATCGACTGATTTACTTGGTCCCCTTTGTCACCCTTTCCCTCCTCTGTCGCGGGGCCAGATTTCGACACGCGACTCCTCAGCATTCCCGCCCGCCCAGCTACCCTCCTCGTGTCCCCCAAACCCCGCGTTTCCATCCGCCTTAAGTCATCAACTTCTCTTCCTCCGCGCCTCCTCCTCCCCCCCTCCCCACATCCAAGACGAACGCCATTGAAGGGGGCCTGCCTCTCTCCAATTGAGCAGCCACGCAACAGACAGTGCAGTGCAGTGCCGCACGCCAGACACGACACGGTACAAAACAATACAGTACAGTACTGTACATCGCTGCGGAGTTGATCAGGGCCACATCAGATCTGATCTCATCAGGATCAGCATCGGCTTGGAGAAGCTGGACAAGACAGCAAGCATATCCAGATCGCACCGCGTAGATCTGTCTACCGAGTACATGCACACGCAGCGCAAGAGGGTACGTACGCGTCCTTGTCATCGTCCTGCCCGTGTCCGTTTGCCCTGTTTCCCTTGCCTTGCCATGCCTTGCCATGCTTTGCCATGCTCTGCTATGCTTTGCTGTGCCATGCTGTGATGGCAGATCATAGATAGGCCTTGCATCGCCTGCCTCCTTGCTTGCCTCCTCGTCCTTGTTTGCCCTCCCACGCAATGCCATGCCCATGCCATGCCCTGCCACGGCTGCCGCGCCGTCCCCCCCAGCCTGGTCTCGCCCGTCCTCCACAGTCCTCGATTGACATTTCCGCAGTTTCCTAGCCAGCCTTCCTGACGATCGGCTCACAAAACAAGGCTTGACTTTGGTTTCAGAACTTCCCCAACCAGGTGTCCTGTGCCCTGTCTACCCTGCCTGCCCTGCCATCGTCTTGCAAAAGTAGGTGCCCAACCTGTCAGCCTGCCCAATCTCAGCCTGCCTCCGTCGCGATCCCGTCCCCTTGGTGTGATTCCCCGAGTCGATTTGCTTTGGTCTGCCCTGGGTTTGACTTGCTTTTCCGCCCTCGCCGCCCGACTGTCGACTGTCGACTGTCGAATGTCGAATGTCGAATGTCTGTCTGCTGTCTACTCCAAATTCCATCCCGTCTTTTGCCTCTGAATTCAGGGCGACATCACCTCCTCTCCATCCGGTCCCTGTCGCCAGTCACGACATCACGCCCCTCCGCCCAATGTCACGAGTCTGGGCAGGCTGTCCACTACCGAGCCACGCCTTGCCCATCATCGCCAGGCTTCCCCGCTCCTCCGCTGCCCATCCACCCCCCCCTCTTCGTCCCGTCCTGGGGAATCCCCTCCGAGGCTGACCCCCATGTTGCCGTGTCGCCGCTATTTACCTACCCTGACCAGCTTCCAGCCAGCTTTACCAGCAAGCTCCCCCACGCCTCGGAGAATTCCCACATCGGCCCAAGCTTCCATACTCATCATACCCCGGGCATTGCACGCATTTTGTACTGCTCTAGTGCCCCTTGTACTCTGCCACGCGCGCGCACGCTCCCTCATGCAAACTCACACGCACACAGCACACATCTACACACTTGCCCATATACATCTGCACCCTAGTCGACGTCTGTGGCCGCTTTACATACTAATTGCTAATATGCACACAGATTACCATAGCAGCTCCCTGCCTAGGTACCCTGCCCGGCCTGCCGTCATCCACCCCCATCCCCCCCTCACCTTAAGCTCCGGGGCTCGACGACATCCCATTTCATCTCAAGTCTGTTCGTCGGCATAGCGACCCAAATTGCTCGACCGCCTTCGCACCTCCGCCTTGGCACCCGCTCGCCTGTCATCGACATTCCGAGCCAATTGGATCACCTGGCCCTCCAGATCTCGCGCCCGACGCCAACGTATCTGTGCGCCACAGGGCTCTCTCCTACTCAGCCGCCCCCCACAGCTCACACGAGCTTTCCCGTCCCACCCTCTGGGCCTCCTGTCCGGCCTCGCTCAACGCTGTACTGTCTCACTGGCCACGGCCCCCATCTGCGGTCCACGGCCTTCCGAGTTGACGGGTCTGAGTCTGCTGTACCTGGTACTTGCCGCCTGCCCGGGAGTACGACCTTGTTCTGGCCGCGCCCCTCGAGCCCAGTGTCGCCCCGGATGTCACTGCTCTGCTGCTTGGGGTAAGAGACTCTTCCATCAGTGCCACCTACGAAACACGTCAAGGACACCAACCTGCGGGCGCCGCCTTCCGCGCACAAGGCCCAACCTGCCAAGCCCACCCCGTTTCCTCACCTTGAATTTTGGGTTTCCTCGGCAGCCGGGACGGTACGCGCTCAGTTCGTCCGCTTAACGCATATCAGCCCGTCAAGCTTTGTACACCCAGCACACATACTCCGTCGTCCCCGGTCCTGTCCCCCACACCTGGCACCCGCAAGCCTCACTTTGTCCCACAGACATCCCACCAGTTCCGATACCCCAATCGTCGTGGCATTAGCCCACGCTTGCTGCCCAAGGATGCTTTCCATCCAGTCCGTAGAGGGACCCAGCCCTCCTCGTCACGACGAGAATGGTGACATGAAGCAGCAGAAGCCAAAGACGCTGCCGTGCAAGTACTGCAACAAGTGGTTCAGGTAAGTTGCTGACATGTTACCACCACCTCCCGCGGCGGCGACGGCACCGGCTGACGCGGGGTTGTGTCTTGATATAGGCGCGTGGAGCACGTCCAGAGACATGAGAGAACGCACACCAAGGAGAAACCCTTTTCATGCAATTGGGATAGCTGCGGCAAGAGTTTCGGCAGAAGGTGAGCTACATTTCTCGTCCTATCTCATCTCATTTATCGTCCCTACCTCCATTTGGGCACGCAACTCGACCCGGCCCTTGTCCACCACCTCTCGGCCTAGTCGCTCTTGAGCTCTGTACTCCATTGACTTTACCCCAATTGCACGTCGCCATATATTGGAACCCCATCCCGTGCTCGGCTCCACAACCGTATCGCGCGTCTTATCATCCTACTCTGTATCCCATCCCGTCTCCGGGTTATGCTTACATGGACATCAGAGACCTTCTCGTCCGCCATGAGAAGCTCGTGCATCTCAGCGATGGCAGCAAAGACACCAACGGCGTCAGCACACAGCGCCGCAAGTCGTCGGCGGCCAACACCCAGTCGAGCCCGACCAAGAGTCACGCCGACACCGAGATGCTCGGTATGCAACAGACGCCCACCCAGTCCCATTTCGCCCCGGACGCCGCCATGTCTGCCGTCGTGTCGAGCCTGCCGCCCGACTCGCGCATCGCCCCGAGGCCCGCAGCAGCTTGTAATCTCGACCTGCTGTCCGATGCCGCGACACATCTTGCTTCCGCCGGCGACGTGTCGTCGATGCAGAACATGCTCCCAGATATGAGCCAGCAGCAGACCCCCCTCGGGCGCGTTGACAGCATCCCGGCCTATGGTGACCGAAACAGAGAGCAGGACCCAGTCGTCTATTCGACGCCCTTCCCCGTCACTACGGCCCCGTACTCCGTCTCCTCTGCGCCCTTTCCGATAACATCAGCAGCCTTCCCCGTCACTTCCGCGGCCTTCCCTGTCACTTCTAATCCCCAACCAACCTTCGAAGGCGAGGGCTATGACATCTTCATGGATGACTTTGCCACGCAGTCACACTTCCTGCCAGCTGGAGTGGATACGGAGCAGTCCTTTGGCGGCTGGAGACCAGGAACCTCGTCTTTCCCGTCGAGGTTCCCCTCCCTGGCCCCTGAAGCATCCACAGACGGGACGGGTAGGCTGCAGGATGAGGCCATGAGAGCGCCACTCTGGCGGATTTCGAGCAACGACCACAGCGTCATCAAGAGCCGCCTGGACGAGTTCTCGAGCGTGCTTCCAAACGACTTCGTCTTCCCTTCCCGGCATACCTTGACTCGATATCTTGAGGGCTACATTAGCGGTTTCCAAGAGCACCTCCCTTTCCTTCACATACCGACCCTCAACCCGAGTGAGATCGCCCCCGAGCTCCTGTTGGCAATCGCTTCAGTCGGCGCACAATACCGATTTGAGAGCCATCGTGGCCATGCTCTCTGGTACGCTGCCAAGGCTGTCGCCCTTGAGCAGATTCGGAGACGTCACAGTCACGAGGTCCACACCCTGCTGCCAACCCCAGCAGCCTACAGCCCACATTCGACACGAGCATCGCCTAGCTCTGGTTTCCGTCACTCTTTCAATTCGGTCCATTCAGACCGACCCATGACGCAGGAGACCCATCGTGAGCCATAGTAAGTGCACCACCGTGGAGTATCAAAACACTGTTGCGCCTACTGACATCTACAGTTCTCCAAACAATCCTCAGTCTCGGCTCGAGACGATACAAGCTCTTCTCTTACTCTTCTCTGTCGGTCTCTGGGGAGCCAAAGCTATTCTGCAGGATGCCCTGTCCCTGCAAAGCCAGCTCGCCCTGCTGATACGTGATGAAGGGCTCAACTCCAATCAGACGCAGGTTGCCGACTGGGAGACGTGGGTCCGAAATGAGGGAAGCAACAGGACCAAGTTGATAGCCTACTGCTACTTCAACCTTTGCAGTGTGGCTTACAACAGCCCGCCTGTCTTGTTCACCTCGGAGATGAACTTGTTTCTTCCGGGCCCTGCCCGCCTTTGGAGGGCAGAGAGCGCATGGGCGTGGCGAGAGGCCCGGCAGTCTGTCCAGTACATGGAGCTCTCCCTGCAGGATGCGTTGTCGAGGCTGCTGCACCGACCGTCTCAGGGACCGTTGAACGACCTGACATCGCTTGGCAACTACGTCTTGATACATGCCTTGATCCAGCATATCTACCTGCTCAAGCAGACCTCCTTTGCCAACATGTCTCCCTTTGACATCCACCGGGGCCTCAAGGCGGAGGATGTGGAGGAGGTCACGCAGGCACTGCGAGTCTGGCAGCTGGGATTTGAGGAGCACCGTATGAGGATCACCCAGTCAGCCCAGCAGATGGGCAGCGAGAACTTCCCGGGTGGACCAGTGTCGTTTGATGCGACCGCCCTCTCCCGACTGGCGCATATCCGCCTGCATACCGACCTCGTCCCCGCTAGGGCGCTCGAGAGTCGTGAGCCCTACGCAGCAGCAAACATCTTCAACCAGCTGCCCTTGTTGCCGCGGGGCCCACGCCTGAACAAGGCAATACTGCAAGCCGTGCACGCACTCTCGATGCTTGTCAAGGCCGGCATCAACTACATTGCCCGGACCAAGTCGCTGGAATGGAGCATGCAGCATTCCCGTAAGTAGCCGTTGTCCCCATGCTGCCGGGATGTTTCCGAAGTTGAGGGCATGGACAAGTACTGACAGTCACCATTGTAGTGTGCAATCTAGAATGCGCAGTCCTCCTTGCCAAATGGTTGATGACCATGGCGCAGATGAGCCCTACCGAGATACAGACCGCTGAAGAGAAGTCCATACTGGCGTCGATCCGGACAATAGTAGACGAGACGGAGTACGCCGTGCCCATTGACCCTAGCCTTGCCGCCCAGCAGCCATCGAGGATGGACAGCTCGCTCAACGACTCGCAAAAGCTGCGCCAGCTTGCGTCGGCTGTCCTCCGTATCTGGGCCAAGACCTTCAAGGGCGAGCACATATTTGAGCTGGTCAAGACGATGGGGCACGGCCTGGAGGTCTACTCGAACATCCTGGACAAGCCGAGGGATCAGCCTTCACTCGGGCGCATGTCTTCTGGCTCTATCCTGGAGTAGATGTTGTCAGCTGAGAATCTCGGGGTCCATTGGCAATTCTGTGCGACAAACATTGGGTTACCATACCAGTATTCGGTTTGAGACTAACACTCGACCACACTCTGGTTAAGCCAGGGAGACTGGCCCCTCACTGTATTGGTATTTAGACTACACAGGAACGATACCCCAGTATGTGGGCCAGTCGGCGGCCCTGCTGAGGAGACTCCCAGAGTCATGTATTCTCTTCAGAATATTCCTCACAAGAAGCCTGCGTGGAGTGTGGTGCGTGCCCAGGTGCGGCTGACCAGCTGCTGGAAGCAAGGGTTGGAAGTGATGGGCCGGGAGCGAAGGGCACCGGCCAACCGGCCACCAGCGTTATTGAGTTGTTCACATATACGACGGTGTCTGGCGTTAAACGGACCGGAGCGGGCTCTTGGAAGCTGATTATTTTCAGAAGTGTTTGTTGCGAGTCTGGTGTTGCTCGGTTTTGTAGACTGTAGGAAGGTAGCTCGTGACTGGTTTTTGGCTCTCCTTAAGCCATGTGCGACGAAAAAGGGCAGTGAGAGAAATGCTTAATGATAATGCTGTTATGCGTTCAGAATTGATAGCTGTTGAGTGTGATGTCTTTGAATTACTTCCCTAGGCAAGCAGGGTGGACTTGATATGCATGCCTCGATTGATTAAACAACGGTTATCACATCAACTGGTAAGGTCACAAAGGCCGGTGTAGCAGATGAGTGGCTTGCAAATCTAGGAGCCTAGATACAACCTAAAGCGTGATGTGGTAGGAAGGAAGACATTCTAGAAAGCGACCTGCAAGAGGTTTGTGTCGTGGGAGGCTCTTCCAAGGACATTCGCCCACTACAGTTTGTGGAGTAGGTTGAGAAGAAGGAGGTCAAGCTACGATAAATAAATCTCTAAAGGGGTGATCTATCGATGTCTGAAGCTACAAGACACAGGCAGTGCATCAACCAAGTCGCCCAGTCCAATCCAGTACATCCACGCCCGTACCACTTTCCCAGGAACTCTGAAAGACCGCGCCTTCCTTCCTTCCTTCGACCCCAGCTTCACCACCTACTCACCACCCACCACCGACACTGCCCACCTGCCTGCCTGCGCAGGAGGGCCAGATCCCAAGAATTCCAACCACTTACCAGCAAACCAACTTTCTTACATTCCCTTCTTCCATCCCCTTCCCTTCCTTTGTCTACCTAGGTACCCAGCATCATCTATCCTCGTCCCCAACAGTCAGAAATGGCAACCCTGTACCATCCAGTCCTAACCTACGACCCCATCACGGACCCAACAGGCCGTCGCACAAACCACTACCAGGTGGAGCGGTCGCGCGATGGCTTCGTCTTCGAGGCGCTGGCGGACCCGCTGACTGGCACCGCGACGCCCTTTTACCGGGGAGACTCTTTGATCATCGCGACTGCGGGTAAGTAAGGCACTCTTCCACCCACACACCCACCCACACACCTACACAACACACCCATGGCGTCTGTCTGTCTGCCTGCTCTGCCTGGTCAGGCAGGCACGACCCAACAACACAAAGACATCCATCCCCTCAACCCAACCACCCAACCCAGGGAGGCAGGCAGGCAGGATCCCACACCTCAACAAAGCTAACAGCAACACCCCCCCGCCCCGCCCGCAGGCTCCTACAGGCACGAGATGTTCGTCTACCCCGGCCCGCGGGCGAGCTACGCCGTGTTCCTGGGCCCGTCGAACCCGCTCAACGACAGCGGGACGGCGCTCGTCGCCCCGCCGGGGGCGTTCCTGTCGCTGCAGCGCGGGGCGCTGGCGGGCGCGGTGGCCGCGCTGCGGACGGTCGTGCGGATGCTGGAGAAGGGGCTCGTGCCGTGTGGGGGGGCGGTGGGGAGGGTCATTGTCAAGACCGACTCGGAGTATGTCGCGCTGGGTTGTACTGAGCGGATTGGGGGGTGGGTTAGGAGGGGGTGGTGAGTATTTTCCTTTGTCTTTCCTTACCTTTCCGTCTTCCTGTTGTTGTTGTTTTACTTGCTCTCTCTGTGCTTTTTGTTCTTTGTTTGCTTATTGTTCACAGAGGTGTTTTTTTGCTGACGCTGGTGTGTGAAGGCTCGGCTGTGGGGAGTCGAGGATCCGTGATTGGGACCTCTGGGAGGTGGTTCTTGCCCTGCTTGATGTTATCATGCACCAGTGGGGTGTTGAGATCCTCTTCTGGTTGGTGCCAGCTGAGTGTAAGTCTTGCAACTCGTCTATTGACTGACTGACCCACTGCCTTGGAGCTTTCTTGCGCTTTTGTCTGACTTACTTTCGTGGCTTTAGGGAACCGTGATGCCAAGTACCTTGCTGCTGAGGGCCTCAAGATCCCGCCTCCGTTTGTGGTGGACTGTCGACCGCGGAGTCAGGAGCTGAGAGAGGACCGTAGGGTTGGCGTGCGGTGCTAGGTGGCCGATACAACGATGTACTGTCTCCCCCCACGATGCCCCGGGACACCACACGACGGGATTCCGCCACACACGGCATCATGCGACACAAAACCACGAGATGCTGTCACTCGTTCCAGCTCTTGGCCGCGCCGAAAAGTTGTATCGACGTGCCGACGAACCAAAGGTTCAGGGTTTCTCGGCTTCAACATGCTTCCCCGCTGTATGTATGAGCAACTGAGAGTGCTTCAACAAAAGTGTTAGCACCTACATGGGCAGAGAGGAGGAAGTGTTTTTTGATAGTGGAATTAGTGATTATGTGCCTACCTAGGTACGTTCTGCGGGTGAATAACCAAAACTTGTCTGTGAGGTTTACTGAACAATGCTAAAACATCAATCGTCTCGAAGCGGGTATCATCAAATAACTGTCAGCATGCTTCCAAAGATTCGTACACCCGCCTCAGAACGCCAACACCACATCATTACTCATTATCATACGGGGTCCAGTCATCAATAGGAACCCTCATCGTCCTCCTCCATGTGGACACTCGTCCACTCAGACTCAGACCCCATCCCGGGCGAGGTCGACCAAGAGGGCGACACCGATCCCGGAGGGGTTTGGTGTACTTTGGGGTGGTCAAAGTCAAACTGGGGAGCCATCAACTCATCCACGTCGATGCTATGGGACTCGGGCGGCGGGGCTCCTCGCTGGGCACCACCGGCGGGAGGCTGCGCCTCGCACTCGCGTGAGGGCTGCTGCTGCTCGTCTTCGGCAGGGTGAGTGCAGTCCATCGCGTCGTCGTTGGCCTCGGGGGCGTCTACGGGCGCCGCCGCCGCCGGCTGCTGCGCCGGGGCCTCGGCTCCCTCCTCCGCGGGCAGCAAGTTCAAACGGGGCGGGAGGATTGTTGGACGGACTGAGGGCCCGGGGTTGCCATCGGCGGCGGGGTGCGTTCTTTTGTTTGCGTGGCTGCTGGGCGCCTGTGGCTGCGTGGCTGCGGTGTCTTGTTGCCGTGGGCGCTCCTGGACGTCTGCGGGTACCACTCCTTGGGTGAAATCGTGAGGTTGGGTGCCGGCTGGGAAAGCCCGCAGCTGGACAGGCCGCACCGCGTGGAGGGCCTGTAGCATCTTTTGCCCCTGTTCCTCCTGTTGCTGCTGTGCCTGATGAGCAGCCACCTGTGCCTGCTGAGCCACCTGCGGCATCACCCGCTGAGGCGTCTCGGGAGGCGGGGCTGCGCTCGTGTTCGCCTGTTGCTGGGCCGTCGTGCCGGGCTGCGGCGGCGGCGCTGTGTCCTTGGGCCGGAGCGGCAGGCCCAAGCCTGTGGGCGGCCGCACGCTTGCTGTTGTTGCTGCTGCTGTTGTTGCTGCTGCTGGCGTTGCTGCCGCGGGATTGGGATACGGCACGGAGCCGTTCACGACGAGCGGGCTCACCTGTCCGCACGCCGGGCCCGCTGGGGACCGACTCGGGCCGGGCTGGGTCCAATTCGGCGGGAACGGGGACAAGTGCGTGTCCGGGGACCAATTGTGCTGCTGCCAGTACGGGTTTGGGAGCGGCTCCTGCGACTGGATCACGTCGTGGGCCTCATTGCAATTGAGCTCCTGCAGGTCCGCCCTGGGGAAGTCCGTCCACATGCCCGGGCCCCTCATCCATAGGTCCTCGTAATCGAACGGTTTCCAAATGCCCGCCCCGCCATTGAACTGGTTCAGATTGCCCGCCCCGTCATAGAACGGGTTCCCATTGCCCGCCTGCTCCATGGTGATCTTTTGGAGGTCTCTGTTGACGCGGCCGGTGAACCCCACAAGGTCCTCAAGGGCCTTCCTCGACTTCCGGACATAGTCGTCGTCGTCGGCCGCCGCCGCCGCCCAAGGAGGAGGATGCTCCCGCCGGCGGTGTCCCGGCACGGCGACGACCGTCTTCCCCCCGTCTAGGGAGAAGTCCAAGTCGCCGCTGTCGGTGATGATGCCCGGCATGACGCGGCGCATGAGCTGCGCGGCGCCCGTGAGGACCACCCTGTCGTCTCGGGTGATGGCCTGCGGCGGCTTCCCCGCCCCGCCGCGCGCCTGCAGGATGCGCTCCAGGTTCGAGTCGATCATCTCGGCCACCGCGGCGATGGTGCCCCGCGCCCACGACAGCGCCGCCAGCTCCGCGGCGCCGCTCTGCTTGATCGTCTCGTTCAGCCTGTGCCGCCCCGCCGGCGTGTCCATCCTCGGCAACCGGTTGTGCTCCCCGCAGATACACAGGGGCGCCAGGTACCCTTTGCGGATGGCCTCCTCGTGTGCGAAGGCCTGGCAGGTACCGCAGTCTTTTTTGTTGTTGTTGTTGCTGTAGTTGCTGTTGTTGTTGTTGTTGTTGTTGTTGACTTTGTCTGCGTGGTTGCAGGTGTTGCGGGCGACGGCGGCGATGGGGCAGTCGGGCAAGTGGAGGAGGGGGTTGGTGCGGGATTGTTGGGGCTTTGGTTGTGGTTGTTGTTGTTGTTGTTGTTGTTGTTGTTGTTGTTGTAGTTGTTGTAGTTGTTGTAGTTGTTGTAGTTGTTGTAGTTGTTGTAGTTGTTGTAGTTGTTGTAGTTGTTGTAGTTGTTGTAGTTGTTGTAGTTGTAGGTGTTGTGGTTGTAGTTGTTGTGGTTGGTGTACATGTCGTTGGCGTAGAAATCGTTGGCGTGGTTGGTGTAGTTGGGGTGGAAAGGGGCGGGCTCGTTCGAAACGTTGTCTAGTAGGCATTGCCGATCCACCACGGAGGATCATGGGTTGTGGTTGCGTGCCCATTGGACTCTGAAGGTCGTCCATGGCAGCTGTTGTTGATGGGGGTACCTAAGTAGCTACCCGAGGCAGTGAAATAGCTCTTGGTGAGTAATTGTAAGGACCGTGTGATGATTTTATGCGGTTTCACCCGGTATGAAAGGAGTGAGATGACAAGTTGAAGAACATGAATGCATTCAGAGAGGGGGAATGCTCAAATTTATAGCACGTTCTTGGTAAATACCTACCTATGTACCTAGGTAGGTATGTAGTCTATCTGGATAATTTTGTTGAGTGGCCCCTCCGCGATCTCACAAGCGCGTATGCTGGCCTCTCAATCCGTCACAGCTCGCCCAATCACTGGTTCATAAAATGAGTCTAAGGGAGAAGCTAACAAGTAATTGAAGGGCCGGAAACTAATCGCATGTGATGCTAAAATCTTTTACAGGGTTTCAATAGATGACAACTATGCCTGGCACAAGAGTCATCCGGTATACGGAGGAAAGGCCGGCGACAGCATTACCTTGGTGGTCAATATCATTAAAATATGGCTTTCTTGCTAGTGATGTCCGTATGAGCAGAAGCTTTGTCTAGAACATCCTCGAAGGATGGCTCATCCTCGAGGGGTGGCTCCTCCGGCGGAGACGCAATCACCGCTGCCGCCTCCGCCGCTCTCTCATCGTTCTCCTGCGCCGTCAGCAGCTCCGGGGGCTTGAATATGTCCAGGACCCGTTTCCGGTCCCCCAGGGTGCCCCACAGGCCGTCCATCTTGTACTGGAACCGCTCCCAGAACTCCTCGGGGCTCCGGTCCGGCTGCTCCAGGTGCGTCAGCTTCCACACGGCGCAGCAGCTCTGGAAGTAGAGGGAGTGGGGGTTCGGCGTGGTGGCGCTCCTCGTGCTCCTCAGCTGGAGCGGCTTCCGGTCGAGGTCCTCTACTTTCAGCTGCGAGTCTGGGTACACCGGCTTGAGGATCTCTGGCCCCTTGTCCAGGACCCTGAACTGGTAGGCCTTGGGTGTCTTCTCGTAGAGGTGCTCCTTCTGAGGGGCGATGGCGAGCTTCCACTGCAACGGACACGATTAGCTTCTATCCTTCTTCTCTCACACAATACGGATACGATTCCAGGGATTATAGAGGCCTGCAAGGCTGGCTACGGGTTCAGAAAGACCGCTTAGATGTCCGCAAGGCCTTGACGGCGCAAGAGCTCCGACGCCACCCGCAGCTTCATATGAGATGCTTACATTGTTGTAAGCCGCCCAGATCGACGGTGGCAGCAACAACCCATTGTAATGTTCCCGGAAGGAGATGCGAGCCGAGACCGCAAACGCCACCATGGGCCCGAGGGCAAACGGGAAGAAGGTGTCGAGCTTGAGACGGTGTGGCGCAACCCACTCGCCGGTGGCGACGCTCCATATGTACCCCTTCGGGGTCTCAGGGGGCTTCTCAACGTTCAGCTTGTACTCCCTGCATATCGCCTTTGTCATCTTCTCCTGCTTCCTCTTGATGAAGTAGTGGTTCAGGTCCGCGTCCACGGGCACCTTCTCCTTTATGGGGCCGATCGCCTCGGCGAAGTTCCTGGCTTTGCGGAACATCTCCGGGAGGAACATCACCGTTAGTGAGCGGGACGTCCATCTCACCGGTGGCTTGACCGGCATCCTGGCTGTGCTTCGGGCGAGGGAGCGCTGGTTATCATCGGAGGTGGGTTCAAATGTTGGATGTGAAAAGTGAAACCGATGAGGTCACTAGTCCCAACGCCACACTGTCTTCCAAGGTCGAAATGGTTGAAATGGTGTCAAGTCAGGTAGTTCCAGTGTCCTTGATGCAGTGAGAGGTTATCCCTGCAGAAATACGTGTGATGAATGGCCAGCCTGTTGAGTATCGCGTCGTCCGTTATTGCTGTTGAAGCTAACCGTTGAGCCTCAAAGACTCGAGGTCAAACTTGCAGGGGTTCGAGAAAAAGTTCACACTAGGGTTGGGGTTAGCTGTAAGACCCCTGTCTCAGCCCTCGAGCTTCATTTCAATATAAACAAGGGCTCCATCAACATAAAGTAGAATCATGATTTCGGAATCATTTGATTATCTCTAAACTATAATATTTCAATATTGACTTATCTATATGACATTATAGTTTGGTAAACTTGTCTAACTATAAATAGTCCTGTAGAAGGCTGATTTAGCCTGTGGAAGTTTATCCTTATATGCATAGGTAGCCGATTATCTTATAGCAGGATGGCTTGGAACCTTGATAAATACTGGGAAATGATGTAGCTGCGGATCCGACAGACATGCCAGGCTCCCTCATATGATCAGACGCAGTGTTAATCGGCAGGTTCCTTTGTGCCTCCGGTTCCGTTTCTATCCCATATAAGCCCGGAGCGACTCCTTCGCGGCGTTCTAGTCAACGCCGTCGTCAAGACGGTGCCCCTTAGCCTTGTCTGTGCGTCGCAAGGCTGAGGCCACAAGCACCTATCGTATTATAACTATTATTATCAACATAATATTCTTTCCAAGCGCTAGGTCTTGAGTGCTTACCACCATATAAAGGCACCATACCTAGGTATATATCCTTAGATGTATACGGAATAGAAGCGAAACCACATAAGCCCGGAGCTATATACGGCACCTTTAAATAATGGTGAACTCTCAAAGACTCGGCATGTTTTAACCATGTTCTGAGGCACAATGCCGATAACCAACGTTGGAATGGTAATAAAGATGCGGTGGGCAATTTGCACGTGACCTCAGCCTTGTTATACCAGTAAGGCATAGATGGCACTACTACTAATAAGCTAGAACTGCTCTTACTAAATAGGCTCCTCCACACCGCCCACAGTCAGAGCCGTCTGGGCTGGCAGTATGTCACAGAGGGGCTGACCAGGCACGTGGTTGCATTCATGCTGACTCTGTGCGCTGTCCCGAGCCTCACGTGTTACACTCGTGAAAAATCTACTTGTACACAGCCCGATGATCAATTGCGCGGTCTAAAAGTAACCTCATATAACGGTGCACTTTAGAGGTGCCTAGATTGAGTGATGGGACGGGTCTTGTGTGCTGCTAGAAAGTGACCAATTTAGATTGGTGATTCTGGCCTCTTGGCCAGACTGGCAGAGCGTATTGCTAGCAGACACGTCACCCGTTGAAGATTGCTGACGGATAAGGGAATATTTGCTGACCGGAAGGAGCAGTTGAAGGCAGAAGCAGACACGGCTATAGCATGTGCGGCTCATGAAATGGGATTTAAAAGGTCGTCTGGATCTGGCAAAAGTGCGAGTCTGAGGTTTGTATGCGAAGTAGTGGCCGGGACCGAAGTTTATAGAAGAGTTGGGGGCTGTTTCTTTGAATAGTCCGGCCTTCCATGCATCGACCTCGGACACGCATTCCACAACCACACTGACGGGACTTCAAGATGGCTGGGTGGACTTTCGTTGACCTAGTTACGAGCCTCGTTCAGCAATGACTGGTACAGAACTTTCATCAGTCAGTCATTCCGCCAGGTCATCAAATATAACGCCTATCTTGACCAGTACAAGGCTGAGACTGCTATCATGTGGCTTTCATACCTGGGCCTCGGGCGCTTTGGAACATACTGTGACACGTTAGCTCGGAGTCAAAGTTTCCGAGACGGATCTTTATCCCAAGGAGTGAGGACAGCGTTTCCAGTGGAGCAAAAATTTGTGCAAGGTAAGAAGTTATTTAGGTGTCCGACCATGTTGAAAGCTCAGATGGTTTTCTGTCTCCACCATTGAGTCATTGCAGTCTTTCATTCCCTTTTATATATAACGTCGAGTCACCTTAAGCACAACCAGAATACTCCATATACCTTACTAGGTGGTTTCGTTCTTAATCCCCATGCATACTAAATATATATAGCGCCTTCATACAGTAGTAAACGCTCAATACCGAGCTTTTTTTTAAAAAGAAAAAAAGAAATACAGTGCCAATATTAGTGGAAAGAGACTGCAGTACGTGGGCACGTGGCTCAGCCTCGTGCCGCACAGACAGGCTGGAAGGCATCGCTCCCCACACTGGGCAGGGAAACTTGTTCTGAGAAGATGTTGAAAGTTCGAGGCGAAGACATCATTTGAGCAACGCGACGGGCAAAGACACAAGGCGAGACTTCAAGCGACATGACACTATCACGGGACTGCCCCGGTGTTAGTGGCCTTCTTCCGTGTCAGACTAGTGTACGCGTGCACCAACGCATGTTTCGATTGCTTGTATTAGGTGGGCCGAGCGAAGTCGAAGCCAACCTTGAGTTGGATGCGATACGTAGTGATGCTAGCGCCGAGCGTTCCAAGGTGTAGCCAGGCTGACGGGCTATGATTCGGCCGTGGGGGCCGCGTGCACCAACAACGGCAGTCCAACTTTTGACCAGCGGTAAGCACTTACTAATAAAGTTGATCTCCCTCCAGTGAACACCAAGTTGACTTGATTCAGCCAACCGACACAGGACAGCCATTTAATAATGAATTCAACATCAGGAATCTCGAGCAAAGACCCCATCGCGGCAGGACCGGCTGATGTGTCATCGTCGCCTAGACAAAAGGCCGAGGAAACCCAACCTATGTCGCCGACGTCGCCACAGTGTCGGGCGGGTTGGAGACCATCGCCGCTCCCTAGATGGCTACAACTACGCATCAAGGCCAGCATACCTTTCAACAGATCCCACCGGCACGGACTCGAGCATGTGGTTGTGCTACCTTTTAACAAAGTCGCCAAGCTCGATGTTCACGTCACTGAGATCGCGGCCTTGAACTTTGTACGTGCGAACACGTCAATACCCGTCCCAGAAAGTAAGCCAAGCACAACTATACTTACAGACACATACTCTTCCCTTGTCCATGCTCCTTACTCGTTATTGACAATGAATGCGAATCTACGCAGTCCTTGAAGTTTACCACGATGCCAAGCACGAAGGTTTTGCCAATATTGTCATGACCAAGATTCCTGGCAATGACCTGTCGAAAGTAATGGATAAGATGAGTGACGCGGAGCTCAAGGCGGTCGTCAAGGAGCTATCGGGGTACATCATGCAGCTTCGGCGCTTCGAAAAGGACGCCGGCGACAAGACGCCGGCGGTAGGTGGGGTAGGCGGCATCGCCGGCTTTGACACCCGCATCGCCTCGAGGCCATTTGGCCCGTTCTCCACGATAGCGGATTTTCATACCTACATACGCCGCAGGGAGCCTATCGAGCATTGGGAACATGAGCCCAGCGTGATGGCGGTCCACGGAAGGCCAGAGGGGGCGTACGAGCTCAAGCTGACACACAACGATATTGCGCCGAAAAACATCCGGGTCAAGCATGGTAAAATCACTGGGATTATTGACTGGGAGTTTGCGGGCTGGTACCCTGAGTACTGGGAGTATACTAGGCTGTTTCATCCAGGTGAACAGGAAGGCCTGAGAAGGTGGTATAATGCCATTGAAGAGGAAGACGGCATTTGTAAGTACAAGATTGAAAAGCAATCGGAGGAGGCGATTTGGGAGATGCTTGGACCTTTCGGGTTTGAATGATCCATTCTGTTGAGGCAACATGTGAGATTCACTTCTGCGTCGCGACAAATCCACCTCACCCTCTGCCATGGCAGTGTAAGTGTCACCTCCTGCACCGAAGAAGCGAAGGGCATCTAGATATCGCCAAGCAGAGATATCGTTGTATCCTTGATTCGACCATGTATATATCTCTCAATCGTGTACCCATCGTTGTGAATAAGAAACACCAAGACGTCCAGATTGTGGTGGATGCTTGTTGACATCTACAGTACTGCTGGGTCGTCACTTGGAAGCTTCCAAGGTTCTGTCTTCGATGAGGAGAATGGTCTGGGAATCGCCTGGCTTGATTCCATAGTACCTGGACGATGCTAGCAGTTTTCGCTGCGCCATGGCCGCCCCCTAGGCGGCTGGACGCATGATTCCGATGGAGAGCCAGGTGACGGGCGTGAAGATTCTGGTGTTGGGTGGCAAGGGTATTTCCTTTGCGCAGTGTGTAGTGACCGAGACCTCGTCCGTCGCGCGGTCCGGACATATCCATGCCCCTCTAATATATTATAAAGAGTCCACCGGCCTCAAGCTTCGGCAGGCTGCGGAAACATTCTGTCGGCGCGTAAGGACCCTCGGGAGCTAGGAGGGAATCTCGATCGCCGCACTGGGGAGACGGGCCCATAATATATATTATAGACTTGCCGTTAACTCCGTAGGATCGCTTATATAATACTTAAGTAGTCATGGTTACTCAATAGTGCTATTGGCAAGCCCAGACGTCGCTCTCTCGGCTGGGTCCCGCCAAGACATCCGGCAAAAGCCATGCCCATCGCTTATCTCTCTCACACACAATTACTCTCGCAAGAAGAGACCAGATCCATGGTCCCTAGTGACCTTCACACGTCAGACCGTGAAATCCTTCATTGCCCCGCATCTTACACTATGTTCCAATTGTGACCGGCCAAGACTGCGTATAGCTCGTTTCCATCCTTATCTTTACCCCAAGAAAACGGGCACCGTAATAGCATCCGCATATCGGAATTAACTATATTCATCGGCTGCCAGCGCCTTCGGTAGTCAAATGCAAGAAATGCCGGGAAAATGGCCGAGACTTTGTTTAGCATCTCTCCCCAAGCTCCGGACTTTGCGAGTGCATCCCGATTGTCGGAATGGCCGGGGTAATGCACTTGATGCTGATGCTGACACGCCAGCCAGCCACTCCATCCCGGGTGCCTTGTAATTATGTCAGTGGCTATTGATAATAAGCATATAAGATTTACCATGTCCGTTTCTTGTAGTAGGAATGTGGTCCGCCTTGCTCACACCTCCCTGGTTATCTGGGCACAGCCTCTGGCTTCACGTCGAAGTCCGTCCCTCACGAGTGAAGCACAATGTGGTCTACCCTCCTCAGCTTGGCCGCCGCTGGTCATGCTTCCGCGTCCATCGTGGACAGAGGACGGGTTGTCGAGCTTGGAGGACTGTCATACTACACTGGTGGCATCCCGATTGCCCGGGTTGATGTCAACGACACCCGAGCAGGGCTCGCCAGCATTCGCCAAGACTTGCTTCCCCTGACCGTCATCGAGACACCATCAAAGGACATCAGCGCTGAGGATATCGTCAATATCACTGCTCAGTATGATGAGCTGGACGACGTGTTCCAGCCGGCCTTCCTCCAGGCGGTGTACCTTCAAATCACTGGCGACAAAGCAGGATCTCACATTGACGCCCAGTCCATCAAATCGAGTTTAAACCACTTCGACGTTGAGCTTGTGATCACCCCTGGCACGATCACCCCAGCAATCCCAAAGGGCCCTTACTTTGTCTCGCCTTTCACCGGGGAAGTCTACAAAGCTTACAGACTCTACGGTGACGACAACCTTGCCTTTATACAAGGCGTAATCAGCGATGGGCATGGCGGCTACACGTCGCTTCCAGCTGTGACGGAGAACGTCATGGCCAAGAGTATCGCTGTGCCATCAAGGCTATACTACACGCCCACTAAGGAGCAGCCCCTTGCTGGTCTTCGCTTTGGCGTCAAGGACATCTTTCACGTAAAGGGCCTCGCCACCAGCGCCGGAAATCGAGCATATTTCTACCACTATGGTACACAGAACAACACCGCCCCGGCCGTGCAGCGCCTCATCGACCTCGGGGCCGTCCTCGTCGGCAAGATGGGCACCGTTCAGTTCGCGAACGGTGACAGACCTACTGCGGACTGGGTGGACCTCCACGCCCCCTTCAATCCTCGGGGTGACGGCTACAGCGACCCCAGTGGTTCCTCAACTGGGCCTGGCGCCGGAATGGGTGCATACGAGTGGTTGGATCTTTCCATGGGCAGTGACACTGGTGGTTCGATGCGGGGGCCCGCCGGGGCACAGGGCATTTTTGGCAACAGACCGTCGACTGGTGCTATCTCACTGGAACATGTCATTCCTCTGAGCCCTGTATCGGATACAGCTGGCATCTTTTCCCGTAGCGGAAGTCTCTGGGCACAGGCGACGAAGGCATACTACCCAAATCTGCAGTCCAACTGGACCAGCCTCCCGAGCACTCTCTACAGCTCGCCCTCTCTGTCCGACCTAGCGGCATTGGCTGAAGTGGCCCCCAGCGACACCATAACGATGGTACAAACCTTTATCCAGAAACTAGGCGACCTTCTCGGCACCGAAGCCCTCCCGGGGAACTACTCCCAGCTATGGTCCGAAACCCGCGGCGACTCCCCGGCCGTGGACGAGATGCTGAACCTGACCTACGCCGTCTTCATATCACACGACCAGTGGAAGCTCCTCGGGAAGCCCTTCTTCGACGACTACGCCGCGAGCAACGGCGGCCGGCAGCCCTACATCAACCCGGGCCCCTTGTCCCGCTGGAGGTGGGGCCAGACCTACGCCACCGACGAGGTCTACGCCGAGGCCCTGCGCAACATCTCCACCTTCAAGGAGTGGTACGAGACCGACGGCTACGGCCGCCGCGACCCGGAGTCCTGCTCCGAGAGCGTATACACGTACCTGTTCCGGACCGGGGACCCCGAGTACCGGGACGAGTACCTCGACGCGCCTACGACGCCCCCACTTGGCATGGGCGACTCGCGTGTGGCGGTCATTGCTGGGACCCCTGAGGTGGTTGTCCCGATTGGCGAGGTACCTTACAACAGCACAAAGTCCATGCATGTTGAGTATCTTCCCGTGTCGATGGCGGTGAGGGTGGCTAGGGGTTGCGACCATGTCCTTGCGAGCTTGGTGGCTAAGATGGAGGAAGAAGGGATTGTACGGCCCGTTGCTACTGGCCCGAGGTTGTATCCTTAGAATTAATACACTTCCAAATTCTTTGCCTATTCTCCGTGCCGTATCTGTTTTTTCGAGGACCGTGCGTGGGAGTACATCTAGAATGGATCCTAGTGTAATTTAATATATTATTTTTTCGCTAAATGAATTCTACTTCCACCTGCCACCTGTTAGGCTGGTAGTGATTTGAAAGGAGATAAGACGCAACACTTGTAACCACTAGTTCCTACCGATTATCTTGTATATAGAAAAGTTCCGTCAGCCAAACAAGTGGCTGTGCTTTCATGTTATCCATACTATCTTCCCGAAGTCTCTGCAACTCATCACCTATTGGTGGAGTAAGGAGTTAGGCCACAATGAGGTTTTCCAGCTGAGGAGAGAAACGCAAAACACTTACGCCGTTCCAGAAGCATCGTCCTCATCTTTCTGACATACTCTAAAGATTCTCCATCTAGTCCGGAAAGCTTTTCCTCGTCTAACTTGTAGGCGGGATCAAGGGGAACATTTCCCCGCAAAACGCAGCGAAAATGATAGAGGAGATTCTTCGCTGAGGCCCTCCACATTTGGTTCATGTAATTGCTAACCGCTGTTGTGAGAGCGAACGCATTGACCGCCTATTAATACATTAGTCTAAAGTATAGAATATAGTTGAACAAGTTCAAGGGCCGAGCTCACATCTTTAGCCTTCGAGTATTTTAGGACATATCGATATTGAGCGATGTACACACTCTCAAGGGCAACTAGCTGCACAAACACACTGAGGTAAATCTCGTACCATCTCACTTCTTCCTTCGGCTGAAATATCTGTCTTTTGAGATATTTCGACACCTTTTTCATGAGGGCTTTCATGTGATGTATATAGAGTGTGTCTAGTTGGTAGTCCAGTACTGATGGAACTGGACTTTTCCCATGAATTGGGAAGTTCGGGTTATTGACGCATACACCCAGCCTATCTGCGCCCACCATCAGGGGCTGCTTGAAGTTGATGTAGATGCACACGAGAAGTTCAAGTGATGTATCGACAGCAGAGCCCTGATAAAAAGTGAGCAGGTCAGCTGAGTAGCCATGACGTGTTCATGAAAGACCGGAGCAAGTGACCTTGTTCAAATTGGCGAAGCGTTGTGCTTCAACGATGCCTTTGCGATATATTTCATCATTGAGTGCATCAAGGATGTCGTTGATGGCGAAAGGGCGGATATCGTGAATGTAGCTTATCAAGGCCGTCTTTGTCTTCGGGGAGCTTATGTTCCACTGTGCCACCTCGAGTAAGCTACCAAGCATCGTGTCCGTCTGAATTAATTAGGGCAAATCCTGGCTTGACTTACACAGGCAAACGGGGGAGACTCCACCAAAATAACTTCGCCCGTGGCGGACTCGTACGGCTCAACGAGGACGTCCTCCTTTTTAGGAAGGAATTGTCGACAGGCGAGCTCGAGACTGGGCAATGATGCAGTGTCCACATCCTTGAAATCCTGGGTGATATGAATTATCCGTGTCTTTGAATAGTCGAGGGACCACCGCGGGTCAGAGAAGACAGAGTTCTTGACTCCAGCACGAGAATTTCCGGTTCTGAAACAAACGACATCAAGCAGGTCTAATATTTGGCACGGCTGCTTGAATATGACTTTGCTTTCCTCTTTACAGTTGGCAACCTCCAAACAACGGCTACAAGGTTGTTCACGATTGCACTGCAGCATGTCTCAGTAGGCGCAGGATGGTAAGAATGCCAGTGTTGCGTATGAGAACATAAATCAAAAGCTTACCTTTTCTTTGTAGATCCGACACCTCAAGCACGAAGTCTTCTTGCGGGTTTGATTGACTTGTTCCCTGTCCTGTCCATCATTGGCCTTCCGCTTTCTGTTTCCTTGTGTGACCGTCTCATTCGGCCGATCGATTGATTCAAAGGCGGGCTGAATGGGCGTTTCGGCATCTAGGATCGGCTCAAACTGACAACCGGAGTAATATGCCAGATCCGCCAAATATTGCCCACTGGAAGGAAGCGCATTGGGGAAAGGGACCGATTGTAAATGCGAGGTCGGGAAGGTTGGTATCTCAGGGCCACGTTGAAGTGATTGCAATCGATGTGGCGGAAGAGAATTGACAAGCAAGCCGTGATTGCTGGACTGGATCGCCACCTGGAGGCTTGCTTCCTGAGAAATATTGGCTGTGACAGGTCTAACATCTATGTTATCTCTGACCTCAGTGTGCAAGACAGCGTCTGACGGACGGTTGCCAGTGTAAGGCGAGAATAGACCGTGATGTGTTTGCGGGTCATCCGAAGCAGGTGCTGACCAGACAGAGCCACGTCGAGACGAGCCTGCCTCAGTGCCAGAATGCGTCGGCGTGAATAGCTGGGTTCCTGATGACGATGATGGTGTGGGATACCGGCTGGAATCCAGACTGTGGTCCAAACCTTGCCGCATAATGCTGGTGGTCAAAGGAACGGTGAGTAGAGTGTTTTCAGAGCCAATGTGGCTGTAAGTGGAGCTCGAGTCGGCCGGACAAGGTGCGCTTGTACGAGAGTTTGTGAATTGCTCTGAGGGAGGGCCAACATTGAGAGCAGCGGCTTGGTACTGTATAGGGTCTTGAGCCGATTCTCCTCCCAACCGCCGTTGTGCCTCATGAGCGTGTTCCGCGGTGGTGGGCTGTGCTGCATGGCACAACAAGGAGGTGTCGTCAGCATTCTTACAGACTTGATGATACAAGTTTTCGGAGTCTTGTTCCTGAAATTCGAATGATTTCTTCAAGTTTGTAGACGTAGGCACCAAGTCTGTTGACATATCTTGGGACACCTCGGTATCTGTTCCATTTGATCCATATCGCGGTACGGTGTCTCGGTAGGCCGTCTCGAACATTTGCTCGAAGTCTACCTAGGTATCTGCTCCACGGCCCATGGGAAGTCGGGATACTGTTCATACAGCGGGGCCATGGGGTTCGATGTGCCATCTTCGTGGGCAGTTCGCTGACCTGACTGTGCATCTGCTTCCATCCTGATCCGATAGCCTGGTGTTGGTGTGGTGAGCCGGTGGTTGCATACGTGAGACTGAGTTGCTCAAGTGCATCCAGTGACAATATCCAGGGAGCATCCCTTGAGATCCCATCTCTAAGCTCTTGTCAAGGATTGGTGCGGGGGTCACGCAGCTGACAGCACTTGGGGGGTGTCTCACCTGAGAACAGACGTCGACCGGCAATATTTTGGGCGCTGCAGAATCGGGCACAACTGGCGCATGCAATCTCCATGATTCGCTTGGCACCTTGGTGGCGCCAACCGGCAAGAATTTGGTCTCTGCAGCTGTTGTGCTGATCCAGCCAATTTGTGCTACGGGAAGGAGCCAACGTCCACTCACCCAGCAATTGTGTCCACTTACCTAGTTCCCGCCAACCGCTTACTTAATACTAATTTTTCTAAGTAACCCCCTTACATTTATAAGTACCTTCTAAGTTAGCATTCAGAGACCCTATAGTATGATTTCCTTCTTTAATTTTTAATACTTTTAGTATAAGCCCCTTCTAGTAGGCACCTCTTTTAACACCCCTTCTAGGCCTTCTAACCTACACACATTTAGGTACTAACTAAGAATTTAGATATTAACTGAGTATTTAGATATTAACTGAATGCTAGAAGGTTAGAAGCTAAGAAGGTAAAGGTAAAGACCACGCGCTTTCTAGCCTTCTGGCACTCCTTAGTGTAGCACGGTACGGTTGGGCATAAAGCAATGTATTGGTGGGTTAGTTGTCTAAGAGAGGAAGGTCTGCCTGCGCAGGGCGTGGGCAGAAGGTTAGGTAAGCTGACCCTTCCTGCTTATGTAAGCTAACTATCAGACTGGCACACCCCCTACGGTCTGCACCACTCCTTCTAGCCCTTTAGCCCTCTAGACTTCTAGCCTTTAAGCCCTTTAGACTTCTAGCCTTCTAGTGTTTAGTTGGCATCTAAATGCTTAGTTGGTACTTAAATGTGTGTAGGCTAGAAGGCCTAGAAGGGGTGCTAGAAGGGGTGCTAGAAAGGGTGCTAGAAGAGGTTTAGAAGGGGTTTAGAAGGGGTGTTAAAAGCGATTAAGAAGGGGTCTAAAAGGGGCTTATACTTAAAGTATTAAAAATTTAGAGAACCCTAGTTAGGTATATAGTTTTATATAGGTTCTATATATAAATTCTTATATTGGGTGAGTGGTTGAAAAAAACTGGGTGAGTGGATAGAATTGCTGGGTGAGTGGACGTTGGCTCTACGGGAAGGCGGGGGCTGGCCCTCCACGCACCCTCTTTGTCACGCGCCCAATTAAGAGTCGCAAAGTCTCGCCCCGGTCGACCGGCGATTTTGAAGTGCGTGCATCTTGAGAGCCTGATTGACGTCTCGTTTGTTTGACTCCACGTCGAAACCCCCAGAGCCTCCTCCGCTACCTTGTATTGCAACAGCAAGCGAACGAAGGAGTGCCGCTGCTTCATAAGTCATAAAAGACCACAAGACCTGTTGACTCTGTTCCAACGAAACAAGAAAAACGCCTCCCTCCATCATCCACTCTTTCGCATGTCCACTGCAATCATGAGCCTTCCCCTTATTCCATTTGGGGCTTTGCGCCTCGCCTCCCCCGGTGATCTACTTCGTATTGGCATTGTCGCGGCCGCAGGCTTTCGATACTCTCCTGTATTTGATTGGGAACGACCGTACCATGAAGAGTACCCAGGTGACACCCTGCTTTCCTATCGACAGGAATTCTCTTCTGTTATGAAAGACGAGAACTACGCGGTTCTTGTCGCAGTGGATCACTTCGATCCTATGGAGCATGAGAAGACGAAGGCCATCATCCCGCAGGATAACGGATGGGATGCCCCTGCAGCCGGTGAAGAAGTCGTTGTAGGCGTCGGCTGCTGGAAGCTCGAGCCAGGTTCCAAACGTATTGGCGAGTTTCAGAATGACACAGGTAGCAAACCTCCCGATGTGTCCCACTCATCGCTAGGCATTTTTTTAACTCTTGGCATACAGGCCCTTATCCGTCACTACCACCAAACCAAAATCAAGACCAGGAGCAAAAGCATGGCGAATTGTTTGGCGACCGCATGGGACCTATCGAGAAAAGGTATCTCTGCCTCCTCTCAACTTACCCGCACATGGCTCACAAGCCTCTACAGATACTTTCACGGATATTCTACTATGGATATGCTTGTTGTACACCCAGCGTATTGGCGGAGGGGTCACGGTACCACCTTGGGGAAATGGGGCCTCGACCTCGCTCGTATTGATGGTGTGAAGCAAGGAGTAATGGCTGCGAGCTCGGGCAAAAAGCTCTACACCTCCATGGGTTACACCAATTTAGAGGATGTGCACATTGATGGAGACGAAATCACCCCAGACGGTGTCACTATCTCCGCAATGGTGTTCGAGCCGGGGAATGGTGAGGGTAGTGCCCACGGTGAAACAGCTCAGATTGGTTCAGCTGAGCTGTGATTATGGTGGACTTACTCAGAGCACCACGGATTGTGAAATCAAATTGTCAGATCGGAGAGTGCCAAGTAGAATCGCTTGTCTTGTGAATCGATATATGACCGTGCCTCCTGGCTCGTAGCCTCGTCCCCTTAACAGAAGGATCCCTGGATATAAAATATATTATTTAATAAATGAAAAATATAAAATAACTTTCTTAAAATAATATATTTAATTAAAAAAGTTAAATAAAAACTTTTAATTAATTATAATTTAAAAAACTATTTTACTTATTTTTTATTTATATTTTTATAATTATATTTTTTTATAATTATATTTATATAATAAATATAGTGAAATATATTAATTTTTAAAATGAAATTTAATTATTTTATCTAATATATTAATATATAAACTAAACTTATAAAGTTAATATATTAAATCTATACTCTATCGGGACTACGTGCTCTTCTAATCCACCTGTGACCACGATTGCTTTAGCATCCAGCTTCACGGTAATTTTCCATCTCCTCCATGATTCTCTCGTCGTCAACAGGTAGATAGAGCTGTCTCTGGCTGTCTCCGTTGAACCGCCGAATAAGCCACTTCTTGTGAGACTTGCCATCCTCCCACTCATTGGGGACCCAACCTGCGAAGTCTGCCCAGAGATAGACCTTCCAAAATATGGCGATGGGGTTCTCGGGCAGCGATGGATAGGAAGAAGCTTGGTTGACGATGGCATGGTTGTAGTCAATCAGTACGACGCGTGGTAGAGGCAGTCCGCCTGAAGTCACCGATGTCTGGGAGATCTTCTGATCGTCTTGCACAAGTACAACGTTGCGCCCGGCGAAATCGAACTGATTGACTCCGAATTGCAACTGCCTGACGAAGGCGTCCATAGCATGTGCTAATATTCCCAGTCTATACTCTTCGGGGTAATGGAAGGAGTCTCCTTCCCGTATGTTTGGATTATTTCGAATGCGAGTATCTCGGATTGTGCTTCCATTCAGCTTTTCCATCAATATCAATCGAACTGGTCTACTACATGACTTGCTGTCGACGGTAATGGGTGGGTGAAATGTCCAGGACCCATAGTACGCTGGAGCAGACGAGCCTGCTTGTCCAGTCTCGTGAAGCTGGTTATAAGCTGATGCTTCGTTGCTGTAATCTTGGTCGGCATCATACACAACGTCTCGCGGCTCGTGGGTAGGCTTGGGGTTGTAGTATAGTGGATCGTAGATCTTGGCAGTGGCCTCGTAAGGGCTGCTGCCCGATTTGGGATGAATTATACAGCTGACAATCTGAGCACCGCGGATCGCCCCGATACAGATGGGGGAGGTAACTACCAACCGCGCCGTCTCGGGTCGGGTGGGTGGGTCGGTCTCGATAGGGGGGTTGTCCACAACGGCCTTGCTCTGCGGAGTGCTGCGAAGGTAATCTTCAGACACTGGAGGGCGCGGCTCCAAGTTGTTCCGAAGACTTTCGATGAAAGGTGGTGGTGGTACGTGGCGATCGATGTCCAGGGCAAGGCCCGGAATATATGGGAGACTCGGCTTATCTGGATCGTCGGGAGGGGACCAGGGCTGTAACGGCGCCGACGGCCTCGGCCGATTGAGAATGTCGATCAGCCAGGCTGGCTGTGGTTGATCCAGCTTATTGATCTCCCAGGTGCCGTGCGATGATCCTTCAGACATAGTAATATCCGCGTTGTGCAAGCAGCAGCGATGGTTGATTTGAGTGGCAGCGAGTTGACTCAAGTTAGATGTCTGGTGAGGGGATGTGAACAAGGGGTCAAGCATCAGGGCAACGGGAGTGGCTTGATTGAATATGGACCCGGGAATTCATCGTGACGAGGATGGGTGGCCTCCTGATGTAAGTTGAGCTAGGAGGGAGGTAAGTCCTGAGGCCAGAAGGCCGTGTTGGTAGGCGTGTTTGCCGTCACGGTGGATACCAGGACAAACCGGTGGGGTAATTATCCTACTACAGGCCACCACAGTAAGATCCACAACAACGCCACGGCCTGGAATTTAAAGATGCAAAGTCTCACCTTTACATGGGTCCCAAGAGCAGAGACCCTAGGATATGAAAGTTTTCCATCCTCCCATGGGTCTTGTGATAGGATGAAGGTGTGACCAGGCGCGCAACAACGGTAACATCGGTCAACGTCGGCCTTGAATTTATTTGCTGTCATCTGGATGGGACTTTTCATGAGGTCTACGGTTATCCCCAGGAGCGTCGTGCTCTTTGTTTTCCCCTTCTTTCTTTTAATATATCAAAGTCAAATGGAGATGAGGATCCCGCGCAGGAATTTGACCTCCTCGCTGTCATTAGTTATCATCATGAGTGGTGACTGCTCACATGTGCAGCTTTTAGCTGGACACTGCCAGTAATGTTTGCCTGCTAGTGTCCATCGAAAGCCATTCGGGGTTCGTAACATTTGTATTCACCAATGTAAATATTACGGATCAATCTCAAACGTCATTCTATCACGTGGCCATTCGCTAAATGACTGCTTGTTGCAAATTCTCAGGGTTAGCTCGACTTCGACATGATCATGAAAAAGGCTCTTTCTGCTTCAGCGGCTTCACGGGCCCAAATTTTCATCCACGCGTTCTTGCGGTCTTCAGTTAGACCGTTCCATATTACAGGGGACAGGAAAGTCTCCTTGAGCTTGAACAGACAAAATGAGAGCACGAAATTGCTGTACTGGCCCGGCTGACCGTCTCTTCCTCCATAGCGAGCCTGCAGGTCCATTGACGCCAATGTCAAATCGTTATACCCTGGAACCTTTGAGAACAGGGCTGCAGCAGTCATGGGACTCGTGGAGGGTGCTAGGTTGCGAAGAGTGTCCCCGTAGTCTTCTTTGGTGTCAGTTGTAAAGCCGTCCTCGTCGGAATACTCTCTTGGCGTGATCGGATCGATGTACGCACCAGTAGCCATGTCTTGCGGAAGCATGTCCTCAGGAGGGTCGCCCAGCCGTTTATTCTGAGGCCGCAGGGCATCGGGATAGTGTTTGACGATCACGCCAGAGTCCTGCTCGGCGTCCTCGGCCATGTCATCAGTCCCCTCGTCGGACGACGGGCCCAAATCGGCCAGGGCGTCGAGGAATGCATCACACTTCCTCTTCTCATTCGCCATCCTTATCTCAATCTCCTCTCTCGTCCACTTCTTCTCCGGGAATATCCGGGTAAACTCCTCGATGAGCTTCTCCCAGACGGAGCCCGACTGCCGCGAGTTCGGTCTGAGCAGACCTTTCGACTTGCATAGCTCTATGGTCTCCACCCATACCTGGGTTTCCTCCGGCTCGAACCTCAGCATACTCTTCCTGCGGCGGGCCAGCCACTCCGAGATCGTTGTGCGCGGTCGCTTTGCTGGTGAGGGCTGCTCCCCGCCTGACGCCGGTGTCTTCCTCTTGCGCGTCGCCGGCTGCGTTGGCGCCCTCGCGTCCTCCTTCTTGGAAGTAAAGAGCAGCCTGCAAACAGAGTCATCGTCACCAGGAAGGCCATAAGACTGGCTGTGACGGCTGTTGGCTTGCATTTTGGAAGCTTCAGATGTCATGTGTAACAAAGCGGGTTGAGACTCAACCCGTTTAACCAAGTCGACAGTACAATTTGATGTTTGCGTGGTTATCGGGAAACATTGCAAGGTTGCGACGCGTCCACTTCTCGCCAGGAGGTATGTACGCGACGTCGGACCCCTGCATTCTCTCTCCCCTTCCACACAAGCGGCTTGGCACGCGTACTCGTTAAAAGTATATTACAGTAAGGCGAGCGGCCGCACTGACGCACGCGCGTGAACTGGATTGTTATTTTTGAGGAATGAAACTCTGCCTGTCTACCATGCGACTTCAGGGGTTTCGGCTCATTGATCAAATAATTTGAGAGATCAATGTAGATCTGAAAATGCAGGGGACAAATAGTAATAATTGAACACGCGTTGACCGCACCCATCAAATCCAAGATGCCATCGACCTCAGAGCTCACCCAGCCCGGCCGAGTTGGCGGCCAGGAGGCCCGGGGGGGGGGGGGTTATTCCGGAATACCCCAGACGACCGAATTGCAAGTCCCACGCGTCCCACAGGGGGCTCATGGGCAGCGACGGAAGCAGCCTCGCCGGGCGGACGGAGGGGGTCCTGGGTGGGGTTTGAAGGACATGTAACATGGCGATGCTTCTTAGGCTGCGAGACCCCTCGTGTTGGACCGCTGGCTCCAAATGCAGGAGGTTCCCGGTGGTGTGATGGATTGTGACCAATAACTGGTAGATCTAGACTTACCGATGCTGGTAAATAGGACAAGGGAGAAAAAGGCACTCCATCAAACAGGCCTCCTTCGGTAGCCAGCCCCCTTGAAGCCCGTAAGATAGTGTCCGGGCGGGAGATTTATGTATACTGCTGATATGTTGTTTTCGAGGAGGCAGGCTTCATGTGAATTTGAGAATAAGCATCAGTTGCCTGTATGATACCTCATGATTGACGTAGCTGAGCCGGAAAAAGCCCGCCATGTAAGGTGTCTTTATCTAGGGTACTACTCAAAACGTTCCGAGCCCTTCAAAACAAATTGTAAGTGGTATCCAGGTCAGGCAACGAGTATCCAGATTTCACACCCCCCAATTAGCAACATGTTCATCCACATCACGTTTTCCAAGATTAAACGCACAAACCACATTTCACTAACATACCAGATCAACCCAAAGCCAAAAGCCAAAAAAAAAAAGGCAACGAATCTTTTTGAATTTGCCAAACGAGACAAGAGAAGAGGTATCTGATCTGCTCTGAATCTGCAAAACCCCGATGAACAAGCGAATAACTAAGTACTAAGAAGAAGACATTACTTCATTGGATGGAGCCCTCCCGTGTGAGAAGAAAAAAAGCCCAGATCCCCTCCCGTTCCCTCATCCAACGCCGGCCCGCCAGAGACTCGATCAAGACAGCAAGCAACAACAGCGGCGCAAGGACAAGCAAGGGTGCTGGATGCGGTGTGTGGGTTGTGTATAAGAAAAGCAACGGCCAAGCTCATCAAGATGTGTATAATCCGTCCTGTCCTGTCCTGAACGCCGTACTTTGTGGTGCGCACGATAAAGCAGGTTGGGTTGGGGGGATGTTGTCCGGGGGGGGGGGGTCAGAGGGATATCGCAAGGGGGTTTGTTTGGTTTGGGTGGGGTATTCCGTTGGGCTCCGTTTCGTTCATTGCAAGTTCCGTCCATCTTCCGCCGTGAGGATTCCAACAATAATCCCCGTGCACCGTGCCCTGAGCATCATACAGACACCCGTCCACCTTTTTTTTCTCTCTGTCAGATGGAAAAACCGTGAGACTTCGACGTGCGGGCAGACCGGCTCGTGCCGTCCCGGCCTCACTTTTGGATCCGCGCCTGTGCCTCTCACCCGCCCGGCTCTCATTTGCCCCGCATGGACTGGACCCGCTGGGTCGCCGCCACTGACCACAAGCCCGCCCGGACAGCCCAGGCCTCGGAGGCCACCAGTCGAGGGGCAGGCATGAGTGGCGGCTATCGAAAGACAACTGTTTCGTACACGATGTAGTCCGCCTACTCCTTCATCTTGACGTAGTTGCTGGGAAACGTGCCGCTTTTCGTGCCAATCATGCCGGTCCTATGACGAAAAAGTCAGTCAGTCAGTTCCTCGAACCCCCAAAACCACACCCATCAAACAAAGCCCCGAGGCAGGTAAAAAGAAAACACACAAGACATACCACCAGTCATTATCACTGTCCGTCTTCTTCAGCACGGTGATGACATCCCCCTTCTTAAAGCCCAGATCCCCAGGCTGCTCCGCCTCAAACGTGTACAGCGCGACGGCCTCGTTCTTCTTCATGAGCGCCTGCTTGCTCGTGAAGTTGGGCTTGGGCGCCGCCGGCCGACCCGGTCCGACCTTCCTGTCCTCGGGGTACCCGGACTGCTGGCCCGTGTACTCGCGCGGCACCGTGACGTCCTGCAGGGTGTTGGACCTCGAGCCGGCGCCGAACTGCCGCGGGCTGTCGTAGACGTCGTCCTGCCACGTCGCCGCGCGCTTGGGCGCGCCGAACGAGTCCCTGCTGTTCGAGGCCGCCGCGCCCGTCCCCGCGCCGTACATGCTGTGCCTGGTGGTGCTGTTGTTGTTGGGCTGGCCCTCGCCGTACGCGCTTCCCCGCTGGCCGTTCCACACGACGTCGTCGTGGCGGTCGTCGTACACGGGGCTCTCGTTGTACATGCCGTCGTCGAAGCTCCCCGAGCGGGTCCCCGCGAAGGCGCGCGAGTTGAGGATGTTGAACAGGGGCCCCGCCTGGGGCGGGGGCCGCTCGGCGCCGCCGAGCAGCTCCTTGGCGGAGACGGGGCGGCCGTAGAGCTTGGCGTTGGCGTCCTTGCGCTCTATGATGGCGGAGCCCTCGAGGCTGACTCCCGCGAAGAGGCCCTTTGTCTTGCTGTAGCTGAAGATGCCGGCCACGGACCGCAGGGAGGCGGCGCCGGCGGCCTCTGCGTTGCGGCCGACGGGCCCCGCGGCTATGGAGACGTTGCCGCCGAGGGTGAGGGAGCCGGCCTGGGAGAAGGTCTTGACGGCGGAGGCGTCGTTGAGGATGAAGACGAAGTCGGTCAGCTCGAAGCCGATCTGGCCGCCGAAGCCGGCGCCGCCGGTGGCGATGGCGGAGGGGGCGGACCAGGAGCCGTCGGGGAGGCGGGCGACGACGAGGCCGGAGCCGAAGCGGGCGGAGCCGAGGAAGCCGGCTTTTATGACTGTGAGGATTGCGAGGCCCTGTAGGGAAGTAGGAGGAGGTGTCAGCAGTGTGTTTTCTCGTGGGTTCTTTTCTGGAGGGGGGCTTCTTGCTGCTTGCCTTTGCTGAGGCCAGGACGGCGGGTGGGATGACCTTGTCCGGGCCAAACGCCTGGCGTGGGTCGATGAAGGACGCCAGGATCTTTCCACACTTCTTGCACTCCGCTGTTTTTTATTTTCTGTCAGTGGAATTGCTTTCTTCGCAAAATTCCCATCCCCCGATTGTCTTGTTCCTCGCAGCGTGGAAGCTGTCGTGGTTGCGCAGCCCGGAAGGCCGGCACGGGCGAGGCTTGGGAGGGCGACGCGAGTGCGGGGGATGTCGGGCAAGGTGGGACTTACACGCCATGGACGACGGGAGTGGGTTGTTGATACCCATCTTTGCGATGCTGGTATCTGAAGGGGAGGTGTTAGGAGGGAGGGAGGGAGTGATTGGAGGAGGAGGAGGAGGAGGAGCAGTAGTAGGTAGGAGGTTCGGATGGGAGGGAGAGAAGGAAGGTAAGGTAAGGTATGGATCGCAAAGAAAGATACGACATGTGTGTTGGGTCGGGGAACTGTTGTAAATGGGCATGCGGCGGTAGGGATGGGAAAGGCGGAGTGCAGCCCCAAGGGACAGGGATTGTTTTGGAGAATGGGCGGCTGCCCAGGGCCTCCCGAGGGGCGCAGCTGCAGCTGACGATGATGATGCCCGCTGGCAGGCTGGCAGGCTGGCAGACTGTGTGGGGTACGTACTCGGTCCCTCCTCAGCTGCTCTGCTCCTCCCCAGGCCTGCCTGCTGATGCTGCTGCACCCCTACAACGGCATTCAGACTCAACTAAGTTTCGGCTTGTACTACCGAAAAGTGCAACTCCATCAGCACCTTTCAGCCGGTATTCAGGTTGCACAGGTCACGGGCAGATCCTCTACTAGCATAGTGTACTGTAGTGTACGTTATTTCGAAGTCAACTCACCTACAACGGCCTCCCATCGCCACAGAACGCGCAATCGCCCCCTCTCATTAGACTCTTCTGGCAGGGCTGTGCATTCAGGCCCAGCTTTGATGTACCAGTGTACCTAGGCAGGCTGCCAGGCTGCCTGCACAGCTCCGTGTCCCTAGCGGTCCTGTCCTCGGCTGCCAAGCTCCCCTTCGTCACTGGGCGCGGGCCACTGCATCTCCCAGCCAGATCGCCCTCTAGCGCCGCCGTACATCAGCAGTCCCCTCTGCTCCCCCCACGTGCCGTCACTCACCCCTTCCGTTTACATACCACATGGCCCGTGCACCGTACCGCACCCTTGGACCGTATCAGTTGGCGAGTCCTCCCCAGCCGCAGTCCGGGTTTCAACTTCAGCATTCAATCAAGTCCCGTCACATCACATCACACCAACCCGGCCGCCTCCCTGCCTGCTTTCATTGCACCTGCGACCAGACCACCACAACGAACCCGACAACCACGAGAGCCACTGGCGTAAACAACATCGCGATCACCGATAACCCGAATCAATTGAACGAACCCTCGATATACCCACACCCGTCCACCTCAGCGACGCCGACCGATCACAATCCACCCGCCTCGACCAGCGAGCACGGAAAGCCGAAAGGTGGGGGGCGAAACAACTCCTTCTATCCATCTGCCAGCCCATACCGGGTCCGACACCCCCCAGAAACAACCCAGCCAGCCCAGCCCACCATGTCCGAGGCCTACGAGCGCGAGCGCCAGAACAACTCCCGCCTGGACGAGCTGTCCGCAAAGGTGAGCGCCCTGCGCGGCGTGACAATCGACATCTACGACAACGCGCGCGCCCAGGATGTCATCGACAACACCGTATGTCCGCGTCCCTGTCCCCCCGCCCCCTTGTGTGTTCCGAAAACAAAGGCCCCCCCCCCTCCTACACAGAAAAAAAGATCATGTGAGAACAGAGAGAGAGAGAGAGAGAGGAAGAACCTCTGCTAACACAAACACCCCCCCCCCCACCCAGTCCGACACCTTCTCCACGATGCGCACCCAGCTGACGGGCTCCGCCGGCCGCCTGGGCCGCATGGCCGCCGCGGGGAACAAGGTCGCCATCCTCAAGCTGTCCGCCATCCTCGTCGGCGCCGTGCTGGTGCTGTACTACGGCTGGAAGCTGTTCCTGTAGCGCTGCGCTGGGGTGTGCGGATGACCCTGTCTGTCAGGGGTGAAGGGAGGGTCTTCATTGAAGCCCCAGGGAGAAACTGTTTTAATCTGAGGTTAGGAGGCTGGCCTGCGGAAGCCGGGGGGTCGCGGACCACTGGGAGGTAAGGCGGGTTATCTGCCAAGAGGAAGGCTTTGTGTCTTGTCTCACGGGATGGGATGTTGGATGGTTATCTTGTGCTAGCATACACATACATGTATACAACGAGTGGGTGGGGGTACGAGGGCAGGCATAGCAACAGGCGTTTTATGGTCACTTTGAACAGCGGGCTCTGTACATATATTTCGATAACGGGAAAGGCAAAGCAGGGGGGGGGGGGGGCGAAGGTCTCGGGGAGGTACTGTCTGAATAATGATCCGTCCGTTTATGTATCGATTGCGTCTCGGCCGGCCATCCTCGTCACTCCCGCAATGCACACCGCCCACGCACATCGTACCGCAACACCATTGCCATCGTACTATCACACCATGCTGCCCCCTCTCTCTCTATCTCTCTCTCCCCTACGCTCGCAGCACCACAAAAATACTCCGCAGGGCCACTGCGACCACAGCCCATCCATCTCTGGCCATTCCAGGCCCCTCGCTCATCCACCCGCGCTCCCTTCCGTCCGGGCCCCAACCACACCCCCCAACACGACAGGCGAAACCCCTACTCCCAAACATTCGAAAACAGATCCTCGCTCCCCTTCCCCGCCCCGGAGGAAACACCAGCCGGCGCGACCGTGCTGCTCGCCCACCCGCCAAACTCCTCGTCCGCCGACACCTTGGGCTGCTGCTGCTGCTGCTGCTGCGCGACCAGCCCGCCCGACGCCCCCGGCACGATCGTCGTGTTAGCAAACGACCCGCCCATCGCCATCGACCCGCCGCCCGTGCTGCTCCCCCACGCGCCAAAGTCGTTGGACGGCGGTGGCGGGCTCGTCACGGGCTTGCTCGGCGCCGGCGCCGGGTCCGCCCACGCGTTGCCGCCCCACACGTCTGCGCCCGAGAACCCGCCTCCGGCACCGCTGCCGGCGAGCGGGTTGTTCGCCGCCGCGGGGGCGGGCGGTGACTTGGGCTGCTGGGAGAGGTTGAACACCGACGGGCTGGGCGCGGCTGCCGCCGGCGATGGGGCCGCGGCCGGGGCGGGGGAGGAGAAGTCGAAGAGGTCGTTCATCGCGGAGGATGCTGGGGCTGCTGGCCTTGGCGGGCCCGCGGCCGCCGGGGAGGAGAAGTCGCCGAAGCCGCCGAAGCCGCCGAAGCCGCTGCTGGCCGCCGCGGGCTTGCTGGGTGCCGCCGCGGGCTTGGAGTCGAAGAAGCCCCCGCCGCTGAGGCCGGAGAAGGCGGACGACGACGGCTGCTGCTGCTGGTGCTGGGGTGCGGGCGTCGACCTGTTGCTCGACACGGGGTTCAGGTTGGAGAAGGCCGAGTTCTGGGGGCTCCTGGGGCTCGAGAGGTTGGAGAAGCTCAGGTTGCTGAACGCGTCGTTCAGCCCCCCTCCCCCGGCCGGCTGGCTGATCTGCTGGGCCATCTGCGGCGGTGCGGTGGGCGACGCCATGTTGCCGAAGGAGCCAGAGTGCGAGTGGCCGTGGGACGGCTGCTGCGGCCTGGGGGCCGTGGCGTAGAGGGAGAGGATGGACTGCTTCAGGTCGGGCCGCGACTGGCCGCCCACCCCGCCGGACCCCGTGGTGCTGGCAGGTCGGGGGGGCGGCGACGGCTCGGAGCCCAGGAAGTCCAGCCCGAGCAGCGAGTTGTTGGCGCTCGTCGACTTTGGCGGCGCGGGCTCGGCCTTGGGCGGCACCTTTGTGGCAACGGGGCCAGCAGTGCTGGCGCGAGGGATGGGGTCGTCACCGCCGATTAGGTCGACTTGTGGGGCGGGTTGGGCAATTGCCGAGGGCTGGCCCGGGTGTGTCTTCAGGGACCGCGTCCTCTCGATGGTCTGCTTCTCCTTGACGATGCTGAGCGGCACGTCATCGTCGGCGTCGGCCCCCAGCGTGGAGGGGTCGGGCATCGGCCCGTCCATGACCCATCTCTTGAGCTCGTATTTGGTCCGTATAAAGTTCTCGATCTTGGCCTCGGAGGGCACGTGGCCGGGTGCCAGCTTCGCCTCCCAGTACTTGTTGGCTCGTGCATTGCCCCAGTTCAGGACGCTCTGGAGTTGCTCGTCGGTCCAGGAGTCGAGGTCGACGGACTTGACCTTGCTGATGTGGACTCCCATACTACGGTGAATGCCAGAGCAGCGGATGCAGATGAAGACGCCCAGGTTCCAACTTGCCCATCGAGGATCTGTGAAACGGCGGTGTCAGCGAGGCGGGCGTCACCAGCGTGGTTGCGCTGGGCATGGGAGGTAATGGGCGACGTACGCTTGTTCCTCTTGCAGTCCGAGCACATCTTGTTGGGCTCCAGCTTCAACAGCGACTTGATGGTCGCCTGGTTCTTTGCTGCCCGCTCGGCGGCAGGGTTGGGCGGTCGCCTCGACATGGTTGCTTGCTTGTTGTGCACGAATGAACTCGACAGATCCCAAGTATGCCGGAGATATCGAATTGGGAGCGATGGTCGGGTCGGTCCGGTTTGGCAGGGGCTCGTCGAGGCTAGCTTGCGAGGCCGACTTTGGAAGTGAGGTTGGGATAAAGGGAGTTGGAGTTGGAGTTGCTGAGATGTCTGCCTGTCTGTACAGAGTACAGATAGTCTTTCTGCTGGGCGCAGTCAGTCTGCTAGGCAGGGCCGAATGCGCTACGGATTGAGTTATGGGCAGGCATTGGTCTGGCTGGAACCCGCTACGGGAAAAGCTTGCAGGGTTCCTGGATAACCGCCCGAGTCCCGCTTTGGGCGCCGATTGAGCTGATTGACAGTCTGGCGGGGGTGTCTGACAGAGGGAGCTGTGGGGTCGGGTCCCAGACATGCGAGTACCCAGGTACTTCAGTCAGGTACGTACCGAGATACCCATGCGCGGTGTAACGGAACTGCCGCTCTTACGTTACGACGGAACCGTTCCAGATCTCTGACGTCGCCACTCTCGGACCCCGGACCGGCTGTCGTCGATATCATTCAGCTGCACGCACACTAGATCACTCATCATCTAAGCCTCACATTATTTGTAAGTTGTGAGCAGGATCCATATTCCAAATTCCCCTCTCCCACATACCAGACGTGTGCATTCCAACACTATATAGACAACCATCTCACCACTCAACAATCTTCTCTGCACATTTCCGAGTCCATGCGCTTCTACTTTTCGAGTGTACTGCGAACCCTGTACACTCTCTCAAATCTCACTCGAACCAGAGCCTCACAGCCAGGTCTACTTCTGAACTCATCGCCTCACCGCGCCAGCTCACTCAGATCCATGCCCATCCCACTGATCGGCGGTCTCTTCAGCTCCAAGGCCAGCAGCGACCCCAGCAGCATGTCGTACCCCGTCCAGAAGACCGACGACGAGTGGCGAGCCGTGCTGAACAAAGGTACTTGCCTACTTCATCATCCATACACACCCCAGTTCCCTAAACAGTCTAACACACACCCGCCAGAACAATTCCGGATCCTCCGCGAGAAGGGCACCGAGCCCCCCGGCACGGGCAAGTTCGACAAGCACAAGCCCTCGTCGGGCGTGTACACGTGCGCGGGGTGCGACGCGCCCCTGTACAAGGCGTCGCACAAGTTCAACAGCGGCTGCGGCTGGCCCGCCTACTTTGACAGCATCCCCGGCGCCGTCAAGCGCTTCGAGGACAACTCCATGTTCATGAAGCGCATCGAGATCGTCTGCTCGAACTGCGGGGGGCACCTCGGCCACGTCTTCCAGGGCGAGGGCTTCCCCACCCCGACCGACGAGCGCCACTGCGTCAACAGCGTGAGCCTCAACTTTAGCCCCGAGGACGCCCCTGTGCAGAAGGCTGGTGGTGAGGAGGGGAAGAAGGAGTAGGGGTGTTGGTGGCCGTGGTCGTGTTTTGTATGTGTGTTGTGAGTGAGTGTGTAGCCGGGTAGCCAGAAGCGTTTGCATTGAATCCAAACTTGGTCCTTTTTCTTCTCAGCATCTCATGTCACAAACTCAAAAAGTGCAAAAGGTAGAATGCGACAGCAGAATCTTGGTGGTATTCCTTCGAAGACAGGTGCTGTTCACTCTTTATATACATCTTGCTGCTGAGCTATATACAGTTCAAGTTGTGCTCAAATCTCGTCTAAACATCTCCCCCGACCCCCCAAAATAGCGGCTCCGACCTGAAAGACGTCGCCAGCTTCAACCTTCCCGTCCTCAGCAGGTGAAGGTCGCCGGACCCGGGTTCGTATAGGAGGTCGGGACCGGGTAGTTGATGTTGATGAGGATGCCGGGGTCCGTGGCGCTGTACGCGCCAGGGAACGCGGCCAGGTTCTGCGGCTGCGTGCTGCCGCCGCCGGTGACGGCCAGCTGCCCGCACGAGAGGTAGAACTGCGCGGCCCCCTGGCTCTGCGCGACGTGCAGCGCGATGTGCTCGTTGCGCATCAGGTAGTTGCCGGCCGGGATGCACTTTGGGATGGTAACGGGTATCGTGGACTTGCCTGTAGAGAGGTTTAGTTAGTATCATGTTGACATGGCGTTCTCTCTAATCACAAGCCGCCTGTATTAGAAACGCACCGTTCGAGGACCATGTCAGCTGGCTGCCGAAGGTCGGTTGCTCCGCGTAGATCCTGAACCACACTGCGTTGGTGGGGTCCCAGGTGTTGATGTCTTGTCCGGCGGGGACCTTGGCCAGGTATGACTGGAATGGGCCCGGGTGGTAGATGCTCGGGGCGATGCTGACGCTCACGGCGCTTCCGGCAGCGACACTGACGGTCGAGTTTCCGGCCTGTTGGTGTGGTGTTAATTTTCTTCAGTATGTATGTGGTGTTCCGGATTTGTTTGTGCTAATGAATCATATTGTCTCTTCGGGGAGGTGTGGGGTATTATGTGTTCGTAATCCTTTGCCCTTCACAACAAACACGTACATAGAGCTGGTTGCAGCGGATGTCATTGCTCTTGACATCGCCGACGAAACCATTGTCCTGCCAGTTCTTCGCCTGGCGGACGGCAGTCCAAGAAGGACTGTTCTGGATCGATGGCAAGGTGTCTGAGCGGTTGAGGAGATTCAGTTAGCCAGGAGCCTGCATATGGTCAAGGTCTACGGTGGATAGACTTGTTTGATGGACTGACAGTGTGCGGTCACGGTGGACGCCGCCACAAGGATGGCGGTGAAGATCTGCATATTCGCGCAGAACGGGAAAGTAGTCCTTTGCCAATAGGTTTAACAGTCGAAATGAACACAACTTTGAGGCTCTTCGGGTCAATCAAAGCCACGCGGGAGTTACTGCACTGGGATCGTTGGAAAGTGTTCTTGGCAGAAGTAGATCCGGGAGTTTTCCTTTATATAAGTGAAGCCTTCGCCCCCTTGCCTTTGATGCCGGTGGACGTCAGTCGACCGAACGTCGCTGCGGGAGAATGGCCCGAACGATCCTGTACAACATCCATACCCAGACTTACACATCGGCGCTTAAGCCTATCATTGGGTGGCTAAAAGGAACCGTGTGCTGTGAATAGATGGATCAATATATTTCGGATAAGGACCGGGTGTCATTGGCACTATGCATGAGTCCCGTGCTTTGCTCGGCCCTGCGCTCGCTGTCTCGGAAAAACGAGTTGCCCCCCCCCCCCCAGTTAAATACCCCCTATTCCTTAGTTAAACCAAAACTTCGCTAGCAGGGTGGAAACTCTAACATTCTTACTAAAACACCTTTATTAACCTTATTAATACTAATAATAAGTTATCTTTATTATTTAATTAAATAAAAATAATACTATATTAATTTTATATAATTAATTTAAACTTAACCTATAAAAGTATATATAATCTATTTATTTTAATATAAGGTAATATTAACCTAACTAACTTTATAAATAATATTATTAAACTAACTTATTAAATTTAAATTATTTAATACTTATTATATAAAACTTACTTAAAAGTTAAATTATATAATTTATTAATAAAAATATTATATTATTTAAATAATTATATACTTAAAAATTAACTATTAAAATAATTAAAGTTTAATAAACTACTTAAAAGTACTTATAAATACTCTTAAAAACTACTTAAAATAAGATTATTATAATAAATTAAGTAATTTAAAAGTATAAAAATACTACTTAAATTAATAATAAAAATATATTTAATAATAAAAAAAGAATTTAAAAGTATTAATAATAAGAACCTCTTTACTATTAAAGTAAAATTCTTAATAAATAATAATAGTAATAATATTAAATATTTTAAAAATTATTTAATTAATCCCTAATATAGATATATTTAAATAAACTAGCTTTAACTTTATTTATTAAAATCTATAACTTAAAAGCTATTAATATTTTTATTATATAATTTAAAAATAAAATATTATATTAAGGAAAAAATTAAAGTTAAAAATTTAAAGTTTTTATTAAATTATATTAATTTATTTAAAAACTTAATTAAAAAATATAAAAATTATTTAAATATAATTATTAAATTAAAAATATTTTTATTAAGGTTAGTTAGTTTATAAATTAAAAGTCTTTAACTTTATAATTAAAAACTATAAAAAATATTAATAAAAGAATTAAAATATTTAATTATAATAATATTATAAATATACTTTTAAATCCTAAAAACCCTTTTTTAATTTTTATATAACTATAAAGTTGTATTATTAATATAAAAGTTATAAATACTTATATTATAAAGTAATTATTTAATTAAATATATATTAATTAAGGTCCTTTAGTTATTATTAGCTATTTAGTAAGTAATTACTTTAAAAATAATTTATTAGTAATTAAATAAATAATAAATATAAATATACTTAATAAAAATTTAAACTTTAAAACTCTTTAATTTATATTTATAATTATTAAATAAAAGATTAAAATAAAAATAAAAATAAATTTTATATAAAAAATATAAGTAATTAATAAAAATATAGTTATATTTTTAAATAAATATTATAAAGTTAATTATTACTATTAAAATAAAAATTCCTTATAATAATAATATTTTATTAAGTAAAATAATATATATATTAGCTTATTTAATAGAAACTTAAGGAATTAATTTAATATAATTATAATAAATAATATTATAATTAAATACCTATTAAAAATCCTTTTAATTACTAAATAACTTAAATAAAACCTAATAAAAAAGTTTAATAATAATAGAGTTAACTTTATCTTTTTAAAAAAATAATAAAAATAAAAGTAAAAAAATAATATTAATATAATTATTAACTTATTATTTAATATTAACTTATTTAAAATTAAATATAATTAAATAGCCTTAATAAGGTTGCTATTATTATTACTATTACTAACTTCCTTTTATAAATTTAATAGGTTTTAACTTTATTATTATTAATAGTAATAATAATAATAATATTTATAAACTTACTATAAAGTAAAATTATTAATTATTTTTTATTATTATTATTATAAATAAAAAAGATAAAATAATTTTATATTAAAAGTTTATTATAAAAGTATTTTAAAAATACTTTAAAAATTTATTAAAAAAACTTAACTTAAATAATTTATAAAAATTATAAGGTATAAAGGGCTTAATCTTTATAAACTTTATAAAAAAGATATTTAATTTAATAAATATAACCTAAAGGCTATTTTATTAATTAAAATACTAATTAAACTACATTTAAAAAAACTTTATTAATTTCTTTAATAATAATAATAATAAAAAGAACTTATTATTATAATAAAGGCTATTAAATAACTATTTAATAAACTATTAAGTAAATATTAAAAATATATACCTTATAAAATTTATAAAAATTATTTAACTAACTAATTAACTTTATTTAATATTAAACTTTATAATTAAGTTAGCTACTTAATAAAAAATTAAAAGCTTATTAAAATAATCCCTTTATTTAATAAAGTAAAAAATTATATAATAAATTTTAAAAACTTTTAAATAAAAAAGTAATAATTAAATATATAGACTATTTATATTTTTAGTTCTATTATTAAGCTAGAAGTAAATAATTAAAGTCCTAAAAGAATAAAATATAATATATTTTTTAAAAATTAGCTTAGTTAAGTTTACTATATAGAACTTTTTATAGTAACTTTATAATTATTTATAATACTATCTATTATTAAAAGATACCTTTTTATATTAATATGTTAAGCTATATTTATTTAGGTTAGTATTATTAGCCTTAATATAAACTAATTTATTAAAGGTTAAAGCTATTATAGATTGCGGGCTACCTAATTTTAATACTATTAAGTACTATATATAAGGTTATTATATAACTTAAGTATAAATGCAAGTTGGCTAAAATAGGTAAAGATAAAGCTATTATTCCCCCAACTAGGGTTCTGGCTCTACTTTATAAGCAAACACCCATCAAGCAAACACCTATCTGGCGAACCCAAGAGACCATCAGCTCCACAAGCAAAACCACTTAAAAGCAGTCGCTCAGCCTACCACACCACCAAACCGAGAAACAACCTCCAGATAAGGCAACCACACTCCATTATCTAGGTTTATAGATCTAACAGCTTTATAAAAGAAGAAATAGCTATCAACAATTAGATCTATAACTATATAAAGGTAGACCTTTACTTTAAAGAGAAGTTATTAATATTTAAAATAGTTAATATATTTTTAAAAAAGTTAAGAAATTATAAACCTAATTTAAAGGAAATTAAAATTTATAAAAATTTTAAACTTAAACTTAAAAGCTTTCCTTTAAATTTAACTCCCTTAAAAAAAAAAAGTAAAAAAAGCTTAAAAAAAGGCTTAAATAAAGTTAGAAATTAAATAAGGTTATAATAATATAATATAATTAAATAAAAAACTAATTATAAAATTATAATTATAAATCTTTTAACCTTATACCTAAAAGGATAATTAAATATATAAAAATATAATTAGTAATAAAAATAATTAAAAAAAAGTTATTTATTTTAAGTAAATAAAATAAATTAAATATTTAATATTAAATACTTAATTAATTAAATAAATTTATTTATAACTAATTTATTTACTTTAACTTCTAACTATTAATTTAACTATTTAATTTATAAATAATACTCTTTTATTTATATAACTTTACTTAATTAAAACTTTATTAATCTTAATTTTATAACTTTTAATTAAAATTATTATATTTACTTTATTTTATACTTTTTTAATATTTATATATAATAAAAATATCTTTCAATAGTTTTAGTCTTAAATTTAATCTTTTAAATATAAAAAATAAAAATTAAGTAAAATCCTTATTTAAATTATAATCTAATAATTTATATTAGTATTAATAATATAAATAGTATTTTAAATTATTAAAATATATTTTAATAAAATTAAAATTAAGAAAATATAAAGGTAAATATTTATACTTTATATTTTTATATTTATTACTTTAATTATTTTACTTTATAATATTAATAAATATTATTTATTATAAAAATTAACTTTAAGTTTAAATATAAATTTATTTTTAATAAAATATTTTTTAATTATTAAAAAAACTTTTATTATATAACCTTTATATATTATAATAATAAATAAGCTATTTAATATAATTATAAAAATATAAAGGTAAGTTTTTATTTAAAAACTTTTAATTTATAAAGTATACTTAATAAATATTTAATCTATTTTTTATATTATTCTATTTATTAAAACTAAACTTATTAATAAAAATAAATATTTTATTATATAATTTAATTAATATATTTATTAAAATAATAGTTATAAAACTTTTATTATATTAATAGATTAATATATATATTTATTTATTACTTTATATATAAGCTTTAAAAGTATTATTTATTATTTTATAATAATATTAATTTATAATTATTTAATAAAAAGTATTATATTTTATTAAAATATAAATCTAATTTATTAAATAAAAATTTTTAACTTTTAATTTATATAATTAATATATTAATTAAGCTTTATAAATTTATTATAAAAAATAGGTTAATAAATCGTTAAAGTTTATTACTTTAATTTAATTATATTTAATAATAATAATAATAATATATTTAAAGTAACTATATAAATAATAGTAATTTTTTAATAATATCTTTTAATTATAATATAATTAATATAAAACTTAATTTATAATTATTTATTTAATAAAAATAAATTAAAGTATAAATAAAACTTTAATTATTAAAGTTTATAATTTAATAGATAATAGTTTATTATTATTAATCTTTTTTTTTTCTTTTTTAGGGTATAGGTGGTATTAAATATAGTATTTTAATAAGAATATTAAAGTTTCCGCTTTATTCGTAAAGTTTTAGTTTAACTAAGGAATAGGGGGTATTTAACTAGGGGGGGGGCAACTCTCGTTTTTCCAAGATAGCGGCTTACAGGGGTGAGACTATGAAACAAAGCTTGAACACAATTTATATGCTGCTGTAATTCCATCTTACGTGATCACCACTGCACAAAAAATCCCTTGCGGCTCACCTCCCATTGGATTTGGTGATCGTCTGGCCTTGTTAACATTTCTCTGCTTCAAGACTCTTGGTTATTTTTTTTCAAGCCACGTAAGTAATCCATATTCTTATTGATAAACGTGACATACTGCGGAGGAGCACGGAAACGCTCGTTCTGGCACGCCGACAAGGGGTCTCGATGTGGTCATGTTCCTATCGAGATCAACGGAGGCCAACCTCCGTCGCCATGGATGCCGTGCGCACTAACGGAGTCAACCAAACAAACTTGCCGACAGGGGCTCTCGGGCATCCGCGAGGATACCCGGAGCAAGCCGAGAGGACTGACACCTGCAATTTAAGGAGCTTGATATATCACTGTTTTGAAAAATCCCACCAAGGGCAAGGCTGTGTTAGATTTGCACTGATGTGCTGGCTACCTAGGTAACAATAAACCTTGGCAAAATTGATTTGACTCCTGTGGGGCCTCTATCCATAAACGGCCCGGGGTTATTGTTTTGAGACCACTGGGAATATGTTATGGGCTCTGGACGTGCCTCTTGACACATATTCGCGACCCACTCTTCTAATGCGTCCTTGGACACAATCACAATGCATGCATCTACGCATCATCATTGGCACAATCCATGGGCATTGTATGGACGACAGTGAGCGGACTAATAGTTCTGGATGTGTTACGAGGTTAGAAAGGGACAATAGCCTCAGGCCCAACTCAAACCTCTTTAGCGGATGGAAAGCACTTTCGTCTGGTCGCAATGTGAGGCAACATCACCAGAGCTATGCGAGGGATAGATTCGATGTCATCAACAAGGCTTTGTCTTAGTGACAATAGTAACACGGCAGCTGTGTACAAAGGCTTGTCTGCCGCCATCTGTGCAAATTTAGCCGGTCTCTAAGTCACGGAGTACAATTTGCTTTGTGCCTAGGTACTAAGAAGACTTCAAATGCAGTCTTTGATACGAAATTTGTATTCGCATACAAAACCATCATATTGTAACGTCCGGATGTCGCACGCTGTTCAGAAGTCTTATCCTCGACAACTGGGCAGATTGTGCGCACTTAAGCCCATCTGATACTCTTGGTAGACCTTTCGATCCGTCACTGCTTGTTCCAACCCCGAGCCCAACATTTCTTTTCAAGATGCCATCTCCTTCACAGAAGCTCACAGTTGACACAACACCGAGGTTGTACCCAGGCGGCACATTCGGGCAGCGGGCTCGCACGGTAGCAGCGGCGTCTCCGGGTAAGCCAGTCGTCAAGACAGAGATCGCCTCTGACGGCTTCAGCATGCTAACTCCGGACTCGATGTATCGCAGCGACGAGTTCCACCCAGGCCGGAGAGAGCCTCGGTTCACGGGCCTCCACAACCTGGCAGACGCCGTCATCGAGCGCACGCTCAACCCGCCCCGCCCGAGCGGCCGCGACGCCATCCGCCGGGCGGTGCTCTGGGACCACGTCGCGAGGTCCTTCCGCAAGGCGATCGCCGGCATCCCGTCGGGCTCCTACGTGGCCGTCTGCTCGAACAGCGGGCCCTACGACGCGGAGCTCGAGGACAAGCACCCCGCCGACTTCGTCCCCGGGGCCAGCTGTGGGATCCTGTTCGTATCGATGTTCCGAGCCGATGAGACCAACATCAGCGGGGGCTGGATCCAGGTTGGGGTCCCGTGTAGCCCTGACGAAGGCAGGTTGTTCGCGAGTCTCAGGCTGCTGTGCTGCGTTGCGGGACGGCCGGACCTCGAGTTCATGATCACTGATCTCAGTGCCTGTCGCAGCATCCGACCTGGGTTGATCAACCTTCCCAGGAAGCATCGCCTGCCGTATGGTTCGGTAACTGACATCTGGCAACCGACGAATCTGGCATACCATTACTTTTCTATGGGAGGCTTCTTCGAAACGGAGTACCAGACTATTCGGAACTCTTTTGCGGCCGATGGTGATTTGTATGGTCACGATGCAGCTATCCTATACACCCGCTCACCCATCATTATCATCATTGGCCAGAGACAAAGTGACCGCTTCATGTGTTTTCAACCGGACACCGTCATCCGTGATACTACCTGGCTCAAAGTCAAGGGTTCGGTCCTTCAAGGCAGTTACATACCCGAAATGCGAAGGGAGGACGCAATCCGATTTGACAAGGACGATTTCCCGGTTGAACTGGTCCATAAGGTGGGCAATGAATCCTAGGTGATGTTGGGGTGGTTGCGCAGCAGCCTTTCCTCTGCTAGTAGGGTAGGTCAGTTTATGATATCTGGACCAGAGAGGGTCTATTTCCATCCATGACTCAAGGGTAAGTACAAAGAGGTAAGTGATGAAACTTTTATATGTATCGTAATTCAAAGTTGTCTTGGTATTCTTTCTTTGCCAGTGCAATTTAGCCATGTTCCCATGCCAAACCTATGAGCCGATCGAACTCTATCAACGACATGACTCCAAGAGACCCAAGAAAGAGCCTACATGTGTATAAAGTTGATAGAACTCGGGAGGAAAATGTTTCTATTTATTTATAACCCAGCCATGAATTTCCATTGTTGTAAACCGTCGTGTGATTTTGATGCAACTTCCAAACTAGTAATAAATGATTGGCAATAGGATACCAAAAAGCTGTCATGAGTGAAATCTATCAAAGGGCTGATATTATGTGACAGGATATCAAGAATGTAATAATTTCACAATCTTTGCATCCTATGATGTCCCACACAGCAAATAATAATATGTTATCATTATACTTGGATCGGATGTTAGCGACAATTGATCATATTGCGATAATTTTTCCAAGGTTTACAATAATTACCAAGTAGGTAGGGTTGCGACCCCCCCCCCCGCCCAGGTATACATTTGCGATTTTGAATATTAGTCACGCCGTTGCACGCATCTTAGACCGATTGCAATTCTTTTCACACACTGTGAACCACTAAAAGGCAAACGCTGGAGGCTACGATGGGCAATGGTCGAAACCTTACGGTTCACTGCACAAGACTCTCGTGGACCGGACAACAAACCTTCATGCTGTGGCTGAACTTTCCCAAAATCATAACCTGCCCTTGAAGTGGCCACATTCTTGAATCAAATCATGGAGCCCCTTGAATGTCACGAATGTAAAACTCACAAATATTGAATCCATGATACTCACATGCCCAGGTGTGCACCTAATCTCAATGAAAACCACTATGTATTGGAGATTGCAATCTGTGTCCCGGCAACCTTTTTACCATGGACCGATCAGATGCAAAATAATAACTTAGGAAAGAATAGCTCGAACTCGTATCACAAGGATACCTAAGTCTGCCAATTCCCTGCGCGCGACTGGTGAAAACTTCGAGTTAGCTTGCAGCTCACATCATATATGAAAGAGATGATACTAAACTCACGCAGCTGTCCCAACCGTGGAGTCCGTGGAGTCTCGACGCCTCCCCTCATTTTCAGCGCTGTGAGAGCGACCAGGCCCGGCAGGGCTAGGAGACGACGACGACGACAACGACGTGGGCTGCGCCTCGTTGACGCTGTGCTGGGCCAGCTCCCGCTCGTCGCCAGCCCCTCGGAAGACGCCTGTCTCTTGCAGGCGGGTGACGTTTTCATCCGACCTAGCGACGTGGAAGTTTTCACCATCCACGTCCACCTGTCGGAACCGGCCCGGGTCGGGCAACGTGGAGTTGCTGGCCTGGATCGTGTTTGGCGGGTCGTCCTCCTCATCATCCGAGCCAATGACGAATTCAGACAAGGTATCATCACGGTTCTCCAGATCTCGCATCTGAATGCCTTCATTTTCCTGCGGAGACGAGGCGCTCCTGGTAACGTCGCCTCGTCTCTTTCGGAAGTTGAAGATTAGCGGACTACAGAGGAAGAGTACAAACATGATACCAAAGAGTGAAGCGAGTATGTAGCTCAGCCGCTGAAAGTTCTCCAGCTGCTCCTGAGCTACGTCCAGAGCATGAGCGCAAGACTCGGTGGTGTTGCAAAGAGGAGCCATCGTTGCAAAGAACTGTTTCGAAAGGTCTCACAGTAACTGCAGCAAGTATCAAACCAGGATATGCCGTCTGACTGGAAGTGAGGGTGATCCGTCAAGTTGTTTCGTGACAGGATTTTCCGTTGCAGTGTAAAGAGAGGCTTTGTTTTTCACGTGCCGGGTAGGAACGCCTTTAAGTAGTAAGGATTTCACGGGCCCAGGGACATATTAGGACAAGGAAAGACGGCGGTAACCAAGACGTTGTATATGTGCAGCGGGTCCCATTCTCCCATCAAAGAAAATCCTGACACGGCTGGTCATGTATCAAAGGCTCAGCTACTAAGGTCGCACAATAGCGGATGGCTTATTGTTGTTTCTTCTGTTGCCGTTAGCATTGTCACTCGTCCCTCACAATCGAGCCCGATCACTGGCTGGGGAGTCTTCACTCCGTTGTGTTTGCAGCTCATTCCTGACTTCGAATGCAGCCCTGCAGCCCTCCTCAATGGCCCCGTCGATGAAGCTCCGCCACCCCAGAGCCCAGTCCGAGTTTGCGAACAATATGTTGCCGTGACGAGCTCTCATGTCATCCAGATGGTTCACCAGAAGCTCCGGCGGTGAGAAGAACCACGCCCCTTTGGCGAATTCATCCTTAGACCAATTGTGGAAGACCAGTCGCTCGACCTCGGGTGACATGCCGTTGTTGTTCGCAGGTGCGAACAGGCCCTTGACCGCCCTCAGTGTCTCATCCACATTTTCGTCTGCGTCCATGTGGTTGAACTGCCCACCGAAGGCAACAATATGTGTGTTCCCAGCCGGCGTTGTGCCGTCTCCGATAGCGTAGGAGAGCTTGTTGTGGGGATACGTGACCCCGGTCCATGATCGAAGATCTTTATTTGGGACCTCGGCGTGGACTTTGACGCATTGGTTGACATGGCCGATGCTGATTGCAGACTGCTTTCCACTTGGCAGAGGCGGGTCGAAAGACACGGAACCGAGGACGTTAAGGGGCACGGTTGAGATCAAGCGGGATGCGCGGTATTGTCTCCCTTCTCCTGTTGTCACAGTAACGAGTCCTCCATCATCCTTGACACCCTGGATGGGGCTGTTGAAAGCGTAGGACAAACGCTTGGTAGCGAGGGCCTCTTTAAAGAACCTGATGGCGAAGCTTGACTGCCCACCTCTGATACGAAGTTAGCACCTAGATCAAACGAGAATGTGGGGAACCGGATAAGGGGCTGAGGGCAAAATTAGGGGTTCAAAAGATGAGGAGCTCCAGGATTTGAATCCAGGCCTGGCTTTTCATATCAGCAGAGCCATCCTCACCCAACAACCGTTTCCTGTCGGCAAGCACTTGAGGATAGCTCCTTAGATCCAAAGTCACATCCGCTCCCACTACACAACTAATGAAGTATTAAACCGAAATTATTTGCCCAGTTCAGCTCGAATTCCCTTCAATTCCATCCACTGCCAGTGGCGCACACGACGGCAGTGCTCCAGTAGGGAGCCACGTTCCCAGTCGAAGACGAAAGCAGCACCCGGGCAGAATCTTGAGAGAATTGAAAGCTTACCTGAATTTCCATGTAATCAGGTAATCAAGGAAACCTTGATAAGTGTAGCCACTCATAGCCCACCAGTGCATCATCTCGTGGAAGCTCATCGTCTCCAGGGTGCCGCCGCTGCAGAGCAGTATGAAAGACTCCAGAGCAGCTCGCTCGTCGGGCGTGAGCGAGGCGGAAATCTGCTTGATCCTGTCTAATGCGGAGAGCCTGTCCATATCTCGAGCTTCCTGGGTCTTGAAGGTATTATGCGGAAGAGGCATGACCTTGCGGCCGTATGATCCATCGACATTGAAGAATTTGGCCAGCGCTGATGCCATGAGCTCATCCTTCATACACGCAATCATTAGCAGCAATTTCATATTCGGGACAAATAACACCAATTGAAGACGCTCATACCTCTTGATCATGATTCATGGTAACACTGCCCTGTGCGGTGTTGAACTCGAAGTGGTTGACCCCTCTGGAAAAGTCAAATGAGTTTACCAGGTCGTCGGTCATCTGGTACCGAGCAATCTCTCTCCAGACATTTGCCTGGCCCCAATGCACCCAAGTGCCTCCCATCTCGAACGGGTATTCGCCGATGTTAGACGACCATGACCGTCCTCCAATGCGGTCTCTGCCCTCCAAGAGGAGCACATTCAGGCCTTCGATAGCAGCATTCCGAGCGGCGGTAAGACCGCAGTACCCTGCGCCTATCACAATAACGTCGTATTTTGTTTCGACGGACGTCACGTTCGTAGGAGGCGAGATGACGCCGATTGATGGGACGCCCTGTTTCAAACCGGAGGCCTTGGTCCAGCAGTAGCCATCGCGGGAGGTCATCTTCGAAGTGCAGCGGTACCAAACTCCAAGGAATAATCTGAAGAAAAAAATCACAAATTTGAATGTTGGAGAAGCATACGAGACAGCCCTGCAATTGTAGTATGAAATGTAATCCACAGAGGCAATATATTGTCTTCTGTTATTCAAGTTCGTGGCCAGAATGGGTTGGACTTTCTGCCCAAGTGGCTTGCTAACTCCGATTATATATAGTCAGGCATGCCAAGCATGGGAAGCGAATTTTGCAGAATTATTCAGAGAGGCCGTCTTCCACGATGCTTTCATTCGCGGCTCTTTGGGGCGCCACTAACAAGACGACTCGTCCCAAAGGGGGCATTATCGAGAGAAAACGCCCCGCTAATATTCTAGATCAGCCAATAGGCGCTACGTGGGCACCGAGATCCCGGATCTGACCGGGTCTTGGTCTCGGTTTGTGGGGACGACCAAGGTTAACCTCCAGTCCTCAGCTCCGCCGGCACTGAGTACTTGGCTCCTGGATTTCTCCCACTTGCAACCACTTTTGGAAGAGCTGCAGCCCGGCCCACGAATCTTGCCGGTGCACTGCTATCTTGTATACTCTCTCACGCCTGGTTCATCACGATTGGGCTCACGTATCAGAGTGGGCCTCGAGTGCTCGGGACCAGTCATGCCCGCGTCTGTTCCCACGGAGCGCCAGGCCGCAAAGGAACGAGGTAACATCCCATGGAACGCTCCACAAATCATCGGGTGGGTATCGCTGATGGTAGCGCATAGGCTGCTTCCAATGCTCTAAGCGAAGGATCACCTGTGATAGGGCTGAACCCTCGTGTGGCAAGTGCATAAAGAAGGGACTTGATTGTTCTGGACTCGCTAGGATCCGCTTCAACGAGGGGGTTGCCCGGCGCGGTCGACTCAAGAACTGCACGGTCCCAGTCCCTGATATCATTAGCCAACATGGCGAGACTCACTGCCAATTGCCGACTGTGGTGACATTCCCTGAGCTTCAATGGCACCCCCACGATCCACCTCGAACTACACAGACACGGAAGGTTCGTACGACCAAAAGACGACCGAGACCCGCGCCGTACCCGCAACGAGCAGTGGTAGACCAGCCTGCAGCGATACAATGTCTACCCTCAGACCCTCCATTAGCAGACTGTCCCGTTATACCGCCAGCGGATGGGTCGGGTGGGGCTGAAGGCGACTATCGAGCACAGTACATCCCACCAACCGAGGCCGAAACTGGTGATGAGGAGATAGACGCAAGTTTCCCAGCCATAGTCCACGAACAGCCAAATCACTACATGAGCCAGTTCCATACCATCATGCCTTGGATTGCACCTCTGCCCTCAGAAACAAGGGGACTATTTCATCACTGTAAGCAACACCAGTCCCACAAGAAATTGGACCGTGGCACCCGGGCTGACGTGTTAGCAGTCTCAGAGGCAGTCGCGCCCGTCATGGTCATCCTCGACAAAGTATCAAACGGATATAGGGAATTCATCCTGCCGATGGCACTTCAAGATGAAGTGCTCTGCAGGGCGATATCAGTTGTGGCCGCCCAACATCTCAGCCAAGGAAACCCGGCACTCGAGCTGGCGGCCGACAAGGGACGCACGGCGGTGATCTCGCGACTTCGCAAAGACGCATTACTCGAGTCTCAAGTATTCAATGAACATACGTGGGCAACTCTCCTTGTCCTCCTGGTGGGCGAGACCGTCACAGGCAACGCAGACTATAGCTTTCTTGTGCAGATGCTGCTGTGTCTTGCGAGCAACAATATCATCAGGAACAAACAATCACGCTTGACTCGATTCCTCAAGGCCCAGACACACATGTAAGTACACAGAAGTTCCCCAATTCTCAGGTCTGTCCGAAGCACTGACGTGATTGCAAGGTTCACAATGCTGGGACAGCCTTTCCTTGAAGAAGAGGGTGGCGTGAGGTTCATACAGCAGACATTCAACGGATGCACGGACTGGCTGTCATGCGAGGAGCTCCCACCAGACTGCCAGGACAGGCGCAACGTGATCCTGATCAGGCAGTGCTTCGCAGAGGCCTGCAACATCTACCTCGGGCGTGCGACCACCGACCACGAGCAGGACCTGGCCATCAAGCGCCTGATGCAGCTCTTGTCACAGGTCGACAGCGACGCGCCGACCGCCCACGCCCTCGTCTGGGTATGTTTCATCGCCGGGGCGGAGACCAACGACCCGCAACAAAGGGACTTCTTTGTTACCCGCATGAACGAGACATACCAGCGGACACGCTTTCGCAATATCCCGGCTGCTGTACAGTCACTTCAACGGATATGGAAGAGGAAGGCGGGTCAGAAGTGGACGAGCTGCTTGCCTGAACTGACACAGGTCCTAGTCATGTGAATCTTGAAGGCCATAGGGTTGATAACGCGTTCTCCATGGCTTGGAAGAGCATTTGACAATGAAATATCACCTCAAGAAGCCGATAAAAACGGGAAAACTTGCTTAAGTAGACTCTTCTGATTTCACAACTTACACCCGGTGATGACTAAATAGAACAGTTTCTTTGGTCAGCTGGTGTTCCGTTTGAACCAAAATACCATATGAACTTGCAATTAGTCGAATTGCTCACCCCGCCAGAGCCAAGCATTTAAACCAACACCATCTCGTCAAACACTTCCGGCTTCAACAGATCCTTCAGCTCTCCGTCCATCACCCCCGGCAGGAAGATAGGTCCAATCAGTCTGAACCTGGAGCGTTTGTCGCCAGTAGGGCGAAGCACGAGAGGGTATGACACCCCAGAAACCAGAGCCACCGTGTCCCCTTTCTGAGCTCCTCTCGCAGCGTATGCCAGACTACCGGGACATGCGGAGTTGGTCTCGCAGAGAACCAGACTCAGCCTCTCGTTTCGCAAATTTCTCCTTGTTTGACTGGCCGCGGCACAAAGATCCTTTTCTCCCAACATCCAATCGACCCCCCATTCCTTTTCGTGACTTTCGTCTGGAAATCCATGTAACGCAATCTTGGACATGAATGAGTCTAATGAGTCTTCACGCCAAGATGCCGCAAGCTTTTCTCTGCCTGCGGCCAGCCTCCGCTGCAGCCACAGGAAGAACTCGGGACCTTCGGGACCCCCCCTTGCTCTATCCAGGAACGCTCCGCAAGGACCTGTCGAACTCATATATTGGTCTCTGCTCATACCGACACTTGCGTCGTAATATAGAGAGAAGAGATCCCGAATGGGTTGCGGCGGCGTGAAATGAGAAGTAATTTGAGTCAAGACGACACCGGCGACGGCAAGGCTCTTGCCGTGATTGTGAAAAGCCCACAACGGCTGTGTCCCAGGGGTTGCCCCTTCATATTTTTCAAGGCACCTGGCTCGGTCGCCCCGGCCGTGGAAATAAAGATTATCTGTCGCTACTTAGTACGATTTCTTCAAGCAGTCGGTGAGAATATCATACCTAACCATTTCCACAGGCCTGAACGCTTTGGTTCGTCATACGGGATGATTTTAAACCTGCAAGGGAGGGCTCTAGCCCAAATCGGCGATGTGGGCAGATCCCAGTTGATTACCCAGGATGGAAAGTCGCTACTATTCGTTTCGCCATCGCCGGAATAAGTGTTGGCGAAAACAAGAATGTCAAGTGTTTGTGTATGCTCAATCCACTCGGTCGAGATTTGCCTATACGGGGCACGAGTATCCTGGCGGCACACGCCGAGTGAGCCGTGATCAGAGGTCCTATCCATTTCGTAGTACTTATCCCTGGACTTGTGACGTTCGAAGGTGGCGTATCCCGATTCTTCCAGTATAGAGAAAGTTGTGTGTGTGGACTCGATGAGGAGGGATCAAGGTTTCGGCTCGGGCTGCATTCTGGGGATTGATTTTTGTGGAAGATTTAGGGTAGACAGTCTTTGCCGTCGTTCTTATAAGTGGTCCATTAGCCCCAGGTGCCACGTCTTTTTTGTTTAGTACTTGCGTGGGCGGTCGTCGGTCAGTGGCGCTGCTCTAGTAGCGACTCTCGCTATGTACCTAGGTACCTCGAGTAGCCTCGTCTGTGCGGCTGTCCGTCAGGACAAGGCTGGGGCTATATTTCACAGCTAAATGTGTGTTTTGCTTTCTTTTCTGTTTGAGTTCTGCCAAAAAATTATTTCGTTGTTAAAAGGCAAGATTTTGAGGGCCTACCATTTTGTCAAGGGACTGCAGACGCACTCCAATATACACAGATCAAGGACTACCCAGGGAAAGATATGTGGTTTCGCTTCTATTCCGTATACGTCCGAGGACATACATGGCGCCTTCATACGGTGGTAAGCACTCAAGACCCAGCGCTTGGAAAGAACACGATGCCGAAAACAATAGTTATAATACGATAGGTGCCAGGGAAAGATATACAAAACAAATAGATCTAGAATATAAACTAAAATAGTAGATTTTCGAGTCGCCCAGCTGTTGTCAATGCAGGTAGGACTCCTTCGTAACTCTTGCCTCTCATATTGAGCTTATAGTCATAGCTCAGCGAACTTTATTCAGACAACACGGGCTCCAAAGGTTGACACTCATCTTCCGCTCTTTTGATCTGCAGTTTCGGGTTTGGTAAGTATACATCTTGCAGCCACGTACGGTCATTATGACATTAACTCTTTGGGGTGCTAGCAAAGATGGCGCCTGCTGTTGATTAATTGTAATTGTGTTCGATATATTACTTGTAGTGTAATAAATTAGCCCAGAAACACCATTTCAGCGCTGTCCCACCCGCGCCACAATGCCAGTTCACTTGAATACTCCTGCTGTACCTCGAAGTGCTCCTTCGCCTAGACTTTCGCCTTCGCTTTTGCGGCCGCTATCCTTGCACTCCTCCTGACACCGGCAACAGACGGGTCTGTCTGCCCTTGTCGCTTGGCGGCACCAGTACGATTCCCAGTCGCCGGGCCACTTGAGCTCTTCACTAGCTTCGCCGTTTGCTGTGACTTCTTGGATTTTGCCTTTCTTCCCCGATGTTTCGGACGCGGACCTGCTTTGGACTTTCCGCTTGGTTCTGCCGCATGCGGTCTCTCAAAGTTGGCCTCCTGGCCGCGGGCAGCTTTACCAGCCCCTTTCCCTCTGAGTGTCGAAGGTGCGTCTCCGCAGGGTGGATGCGCGACGAAATCTGCGCCCCGTCGTTGGGATTTGGGTACAGCTTGGGGCTTGCTACGGGGTATGGGCCCCTTTGATGCGCTACTGACGCTGCTGGGTGTGAATTTGGGTTCTTGGATGTCATCTTCGGGGGTTGAGCCACGGAGCCTGCGCCGTTTCGGTTGGTGACGGCCGCGGTGTTGGGACTCAGATCTTGGCGACTCGACCACGGTGGCTGATTCCCCAGAGGAGTCGTCACCGGCCCTCTTCCCTCCAGGCGGGCTTGATTGTGGGTTGGGCTGCGATGACCGGCTCCCTTTCGTCTCAGCTCCCTGGGTTGACCCTTGTCCTTTTTCTCTTCTGGCTGCCGCTTGGTGATGGGCTGTGTAATATATTTTATTATTAATTTTAGTATATTAGTTTTAATATAGTAGTTTTAAGCTAGGAATCTAAGTAGTTTTATTTTTAATCTTTATATCTTTATAATATTCATAGTACTTTTATATAATAATAAATACTTAAAACTTAATATTTAAAGAAATATAATATATAAAGTATATAATTTAATTTTATATTATATGTAAATAAAATTAAAGTATATTACTTCTATTAATATTACTTATTAAAGTAAGTAATATAGGTAATTAAAAGTAATTTATTATAATAAGTTAATATAATAATTATATAATAAGATTAAAATATTTTTTAAAATATTTTATATATAAGAAAGAATTTTATAATATAAAACTTAATGAAGTAACTTTTTTCTATTAATATACTTATTATATAATTAATTAAATCTATTATAATTTCTAATTTAAATATATAAATAATAGAATAATAATAGAATTATTTTAAGAATTCTTTTATATAATTTATATAAAACTTTAAAGTTTTATTAAAAATTAAATAACGTATATTTAATATATATTAAATAAATATTATATAAGAAAAGTAGAAGTTTAAATATTTAATAATTAAATATTCCTCTACTAAATATATTATTTTATTACTATAAATTCCTCCACTTTATATAATATATAAAGAATGTGATGAAAAAGGGAGCGCTCTAGTAATATAAATATAATAGTGTAAAGAAGTAATATTATATATAATTAATTCTTTATAAATATTAATATATTACTTTAAAGGCTTCTTTAAATAATTATCTTCCTACTAACTAAGTCTATTAAAAGACTATTATAATAGTATTTTCTTTTATAGAAATCATTAATTTGAAATATTAATTAAATTTGAAACTTTTAAGTCATTAAATAAGTATAAACAAATTATTCTATTATACTATCATCTAGTTTCGCTTCTATTCCGCATACGTGCGGGGACGTACATACATGGCGCCTTCATACGGTGGTAAATGCTCAAGACCTAGTGTGTTTTTCTTTTTTTAAAAAAAGATGCTATGTCTATAATTTGGGACTAAGGCCGACGAGAATGCCCACAGACTATGATAATGATATAAGAGAGCTTCATGATGTGGATGATGTCTTGTCAACTCCACTTCTGACTGTAGAGGAAATATCAAGTAGTACTCGTTCTTCACAACACTGGCATGACATCGGCTAAATTACATGACCCAATTCACAAGTCTTAACACAGCCCTTTCAGCTCCTCATATTCTAGCCAATGAATGGCCAACGACCACAAGAATTCGCGCCGGGTGGGAGGGGGGAGGGGGAGGGGGAAGACTGTTCAGCCATCGGGCGTCGTCTTAGTTTTGCAGATCTGATGTAGGCCAGACCAAAATCGCGTATTCAGTAAGGAAGCAGTTGATTAGGATTCATCGCAGTCTCTTTCAATGAAGTGGTAATGTGTGGCATCGCTGTTTCTGGGGGCTGGAGGGTGGTAGGGCTGATTGGGGTTGCCTCGGAGACAGACTACGAACGTCAGAAGAGGCGCTTCTTGGCTGCCTCAGCGGCTGCGACATGTCACGGCCCCGTACAGCGTAGCCGGAAATTCAGAGACTTGTATATATTTCCACGAGAGGATTTGTCGTAATATAAAAGGGATCGGGTATTCACACCCACAAAAATGGAGAGTGCACCCAAGCCCTAAGCAATACACTCCCATAGGAAAATCTCCTATTGGATAATCTCCTATAGGACAACCTCCTAGGATAACCTCCTATAGGACAACCTCCTATAGGATAACCTCCTAGGATAACCTCCTAGGATGACCTCCTTCATGAACCAGTCCGTGGCTTCGTCCCATGCCTCCTCCAAATTGAAGACGATGGTGTTGACACACTTTCCTGTGCATCCTCGGCATTAGTACTGCGATGAATGCTATTGCGAGGAATGCTATTGCGAGGGGTGCTATTGCGACGAGTGCTTTTGCGAGTAGTAGGCCAGACAGCACCTACCGGGGGGGAGGGGGTAAATTAACTTTATAATACTATTATTTTAAACTAATATTAATATTCTATTAAAATATAAGTATACTATTAATATAGCTATATAATAGTTAAATAATATAATACTTTTTTATTTAATATAATTTTATAATTAATAGTATATAATATATTATTAAAAGCTTAATATATTAATAAAAAAGAGTTAAATTTTTATTAAAGTTAACTTTTATTTTTTTATCTTTAATTTAACTACTTATTAATTAATTTCAACTTAATTATTATTATATATTAAGTTAATAAAGTTATAAAATTAAGGAATTATAAAAAATTTAATTTTCCACTAACTTATAAAATTTAATATAAATATATTTAAAGATTCTAATATAATATTAAAACTTAATATAACATTAACCCCTTAATAGATTTTATTCATAATAGTATTTTAAAATCCCCCTTTAGAACGAGAGTCGCCACCGCCAGCCGCAGCGCTGGGTCGATAAGATTCATTCTTGTCCAGCTCTCTGGCCAAAGGAGTAGGGAATACTGTTCCTGGGTTGGATGCCGATTGCCCAGATGCTTGAGAAGCCTTGGCCTTCTTAGCAGGTGGTTCTGCTGCTGTGCTGAGATCGGACGGCTGGCGCTTCAAGTTGTTAAGCCGCATCACCGAGGCGTCAACATGCCCACTTTCGGATCGCTGGGCTGGAGATTTCCCCTTTGCACCTTTTGAGACCAATGATGAGGCACGCTTAAAACACTCAGCGGCGGTAGGGCGCGCGTTAGGGTCCCATGAGAGCATTTCTCTGACCAGACGAGCGAAGTCTTTGTTCCCGCAGGATGCCAAAAGCTTATCGCAGGATTCTGCCATCGCCCTGGCGTAGCTGAGGTCCAAGATTTCCCAGGTCGTGACTCCGAGTGTGGGCAGCATTCCGTTGATCAGCTCGACGGCCACAATCCCTAATGACCAGATGTCCGACTTGTTGTTATATTTGGTCTTGTGATCATCGTCGTCAAAAAGCCTTGCTAGAACCTCGGGGGCCATATAATAATGTGTACCAATTACTGTCGCCATGGCGGACTCTCCCTGCTTCGACACACCAAAATCGCTCACTGCAATCTCAAGCGGCTCTCTGGAACGGATGAGTATATTTGCTGGCTTGAGATCGCGGTGCGTCACGCTGTTGCTGTGGAGGTAGGCGATAGCAGAAGCAATTTGGGTAATGATGGCAATGACCTCGTCCTGGACAAATCTCGAGTCCTTCTGTTGCTTGTCGAGTGACCCGAGGCCGCAGTATTCCATTATTATCATCGGGGTAAAACCATTGATGTAGTGAACATCGATGTAGCGAGCGATGTGTTTGTGATCCAGCTTGCTCATCAGAGAGTGTTCGCGCTCAAGCTCGTCGCCCTGTTCAAGGCGTTTGCCGGCGCACCTAGCCCAGTTTGAGCTGTTGAACACTTCGAAAACTTGTCCGAACGTGCCTCTGCCAAGTTTCCTGTCGCCAATGATCCAAGCGTAGCGACCTTTCCTGCTATCATGCGTATGACGGTTCACTGTTGGCAATAAGCCACCAGTCGTAATCTCCCTGCTGTCAAGGGCGAGCCCCCCCAAGAAAGGCATCGGATTGTTCTGTTCAGCTTTGAACTCACGGACCTTCTCCTGATACTTTTGCATATGGTCCGAATGGTCCGGCACTTGGAGGCTTATTTGGAGTCCGACTCGGCCTAATTTAATGAGGACTTTCCACCCGACGGGGACTACCCACACTGACGGGTTGATCTTATCACCGGTAATTTCGTGTATTTGTGGAGATAGCTTTGCGTCTGCTCCGTTTATGGTGCGAAGTTGTGTGTAGGTAATCTCGGTACCGAACCTCGAGACATCCTTTATCACGACCTGGCCCCAATCATCAAACCCGAGTTGGATGTGACATCTACTAACGGCTATCGAGGAGCTTATGAGGACATCGGTATCCGGACCATCACTCTGACCGAACCAGAACCACGGAGTGCCCTTGAGATAGTCAGTCAGCAAAGTTTGTTCGGTCAGCAAGGCGGCGGTGATCAGCGTGACACGATCTATCGCGACGTTGATCATTCCACAGAGATCGGAAATTCCCCCCCGCCAAAACGGTGGGAACACCCATACGAGGAAACTCGGGGATCAAAGTGCGTAGTTTAGCGCCAAACCACGAGTAATTATCCCATAAGATTATCCCAGGAGTTTTATCCCATAGGAGGTTGTCCCATAGGAGGCTGTCCCACACGAGGCTGTCCTATGAGAGGTTATCCCAGGGGAGGTTATCCCAGGAGATCATCCCATGGGAGGTTATCCCTTGGGGCTTGGGTATATCCTCCGTTTCGGCGAGTGCGAATATCCGACCTCTAAAATAAATTGTCTCATGACAGGTGCCCCATAGCAACTTATGCCGCAATCAAGAAAATACTTACATTGTGAGGAGGAGTTGAGAACTTCAAAACCATCTTGGACTCCGGGGTGGTTTCCTGCGTGGCTTCCCGGTCACCTCGAGCCGCTTCACCGCCACATGGAACCCTGTTGAATTGATCATGACGAGATACATCCAACCAGTAGGCCGGTCCTTGGACCTCGACAATATCGTCCCACTGTCGGTTGCTACGGGTATTGCGCATGATCCTCCAAACAATTTTCAAGAATGGTGAGTCTCGGACAAAAGAACAATGAACAGCCACGGGAACCAATGCGACGAGCCATCTGGGGGGCTGGGGAGACTTGCCTAAATGTAGGCAGGTAAAATGGGTTGAGAGACTGTGGGGGCTGCGCCGCTCAACTGCATGCGCCACCATGAGATTTCAATGCATCAACACTTGGCAATGCTCACTGCGCCACCGAATCACTACCACCTCAGTGTTTCACCTGAGGTCACGACCAACCCTTGGGAAGACGACTGGTGAGAAATTGCGCAGTACACGCCGTATGTCAACTTTAGAACCATCATGACCATGACCCTTCTAGCTTTAGAATTGTGAGGCACAGCGGCCAAAGCGCCACCGGTGTTTAATCAAGCACTGGCGTTGGCGTTTAATCAAGTACCGGCGCCTAAATGCACGAATCACTGCACGAATCACTGTACGGATGCTGTCACTGCTGACTCATCACGTGCTGTGCCTCACACAAGAGCTCCAAGCTCTCAACTGCTCATTTCCCATCTCCGTCTTCCGCGTTGGCCGCTTCTGTTTTATATATATAGGGATTAAAAACGAAACTACTTATATTCCCAGCTTAAAACCACTGTATTAAAACTAATGTACTAAAATTAACGACGAAAGATAGCACAAAGCCCACCACCAAGCGGCAGCCAAAAGAAAAAAAAAGGCCAGCTACACAAGCCTCCCCACCAAGACACGCGCCAACTCCCTAGACAGAGCGGCGCCCACACGCACGCCCGGAGGCCTCTCGCCCCCCGTCCTGGCCAGCATGCCAGCTCTTCCCCCTAGCCCTGGCACCAACAGGGCCCCGCTGCTCCGCGATCAGGCTCAAGTCCGGCGGCGCGATATCCGAACCGTCCACGTCCTCCTCGTTGAAGCGCGAGGCTCTGGGGCCGGCCGTGGCCTTGGGGGCTGTGAGCCAGGCTGGCAGCGGCCCGGAAAAGGTGGGGAGGGTGGAGGATGGAGCCGAGGAGGAGGCGGAGGAGGACGGGTGCAAGGTGGCGGACGTGGTGGCTTTGCTCTCGCCTGTTGTATCGTCCCCGCCCTCGACCTCCTCTTCGTGATGATGATCCAGACCGAGTGTGGAAGATACGGACCGCAAGGACACGGCTGAATCGGCCGACAAGCTTACACCCGGGGTATTCTGCGCCGTGGTGCCCGCGAGCGTGGTCCTCTCGAGCTCAGCGGTGATATCAAACGCATCGGGATGCGGCAGCACCTCATCGACGTCAAGAGCATCAGGATCCTCGTCCCAGCTCCACGAGCTGGCCCCGTCCGGGGTTGGCACGCGGAGAGACCTGGGCCGCATGAGGGAGTCCATCGAGATCTTGTCCCAGTGGTTACTGTAGACTTCGGACTCGTCCGGGGGTGGTGTTCCTCTGCCGCGCTTGGTAGGACTCCTCCCACGTCTGTCATAATCACTGACACTGCTGTTCCGCTCGCGCTCGCGCTCCAGATCCCCGAGTTCGACGTCGCGCGTGTCGCTGTCGTCGGCGTTCCCGGGCCGGCGGCAGCAGGAACAGATCCACCTCGCCGGCTTGGTGATTGTGGAGAACATCAGCATTAAGCACGCCATGGCGAATGTGGATGTAGCTTTTAACGTACTGCGTAGGAAAGCCTCGAAGCGTGTTCCTCTTTCCATGGTATCGTCTGTCAGTGCTTGCATTTTCCAGACGACTGGTTGGGAATGGGTATCTACCAGAGTTCGATTTGTTTCCCGTCGAGACAGATCACTCGTCGATACAAAATGGCCGGGTTTGTGCAAGATGGTGGATGAAGTTCACGGTGAAGCTGTCAGCGATGATTGGTTATTCCAATAGTGTAAGCAGGTATTGCAAGGAAGTGGACAAGTCCAAGAATAGAGAACTGCCGACGAGACTCTGCGTTCTAAAATTTTATATCCAAATTTAGAAACCCCTGGTGAAAGGCATTGTTCGCCTTTTCATGGCTCCTTCTGTGAATACAAAGCCGCGCCGAGTGCACAAAGCCTTGTTCTGGTCCCTCTGCCAGTGTGAGTGGGACGCCAAGGACAAAGGCGGCGGACAAGGAAATGGAAGAGGCCGTTGTTTGTTTCTCATCTGTGTGGAGTGATGGTGATGGCTAGCAACAGGTGTGATATGCATGGCGCCTTTGGGCTTGCCTCCAGGGCTGTCAAACGCCTCTGTCCACAGGTCACGCCCATCAAGTTGGAGACCAAGGGAGAGGGGCACAATGCCGTTCCGACATCACCGTCAATGTGTGCTGGGAGGTCAATTACAAAGAGTTTAGTCACCGAGAGGTTGTGTCTTGAGAGGTTCCCCTCAGGATGTTGGCCCCAGACAGCCGACCTGGTCATCTCGCAAGATTCCAAGACATCAGCCCACATAAACTTGTTGTGAAAGAGAGCATCTCTTAAGAGGCTGTCCCTGGCTACCCCCGAGAGGCTGTTCCGTTGTAGGTTATTCCGGAGGGGATTGTCCTGCGGGATATTATCTCCTGGCTTGTTGACCTATGAGATGTTAGCAGATCGCCTTATACAAATTTGTCTTCCAAGGTTATACGGCCAGGACGTTATCTGTCAGGTGATGGTTGTATGGGAGGATAGAATGAATGTCATCTACTCGGAGTGGACCTTTACCCGGGTCGCGCAAATGGACAGAGCAACTCTGCAAGGTGTGCATTTCGGACATGGAAATCGAGAGAGGCTGAATGAATACATCCAACCTCTCATCTTGGCCGCTCTTACCCGAATGATCGGATTATCCACGGGGGGCCTGGAACTGAGAAGCCAAGACAAGAAACACTTGTATTACATACACTAAGCTGAGGTATCAATGTTCTCGCTGTGTGTCATCACTATAGCTGAGGTATCGATGTACTCGCTGTGTCATGTATTAAAACCCCGAAAAACAAGGCCATATCCACGCTAAACCAAACCCCACCATCACGTTAGACCGACCATGACCGACCAAACACGATTCCGAAGATGTGGAGGAGCCCCATCCGGTCACTTGATATCACCCCCTTTTCTTCAGCGCTGATACTTCCCCGGAAGCAGCCCCGGGGCCGGGGTGCGGGAAAGGCTCTCCTTCTCCTTGCGCAGGCGCCTCGCGACCCTGCTGTCCCGCCAGCGGCCCTGCCCCTCCTCCGACGGCCCCGGGTCCTCCGGAGGCGTGCGGTCGAGAAACTGCTGGTACCCCGCGCCCCCCATGTCGCGCACGCCCCTGAGGGCGTTGAGCTTGGTGTTCATCCGCTCGGCGTTCTGGATCCGCCTGGCCGAGTCGTCACGGTCTAATCTTCGCTGATAGACCCAGCCTGCCACTAGGAAGCGAGCATGGCGGACTTTAACGACGTCGACAACCACGTCCCGTATTAGTCGTATACCCCGTTTCGGGGGCCCATGTCTGGGGTCCGGCTCTGGCTCCTTAAATCTGACGTGACGCGTGCGTCCCGGGTCAGAGCTTTCAGCAAGACCCCCCCTTAATTGAGGCTTCTAGTCGATCTTTGCGTTTGCGAGGGTCCTGGCCATGGGACTGCTGATGTTGTTGACCTGCGTCATCGAGAGCTTCTTGTATTTAGACTGTTTACGAAGCTTCTTACGCGCGACCATAACTGGGACAGAGCTCTTGGTCACAAGGTAGTTAGAGAAGGAGCCAAGAATTACGCTGCGCTAGTTGTTAGCCATCTTGAAACTATCGTGGGATACGAAGAGAAGTAGATGAGAGGCGGCAACTTACCCCTTGAGTGCGCTTTGCCCCCTGCTCCCGAGGACGACCAAGGTAGGGCTGACGACGTCGATGATCTCCAGAATCTGGTGCTTCGGGTTTTTGCAGTGCAAGACCTCCACGATGACACGGACCTGCAGTTTTGTCTTCCGGAGAAGCTTCTCCACCCTGTCGGTGATGTCCTGAACAGCCATGTGCCGCTCTTCCTCGGCTTTTGACTTGATGGGCGTTGCCAAGGACTCCGAGCTCTGATCGGCTTTTTGCAGCTCCAAGACGCTTCCACCGGGCGTGACGGGGGCCTTGCTATCGGCAACCACGTTCAGCGCAGCACCTTGATCCTTGACCGACTTCGCGTCGTCAGCACCGGCGATGCCGGCCTCCTCGTCGACGCAGTAGAGGCAGATCATGGTGTCGCCGTCCCGGAGGACTGTACCAACGGCCCACTCGAGGGCGTGCGTTGACTCGTCGCTGAGGTCGGAGGCAACAATGTACTTGCGCAGGGTTCTCTGCTCCTCCTTGGCCTCCTGGGCAACCTTGCGCCAGTCACCACGGTAGATGATGCGGAGAGCCCGAGCGGCGTTGGGTGTGTCCTTGATGGGAGTCTGGAAGAGTGACAGCTTCTGTGCGCGCCTGATGTCCGTCAAATCAGCTTCGGTGTCCGAGTCCATAGGCGTCCTTGCTCCGGAGGGCGGGCCATCGTCGAAGCTGGTAGCAGGATGTATCGCGGACGCCTTGGAGGACTTTGACTTCTCGTTCTGCCCAGAAGGGCCGGTAACCGTGATCTGGGGCTCGTCCAAGAGCGAACGGTATTGGTACTTGACTTGCGGGTTCTTCGCAACCTCGATGCGTTCTTCCTCAGCAGCTGCTAGCAAGCTGAGCGCTGCCCTGTCCGTCGCCCCTGCCTTGTCCGGGCCGCCAAGCGATTCGAAGCTCCTAGCCGCCTTGCGCCCACGCTCTCCTTCCTCGGTGTTGGCATCATCCTGATCATCGCTGCTATCGTCGTACAGGTCGTCGCCGTCGGGGGTGAGGTAGTCCTTCGCCAGCCTGCCGCCGTCCGGGTTGTCCTCGCTCTTCTTCTTGCGGCCAATCTCAGCAAGGGTCCCGCCAGAGCGGAGGAGATTTGCATCTGAGAGCCTCCGGTATGCGTTGCTCATGTCCACGCCGTATGTTTCCTCCACGAAGGCCCTCCCGGCCGGGCTAAGGTGCCTGCCTGACAGGAGGTTCGTGGCAGGCGAGCTTGACCGCATGCCCAGGCGGGAGTGGGGGGAGCGCGACTTGCTGCCTATCCGCATGCCAGGCCCTGCGATGGAGTGGCGACCCCTTGTGTCGCCGGGGAGGGGTATCCTGCTGACATCACCGCCCCGTACAAGGTGTGACATGGCGGAGGGGGGCTGGGGCGTCTTCTTGTTGCCCTGTGACACCCGCTTTGGCAGGGCCGCATGGCCAGTGTTGCTCGTGATGATGTCGGAGAACTGGTACTCGGAAGTGAGGTCGCGGATGCCGTCTGATGATCGCGGGCCAAAGCCGACGGGCTTGGAGGACACATCGGACATGTGCCTGGGGTGGGAGGAGTTGGCGGCGCGGGCCAGCTGGTTGGAAGCCAGGACGGGCGAGGACGGGGTGCTGAAGACTTGTTTGCCAGAGGAAGCAGACGCTGGAGGGCTGTCCATATCGAGCATGCTCCTGCGGGGGGCGGAAGGTGGACCGTCTACGTCCAGCATGCTCTTCATGGGGCCTACACGGCGAGGGAAGGTGTTAGCGCTGTGGAGTCGAAGCCGGTCAGACTGGCCACGCAGAAAAGGGACAATCCTCACCGATATCAAGCATGCTCCTGACGGGGGAGCGAGGAGTAAAAGGAGAGGAGGAGCGGACGCCGCTGAGAGCGCTGGGAGGGCGGGGACGGTTCCTAGCGGCGATGAGGGCCTCGACCTCGCGCCTCTCCTCCTCCAGCGCCGCCTCCATAGACATTACTTTGTGCGGATGAGACATTCTGAGGGAGGGACCCAGTGTTTTGCGCCGATTGTGATCGGGTAGGACAGGCAGTCGAGTGTGGACGGGCTCGGCGTGGGAGGACGACGGGACGAGATGGGCGCAGCAGTCGGGGACAGCACCAGAATCGCCCAACGGCAGGTGGGTGCCAAGATCGTTGTCGTTGCGCAAAGAGGCTGGCGGTGATGCTCGACCGAGACGTGTGGTATTGTAACTCTAGGATTAAGGTATGGCAGGTATGGCAAGTATGGCAGATATGGGCAGATTGGAGCCTAGCGTGGGATGATTTGTTGTCGTGGGTGACTGCAGGATTCGAGGCCAGGGAGAAGATGCAACAGCATCGTGTGTAAACAGAAGGGGGGGGAAGAGGAGGAAAGAGCGGGACGATGCAACAGGTCGACTGGTGTTCCTTCAAGTCATGGCTGAGCAGAAAGTGGCCCGGTCGGGTCTGCCAAGAGTAGTGGTTGCCAAGTCTGGGTTGTTGTGCACTACGCAGCAACAATCGGAGACGGAGACAGAGACGGTGTAGGCGTGGGTGCCAAGTGCGTCAGTGCGTGTGGGCTGCTCAGAGGTCTGACCTGCGCCAAGTCTTTGGCGCAGCCGACGATCGACGCAAAGGAGGGGAAGTTCCTCGTGGTGTTTCTGCTGCGCCTGCTGTGGTGGGCTGAGATGATGCAGTCCTTTTCTCCGTCTGCCCCTAGATTTGCGTTGTTGATTGATCTTGCAGTCCTTCCTTAGTGTGTTCATTTACGAAATCAAGACCTACGAGAGAGTTTTGGGCACGTTTTCCAATAGGTAAGGCAGCTGGAGGGGGCCGAATCAATAGGCCTGAAGTACAGTGGGCCGTCAAAAGTCCAGTTCCACCCACCCCTTTCCCACCAAAACTCCCCATTTTTAACAAACTATAAAATAATCCAGGAAATCTATATAAGTTAAGAGTTCAATACATAACATATAAATATAAATACTATTAATATATCCATGTTAATATTTTTAATTCTTAATATTATGTTAAATAAAAATAAACTTTGAAAAGAAATCTTAAAAAGAAACTAGAAACTATAAATTATCTAGGGTATAAGGTGCTAAGACCTTTAGAAGATCCCTAACTATTGAGATTCTTTAACTAAAAGGCACGACGTTCTAGTTAACACCACCGTCAAGATGATACCTCTTAGCCTTGTCTATAGGTTAAGGCCACAAGTACCTATCATATTTTAAGTTGTAACCATAGTAATCAACATCATATCTTTTTAAAGCGCTAGGTCTTGAGCACTTACCACCACATAAAGGCGCCATATATGTCCTCGGACGTATACGGAATAGAAGCGAACCCACATATACGTCCAAGGACATACACGGCGCCTTCATACGGTGACCAACCGCAAATATAAGCCTCTGATGCACAGCGTAGATACACTGTGAGGCAATCAGCATAGCGTTATGGGCTTAGTGTGAAGGATGAAAACAAGAAAGAAGACCAACACGTGCAGGGCTACTTACCACAATGCCAAAGGAAAACATATCAGAGGGCTTATTCACGGGGCCTGACGCATGGGCGTCTTGGCTCCGCCACATCTGGCTCCCCGCTTGCTTCCCTGGGACATGAGCAGAATCTTCCAAGTCAGCTAGCTGTACCTGATCGATATTCATGGCCTCGGTGTTCTGCCGCTGGATGAGGATATTGTTCGGTTTGACATCTATGGGGTGTTTATGTCTTTTTCTCCGCTGCGGGTAATAATGCTTGAACTTAATTACCAATTTGGACAAGGTCTTTCTCATGTAACTTGGCCAGCCCCCTCAGCGCGTCTCTCAGAACATGCTTCACCACCTTTAGCGGCGGTTTCTCCTGAGCCAGACTCGGGAGATTATCGCTGAAATACTCGTAGACAAAGGTCGATCGATCCGGTATGGTATCACAAGCAACACGAGGTTGGGGCAATCACGAAGGCTCTGGTAAATTTCCTGATAGTCGACGAAACTAGTCCTGGACACGTTTTTCACAACAAACTTTTGTTCTTCGGCGCTGTGAGCATCGCTGTCAGCAGGAGTGCATTTTAGAGGTCACACTGGAGACTCATACGTTGCAAGATATACATGACTTGGTGGACGTTCTTCCTCCTGCAGAACCTTTCCGATGGTATAGATGCGGCCTGATTGACCGTTGAGCCGGTGAGGTGGCGCCATTTTGCGAGACGGCTGTGGAGGATGTGCAGAAGAATGATACCGCAGGACTGAGAAACGTGGTGAGAGGCTCGACCGTGAAGGATTGGCAGCAAGAAGACCGGAGGCTAGAAATTTCCTCCAGCTTTCATTGTGAAGCAGAGACATGGTGAACTCATAGAGCATGCAAGGTGCGCCGAAGAGGGGATGAAGATATCAAAGATAAAAGAACCTACTTTTCGATGGATGGGCGCCAAAGCACCTAAGCATTTCTGTTTCCAGAGGCAAGAATCCACGCTCGACATGTAATATTTTGTAGTCTTTGAAGAAATAGACATGCCTGGGAATGAGAGACCTTATTTTAGGTGCCATAGCTTAGTAGCTCTTTATTAGTAAACTATTTAAAGGTTTTTATTAGTTTAAGTACTTTAGATTTATATGTCTAACTTTATTTTATTTATATTAATTAATAACTAATATTTAAATAAAAATTAAAATAGTTATTATTATAAAAAACTTTAAAGAACTATTTTTTAAAATTAAAAAATTAATAAATTAAATAAAATATAATTTTTATATTTATCTTTTAATTTATTTTTTGAAAAAAGCTCTCACTCTTTATTTTATCTTACCCATTTTTATAAATTAATAATTCATTTAGGGTTGTTTAATGTATAAAAATGGTATGCACAGTGTGGTGTTCACCCGCGCCTGCCATGCTCCGCTTGGGCAGCTGTGGGAAATGAAAAAGCTCAGGCCAAAAGAGGCCCAACCTGTGAGTTTGTCATGAGTCTTTGAAACCAGCGTTGAGCTTCTTTCCTCTGGCTGTTGGCATCGTTCCTCTGCACGCTCCATCAGAAGTACTGTTCTGCACAAGACGCCGTGGCGTATCACAAGCCAGAAAACAGCTACGTCAAGCCCCCAGGAACCCCAAAACGGGCAGGCAGGATGGGGCTCTGGACCTAGCTAGTATGGTCTTCCCGCGGTTCTTTCGAGTCGTCTGGGCCCTCTAAGCGCTGCCCCACACAAACTAACCAGGAACCCCGCTGTGCTTCAAGGTTGATCTTTTAGATGACCCCCCGACATTTCTCGATCCCTGCCCCTGCACCGCAAAAAGTGCACGAAGGGTCCATTTCAATACCTGATAGCCGGCCAAGTCTGCATGCCGTGACACATATAAATCGAAACAAGCACCATTCGGATTAACATTATGACAATTGCCCAGCCTTTTGCTGCAACGGGAGCAGGCGACCTTAGTTCAGCCACGAGTCGGGACAGCATTTACGCGCGTGGTTGGGGCCAGCGCAGCCTGCATCTCGAGTCAAAAACACACGCTGGCGGGCCAATTCCAAGAGCGGCTTTCCCATTCAAAGAGCTCTGCGCGGTCCACGGCATCCTTCCTGAATATTCTTCGGCACACTCTTCCCTAGGATTCCCTTCTATGGGATAGCTGCCTACGAGACTCTGTCCTGTGGGAGGGATCATCCGCCTTTCTATATGATACCCTCCTAAGCAATCACGTTTTGTGGAGGAATCCCCCACGCGAGATGATCATATAGATATCAAGTACATAAGCCATTGGGACTCCGCTATGATGCTTTCTTTTTTATATACATGTAAAAAAGAGAAGCCTCAGCAGCGGTATGGCATTAGTAGATGTGATGTGCCGTTGCATTCCAGACAGCTGGATCACCAGTGAGACGGAGGAATCCCACAGTCACACACAAACAGCCCGCCAGCTTTCCAGCTGCTCGAACAGGCATTCGCGCACGAGTATACACCATGTAGCATTTCATACAAGCCCGTGCGTAGTAGACAGGCCACCCCCACCCGTCATGCAGTTTCTCAAACACACCCACCCACCCACAACCAACCAGCCGAGAGGCACGGATCAGACCTTCCTCTTCAGCAGCGCGGGCGAGGTCAGGTTCGCCCGGACGCTCGTGCCCGTCTTGTGCACGTTGTTGCGCTTGTCCCACACGGTGCTGCGGCCCTCGACGACGGCGACGATCTCCTCGGCGATGCGGTGCGCCAGCATCTTGCGGCCGGACCCCATCGACGTCTTCTTCTCGACCACGTCCATGATCCAGCTGAAGGCGGTCCGCCGCCGCGCCCGCCGCGACATGGGCACGGGCACCTCGAGCGCCTTGCCGCCGCCCGCGAGGCCCGTGAAGCCGCGGATCCGGATCAGCGGCGCCACCGAGTCGATGGCGAGCATCAGGTACAGGTTCGGGTTCAGCGGCAGGTGCTCGGGCGGCGGGGACCCGGCCAGCAGGGGCCGCTGGGGGTTGAGCTTGGGCGGCGGGGAGGTTCGGAGGTAGTTGAGGATCATCGCCATGTCCTGTTGGGTTTGAGCGTGTTAGCTTTGGTTTTCTGGGCCGGGCCGGGCCATGTTTTTGGTGTCCCCCTGCGTGTGGCTCTTCCCCGTCCACGCGGCAGTCCACCTCGTCCTGCCAGGTCCGGGAGGAGGTAGATCTTATCGTCACTGACCCTCTGTGCCTTGCTCAGCTTTCCGTCGCGCATGAGCAGCTTGGTGAGCTGTATTATACCCTCCTCGTAGCGGTGCTTCATGTGGAATTTCGTCTCGTGCAGCTTGCCCACGGGTACCTCCGGCTCCCCGAACTTGAACCCGCCGAAGGGGTTCAGGCCGATCGCCGTGAGCTCCAGCTGCGACAGGGCCAGCTCCCCCGGCGTCGGCTCCCGCATCTGAACATCCTCCTCTCTGATGCTGTCCTCGGGAGACGGCGGTGTTGGGCGGCCAGCAGCCAGGCTTCCTTCCACACCGGGTATGTTGGGGATCCCGTTCGGGCGCGGCGCTCCTGGATCAGTGGAGAGTTGTCGCGCAATCGCCGCGATCGCAGGCCGTTGTGATTGGCACACTGGCCGTCGTGATCGTATGGCGATGGAGCGGCATGCGCCCCATATGTTGGAGGTTGGCGGCATTGTAAGGTGTGTTGGGGAGCTGCTGGAACCAATCGCAGACCCGATGCTGGCAGGCGGCCGTGATGCGCGGTCGAAGCCATCGCGAAAAATCGACGCCACTCCCGGCAGGCACGGGCCTGCTTACATAACTGACACACCATCCCTCCCCTCCCCCCTCCCCAGATTTCTGCCAGGGTCAGCCCTCCCACTCCCTGGGGAGCTCATCCTGGGTTCTCCTCTGGGGAGCTTCGCCCAGCTGCCAGCTCGGATCAACCTTCCTGCTCCTTGCGCATCGATCCCTGCCCTCCTTTTCTTATTCTGCCCATGCTTCATTATCTCACCTCAAAAAACGCCTCGGTCTTCGCCTCAAGACGTCGAACCAAATAACGCCCTTGTCTCACTCTGGAACACCACGACCAGCTTCCCTCTGCTGCCTCGCCAGCACGGCCGGTCTGAAGCCGTCTCCATTATTTCCGCCCGCCCAGCATTTGGGCGTCGACGATCTTACTACGAACTGACACCGGCTTCTTTCGTCGCCCGGACTACCACACAGTACGTAGGTCGACTCCCGTGCCGTCGACGCAACCACATGTGTGTCTGGTCCGGTACACCGGTCAGCATCGTCGCCAACAGCTGCCCCTTCCCCCTCCGCTGCGACTCTCGTTGCATTCGGGCAGCTTCGAAATGGAACCCAACCGGGCGCCCCATCAGCGCCCGTCCGCCTCACCGAGATGATGGATGGGTGCATCTTACCATCCATCGATCAGGTCTCAATGCGAGACCGTGACCCGAAGGCCGGCTACTGGCAGCAGGAGCATCGTCATCGTCATCATACCGCGAGTTCTGGAACCCTTCAGCTAGCCAGCCAGCCAGCCAGCCAGGTAGCCAGCAGGCAGCTCCACAGCTCATATCATCAACTGATGACATGATGTCTCGCTCGGCTAAATTGCCCCGTCCCCCCCGTCCACGTGGTGGTTGGCATGCAGCAGACCGCGGCGCAGTCAGCACTCAAGCCCAACATTGGCATGCGCGACATACATCCGCGACCCTCGACCGCTGCTCCTCCCTGGGCCGCTGCCTCAGTGGATCGCCATCGCTTGTGATCACAGGACCCGGTATGGGGGAGGCAGGGAGGTGGGGGAGGGAGGCTCAACACCCACCACCCAGGCAGGGGCATTTGCTGTTTTCTTCTGGTTTTTTTGCTTTTTCTCTCTCCTCTTCCTTCCTTTGTGTCCACTGTCTACACTACATAATCCCGGATCATCCCGCCAAACAAAAAACCCCACGGTGGGCCACAGGGCAGGGTTGACAGTGCTTGCTGCCTAGCGGTCTGCCAGTCTGCCTGGTACCCGATAGACAACCCTGGCAGTCAGGCAGTTTCAATATGGCTGAGGGTGTACAATGAACCCATGGCTGAGACAAGGGTCGGCTCCCCTTCCCACGAGCATGTCCTGCAGCTGTCAGGGTGTCATTGGACTTCAACTACCTGACTACACAGTACCTCCCACCTACCTGACTACCCGACTCTTCTCCAAAGCGACCCAGCCCTTCAGCAAGTGCTAGCCTAGCCGCAGCACCGGCTGCATGCCAATCTGCAGTAAGAGCCAAGGTGGCTGCAGCTCGCTGGGAGGGAAACGAACGAACCCCGTTTTTTATTCCTGTCAACGTCGCAGGCTGTAGCAGGGGGGGGGCGGGGTGGTTCAGCTCATCCTCGGAGTCGAGGCCCGGATCACACAGCTCGTGATCTTGCTCCCCGTGGTGGGAGAGGGTGGTCCGGAGCGAAGCGAGGCGATGCAGAAGCCTGCCCCACGACACGAAACATCGGACCCAACCGCCAACGTCCTGCATGGCCGAGTAGTACCTCGAGAGAGAGAGGGAGAGATACACAGTACACCGGCACATCGGCTATCAACGCTATGGGACGTTGAGCGACCCCGGCTCGCAGATCTTGGCTTTGACGGCTCCCCCCGATGCTCGCCCAGGTGCAACTGACCTGTCACACCTCACCCAGGGGACACATTGTGAGCTTTGTCCGGCTTTGCTTCTGTTTTATTCTCCTGGTTGCATGTCACAGATAATTTGACAAAAGACATGTAATATCTGATTGGCATTACTATGAGACTGCTCTCATCTGATCTTATCTCGAGATGCCGGCGCCAAGATCGAGTACAATGGTAAAAGGAGAGGGAGTGTGGGCCGGGGGCGCGGAACAAAAGACATGTGCCCATCGACTCCACCATATGGAAACCACCCCTCGCGCCACGCTTGCTTTTCCTGATCTCACACAGGCGCTGCCTGTTTGTTCCCTGCCCTTCCTTGCGTCAACGACAGTAGGCGGAGGAGAACAAGTCCTGTTCTCATGGCGTGAAGTCGATGTCGTAGAACAATCTCGACTACACCCCAAGTCCTGCACAGACCCAAAAGACACAGAAGGGAAGAACACACAGACACCCTGCCCTGCCCTGCCCTGCCCTGCCCACCGGGGGTTCTAGATCTGCATCCGTCTAGAACCCAGCCCTGAGGAGGTCGGTAGGCAGCAAAGGAGAAGAAGCAGAAGAAGCAGCAGAGGCAGGCCAGCATCCCTCGCCCGATATCCTTCTTCTCTCAATCTCGCTTGTTCCCGCATGTCTTGCCCTCTGGCCGGATGCCCCATCCGGATGGGTGATCGTCGTGCGGGATGGATCGATCTGAAGGGAGAAAAAAAAAAGAAGAGAGAACCGGACCCCCGAGAGAGAGAGAAGACATCAAACAAAACAAAAAGAAAAGGCAAAGAAAAAAAAGAAACACAGGAATTAAACGGGGATGCATGATGCGCTGTCAAGAATACATGGCGCGCGTGGCGTCATCGGACATTCATTATTGATCCCATTGCTGCATCTCGTGGTAGATAGATGGATGTGCCGGCAGATTCGTGCCATGCCATGCCCTTTTCTGTCTGTCTGGCTGGAGTGCTTGCCTGCTTGCCTGACCCTGATCGTCCATCTGTGTGACCCCAACACAACAGTGCGGCTGTCGTCAAGGCGCCGCCTGCCTGCTGCCTGCATGCCTCCCCAAACACCCCCCCCCCCCCCAAATGATGATGAACAGGTAAGGACTGTGAGTGGGGAAATGATGTGAGGGAGGAAAATTGAACCAAGAAAAAAATAAATAAATAAAATAAAATAAGCTCCAAAAGCAAAGTCAACAGTAACGCCAGAGACGCGCCCTGATTCCGCCTTGCCTTCCTCGCCTTGCCTCGCCTCGCCGTGTGGCGCCGCCGTTTTGGCTGTTTCTCTGCACTGTCGCTGCTGCCTGCTGCCTGCTGCCTACTGCCTGTCTCCTTTTTTGTGTCTTGTCGTCCCTCCATTGCACGGTGGCGGGCGCCCGGTATCAAGTAAGTATGGTACAAGTCGAGTCGCAAGAGAAAAAAAAACCGAGCGGACCGGGGGGGGGGGAATAAATTGCGAGGCTGATGGGTGGTGGTCCGAAGTAAGCCGGGAGAAAACAAGGAGTGTGTGTGTGTGTATGTATGAATTTTTTTTTTCTTGTGAAAGAAATCCGTGATAAATCACCCCAAACCCAATAATACAATGAAAAAAGTTGATCCAGTGCCGCCGGTTGGAAATGCCGGGCCGCCGGGCGTGGGAAGGGTTGGCCGAAGGCGGGAGCAGACGTCTACTCGCGGCAGTCGACCAGGCGCCCCGGCAGACGGACGAGCTGCAAGAAGTTCCGTGGACGCGACGCAGCGGGAACAGGCCAGGTACCGACCGTCCCATCGCCACGCGCCACGGGTCCACGTTGTGCTGCCGGGAGGGCCCTGGAGGGAAAAGGCGCGAGTGAGGCTGCTGTGGCGCGGCAGAGCGAGAGAGCGATCTGCGACCCGTGGCTTGTCAGAGATAGAGACAGACACGACACAGACGGATTCTTCGTCAACGAGTGCTGCCGCTGCTGCCGTCTTGCTCGGGTGGCGGCCTCGCCCTCGCATTCGCCCACGACCCTCGACCCTCCCTCTTTCCCCCCCCCCATTCTTGTTCCTGCCGTCCGTCCGCCACTCCCTCTCTCCCACACACACGCACGTGCGTGGTGGGCAGTCGGGCGCCCCCCCCGTCTTACCACCGCCTCCCCGCCGAGGGCGACGCCGCCATGGAGATGAAGCTCAGCGCGACCTCGGCGGCGTCCTCCTTGGCGTTGTTGAGGTTCTTGCCGTCGTACCAGAACCGGGCCTGGTGGATCGCGCCGTTGACGGTCACCCGGCTCGACCAGGCTGTGCGGCCACCTGTTTGTTTTGGGTAATGTGTGGTCAGCCATATCGATCTGATAGTTTCCTGTGCCTCCTTCCCTCCAACCCCCTCGCACTTCCGTGGGGACGGGTGGCGGCCGGGCTGGCTGGCTGTCTGGCTGTCTGCCGCCGCCACCTCGCCTCATCCATCTTCGGAACCACTCTGGATGATGGGGCGCTGGAAACGGCTGGCTTTCGGGGGCTCAGGCTTACCTCTTCTGTCTGAGACGATTTGGAACGATGGCGAGGCAATCTGATACTCGCGGCACGCGTCTGCGGATTCCTCCCTGTTAGCATAAAGTATGTAGAAGCTGGTGAAATATGTGACGTGGACAAGGCACGACGTGTTCGGGCGGGCAGTTCCAACCTTCAAGCCTGCTCTGCCATGCGCAGCTCTCGCCGGCGCTGCTGGTGCTGTGGGCCCTCGAGCTGTGTCGTGACGAAGAAGACATGGTGTCGTGTTGTGGTGGGGTGTTGTGCGGTGCGGTGCAATGTGAGATGTGCTGTGAAGCGTTGCGGTGCTTTGCGTTGCGTCGCGTGTATGTGTATGTGTATGTGGGTGGTGCTGTGTGCCGTGTGCGATGGTATTTATTGCGCGAGGGTAAAATGGGCTTCCCAGCGATCGTGCAGTGAGATTTTGATGCCGGAGGAACAGTCAGACGTGAGAAGAAGGAGGAGGTTTCTGAAGGCCGCGGGCTGAATCAACGCCGGAGGTCTTGTCAAGCAAGGGAGGAAAGTGTGATGTGATATTGGTGCAGTAGTGGTGGTCCGATAGTGACTGAAGGGAGGGAGGCCCACGATGCTCTTATACCCGTGCCCGTGCAACAAGCTGACGGTACAAGTCCAACGACGCAAAAGAAAAGAAATGATTGGAGACGGGGTGGTGCCTCGATGCGTGTGAGGTGGCAGGAAAAAAAGACGAGACGGTGGGTGTGTATTGCGGGCGTTCCTCACATAGATCCCCTTTACATTCGACTTGTTTGCATCAGACGTTGCATGTAGACGGCAGGGCCGGTCGGGAATTAACTTGGTAGCCACGGGCAAGTGCATCCTCATTGAATCGTGGCAAGCAGGGTGGACGGCCGGTATTTGCTACGCGGACGATCTAGGCCTGAAAAAGACAAGGAAATATCAAAGAAAAGAAAAGTCTCAGCTTTTTTGGGGCCCTTGTAAGGCCATCTTTACTTTTCCAACACAGAAGCATAGGAGAAAGGCGGACAACGTACTGTGAGGACCTTGGTCGTAAGTATTGCAGTTGAATTATCATCAAAACATCCCCACATTGTTAAGGCGAGTGACAACCCATCACCCAGAACAAAGGCCTAGTGCGGAGGTACTGGCGTCCGTCGGAGGAGCGCAGTGGTACAAGCAGAGTACCAGAAGGAGACGCGCAGTGTTCTGAGCTCTGTCTGAAGGTGTGTGACGGTTGTCTTGGGAGAGGGAGTCGACCGGGCCGGATGAAATGGCACATGTACCGAAAAGCAAGATGAGGGCATACCGCATCATTTCGACTGGGGATTCTGCTATCGTGGATCCATTCGAGTTTTGTTTCTTGCTTCATCATCTGCGTCATGTAAAATGACGAGGGGGGGATTTGGGTCTATTCAAGGAGATTTGAGTAGTCGTGTTAGGCTCCAGATCTCTGTGACACCTCAGATTACGCCCGGAAGCAAGCGCGAGGACAAAGGGCAGGGCAGACAGAACGGACCAGGCCCAGACAGGCTGGCTTGGGCGGTGGTTCGAGATGCCCAGCATCCTGTAAGCAATCATGCAGCCAGGGAGACAGCAAGCGGGTGTGGCACCTGCATATGCGGCAGACATGGGCCTGCATCCGTGACAACCACCCCGGTGTAGAACTTGGGGGGGTCGGGCAGCGTTGATCCTACACCGGGCGTTCCCCATCTGAATGAGTGGGTGTCGTCGACCGCAGCTCTGACGCCGTTGCTTGCAACGACTTTTGGGGATTGCTTCACTTGGTCGGTGTTTCGGTGTTTAGGTGTCTCTCGAAATGTTTACTCGCCCTGGCGATCCTGTATGCAGATGTCTGATCTCAGCCATCGCGCTCCAATGAGACCGGGACCCACACTTGGTAGCGTCCCGGAAATCTGGGCCCAAGCGATGAGGGAGGGACAAACGGCGGCATCAATGTGCGGAGGCCCAAATCTAGCATATTCGCAGGACTCATGCCAGGCACGACAGACCAATGTGACCCTCCACCGTTTACTGTACCCGAACCAATCATTCTCATGTGTATTTTGGAGGGGGCCTTGACACCTGATGCATGCAGGTCATGTCATGTTGAACCGGCATGCCCAGGCTCGTTCGTGATGTGTTATGCCGCCCGAAAGCCACAGCCAACAAACGAGGCTGATGAGGATTCGGAAATGCCTAATTTTGGAAGTCGATGAGCTGGCTCCTGATGATCGAGATTAGACTTCGGCGGTGCCAGTGGGCATCAAGTGGTGTTAGTATTCCTCATCGTAGGCGAGTCCGAGGTCAGGTAGAAAGATGGCAATCTCCATTACGGCCTAGGGAGAGACGAGGCCTAGATTTGGACGGAATATTTTGGGCACAGTGCCGCCTGCACTTGTGCTGCCTGAAGCCTCGATTGAGGCAGGTCCAGGAGTCTGCCAAGTGACAATTGTTGACCTTGGTCAGCGGGGTTATGCTGCAGAAGCGTGGCAGTCATGATGCCACACGCATCAGTGTGAGGCGTCCCGACACGAAGAGGTACAGTTGACCTGCAAATTTGCCGCTGTAGTCAGCCTCACGATACAAATTCTTGGTCAGTAGGATCAACTCTTCCCTGTCCGCTCGTGTCGTCTACTGATTTGCCTAAAGCTACGCTGGTAGTGGTGCTGGTGCTGCACCGACGACTCGCACTAAGTGGCCGGCAGGTTGAACGAGGCGAGGCTTCCGGCGGATGCAACATGGGAGTAGCCCTCTGCCCTTGATACGGTCGTACAGGCCAGCTGTCCTGGTCAGCCCTGTTAAGGGCTCTCTGCTGAGGCGCAGACGTACGTCTCTGGTGGTGATGGCGGACTGCGACAAAGCCAGGGGGGTTGCGTGGGTGATCAACAGCCCTGACTGCCTTTGAATTGCGAAGTGCGAAACGTGTTTCTTTTGCGCTCGCAAAAGGGGTAAGTGATGGCTCGGATGGCTGGCTGTTAGGGCTTGTAGACGTTCAGACATGGAGTCAACCGAGACGCGGCTCTTTTGAGCGATCGATATCATCAGCTGCGGTTGCCGAAGGAAAAAGCAAAACGGTACCACCCAGCGTTGTGGGAGTGTCTCCAAGCTGCCAGTGTCAAGCAGCAGAGCGACATGCAACGCCCAATCGGTAGGCACAGGTGCGCGTTACACTACTGGTGATAACCCGTTCTGGTATCCCGTCCACAGGCTACCAGGCTGGTCACACAACAGCAGAGCGTCGATTTGAACCGTGAAGTCAGCCTTGCACAGCAGCGTTGTTGCTGACATCTGTCGTGGCCAGCACCGAAGCATATGCCCGAGTCCTAGAGTGTCGTATTACTTTTGTGCCAGGCAGCCCAACATATGCAATCGCTCAAGTATCCCGATGGTGCCGTGTTGATTCGTTATCCATGATAAGCCAAAGGCAAGATGCGGCAGCCATATCCGATCGAATTTTGGGCATCCCATAAAGAAGAGATACCAGGCACCGCCAACAAATCACTGATGGTGATAGATCACTGCGAGGCCCAAGGCTTGGCCGCGGGCAAGGCGTTCCCCTCGCAGAAGAAGCGAAGCCCGACTTTGCGATCGACGCACGTGTGGGTCGACGAAGACGCGTGGACGAAGGACTGCCGAAGGGGCTGGGGCGGATGACGTGCAGAAGGTAAGCAGCTAGCCGGTCAAACAGCACCACCAGCAAGCAGGAACGCTCAGCTGTTGGAGCGTATGTTGACTGACGGGCGGCGTCTCTATGACCAAGTCAGTGTCCGTCTCCGTCCGAAGAGCAGCTTCTACTCCCTCGGGCAGCTGCAGTCAGGCAGCTTCTAGGCAACACCAGACTCCGGACGGACCGGCTGGCTGGGCCGATTGCTCGGAGAGGCGCATTGAACGGGCGGGTAAGGGTGATGCGGTGTCATTTCTTCCAAACTTCAGAATTGGTTGGGCCCAGCGGCCGGCTGGTCAGGCATGTCGCAGCCCAGCAGCCCAGCAGCCCATCATCCACCCAAGGTAAGACCGACGCCGGAGTGTTCAACGTGGGACTGCAGGTAGACCATGGAAGCCACGTCCTGCCATCGCCTTGATTACGAACTGCGGCATGTCGTCTGCGTATCGAGTATCGGTATCGACGGGCGCAGCTGCAGCTGTCAGGTGGCTGGCTGGCTGATGGAGCTGGCTGGTGGTTGACAGAAAACGGGCAAGGACCGCAGGTAAACAGAAGAGGTTGATACGCCAGTGACGTGACTGAAGCCTGGGTTCCAAGGTTCACTTCCGATTGGGAACCTCCAGGCCCCAGGGTAGGGCCCAGGGTCCGGGCGACTGCCCAATTTAGCATTGAGCTCTGCCAGGGGTCGCCAAATGACAAGAGCCATCCGGCGGGTAGGCTTGACCAGAACATTGCGTGCTATCAGATAGACCAGGACCTTACATTGTTCATGAATACTCCCCTTCTACAATGACGAATCTATCGATTAATTTTCTGGAAACCCCGCATCACTAGAATGCCTCGGGTTTTAGCCAAAGGTCTGCCTGTCAATGATTAAGACCAGTATTGATGAGGACCTCGGGAAGAGCGGCCACCATGACGTAGGCAGAATTATAAAAGATCAGTGATATCCCAGTATCAACATGGTGTTGGCGGAAAGTTTCTTGTCACAAGGTTCTACGCTGGGCTAGTCTTGTTGCTTGTGCCAGCATTCGCCGATACTGCCGGTTTTCAGTGTGGGAATAGCTTCAATAGTTGGCCTCCGACCTGCAGCCCTCTTTCTGTTGCACTTCATGTCTTCTGGCCCTTGCATGATGCCCAGAATCAACACGAGAGAACAGCACCATGTCGAGTGATTTTCAGGTTGTCACGACTTCTACGCCCGGCCCGACTTATTTTCCTGCCATGTTCTGTCTGTCTCGTCGGGCGGGACAGGTGACTCGCGCTTTCAGCTGTCAGAAGATGGCGATAACGATAGCGATCGATATAGCCTACATGGCACACAGCACTGCACAGGTGTGTGTAGTAAGCGGCTGAGCAGGGGTTCGATCGTCGGCTACCCCAGACTACGGGTCAGGGGTCCCACTGCCACGGAAGAGGCCCCCCATCCCCCCAATCCCCCATTCCCCACAACTGGACCTCGGCTCCTTTGACTCGGCTGACCCTCCCTGGATCCCGAGGTCGTCCTCCGTCCCCGACCGCGACTCGAGACTGTTTTCACAAAGACGGGGCCGCCCTCATTCCTCATAGACTAGAGCATCGTTTCAGCGCCTTTCTCTTCCTAGACTTGACTTCGACTCACGACATTTCTCATTCTCCTAGACTTGCATACCCGCAGAGATCGTCAAGATAGCCCCCGTGGTCCTACTTCCAGCCATCCCTTTACCACACCAGTCAAGACCAGCACCATGCCGTGGAACACAGAGCTCACCCGCCGGTTAGGCATTCGAGGTTAGTAGGGTATTCGGGAGGGAGATACTCTGGAGGGACACCCCCAAGCCCACCAGGACATGTGGATACCGTCTAGAGACAGTCGACTGACAAGAGCCGCAGTGCCCGTCGTGCAGGGCGGTATGATGGTACGTGTCCCGAGTCTGCCCGGCTCTGCCCTGCGACTCGTGCCACCGAGAGGGCACATCGTCTCCCTTGGACGAGACGTGGCCATGAGCAGGCGGCCCCGTGGCGATGACCACATGATGAGAAAGATAACTGACTCCCGGGCCCCCTATTCCAGTACGTCGGGTACGCCGAGCTGGCCAGCGCAGTCTCCAACGCCGGCGGCCTGGGCATCATCACGGCCCTCATCTTCCCAACGCCAGCCGACCTGCGCAAGGAGATCCAGAAGTGCAGGACCATGACCAAGAACCCCTTCGGCGTCAACATCACCCTCCTGCCGTCCATCAACCCGCCTGACTACGGCGCCTACGCCCAGGCCATCATCGACGAGGGCGTCAAGATCGTCGAGACCGCCGGCAACAGCCCCGGGCCGGTCATCAGGAAGCTCAAGGAGGCCGGGTGTATCGTGCTGCACAAGTGCAGTGAGTCTGCCCACCCCTCCCCCTTGACCTTTGTGTGTGTGCGTGCGTGCGCGCATGCGCGGTGGTGCGGCAGGAGCTTACGTGGTGACACCTCGCACGCACAGCCACCATCAGACACGCGCAGAGCGCCGTCAAGCTCGGCGTCGACTTCCTCAGCATCGACGGGTTCGAGTGCGCAGGGTGAGTGAGATGACACCGCATGCCGGCCCCGTCATGCTTCTGTCCCCGTGATTTCGGCTTGCTACGTGGCGCTTGCCATGCCGCGGTCCTTGCTTTCTTTCTTTTTTTGTTTCCCCCCTCTTCCCCCTTTTCTCTGCACGTCATGACAAGGCGCGGCTGACGGCCTGGTCCTGCCGGGCAACGTTGCTCAGGCCCGGACACCCACCGGGCCCTTGTCTGTATTGTGCATCTCCCGTCATATGGTCGCCCGCATTGCCTCATGCACATGCGAGCTTCCCGGCAGCCCGGCCACTTGCTTTTCCCCTCGTAGTTTTGCTTCTCCTTCCCACCCCCTGAGCTGTATAACCAGCATGCCTCCGACCGCCGGAACAAGTTCAACTTGAGAATACGATGTCCCGGGGAGGGGGGGCTGGTCAGTCACCAAGGGGGACCCGCCATGCTAACGCTTATCCGCAGGCACGTGGGCGAATCGGACATCACCAACTTCATCCTGCTCAGCCGGGCGCGGCAGTCGCTCAAGGTGCCCTTCATCGCGTCGGGCGGGTTCGCGGACGGGCAGGGGCTCGCGGCGGCGCTGTGCCTGGGCGCCAGCGGCGTCAACATGGGCACGCGCTTCATGTGCACGGTCGAGGCGCCCATCCACGAGAACATCAAGAGGGAGATCGTCAAGGCCAGCGAGACCGACACCGCCCTCGTCCTGCGCAGGTGGACCAACACCACCCGCCTGTACAGGAACAAGGTCACCGAGCAGGCGCTCAAGGTCGAGAGGGAGAGCAAGACGGGCGAGTTTGCCGAGATCGCCCCCTACGTGAGCGGGCAGCGGGGCAGGCAGGTGTTTATCAACGGTGACCCGGACCATGGTGTAAGTTGTGGCCTCCCCCCCTCCCCCCCCCCCGCGACCGATCATCTGTTGCTTTTTGTCGTGCCGGATGGGATGATGCTGACGTGGCGCGTTGTTCAAGGTCTGGACTGCCGGCCAGGTCATCGGCCTGATCCACGACATCCCGACGTGCAAGGACCTCGTCGAGAGGATCAGCGTGGAGGCCGAGGGCTCGCTCAAGGAGAAGCTGGAGCTTGTCTCGCCGACACAGAGCAAGCTGTAGATGTGTGTTAGAAGTAGTGTACATTTGACCGCTGCCAATTTTTTTAGAAGTTCAGACCAATCGACCGACATTCAGTCTCGGATTTCAAGACATCAGCACCAAGGCTTCACCGGACGGTGACTGCCCATCTGAACACGTGATCTCGAATGGCCTGTTGTAACATTGAATTCAGATGTAGACCGACCCCCCCACCCCCACAATGCCTGCTGTTCACCTGCGATGAATTGATCCCGTGACCTCTCTGTCGGTCTCGTCTGTCAAGGTGCTCCCCACCCACGCAAACGCGCGTGACAAACGCGTAAGGGCTCCCAGGCTGACCTCAGCCGGCCGCGCTCTGTTGTCGCCACAGGTCGATTCCGGCCCTACTTCCATTCTAAAACCAAATCTAGGCGCTGCTGCTGCCCTACCCGGCCCAAGACAAACATGTTCCTGTACCTGTCGCAGGCGCCTGTCGACGGGCGCCGCTGTGTCTCAGGTCCTTACCGCCGGCGTGGCGCGACGGCCACGAGGCCTCTGAGCTGCCGCGGCAGAGGAGGCCCTTGAGAAAATACGCCGCCGTCTGTTCGCCAGAGACGGATTCTCTTGGGGAAAAACATTCGAGACGGCCAGTCTGGGCTTTTGAGAGCCCTCGAGGTCAACCGCCCATGCTTGCTGCCATGTCAGATCCGTCCATTCCACCAAGTCAATTAATGCTTGAATACATCTTTGGTCTGGAATACCGCACTACCCAGAAACCCCTGAGATCGTAGTTTACGCTAGCATGGTAGTAGGGCTGGTGAAGAGCTGGTTTCCAAGACACGTGTGTTGTTTACTGACTTCAGGAGCCACAGAGACATTAGGCCTGGACTGTTTCATTATCGTGAGGAGCACAGTGGCGGCCTCATTGCCTACAATCATCGAGTTGTGTGGTGTATGCTCTGGGCCTGAGCTGTCGGTGTAGTACCTAGAGTATAGAAAATCCATGGAATCAATCCTCTCCGGAACACTTATACATAAGGAGTGCCCTCGATGACACGAGCACACACGATGACTGCGAAATTCTGTCTCCTTCGCAAACTTCGACACATCCAAAGCCTCGAGCTATCACCACACCATGCACTCCTCCATCTTGATTCTACCCGCCGCAGCCTCCCTGGTCAGCGCAGGATCAGCCGTCCTGTACATGTGCACACTCGCAGACGATCCCAGGATCCACTCAGGGAGCACGGCAATGATCTCACTGCGTGCCCACTACAACAACGCGGAAGACGGATGCGACGGCCTCTTCGCGTTCGACGCCTCGACCGGGGCCATACCCCCTCTTCTCGGCTACCACAGGTTCAAGGGCGACGACGGGTTCGCCGCTGACATGGAGCTCCTCTCGCCCCGCCCGGGCCTGCACATCAGGCTGGATGACGAGGAGGTTGCCCTCGGCGACGCGTCGGAGACGACACGTGTCGGGCCTGAGGACTCGGCAGAAGCTTGCAGGAGCATGGGGCTGGAGGACACCACTGGGGGACGCCCGGTTGAGCTGATCGTCTTTGTTTGGTATGATGTTCCGAAGACGAAGTGCAAATAAGTGAGCGGACATCTGGAGCCAAGGGTACTAGTAGGTCTTGATCACCAGCAAAGCGACTGGGACCTTCACCGACGAAGAGCAGGTGTTCTTTGGGCTCAACATCACTCATGATGATACGACATTGGATACGGCCTGGCCGGTTGAAGGTATTAATTACAAGTTCTAGTATCTTATCTAAGCAGTCTATTAGGGCAAAGGGTTACGAGTAGAGTAAATAGGCACACGCAATATAGGCGTAGAGTAGGTGTAGGGAAGAAATAGTATATTAAATAGTAGTGGGCTATTAATTATTACCTTCCTTTTTTCCTTTTAAACCTTTTAATTTCCCTTTATCTTTTTATAGCTAATATCGCGCCTATATAATAGAATATTTATGCTATTAAGGTGCTAATACTAGCATCTTTTACTAGTATTATATTAAAGCCCCACTAATATTAGCTTATTATAATAAATATTTTTAATAAATTGCCCTCCCTTTTATATTTTTATTTTTAAAAGTAATAATAATATAATATTATAATATTATTATAATATTATTATAATATAATTAAGGCCAAGTTAAAAATAAAAGGGCCGGGCTATAGTATGTTATATTTTAAAGTAATATAATAGTAACTAGGGGATATTATTAATATAAGAGTTTTTAATAAGGCTAGACTAATATAATAATAATATTATAAAAAAGTAAAATAATTATAATTTTTAAAAAATTTTTTTTTTATTTTATTATTATTATTTTTATTATTTTAAATAATAAATTATATTATTAAAAGTATTTATTATTTTAAATAGCTTTATTATTATAATATAGGTAAGGCACTTTCTTGCCCTTATATTTAAACTTTTATATTCTTATTTTCTTTTTTTTTTTTTTTTCCTTAATGCAATTAGTTAAATAGTAAATACCCCCTATATATAATAATTTGCAAAAATTATATTAATATATTATAATAATAATAATAAAATAGTAATAATAAAATAGTAATAATAACTCTAATAGTAAGTCCTCCTTTTATTACTATTATAATATATTTGTACTATTTAAGCTAGATATTTATATTAACTTATTTTTTAATTATTTATTATAACTATTATTAATATTAGTTTTTAATATTTTTATATAATATACTTATAATATTTGTGCCTTATATTAATAGCTTTTATAGGTTTTTAAATATTTAATATTTCTACTTTTATTATAAATTATATTTTTATAATATTATATTTATATAATATATAAGTTATATTTATATTAGGCTTTTATTAATAAATACTTTAATTTTTTTATTTTTATTTTTTAATAGCTTTGCCCTTAAATAAATATATTTAAGTTTATTTTATTTATATTATGCCCTATTATAATCCTTTTAGGTATATTAAATATTAATATTATATTTTTAATTATTTTATAAAAGTTAAAAGCACTTAGCCCTATATATATAATATTTATATAATATGTGCATTATATATACTACCTAAAAATAATATTTATTATTATTATTATTAAACTAATAAAATATATATTTTATATAATGCTTTTATTATATATTTATATTATATATATATAATTAATATAATTTTATTTAAATACTAACAAGTATTATATTTATTATAATTATAGCAACTAAATTTATACTTTTATAAATATATTTTAGTTCCTTTTTATATATTACTAATCTATTATATATATATTATATTAAATTTTTTACTATATATAAGCCGTTTTAAGCCTTTTTTTAAAATAATAAATATAAGCGCCTTATAAAGGCAATCTACCTTTTACTTGCTAAAAGTATAATTATTATAACTATATAAATTATACTTATTATTATTTTAATAGTTACAAAAAATAAGTTTATATTACTAATTTACTATAATATTATTATATTTAAAAAGCTTATATATAAAATATGGGCACTATATATATTTTATAAAAATAAATAAAAATAAAAAAATAATAAAAAATAATTTAAAGGTATATAAGAAATAATAACCTTATAAAAACATAAATAAATAGGCATATTATACCCTTATAAATATAATATAAAATTATTATAAGGGTAATATTAAATCCCTAAATAGTAAATATATAAAATATTTATATAAATAAAAATAAATATAAATTATATTATATATATAACTTTAATACTATATTAATATGCTTTTAACTACCTTTTAATCTTTATTTTATATTTTATATTAAGTTATTTAATATATAAAAATGCAGCTTTATAAATTATTATTATAGCTATAATTCTTTTAATAAATAAAATATTATTATACTAATTATAGCTTTTAATGCCCTAAAATAGCTTTTATTTTAAAAATATTATTTTATTTAATTTTAATATTAAATTATAATATAAATACTTTACTTTTATAAAGCCTAAATAGCTTTAAAGCAATAATAAAATAATATTATAAATATAATATTATATAAATAAATCCAACTTATAAATAAGGCTATACTTTTAATTATTTTAAAATGTAAAATAGGCCTAAATACTTATTTATAAGTTTTTACTTTTATATTTTTACTATAAATATTTTATTAATATTATAACCAAATTACCTTTTATAAATTTTATATTAAAGTATTAATAATTATACTACTTTATATATTTGGCATTAATATAATATAAATATTATATAATTTAAATATATATAGCTTAAATATTTTTACTAGCCTTAATTATATTTAAAATATTAGTTTCTTATAATAAAGGTATATTAATAAATGCTACTAGGTTATAACTAAATAATATAAATAAAAGCTAGCTTTAATTATTAAATATTTAAAATTATTATATATAAATTATATAAAATATAATTATTATATCTAATTACTTTATTTAATATTTCTATATATATAAAGGTAGTATTTAAAGTTTTAATTTTATTATTTCATTTAACTATTAATTTATAAATAAAAGGTAATATTTATATGCTACTTTATTTCTAAATTTATATAAAATTCTGCTTAAAATAACTAATAAAAACTGCTTTAATTTAATATAATTCCTAAAATATTTTAAATATAATAAAATATATAAAATAAAAATATTTATTAAGCTATTATTTATTAACTATATAATTATTATAATATAAATTATATATTTTATAAAGTAATTTATTATTATAAAATAGTATTATAAAGCTTATTATTATATAAATTAATTAATAAAGGTAAGCTTATAATAAAGTTTATTAAAATTTTTTTATAATTATTAAAGCAATAATAATAATATTAAAAACTAAATAATTAATATTTAGGCCTTTATATATTAATAAACTATATATATATTAATATATTATTTTATATTTTTTAAAAAGTTTTAATAATAGCTATATATAAGTAGCTTAATTAATTTACTAATATTAAAATGCCCTATAAACTAATTATTATAATAAATATATAATAATTTTATTTATATATTTAGGTTATCTAATATATAAACCTTATTATTAAAGTAAAATAGCCTATTTTTTAATTACTATATTTTCCTAGCTTTATTATATTATTCGCGCCTTTTATACTATGCCCCTCCTTATATAAAAATATTTTTTTACTATAAATATTATAAATATATTATTATAAGTTGCTTAAATTATATTATTACTATTATTATACTTTGCTTCCTTATTTTATATAAAAGGGCATTTAAATATATACTTTAATTTCAAACAATTATAATTATTAAGCATATTTTGCGCTTTAATACTACTTTTTTACATTATTTAAGGCCCCCTTTTTCTAAATATAAATTTATATTTTAACAATTATAGCCATAATCCACTATTTTCTTTAATATTATAAAATTATTAAGTTTTTATAACTTAATTTTTACTTAATTTTTATAAATATAATTAAACTTATAAAATAGACTATTTACTAAATTTTTATCCCCTAACTTATATTTAATTACTAAATTTATTACTATTAAAGCATTAAGCTATTATAGCTACTTTATAAAAAGTTTTTTTATATATTAATATTTTAGGTTTAAATAATTAATTAAAATAATTATAATATATTATAAATATTATAAATAATAATATTAAATTATAATAATATTAATAATAGCAAATAATTTTAAATTATTAATATTATAATATTACTTTATAAAAATTAATTTTATAACCTAAATATAATTAAATATTAGGCTTTTTAAAAAAGTTATAAAATAACTAATTTAATAGCTTTAATAAATATATTTATTTTAAAATATATATATAATAAAAATATAAAATATTATAAAATAAAGGCTATTATAAAAATAGTTTTAAATACTTAAATGCTATTTTTATATAAAATAAAAGCTTAATTAGCCCTATAATATTATTCTTTAAAAGATTAATTAAAAGTATAATTACTTTAAAATATACTTAAATAAATTATTAATAAAAGCCTAAAACCTAAAAAATATAAATTTTATAAATATTATAAAATAGCAGCTATTTTTAATAATAGCAATATAATTTTACTTTATAATAATGCTATTAAATATAACTATAAACCTAAAAATTTAACCCAAATAGTTTTAAATTTATATTTTTAAAATTTAAATATAATCTTTATTAATATAAGCATTTTAAAATATTATATATATTTTTATATATACTTTATTATTATTATTAAAAATAAAAATATTATTTAAATATATAATATAATATATATTTATAAGCCCTATAAAGGCGCAATTAATATATATTTAAAATATTATAAGGGCATTAATTAGTTTAAATAGTATTATTATATACTTAAAATAATTATATTTTATATAAAAGCTATTTTTATTTATTACTTATATAAATTTTAACCTAATAATATATTTCTTAATATTTAACTTAATATATACTTTTATATTTTAAATTAATTTAAAATTTTAAAATTAAAATAATAAAATATAATTTTTATATATAAGCCAATTAAATATATAATAATTAATATAAAATATAGCTTTCTTTTTTAAGCATAAATATAATAAATATATTTATTAAGCTAATAAATAGCCTAATAAATCCTTATATAAATATATTATTTATATAGCTTTAAAGTACTTTTAACTTTATACCTAAAAGAAGATATAATAATTTTTATAAAGGCTAGGCGCTTTTTTTTAGCTTTATTTTATAATTTATAAGTATATATTTAGCAAAAATATATATAACTTTTTTTAAATAAATATTTTTAAATTTAATATATTTGGCTAATAAGTATAATAAGGGCGCAACTAAAAAGTTTTTATTTCTATTATTTACGCCTTTTAAAAAAATAAAATAAAAGTAAATAGCTATAATAATAGTACTAAATAAAAATAGCTTATTTAAAATATAAATATTAAATTAATTTTTATATAAAATAAAAGTACTATTATTATTACTTTTACTAAATAAATAAATTTACTACTTTTAGCCAAAAAAGCCAAATATAATATTTTTACTAAATAAGTTTATAATAATAAAATAATAATATTATATATATATAATATTATAAAATCTATTATTTAAATAAAAAAAGCAACTATTATAAAAGGAAATTAAATTATTACTAATATTAATAAATTATAATTTATTTTTAAAATAATATTAATATTTATATATATTAATAGCATTATAGCTAATAAGATTTTTCTTTAATTTTAAATTAATAATATCTTAAAAGGTTTTATATAATTATTAATTTTAACCCGCATATTAATATAAAGCTATTATTTATTTGGCATAATATTACTAATTATTTAGTATATTTATAACCCTAAAAGTTATTAGTTAGTTTTTAAAAGGGTCTTAAAGTATTAAATAATAATATAGCCCTTTTACTTATAATTATAATAAAAGCATTTAAATACTAGCTACTAATATAATTTATTAATTTATAAATATAATAATTATTTTAATATAATTTAAAATATATATTAGTATAATATTTTATTAGTAATAATTATAGTAAATTATTAAAAGGGCTAATTAAAAATAAAATATTACTTTTTTTTAATAGCCTAAATAAAAGTAATTATAAAAGCATTTTAAATATATAATTAGCTTATTATTACTATAAATATATTTTATAATATTAAAAATATACTTAACTTATTAGCAAATATAGCATATAAAAAATTAAAAACTTAATAGAATTATAATAATATTATATTATTACTAATTAATATTATTTCTTTTATAGCCTTTATATATTAAGCTTAATTAACTATTTATTTCTATATAATAAGTAGTTACACCTATATATAAAATATTATATAAATATTTAACTTAAATTTATTAATTATATTATATATATAATATAACTTTATAAAATTATTAAGAAATTTTATTTCAACTTTTAATAATAATATAAAACTTATAATAAATTTATTATTTTTATTAAATTATTACAAATATAATAAATATAGTAATAATATATATAATAAAATTAAAAGTTAATTATATAAAACTTTTAAAGTTTATAAAAAATAATAAAAATTTATATTTTATATTTATTTTTTATAATAAAGCTAATTTAATTTTACTTAAACACGCCTTTTAAATAGCATATTATATAGCCTACCTACTTTTATAATTTTATAATTTTATATAAATAAAAATAATAATAAAAGTTAAAAAAGGTTTATAAGGCTATATAAAATTTTTATTATAAATAAAGGCAAAAATTTGCTAAAATAATAGCTTAGCTTAAATATAATAATAATATTATATAAATTAAGCTTATTTTATATTTTAAAATAAAAAATAATATTTTTAAATATAAAAGCTATTAAAATAAAAATTAAAATAAATTTATTTTTATTATAAAAATAATATAAGCTTAGCTTACTTAATATAAAAATATTAATAAATAGTTTTATTTTTAAATTATTAATTAAATTCCTTTTTTTTATATTTAAATTATATACTTATAAATTAACTATTATATACTATATTTTTAATATTAGGCTAAAATAAAGCTAGATTAAAAAAGGATTATACTACCTAAAAATAAGAAATTTAGCCGCCCTTATAAAGGTTATAAATTTTTTATAGCTTAGGCATAATAATACTAATATATAAATATATAAGGCGTAATACTAATATTATATTAATATTTTAAATAATTTACTTTTTAAAATAAATAAAACAATTAAACTATTAGAGCAAAAAATTACAAATAAAGTAAATAGGTATATATAATATAAGTATAAAATAGGCGTAAAGGAAAAGTAGTATATTAAATAGTAGTAGGCTATTAATTATTACCTTCCTTCCTTTTTTTTAAATCTTTTAGTTTCCCTCTATTCTTTTATAGCTAGCGCCGCGCCTGCGCGGCGGGGTATCTGCGCTGCCGGGGCGCTAGTACCAGCATCCTTCGCCAGCACCATATTGGAGCCCCATTGGTGCCAGCTTATTGTGACAAACGTCTCTAACACAGTCTAAGACTACCGTATTCCACGACCGGCCCGCAGATCCGTCTTGGGATCATTGATGTGGCCGTAAGCTGTAGCCTGCACCTGCTGGCCTGCTGTGGCCTACATACGGGCTTACAAGCTCCATGAATCAACAGCCTCGGCTTGGCGTGATATTCCTTGAGGCTGGATATCCCCCAAATTGTGGGCTTGGCCGTTCAGGTAGGCAGTTTCACCATGATTTATCGCCGCCTCACGCTTCGGGCGTGTTTTAAATATTAAACCAACTCGGACCACCCCGTACCACCTCACGGCCATATACCGTACTCGAACGGGTCCACGTGCGGGTAGTCGGCCCGCATGCCCATGATGATGCTGTACTCGTCCCTCAGGAGATCCGAGCCCTCGTTGCCGTAAGCCTTGTACCTGCTGACCTCGTGCCGCCGCAGGGCCACGTTCCAGGGGAAGCTGGAGTGCGCGACGCCCATGAAGGCGCTCGCCTTGAACATCATGGTGAAGTCGACCAGGGCCTGCTGGTCAAAGGTGAAGGCGTCGAGCCGCTCGCGGTCCGCCCCCCGGAGCAGGTCGTGCTTGGTGACCACGTCCACGTCGCCCTCCACCAGGCCCGACGCCCTCAGCCGCTCCCTGAACAGGTCCACGACCCCCTGGTCGCCCGACGCCACGTAGACGACGCGCAGCCCCGTGCGCGCGATGTTCTCGAACTGCTCGCGGAACTGCTCGTCGACGCGCGAGAAGCGCCACTCGTCGGGCGGCCACGCCCACACGGCGTCCTCCTCGAGGCGCAGGTGGGCGCCGTAGTACGCGCCGCCGTTGATGGCGGCCGCCGGGTCCAGGCGCAGGCCGAAGCGCTCCTTGAGCTCCCAGAGGACCTTGGCGGCCATCGCGCGCGTGTCGTTGCGGAACGACAGGATCTTGCCGAACTCGTTGGCGAAGGCGTCGCCGTCGTCGTGGACCGGGTACTCGAGGAAGGACTGGCCCATCCGCACGTGGACGGGCTTGTCGGCGCTGATGCTGCTGACCCCTTTCTCCCCCGCCAGCCACTCGTCGAAGAAGCGCCGCCACTCGCGCGGGAACCGCAGCCCCTCCCGCGGGTGGTTGGGCTCGAACTGGTCGCCCGTCAGGTCCACCTCCACCCGCTGGTCGTAGCCCGGGAAGTCCTCGGCCCTGTCGTATATGCGCATCCCCGGGCAGCCGGCCTCGAGGTGCCTGACGAAGGCGTCCCGCTCGAGCAGGTAGTCCAGCGGCACCTCGTTGGTCGTCTCGATGTCGGTCAGGTCGCTCGGGTTGCGCAGGGCGATGGAGGGCACGACGAGGGCGCCGCCCCCGTTGATGGCGTACCGCACGCACTTGAGGATCTGGTTGCGCAGCATGCCGATCCCGCCGTGCTGGCCCTCGCACGTGAAGAGCAGGCCCGGCCTGAAGTTGGAGGGCGTGCGGGCGCACACCTCCCGTATGGGGCTGTAGTCGATCGGCGTGGGGAACTCCGTGTCCATCGCCTGCTGGATGAACACCCTCTCCGCCACCGCCAAGTCGTTTTCGTGTTGTGGCCTGCCGGCCCCGTCCTGCGCGAACAGCAGCACCGCGACCCCGTCGAACCCCGTCGTCAGCCGGGCGCTCCAGATGGCGATGAGCAGCAGCCCCATGAAGAGGGCTGCCACCCAGGGGCGGTCTTGGCACAGCATGGCTGGCTGGCTGGCTGTCGTTCAACGAGCAGCCGCGTGTTCGGGATGAGAACGCCTTGCCGCTGTAGGGCGAGGGCCAAGAGATGAAGCCAAGATGTTGACAGCAGGCGAACGGCTTGGGGCCAAGAGCTGGAGGTTTTGTTCTCACGAATCTTGGGATGCACGAGGCCTGATCTGTGGACGCGAGCTAGGGTGAAACCGTTCGTGTCGGACCACGGCCGCCAGGGGCCCTGAAACAGGTTGCGGCAGTGGTGACTCGGGGGCCATGACAGGTCGCAGGAAGCCAGGATTTAGGATTTGGGATTTTGATCCTCTGATGAATGAACTTTGAGCGCTATTCCCACCACTTGAAATTTGTTGGTGTAGTTGGTCCCTTGTGAAACATTTGAAGACCCGTTCCTAATATGTTTCGGCGCTGGCCGCGGGCACTACGAGTAGTGAGAAGACCTGGATAGGAAGGAATGCTATTACTACCTAGGTACTTACGTTAGCCCCTTGCTCCAATTCGAAGACTCTTATTGACCCGTGCGCCGTACCTGGGTCGCTTCCAGCCGTAAATGGGCTCTTTGAAGCATCTTGAACCTCCCCCCGGCCTACGTCTGTGTTTTCTTCTCGTGCTCGGTACCAGTTTCGGCCCGCCATTTGTCTTCTGGGGCCAATGGTCGCCACCGTCCAAACTCGTAGTCACGACGGGCATGGATCTTGGTCTTCTATCAACTGGGGACTTTTCCATCTGAGATTATTAGCCGCTCCTATAACAAAAGGAAAATTGTTCTGGAAGCGGACGAAGAGCTCGTCGCAGTCCAGACCAGGCAGGATTGGAAAGCCACACACTTGCAAGAGCCGTCCTCTCGACATCTAACAAGCTCGATGTGTCCGCGCTTATTTCCTTGGCGAGCCGTTTGTAAACTGGCCCACGAGTGAGGGATAGAATTACAACGCCCGTGGAAAAGGCATCGGACGGGGCAAAGAAGAGTGGAAGAGACAAATATTTTGGCTGACTGCCCATCTACCTAGGTAAACAACCTAGCATCGTCTCAAGCTGTGTCATCCTTCTCACCGTCGCACAACACGAGCCAGCTCTTTCGTGAATGCCCCGACATGCCTGTCGTATCCTGATATTTCCAATGTTGTATGACGACTCCAGCTGGTGGGCACCACCAGTCGCTACGATTATCTGTCTTTGGACTGCAAAAGTCCCCAGTCTAGGAGCCCCGTAACGAAGTGTCTGTAGCTGGCGCAAGGATTGTCGAGTAAGTGTTTACTCTAGGGGAGACCCGATGCCTCGTTCTAGGGACGGCCTCTCGATCATCTTCTCTTCATGACCGCCGTACTCGACGTTGTCCCTGCCCTGATCTTGTGTCTCTGCGTTAGGCATATTTGCCCAAAGGGCCCGAGGAGGATCATTCGTGTCGATTTGAGGGGGTGCGGCTCCGCCCAGCTATAATTTTGTTGTCTGACTGTCGTGATGAGGTCGTGTACATGCTGCCACAATTGTGCCAATATCTCGATGAGGGTTCCTGTCCCCCAGTCGTTGATCATCAAGTATTCCATTCATATGCTCCTCTTGTTCCCTGAGCACTAAAGCTTGGATGAACCGTTGGTCAGCTTCAACTTCAGACCAGAACGACGTACAGCCTGCTACGAATGCTCCAAGGTCGCCTGTTTGTCCAAGACTTCGTCTGACGATAGGCCCAAAGCTGCTTTCCGAAAGGATGAAGTACTAACAGGTCCGTCCAACCTCCTGCCGTCCAACTGTTGTTGGACAACAATGATTCTCTCTCGGCCGTGCAGTTCGACCGTTCTCGTCTGCTTGAAGCCCTTACGAAGTTGTCAAGACCCGCTGATCCTTCTAGACTGACAAGGAGCCCAGCGGTCCCTAGATCGAGCTCCGTATAAGTTGAGCTGCATCCCACGTGTGTTTACTCTCCCAACAGGCGCGCCAGAAGCGCAGTTAGCATGATTCTCTTCGTCGTGGTCGGTCGTCCTCCTGCACAGCAGCTGTTATCGATGTCAACAGTGGGTCTGGGACTGGACTTCACAGCTCAAGTTGCCCGCGGCACCTGGCACAGCTCTGGCACAGCTCAAGTCACTGACAAACAGCTGTTGACAAACAACGATGGCGGGGTAGTGGTGGGATTCCATCGATTCAATGCTGGTGATCTTTCTTAGCGCCAATAGCAGGCACAAAACCTCACACCAGCCCAGCCTTCCCAGTCTTTCTTTGATCTTGATCTACCAACACCAACATCGAGGACAGTCCTTGGTTCTACTTGAGCAGTCGGCGTGCGACACGATCATACACATCTGTGAACCAAATACAATCCTCGAGCATTCATCAGTAAGTATCTTCTTCTTCTTTTCCCTTGCTCCTTGTCCCTTGTCCCCTTCCCTCGGCCGTTTTCCTCGAAGGTGTCCCTCGCGCGGTCGCAACACACCACTCCTCATTATGAACCCTCCCCAGTCCCAACCAGTTGCTTTTCCTCCTTATTCTTGGAGACGAGAACGTTCCCTCAGACTTTGTCTATGATAATCTAGACTTGCCCACTATTTATTCGGCCGTTGTGTCCCTCGTCCCTTTTCCCTCGGCCGTTTTCCTCGACGGTGTCCCTCGGGCGGTCACAACACACCACCTCTTGTTATCAATCCTCCCCAGTCCCAACCAGCTGCATTTTCTCCTTATTCTCACAGACGAGAACGTTCCCTCAGACATTGTCTATGATAATCTAGACTTGGCCACCATTTATTCGCCCGCCGTGTCCCTCGCCGTACATCTTCTCATGCCCCTTCGCTTGTTGACCGCAGCCGCCTCGAACTAATCTTCTGTTTGTCCAGTCTCTCATTACGATGCCTCCCAGGCCCAGACCCCCTCCCATCCCCAGGCCCCCGCCCGGTCACGCTCGGAATCCCTTTTGGGACCCCGAGCAGGCCAACGGCCAGCCTCAGTGGGTGCCCTTCGGTCACCCCATCCTGAGCGCGTTTAGTCAAGACGACGAGGACGACTCGGGAGATTTCTGCGCGGACACCCACCCTCGCCCAGTGTCCTCTGCAGGCATCCCGCCCGGGTATGCTGCATCTTCGTTCAATCCGAATGTGCCGTCCAATGCTGCGCGTGGACCCCTCTCTGAGTATCCGTCCAATCCTGGCTTGGGAGTGCCTCCTCCGAGCTTTCCAGCGCAGATTCCGGCTGATCCCGCATCCAACGTCGGAACCCCTTCCAACGCCGGAATGCCAGGCGATACTGATCCGGAGCTTGAGTACCTTGGGCAGAGAACCATCAATCAGCCAAACGTGCCTGGCATCCCGCCTCCCCGGCGTGGCCGCCGTCCCGTCCCGACCCGGGAGGAAACCATTGGCGATGTGCAGGACCACCTATCACGCAAGGGGATGTACTATCCCCGCCTCGTTTGGAGCTTCGCCGATCACGATCGTTTCAAGCAGGGCCTCAGGGACCTGGCCAAGAGGCAGAACGCCGTCGGTGGTCTGGTGGACATGCCCCAGGACGATGCAGCCCTGGAGGAGCTGGCGAGGGACATGTGCGAGGCCATATTCAATCTCGACCATATCGAGTCCGGAGCGACCCGTAACCACCACTCGAAGAAGCGCGGCACTGTTGAAATCGACAGCGTGGGAGTCAAGTGCGTCAAGGAGATGGGCCCGTTCCGAGCCGAGATGCTGGCGTGGGACCTCATGGTCAGCCCTTCCCGCGACCCGCCCCTTTTTGTTCTTGTTTGTTTGGTAACTAACAGCAGCTACAGTGCGCCATCCGGGACGCCCAGACGGGAAATCTCGAGCTACCAGACAGCGGCCGGGCCGCGGGGTTCGCGGAATATGACACCTTCATGGGACGATTTACTGACTTGTTGGAGGTTCTCAGGGTAAGTCTCGAACTATTATTGCACTGGAACTCCGACACGAGATCTATGTATGTACCGATATAGGAGACTGTGCGCTGACTAACGCGAACAATCCGTAGGTCAACAAAAACCTCGTGAGGGAGGCTCTGGAGTCCGAGCAAGGGCTCCGGAGGATCGTCGCCGATCCCTTCGGCGAGCGCGGCAGGAAGGTTACCAACACCTACCTCAACAGGAAGAGGGCGGAGATGAAGGTTGGCGCCGCTGAACCCGGCTCGAAGCGGGCGAGGCGGGTTATCGAGGAGGGGCACTTTCCTCCTTACGCACTTACTTGGATGAAACCCACAACTACCGAGAACCAGCCGCAGACTCGGGCTGGTCAGCCTTTGGCGCAGCCGCAGCGGGGGGGTGCAAGTCTTCAACAGCCTGCCCACATGCAGCAACAAGGCCAGCAGCCTGGCACCGCCCAGCCTCGTCAGAACCAGCCGCAGATTCAGGTTGGTCAGGTTATGGCGCAGCCGCAGCAGCAGGGTGGAGGTTCTCAGCAGCCTGCCCACGTGCAGCAACAAGGCCAGCAGTCTGGTCAGCAGTTCGGCACCGTTCAGCCTCGTGAGATCCAGCCGAAGGTTGAGGATGGTCACTTTTTTTACGAGCCACAGCAGCAGGGCGGAAGTCATCAGCAGCTTGCTCAGCAGCTTCCCCAGCAGCCCGTCACCGCTCAGCCAGGCACTGCTCAGCCTCGTCAGAACCAGCCGCAGACTCAGGTTGGTCAGGTTTCTGAGCAGCCGCTGCAGCAGGGCGGAACTGTTCAGCAGCTTGCTCAGCAACAACGCCAGCAGCCCGTTCGCCAGCCCGGCACCGCTCGGCCTCGCGAGAACCAGGCGCAGCAGCAGGGCGGAAACCTTCAGCAGCCTGCCCAGCTTCAAGGCCAGCAGCCCGGCCAGCAGCCGGCAGCCATGCCAGGCCCTGTTGCTACTGCCACTGCCACCACGGCCGGAACGGCCACTCCAGGCGCCCACGACGGACCGCAGGAACCTTAGGAAGGTCTCAGCTTGATTCGTGAGGCGATGGCAGATCCAAGGCTTTCAGATGAGGCGTTTATGGACACCCTCGCAAGCGTGGACCCGCCGTTGGGGGGCCCCAGCAGCGCCGACCTGATATACAGAGAGTTCGGCGCTGCCCGCGCTGAGCCCGATGCTCAGCCCGACGCTGAGCCCGGCGACGAGCCCGGCGACGATCTCGGCCTCGAGTTCGGCTTCGCCGATCTCGACCCGTCTCTCTACGAGCTACGCGAAGACGAGAGTGGTGGTCGTCGGGGATGGCTGTAGACGGCCTTTGTGGCCATGAAGATGTGTGCCGGAACTTGAAGGAGAAGCTGTGGTAAGATATCGATGGCAGAGGGCGGGCCGTGCTATACTCTTATGTCCCGACACTCTCGGACGTACGTCTTGGTTGGAGACTAGAGTTCTTCATTCGTCCTCTTGCTATAGTCTAGGTCTGTAGCGCCACAATCTTGATCCATTACTGACTCCTCTGTGCCCGACGGTCTAGGTGCCTGGCACTCACTGGGCTGATAGAGCGCGTAGACTCCCTCCTGTCGTGAATCACATGACACTGCACATTGAAACCGTAGATGGGAAACAGTGAAGCTGTCGTGAAATGAATGAATCACACCAGACTCTGGCACACCTGCTTCCCGCTGCCGCAGCAAGTTCCAAGCTGTAGAAATCTTGTATTGTGAATGCTGAAAGTAACATTGCGCCTTGATATGGCAGGGTGACTATCAAACGCCTCGGGCTGGGGCATACTGTTTACCTTGGTGGTATACTGTTTACCTTGAGTCGACAAACGGCATCTGGGTGCTTCAAGTAATATGACAACTTCACTTGTAAGTCAGTCACTCAAGATATCCGACCCCACCGCAGCCAGGCTTCCGAACATTTAAACCCTCCCCTCCCCCCCTTCTGTCCGCTCCCTTCCTTCATTCCAACCACAACACACTCACAAAGGCCCTTGGTCCGACCTTCAATCCCCAAGACAGCCTCCATCCCGTTTCTGCCATCGAGCAAGCGACCATAGTAAGCATATCCACCATCCATACCTTTGCTGCCGTCCTGCCCTCTTCCCTCCATTCTTCCATCGTCCTCAGTGCAACCAAACACCAGTCGGGTTGGCGACAGACCATTGCAAGTCGTTGCGAACTCCCTGCTTGGTGCCTCCCAACCAATTCCCCTCACCCTGATTCGATCAGCATACTCAACTGTGTTGCCTGCGACCAACTTCATCGTGGTGTCCAATGCGATGAAGTCTGGTGTTTCGGTGTTTCGTTGACCTCACTTCCATCTCAATACTAACTTGGCTCTGCAAACTCAGCCTCATCAAATGGATCAAGATCGCTTCGGTGCGGAGGGTCCGCCTCAGGCGGCACTCAACACGAGCCCTGTGAAGCCTCGTGGCTCTCCCACGGCCATGCCTGGTCCGACTGGTCTAGAAGGAATTTCTACCAATTCCACCAATTCTGCCGGCAGCGATAATGGCGTGCCGATACGCCAGTACGGCTCAGCGACCGTGAACGCTAGCTACATCCACTACCAGCCCACCTTCCAGCATCAGCCGCAGGCTTTGGGTCAGGATCAGCGGGTGCCTCACGACAATCTTGCAATTCCCAACCAGCAGACTGTTGAGAACCACAACCAGCCTGCTATCCACAGCCACTTCGCTGACCCTTACACTGCCGTCCCCAAGGCACCAGCGATTCAGGAGAAGCCCAACCCCGAGAGCCAGCAGTTGCCCCAGGCTCAGTACGTGCCCCAGAACCAGCAAATTCCCCCGAACATGGTTCAGAATCCCCCAAACATCCAACACCAGAATCACCCAAACATCCACCACTGGCAATACCATGCCAATGTCCAGAACTTTGGCTGTCCTGCTCCAGCGGCCCCGACCGTTCAGGCTGGGTCTCAACCATGGGCTGTACAGCTATCACAGTTCCAGCCAACTGAAGAGGACATCGCGAAGGTTCAAGGCTGGATGGACGAAGGCGGCCACAAGTTCGGACGCCGCATCCACAACTTTCGAGAGATGCAGAAATACAAAGAGGCTGAGAGGCTGAGGAGGGTGAAGAGAACGCCTGATCTGGCACAGGATCTGCCCACAACTGAGGCCCAACAGAGTGAGTTGGCAGAGCGCCTATTCAACGCCTTCAAGGCTTGGAGGGCGGATGCCCCCGGTTGGACAAAGCAGGCAGTCAAGAAAATCAGGACCCAGAACAACTTCATTCAAGAGCTGACGGGGTGGATGCTCCTGGTACGTTATTGAAAGCCCCGGGGCGTGGCCAAACTTGACATTCGCTAACAATGACTCCCAGTCGGCATGTGTGAGAGCGCAGGAGGGCACTTTGCTGCTTTCCGACAAGAGGTACTCCGTCGTGGAGTACCCGAGCTTCACGACACGATTCGACGCCATCGAGGACGGACTCAAGGTCAGTGATTTTGATGTTCCCGCTCCTCACGATGGAAATAAGCTAACGTTAAACAATGCCTCTTAGAATAATGCGCACTTCGCTGGCAGTGCATTTGAATCGGACGAGTGGATCAACCGCATCGCCGCAGACCCATATGAGGAATTGAGGTTCAAGCGCGAAGCCAAGAGCACGAACGATCAGAAGTACGAGGCGCAGAGGGAGGCGACCAAGGCGAAGCGCAGCAGGGCCAACTCTACCGTGAATAACCCCGGGACAGGAGCTGCAGCAGCATCTGTCACGCCCAGCATCGCGAATACTGGTTCGCGCCGCGCTTCGAATGTCTCTGCAAAGCGCCAGAGGACTCAGAATACCGAGCCCGAGGCCGATGAGGTCAAGCAGGAGAACAGCCAGCCTCAGCTGCCGGCCAGCCAGAAGCAACAGAATCTTCAGTCGCCTCATCAGCAGCATCACGGCCAAACCAACCGACCTGCCGTCCTGAACCGCACCCGGACTGGTCTCAACGCTCAGCCGCGGATGAACAACCACGCCCAGGCAAATAGAAAGCCCCAGGGCAACTACACCCAGGGCAACAACTACATCCCGGCCAAGTTCGCGCCCGGAACTTACAACCCGGCTCCTGCTCAAGGTCCCATCGTCCCAGGTCATGGTCTTGCTTCGCAGGGGGCGCCTTAGAATGGCGGCTCCCAGAGCATGCCGATGCCTGATGGACCGGCGGACGAGATTTTTGCCAGCGTCATGGACCCGACCTGCACCTTTCCTCTGGATGTGGACGAGAACGGCTACTTTATTCGGGCTCATCATCCGGCCAACAACCTCCAGGGCCACGTCCCTGTCAACGAGCAGCCGCAAGCCTACAACAACATGATGATGCCCAACCCCATGGCCGCACAGAACACCAGCTTCGCCCCTGTTCAGCTCGACCGCTATGGTTTCCCTGTGTGGCAGCCTGGTGAGGGCGGCTATGCCATGAGCCAGCCGAATCAAGGCGGCTATGCAATGCCCCCATCCAACCGCCCCATCGCTCATGCGAGCCAGCCTCGTCAGGGTCGCCCTGCGACCACCCAGCAGGGCATCGCTTCTGCGAGCCAGCCCAGTCACGGTGGCCCTGCGAACACCCAGCATACTGCTGATATACAGGAGCCGCCGATTGGCCTGGACGGCTGCTACCTTTACAACCCCAATGATCCTCTGGCTCCGTCTGGCCGTCCGTGCAACGAGATGTCTCACTCCACTCAGCAGGACGGTGTCACCGAGGACGAGGGAGCGAACGAGGCCAATATGCAGTTGGAGAACACACTGGGCAGCGAAGGCGCGAAGCAGGCGGAGCGTGGCGAGCAGAAGGCTCAGGAGGAGGAGTGGGAGACGTTTGATTCCGGATCGTTGTTCGGCTCGGACGAGTCCGATGGTGCGGACACGTAAGGTGGATCAGACTGAAGCGAAGTCTGAGCAAGATGAGAGCGGCTGTACTAAGAGTCGGTGGCCTCGTTGGCCTTCCAGTTGTGTACTTCGGCCTACTTCAGCTTGGATGATGGAGAAGAGGTGTTGCGAGATTGGCGGCATTGGGCGTTTTGATGGTTCCTTTGTCGCCAAGAGGACAACGGGTGATTTTTTGGAGGACCTTTGAAGCCAAGCAGTCGATTATGCCTGCGAATTCAATATTGTCCAACAAGCCTCAAGCTTGGTTCTAGATAGTTTGATGGGCTGTAGTTATCAGTACAGCTTGCTCTACAAATCCTTCTAGGTAATAGAGCCCCCTTTGGGGCATTTTGTGAGAGACTCTGGTCCCAATCACATGCTTGTGAGAAGCTGTCCTGAAGTAGGAAAACCCTTAGCAAGAGATGCTGTCTGTGTCAAAAGCAGTGGGGCAACGAAGTGCTAAAGGCAGGATTGGCTGTGTACAGTGGGTTAGGAAGTCTGTTACATGAGAGAATTGATACTGGGCACGAGGTGAGGCAGCCATGGTAGAACGTTGATGGTGGTAAACATTGGAAAGCTCAAATGAACAACTTGTCTCGTATCCTCTTCCACACCTGGGCGATGCTATCTATTTCCGAGTCCCACCTCCCTTCACACGGTTAGTAAGATCCCGAATCACGTAAATTTGTCCATACAAATCCGTAACCGAGACGAACAACCTAGTTGAATCCACGATCCCCTGATCTAGCCCACTGCGGCTGTCGACCTCTCCCTTCAGTTCCAACATGGCCGCTTCCATCCCGCGTCGCTCGTACTCTGCGATCCACATGAGTTGCGCCTTTTTATGCTCCACACTCCCATCTGATTCGATACGCTCTTGACCTGAGCCGAATTCAGCGAAAGCAATGGAGTTCAGATTACCCTCGATCTCGTCCCGCACAACACTTGCATAGTCATTGTACATACGACACATGCTGGCTAGGTGGCGGCACAAGTCCTCGGCCACGTACGCCGTTTTTGCCGAATTTCCGTATAGATCAACGGAGGACGCCTTGGGTGACGAAGACGTGACTAGGCAGTTGAAGAAGACAAATGCACAAGGACAAGAAGTATGATCTGCTGATGTGCTCCGGACCCAGTTGTAGAAGGTCCTGCTCCTTTTTGCCGGATGGACCCTCTCATTTTCCTGTGTTTGGCCTGACTTCAAGCTGTCACCGCCAGCGCTTTCCCATGGATTCGCCGAGATGCGTGATCCACAACCAGCTTCATCAGTTTGAGTAAAGCTTAGGTGGGTGCCTCCTTGTCGGGAGGCATGCAGCGTCCTGTTGTCCTCGGCCTGCTGGAGATGAGCAAGTAAGAACGCCTCCACCTCGCTCGTCACTCTCATCCGGAGATGAGCCGGGCTCCCGAGCACAAATGGATGGCGCAGCACGTAGGAGACAAATCTCCGGAGTACTATCTCAGCATCCATGAGAGCCTTGGGATGTGCGTTTGTGGTGGTGCCGTTGCTGGTGGTGACGCCGTTCTTCGGCTGCAAGGGTTGTTCTTGACCGAGAGGGCGAGGAGCATCGGCCAGCTCTTCGCCGACAACACGTCTGACTAGTTCCCTGACCGATTCTAAATGTGTCCCCAGGTCAGCCTCAACCACTCCCTCCATGTACTCATCCGCCTGATACACCAGCATGGAGAAGACCATCATGTCGTATAGTACGCGCAGGCTCACGGACTTTCCACCATACACCGCAGCGCAGGCCGTCCACGTGAGTGGCACGAACGTGAGGTATCTGTCCCTCGCCGCATCGTTCACACCTCCATTGCCGTTGGTTTTATGCTTGCGTGGTGGTGCGGGAAACACGTCCCGCTTGTGCCTCTGGAGTTCGCCCAATGCGTAAGCCGCCTGGAGCTCAGCGGCGCGGAGGAGACTTGGCTCTAGCTGAGAAGGGCCTAGGAGTGGCGTGCGGGCCATAAGTACGCCGGCTTTTCGCATCCCTGCGAGGATCGTAGGATTCGGCAGTACTTGCGCTAGAGACGGTGTAGGTGTATCATTCCCCTGCGGCTGAGGAGGCGAGATGTAGAGTGCAGCATGACAATAAATCTCCGATAGGAGGGGCGAAGCGTAGGTAAGCTTTTCGATCCAGATGTGCCTCCCTCTGACCCATTCGCTATGGCCAGATTCTTTCAGATAGGATCTGCCCCGGTCAATGCAGGACTTGATTCCATAAAGCTCCAAACCGTCACGCAACCATGGTAGGTGTACAAGCGACCTCAGGGCAAGAATAGCGTAAGCCGTCGGCTCACACATATCCTCCCACGAGCCATTTTCTCCTTGTGAGCCAACCAATTTGATGAGAACCTGGATAGTCGCAACTGGGACAGATTCATTGAATAGTATGGGGCATTGAAATGACACTTTGTTGAGTAGCGATTCATTGTCGATGCCGTATAGGCGCTCCAAAGCTTGGGATAGAAGCATCATCGAGTACAGTTCAGATCGGTTCTGATGAGGTTGAATCAGATTATTTGTTTATACCAGCAAATTTAAGTGAGAGATAGGAGCTGTGAAGAATTGAATGTGGGCTCGTACCCATTTGTCTGTAAGCTGGGCCGCGAAAATGCGGTCGCTCAGAAATTTGACCGTCTTGGTGATCTGTGAGGTATATTCCAGAGCATTCTCTAGCATACCAAGACACATGAGAACGTTACAGTTGGTGCTGAAGCTCGGATTTCTCTCTCCTTGATAAGTCAAAAAGTGCTCTTCAGTCTCAAACGTCGCCAGGAGTGGGTCAATGCTAAAATCCTTGTTCCCCAAATATCGCAGGGCGAGGATGGTTTTTGCCGTATCATCAGCATCTGGAACGGTCGAGTTTGGCGCTGCAAGAGCATCTTTGTCAGTCACACGAATTCTTGTTAACCAAGTAAAGAAGAAGTTCTCACAAAATCCAACACAGCCCTGACCATCAGACAAAGCACGCTCCAGAACCGTTCTCAGAGCACTTGAGTCCCCTTCGCCTATTCGGATACCAGCTTGAACAAGAGTTGTAACTGTCTAACAAATACATACAAGTCAGCACGCAGAATTCAAGAACCTAATCACATTGAGTGCTGAAGGGGCTGTAGATCTTACCCATGAAACCTCAAATATTGTCGTAGGCCAAGCGCAAGGCACGCACCCTGTGGATCGTCCTGGTCCTTGCTGCAAAGCAGCGCGCAAGTAATCTTCAGCGGCCTGATCCCATTCGGAAGCGTGCATAAGGTATGCAGCTGTCGACGATGGCGAGTTCATCATTGATCCACTGGGCTCTCTCCAGCAGCGGATCCGGTCGAAGTCGATATGCCCTATCATTGCTTCCAGTGAGTGCAGCAATGTGCATGGCCTTTTGTAAAGGAAGTCTTGTAATGATGAGAGCCGTTTGAGCTTTGCATGGAAAACCTCATCAAGGTGTTGCTTTCCCGGGAACTTAATAGCCACTCCATCCGCGGCCAGCAGATTGATGTGCTGCGTTACCAACACTTCGAAGCCTACTTGATCGCACGCTGACACGTCCCAACGGTCTAATAAGGTCTCGAGGGCTTGTTGGGCTTTGTGACAGCGAGACTCTAAGACCTGATCCGAGCGACACCTCTTTTGGTGTGTTATAAGCGCCAGTAGTGCCGCAGACGTGTTCAAAATCCCATCCGTCACAGTGGAATAAGATGGCCATCCCCCATTGTCAGATTGTTGTCGCAAGATGTAATCGAAGCAGTCAGGGAATAGCCACAGTCCCGAGCCGACTGGCTTCTCGATCATAGAGAGCCCTGTCTTGAATCAGAAATGTACAAATGCTAACGAAATGACTCCAAAACACAAGCACCGAACCGAGTGTCCAAAGCCCGGCCCCCACGGCACCTCACTTCTGCAGTACTTACAGGCGGTATCATAGATGGATGGAGACATTGATCCATAGCCTTGTCCTGACAGGCAAGCCTCGGCGAGTGTCGCAAGCAGAATGTCCGGGCTTGGCGGGCCGGTGTCATCTGTCTCTGGTGCCATTCTTATCCGGCAACTGACCGATTGCGTGCAGGGAAGTAGATTTCTAAGATGGTCTGCAAGTGAGGTTGCAGCTACTCGCCAAGATCATGGATGGGGACAATGATTGTTCTATCCGACATTACGTGTTCCACCATCCTTAGTCCTCGGGAATATATATGTGAAATTCCACGTCATGAAAATACGCGGACTTCGACTAAGACTTACAAAATCCGACAGTTTGAAGGATCGCTCTACATAAGCGCCGAGCCATGCTGCGCAAAGATAGCCCCCTGTCGCTTCATGCAGATCTTTGTGTGTCCATTTTCTGAATGAGCGACTTTCATATCGGCATGACATTATTGATCAGTTCTGACGTCCATGTCCTCGCTGGACTGATGTTCCAGCTGGCCAGTAATACTACCGTTTGCTTGCATAAGCGTGCATGCATTTTGGCTCGGAGGGACACCAACGCGGGCATTGCCAAGGGGCCTTCCATGCCGATCTTTGCTTATCGTCCTGTTCAAGTACCCTCTACTTGTCGCTACTTCAACCATGATGTGTGTAGGACGTTCGTACTCTACTTTCAAAGGTAATATTTCGGTCTATCCTCGTATCATAGACATCAAAGCCACCAGAGGAAAATTCTTCACGAATCTGGGATCAAGACATCTCCTACAGTCCTGACTAAGTTTATATCTAGCACCAGCTGGCGGGACTTACGATGAAGATGCTCTTCTGTAATCACGCTTAGTTATGCCCACATTCAGCTTAATCAAAAGATCCGCTGTGGAGGTCATTGGCGCAATCAAATCTATCATGTGTATATTGTAGCTAAAACTCGACGTGAGGACTGAAAGAAAACATCGTTGATTTGTGCTAAGTGACCGTTAATGCGAAAGGTTTCTTCGAAGACCACTCGAAGGAAAACAGTGTTTCGGTCGACTGGATGGATCTAAATACTCGCCCACACTCTATCCGGGAAACTTCCGTGATCTCAGAAACGAATCCCCAGATTCTCTTTTCTTCGGCGAACGGAGAGTCTCCCTAGAGGATGAAACAAAATGAACTCATGCATCATGGCATTAGGCGGCCGCTTTCCTTTCGGAAACTTGTACTCGTACTCATCCAGGAGTTTGACCAACAGGATCTTCGCGGTCATGTTTGCGAAAAATCGGCCCGGGCACGCCCAGCGGCCTGAGCCCCAGGTCAAGAGCACCGGATCCACATGGCGGAAAGGCTGCGCGCGGTGGCTTGCTAAATCGGCATCATAGAAACGTCGGCCCCTGTATGTCTCCGGGTCCTCAAATATTTCTGGATCCATGGCCTTGTCGTTAGCGCAGACGGCGATCTTCTGGTTTTTGCTGAGTCGGAGTCCACCAGGGAGAGTGAAGTCCTCGCCAACAACACGCCCGTACAGCAGCATAGCGCTTGGCGCGAGACGACTGCTTTCCTTCATCGCGGACTCGAGCTTGTCCAACGCGTTGAAGGCGGCCTGATCCCAGACTCCGCCACACTTTTCGTGTTGGAGACGGATTTCCTCACGCACCTCCTCCAGAAGCTCAGGGTGGGCAACGAGGTCGCAGAGGGTTTCCACCACGAAGTTAGCCGTGCTGTAGGTGCCGCCAGCTGTGAGAGTGCCGGCGAGGCGGGCGAGGGACCATGGGTCTTTCTGTAGGGCTGATCGAGCGTCTTTCACCATCCATGAGACCATGTCCGGGTTTGCCGGGAGGCCATTTTCAAATTCCTCCATGCGCTGTTTGATCAGAGGAACAATACGTGCCTCGATCACCTTCCAGCCATTCTCAAGGTACCATTTTGCGGGCAGTAGCCAGACGACATATGGTTGAAGAGCCGCAGGGATCCAGCGCAGGACAAATACAATGGTGAATACTGATTATAAATGGGTTAGATCAGGGCCAGATGTGTTTGTCGCGGGGACACTTACAATGCTTCGTGTGCTCGTGGCACAACTGCACAAGCTCGGGGTCATCACAAGTCGGAGCTCCGTACAGGACCAAAGAGACAACCTCGCTTACACACCTGACAAAGGTGTCCAGAGGGTCTATGACAGTCCATGGAGCCTCAGGGTCTTGGGGAAGGAGACGCGTCAGTGCTCTGCAGGCGCGCTCGGCAGCCGGCTCCAGAAGCTCCGGCAGTGCTGGACTGATCCGGCTCAGCAATATCTTGACGTGGTAGCTCGTCCGCCGCACAATGCTTATGCCAGTCACATCACCCAGCATTGTCAGTGCATGCCATTGTCGCGAGCTAATGACCTCCACGGGAAGCTTGTTCAGCTCGGCAATGTAGTCGGGCGAGAGGACGACGACATCGGTGTCACCGCGGGCGAGCCGGTACGGTTGATCTCCGAACTAAATACATCAGTACTAGTGTTGGCATTCCCAGCTGTCACTGGCGTCCAAATTGCATTGACAGCTAACCTTTTCCTTGGCGCTGGCCAGTATCTTCCTAGCCCCAACGGCCCATCGCAGCCGTGACAGAAAATGCGGTTCCCGGGAGAAATATCGGTTGACGATTGGGAGCCCGTCATTGTACGTCTTGTCTTGGACGAAGGACAGGAGGATAGGCACGGCGCCAAGAAGCAATGCGACCCAAATGGCTTGGCTAGAAAAGGCCTGATACGGGAAGCTCACATCCCGCAATGTGTCACCGGTGTTGTTTTCGGAAGCCATGGGCGCGAAAAAAAGGGGTTCAATACAACTGTCAGGGAGGCAGTGAAGATGAGATGATTGGGAAGATATCCGCAATGTTTCATCATCATTGACCTACTGAACAGTCGACTACTTCTACGGTATCGGACTCTACTTGTGCCTTGTGTGGTCTAGAAGGATGGACCTTCAGAGTTCTACGCGATCGGTCATCAGCCACTGGCATGCCTTGACGCCGGCCTTCGAAGACGGGAAGGTGAGATTCTGCAGGCTGAATAAAGCCATGACACCACAAGCGCCAATCTTGTGTTCTGAGTCCTGCCATTTCTCCACAAACCAGGCAGATGTGAATGATTCCGCCAGGACCGTGGGGCTGCCTGCACAGTGCGGAACAGTCGGTGTCTACAATGCTACGCAGCATGACTGCATGATTTACAGGAGACGTTCCAACCTCGTACACGTAATCCAAGGCTGCAGACTTAGCGCTTACATGTCTACACGTTATGTGGGAAAATGCATGTTGTTGCCCTACATACGCCCCGGGGGTCTAGTTTTTAAGCGATGTTGCCTTGTCGGTATTTTGGCCCTCGACATAAGCGCCTGCCATGTAGAAATTCGGGCCGGTGAATGGTTTCTTAAAGTGCTCGATGCTGTTCGATGTAGTTAGTGGCCAAGTACGGTTGCTTTTGCGTTGTGTAGATGGCGTACTCGCGTACTTGACCACAGCGGTCTAAAGTTCCTGTCAGTGCAGTGGTACGCGAACTTGATTGGGATTGGTTCTAGCGAGAACAGATCAACGTCCAAGACTTCCCCATGCATTTTGGTAGGTGTCGTGGAACAGGACGCGAGGACGTTCAGCTCTGACCGGTCAAGGGTTTGCCTCGCACACCAAGACCGATGCCGATCTTCAGGACTTTTGCGGTACTTACGTCAACCCAGCAAGACTACCCGGGATAGATAGCTGACCATTCAGCCATTAATTCCACCCACACATATTTACTTGATGGAACCGTACACAAGGGCTAAATTGACCTGCATCTGCGTTGCATCTTTCCCTTGGCCCGTCCCATATCTTAGTAGCGCTGATCATATATTCTCACCCTTTTCACGTGGCCGTTGACCCACCCTAGTTCCCCAAAAAATGACCCAAGCAGAGCAGACCGGAAAACAATCACGGAGGGTGCTCTTTCTCACAAACCAAGACTCGCCCAGATGGATACCGGAAGCCCTTCTCTAATCACCACCGGACTGGTGGTTGTCTCGGTGATCTTCCCCTTGCTGTCTCTGGCGTCGGTGTTACTTCGAGTCAAGGCACGATTGAAGACTAAGCAAGGCATTCTGGCCGACGACTGGTGGATCGTTGCAACATGGGTAAGTCCAAGTCTCCAACCCCAAATCCCACCCATTCACGACGTCAGTGGGACGCCCGTAGCAGTGTAGCTAATTCGCGTCATGGACAGGTCCTCTCTATCGCGCTTAGTATCAATGTTTGGGCCTATGCTGGCATAATAGGCGTCAATTCTTGCACAGTAGATGCCTTGTCATGCTCTGTCTATGCCGCTGTCGTCAGTGCTTTTCTCCCTGTCACAAACCCTTATTAATCACCCGAGTTCTACCAGTCTAACCCAGGAAGCGTGCAGTGTCTCGTCGTAGCTTCATGTCTAGTCCAAGTTGTCTTGACCACGGTGAAGGTATCCATACTACTCTTGTACAAAAGGATTTTTGCCGTACGGCCATTCCGAATCGCCACATGGATTGCCGTCGTCTTCGTCTCGCTCTGGGGGATAGCCATGATTCTGGTAAGCAATTCAGAGACTCGATGCCATGTCATGGAAATCACTGTTAACTCCTCTCTTTACCATCACAGATCGTGGCCCTCCAAGGCAATCCTGCGACTTTCGTACGGACTACGGCCGCCAACGAAGTGTATGTTTGGAGACTTGATCCGGTGATAGTTGGTTACACACAAGTAGGATCAAGTCTGATCCTCGACGTTGTTATTCTCTGCTTTCCTCTGCCTATTATTTCCACACTCCACATGCCCACAAGAAGAAAGTTCATGGTTGGTGCCATTTTCTGGCTCGGTATTTTGTAAGTCAGATGCCCTGCAATGGCATTCTTTGTGCTAGTATCTGGACACTTGTATTCTATTTCAACTAACCATATTACTCGGTAGCTGTTGCGTTGCGTCTGCAGTCCGGCTAGCACTTAACCACAAGGTCCTCACATCTATTCTCAGCCAACAGGCTTCAGTGTGTAAGTTAAATGCATATTATGGCCTTCGCATTTTAACCCACCACATCGAGCGTCTTCTCATGATACGGACTCACTGACGGTCTATCACAGCCATCCAAGCAACACAATTCTGTTTCCTCATCATCGAGCCTCACTGCTCTATAATTGCAGGGTCTCTACCCACATTCGGTCCACTTGTCGCTGGTGGACGCGCTCCAGAGTCCCTCATTCGCAGTGTCCGCTCTATTCTTTCCCTCGCGAGTGGTGGCAGTTCTCCACGTGGCAGCCGCGGCAGCAAGAGCAGATCAGGTGTTCGACTTCCTGACAACTCCGACTCGCGTCAGGACATCAATGCGGCAGAGCACGGAGAGTTCACTTCGCACGGCACGACGGAGGTTCACATCAAGTCTGACTCGACAGACAGGCGCACTGAGGAAATCGAGTTGAATGATCTTGACGGTGGCATCAATGTCACTAGGGGAGTGGACGTCGTCAGGGGGCATTGATGCTCTTAAAGAGCTCCGAGCGGACTCCAGTTGGAAAGAATTGAGAGAAGTTAGATGGTCGCGTTCTTCAATGAACAGTTGGAGATGAAGTCTTGACCGAGCCCTTTTTTTCTTCTAGGGCCAACCGTCAACCGATTTGAAATGGAACTCAATGATTCTGGATACTCGAAGAATAATTCTGGTACCAATCATGAGTTAAACTAGGATCAACGTTTGAGACTGGTGGACTCAAATGATGCATTTAATCACCATCAGTTTAAAAGGAGACACTCAAATAAGATTTCTAGCTGGGTATTAGGGCATGTTCAACATTGTAAGCCAATGGAGGACTGGATTTATTTGTGAAATAATTTCTTGAATATTGTTGAAAAATGTCACTGCTGGCAAAAGTTGCATGATTTGATTGACTAATATGTCTCCGTCCACACAAAGGTAAATTACGGCGGCGATATTCCCCTATGAATGCATTTCCTCGAGGACACAGTTGCCCTTATCTTGACAAATATAGCTCCTGTGACCTCAAGAGAAACACCTTGGCATTTTCATCAGAAGGGAGCTGTAGCCCCCTGCCGACGTCTGACAAGCATTTTCGTCCATGGCCACGTGAAAAGAAATTCATGTAACATCAAATTGGCCGGCCTCTCAGCCCCCGGGAGGAACTTGAACTCGTACTCGCACAGCAGCTTCACAAATACCATCTTTAGCTCCAGCTCGGCAAAATACCGGCCAGGACACGCAGCACGACCGTACCCGAAATTCAGTCTTGTAGGCGTGGGTGTGCTGAAAGTCACCCTCTTGCTATTGCCTTGGATCCCTAGATCTTCTTCCTTTGTGGATAGACGATACTGGCGCAGCCCGTCAAAGGCCCGAGGATCCTCGGTGTGCGAAGGGTCGTTCTCGATAGCGTAGATGGGCATGCACACGTAAGAGCCCTTGGGTACGTGCAGCCCATTCTGAAACGTGTAGTCGGCGCGAAAGAGTCGCTTCAACCCGGTAATGGTTGGAGGAGACATTCGCTGGGACTCGATCAGCACGCTGTCGAGCTTGTGTAACCTCTCGTAGGGCTTATCCTCCCAGGTCCTAGCTACGGTCTCTATCTCGGCCCGAAGCTCGCATAGGATATCTGGGTGTGCAGTGATGTCGTACAGCACGTTTACAATACGGAGAAGGACCGTGTGCACTGAGGCGAGAGCCAGTATCACCATGACGTGGGACATGGTGTCAGCGTTGCGGTCCCTGCCGCGGGCGGCGTCGATGAGCCAGCTGAGGACGTTCGTATGTTGCTCGTCGTTGTCCTGAGGGACGAAACGTCCAGCATCATTCTCGTTGAGCAGGTGTTGTATTTTGGGGCCGAGGAGCCGTTTTGCCCTGTGAAGATATCCACGGCAGTGCCAATAAGAAGGGAGGCACCAACACGCTACCGGACGCATCCAGCGGGGCAGAAAGCGGAGGCAGACGATGGTTTGGAATACTGAATCGAGGTCAGTTAACTGCCCAGGTGCTCCGAATGTCGGTCCACATTGTTACACTTACGAGACTCAACATATTCAACTCCAATCCGCAGCCATTCCTCATTGTCTGAAAACGCTGGACCAGTAATTGCTTGAGCGGAGAATCTGGTTGAAACTTTGCTAAAAGCCTGGTAAGGCTGGAAAACTTCCCAATTCTCGCCGGTCGGCAGACACTCCATAAGTGCGTTGCAAAGTTCTTTTTCAAGCCCAGGAGTAACCAATCCAAGTCGCGGGGTTAGCTTCCGCTGAATAATGGAATGGTGTATCCTGCTCTCGAGCACGAGATCAATCCCCGTGTATGGCCCGAGCAGATCATTCTCTAGTCCGCCATGAGGGCTGGCGACAGCTGAGGGAATTGACACGAGCTCTTCCAGGGTCGAAAGGGGCAATACAATAACATTCTTATCATTTTGCACCAATTGGAATGTGCCCGTTTTAAACTCGATTCTCAATCAGCTTGGCTGCGATTCATGGGATGGAGCCTCAAAGCCCCCGTTTACTCACACGTTGGTATCCTCTCTCTAGGATTGACGCGGCGTCTAACGCAAAGAATGAGTTCGACACAATTCTGGGTGTAAGTGTCCAAGGGGTGCCAGTGAGAGGAACCCCTGGTAACTTGGCGGCATCTCTTTTCACCAGGATAGAATCAATCAAATAGTATATGAGCCCAAGCACGAGCGTCCCCGTGCACAAGGAAGCCCAGGAAATACATGGCCAAGTAATCATATTGACTTTCAATGTGTATGTCGTTGCAATAACGCCACTTGTGTGTCTCTTCTGTCTGGGGGTGACAAGGCACTGGCTGTGACAAGCATGGTTCTAACTACACTCGCCAGCCACCCGTTTGGCGGAAAGCCAAGTCCGAGTGATTGGCATCCGGGCATTGGAATCAGCCACATGACTACACACTCGGGGCACGGCAAAGACCCTGAAAGCTGCGGCTCTGTTGTAGGGTGCACAATACGCCCTAAATCCGTTCAACGTCGTATCTGAGTCATCGTATCTGGTGATGATCAAGTGCATCCCGCATATGGCGGATCCTGTGAGGTTGCGCTGGGAGATCAATCTAACACCTACCTAATGTGACCACAGACACGACATCCAGCTGGTTCGGAAGGGCTGGCAGGCCAGAAACGGCCGCCGTTATCAAGCCAGTGCAGGAAGGAGCTTTGAGTAGCTTTTCGCGGTGTGACGCACCCTGCTCCCGGAAAGGGGAGACGCGATAGCGAGGCATCGAATCACTGGTCTCTCGTTGGATGTTGGAATGGCTACCGGTGTGTAATGCAAATCAAGACGGAGCAGGGGCGAGGTCGTGCCCCGAAGCATAAAAGATCGGCACTTGGTCAGAATCCCTTGCAACATTGGCATGCAAGGCGCCTTGTGCACCTTACAGCTCACTTTGGAGCGGCCAATCGAAGCTGGGCGGTTTTCGCACGGTGGCCACGTCCAAAACGTTGTATTACGTGAGCTCTCAGAAGTCAGCAATCATGGCGCGTAATTACTGAGCTGTGAAAAGAAGCTCCTGAGGTCGCATCCAACAGGGACCTGTGCGGCCAGACGTGCGGCATGTGACAGCTCTGCCGCAAATGCGTCGTATTCGCCGTTGGCTGACAACCAACACAGCTTTCTGGTGCTTTGTACTGTCCGAGTAGAGGATACATTGCCTCATTTCCGGCTGCTTACCGAGCTCAGGCAGTGCCAGAATCAAACCACATGTTCTTAGCCTAAACTCACTGACTGTGTCAGCCTACATCAGCGGCCGTCGCGTCTTCTTCACTCAAGCCCGACGTCGACAGAACTATCAGTTCTCTCAGGTTCTGGTTCGGTGCCGACCGTCATGAGCGAAAAGAACGCTGACAGCACGAAGCCTGAGGCGAGCGATGTCCCTGCCTACCCGAGAGTCGACCTTGACAAGCCCAATGGAGGGCCCCCGGACAGTTCGACAAGTGACCCTAACGAGGTACAAGGCGGCAGACTGCTCCTGATCAACGCTTCTCTTTGCCTCTGTACGCTCCTCGTCGGCTTGGTAAGTCCATGCCTTGGCACACAGGATCAGACGATGGCCAAGGCTTATGCTCGTGGCCCATAGGACTTCACCTTGATTGCAACTGCGGTTCCGCGCATCACGTCTGAGTTCAATTCGATTCAAGATGTAGGCTGGTACGGAGCTGCCTTTCAGCTCGCCATGTGAGTCCTGTCACCGCCTCACCTCCCCAAGCCGGCTCTGGTGGTCTTGGTTTTATTCAGTCCCGGCGCTAAGAAGATGCCCCGTCCAGATGTGCGTCACAACCTCTAGCAGGCAAGGTGTTTACCTTGTTCTCAAAGAAAATCGCCTACTTGGCATACCTGTTGGTATTCGAGATTGGAAGTCTTGTCTGCGCCCTCGCTCCTTCGTCCCCGGCCCTGATCGCGGGCCGGGCCGTGGCTGGCTTGGGAGCCTCCGGCATGTTTGCAGGTGGCTTCGCCGTCCAAGCTGCCATCATCCCACTACACAAACGTGCTATATGGATTGGAGCCATATCATCTACTTTCGCGGTTGCTAGTATCGTCGGACCCGTGATCGGCGGGGCCCTGACAGAGGTTCGTTGAACTGACATCCATCCCGCTTGACCCAGCCCGGCCACACCACTGTTCACTTGATAGAGCTTACCAGAGCTTGCATTACTGACTGGCTTCTCCTTTCAAGCAAGTCACTTGGAGATGGTGCTTTTATATCAACCTGCCCATCGGATGCTTCGCTGCTGCCATATTTGCCTTCTTCGTTCGTATACACAACGCTGAGTCAGACCACACTCCACTCCGGACGCGCGTCAAGGGCCTGGATATACTCGGATTCTGCTTGTTTGCAGGCTTCATGCTCATGCTGCTCTTGGCACTACAATGGGGTGGCGTTGCCTATGCTTGGAACTCCCCAACCATCATTGGACTTTTTGTTGGCTCCGCCGCGGCGCTGGGCGCATTCATCCCCTGGCAGATATACTTTCAGGATCATGCACTCATACCGCCACGGCTGTTCAAGGCTCACCGGAACGTAGGGCTGCTTTGTGCCAGCTCTTTCTTTGTCAACGGTCCCTTCCAGGTTATCATCTACTGGTTGCCCATCTGGTTTCAGGCTGTGCGAGGTGATAGTCCCACGGAGAGTGGGGTGAATTATCTGCCAACTGTTATTTCTGATGCGATCATGGCGTTGTTAGGTACCGGGGTCGTGATGAAGATTGGGTGGTGGAATCCATTTCTCCTGTTCGCAAATGTCTGTGTGTGTCTCAGCGGTGGCCTGCTGAGCACGATCTACCCAGGCATCCCCAGCGGTAATTGGATTGGGTATCAGATCTTGGGAGGAACAGGTTATGCTTTAGCGACAAACCTAGTAAGGAACCAGTGGCCCAACCTTGCCTCGTCACGGTATTACTTCTCATGCTAATGATGCTCCCGCGATCTTAGGCTCAGGTCGGGATGCAAACATCACTGCCACCTGACCTGGTCCCGACTGGGTCTTCCAATCTGCTCATGTTCGTGTCTACGAGCTGCTCGATCTTTCTCGCGCTGGGCCAGGCCGTCTTCCAGAAGAGGCTGGAGACGAATCTGTCTGCCGTGATTACATCGGACCTCGTGGAGGATGTCATTTCAGCCGGCGCCACGAACTTCAGATCGATCGTTCCGGATCAGGATCTGGCTGCTGTTGTCAAGGCATATGGCAAGTCTTGCACCCAGGTATTTGTGAGACGAATCCTAATTACCAAACCCCTGCCCCACCACCCCCTCGGGGAGAACAAATGCGTTCATATCAGCACGATGTATCAAGAGATCAGATAGGCCATGGAAAATTGCCAATGAAGTCACTCAAACTAACAATGCCACAGTACCTTCCAGCCGCAGCGCCTGCGATTGCCTTCATTTTAGTCTGTGGATGCAAGTGGATTTCCACCAAGAAGTCAGCACCGTCCAACTCAGACAAAACAAAGGAGGGGATGAATCCGTAGACCGGGTTCGCAGGTCCATTTGAAAAGGACGGATTAATACAGAATGTGCACCAGAAAATGAGTGCACATAAGGATTAGTAGTTCACTTCTCTGAGTCTTCGACCAAGTTCATCCAGGCCCTGTGAGCCCTAGCACTTGAAAGCACACCGCTCGAGCTGTAGATTCCCAGACCTAACAATTTCGTAATTCTTAAAATTAACAATAAGTGAGGATTTTGAAATGTGGTTCCGTGGTGTCATATGTTTGCATGTGAGCATTAATGTGTTGCCTCGATCAAAAACCGTGGAAGTTAACTGCAGACGGCGGCAGGGAAAGAGTTCGGGGCCAGGAAAATGATAATTGACCAGACAAAGAGCCAGTCAAAGGGCCAAACAGACACTGGCACTGGTAGTTGAAAATGACATAGGGTGACCGTATCAAGTACGGCTGCGTGACAGACTGAAAAGCCCAGTCACTGACTGCCAGTGGTAACTTGGGACGCGCTTCGTCACACAGTACTTCGCCGATATCCGTGAGCCCATCTGTGCATACGCCTGCGAGAGGGGTAAGGCGTGGCATTCTCATCCAGGCTCAGTTGTTCGACACGCGTTTATGAGAAGTCCATTGGGGTGGCAATTGTCGATCTATGACAAAAACAGCCCAAACAACCCCACGGCAAGAAAGTCAGGACCGGGGAACGTGTCGAGCTTCACAGCTGCCTGCAGGTCTCAAAGAACCAAACGGCCCATCGCAGCTGCCCGAGATGTGTTGGTACAGGGCACCTGCAGCAGACGGCCGTCAGCAATCTACGTGCCGTCATAAGTAAGACCTACCCGTGCTGACAACCTCCGCTTGTGAGGCGGGGTATTTAATCCAGCGACGCTCTGGATTGCCAGCTGCTTACTCTCCAACCACTTTCGAGCAAGGCACGCTGTGCAACTTCGAGACCATCGGCCACACTCTAGCCTTTTGCATTTGACCTGCGAGACCACAAGACGGCGAAGATCATGAAGCCAATCAAGGTTTGGATGGCACGTACGTGATTGACAAGAACCCTACTGCACGGGCCCTCCCTCGCTGGGCGAAATCGCGACCGCTGACTCCATCATGAACATTCAGCTCCCGGGCCGAACCCTTGGAAGGTGATTACCGCCGAAGGACTGTTAGTCTCGGTGTGTGACAGGATGTTGACACACCAGCGCTAGGTCGTCATCGTTCTTGAGGAATTGCAACTTCCCTACGAGATCATGTCCTTCAAGTTCGAGGAGATCAAGAAGAAGCCGTTCATCGACATCAATCCAAACGGCCGTGTTCCTGGTACGTAGGATGTAGACATCAACCGCCCAGGAGCCCATTGGTTCTTTCTAACCCATCCAGCCATCGAGGACCCGAACACAGGCATCACCCTGTGGGAATCCGGCGCCATCATCACGTTTTTGATCGAGCAGTACGACAAAAACCATGTTCTCAGCTACGACACGCTCAAGGAGAAGCACGAATGCAACCAGTGGCGTAAGGCAGACATAAACTATCCCCCCTTAGCCTCTGTTTTACCTTCCGGCACCGCATCCTGCAATGCCGGCGCCTGCGAACTATCACTGATGATCTTTTGACCTAGTGCATTTCCAGATGAGCGGCCAGGGCCCATACTTCGGCCAGGCCGGCTGGTTCAACGTCCTGCACGCAGAGAAGCTCCCCTCGGCCATCGAGCGCTACCAGGCCGAGGTCCGCCGCATCCAGGGCGTGCTCGACGGCCAGCTGAAGGACCGCACGTGGCTGGTCGGCGACAAGATGACCTACGCGGACCTGGCCTTCGCGCCGTGGAACGACCGCACCGACGCGCTGCTCGAGTGCGCCGCCGCCGACAAGTTCAAGGGGTTCCCGAACCTGCAGGCGTGGCACGAGCGGGTGACGGCAAGGGACTCCTGGGTCAAGGCCATGAAGACGCGCGCGGTCCTGATGGACGAGCAAGGGCTGGACTGGCACGGGATGCCAAAGGGCATGAAGAACATGGCCGAATATCAGGCTAAGATCAAAGCTGAGGAGAAGGCGGGCTAGGGCTAGCCTTGCATGTAGTAGATGCCACGATGTATCCCAAGCTTCACTTTTTGACACGCCAAGTTTGGCGCCAGTAATAACCAATCACACACACTAGCATGGAATGTTTTGTCAGTCTCTTGTCCAGCTACTCTCCCGCTAGCAGGGTCTCTGAGTCCTGTATATGCCGAGACCGTATTAAACAACGGTTCGGCAGAACTTTGGCTAGTATCAAGGGCTAAGAAAGACGTACAAAAAAGCTTGCAATACCTTTAAGAGTGTTTGCTCTTGTTCAGCAAGATTTAATATGATGTTATAAGTTTCCTGTAGTGGTCCAGTAGTAAATCCTATAAAAGATTATAAAACAATCAGACCTACTAATTATTAATCTAATAGACTGCTCGCCCGCTGAGACGGATCTGCTAACTGCTAGCGTAACAGACGCCCCGGCCAAAAGACCACAATTTCCAAGTCCCCCGCCTTGGAAATTTAGCAGTTATAAGCCCGTACCGTCACACCCGCAGGACTACAGTGACTGATGGCTTCTAACAAGTTATTCCTAGTAGTAAATGAGTTTGATCCCGTCAAATACATGCTTCATTCTTCAATCCTTATTACAGCTCGAGGTAATAAAGAAACTTGAAGAATATGATATCCCACACCTAAAAGATTAAAACAACATTATGTAAGCTATTGAAACTCATTCTTAAATCTTTTAAGCACTCATACGTGCGATCACCTGTAAAAGACATACAACATGAGAAAGGTAGTACTCTCGGGTGCAATGTTCCCCGGTGCAGGATCGTCCAATTGACGATTAAAGGACAGTCCAGCCCTGACTGTTGACCTCGGGAGCTAGTGCCCGACTGCAGGGTTGCGGGGAGCCCGAGCCACTGACAGGTCATTGCCGTGGCAGAACATGGGATGATACGGAGTGTTTATTTTTAGTGCGAACCTGACAGGCCCAAGTTTTCGAACGATGCCACGCAACAAAATCAGTGGCTTGCCTTAGTCGTCACTAGAGCTGCCTTGACACACGTAGCTTCAACCACGGCTCTCCATAGCTGCCCAAGCTGCCCTGGGGTAAGCCACATTTGTTCTCATTTTACTTTGAAAAGCCACTCGGCGATAGCAACCTGCTCACGCCCGCGGGCATCATATCAAACGGCCGGATTCAGCCCCGTAGAAACTTCGGCGATGAACGGGCCAGACGTTGGCAATGAAAGGTTCTTGGTGGAGGTAAAGTATGGAATTAGGGCTTGGCGTCGACTTGATCGCCGCCGCGTAATGTCCCTATCGAGATCGTCACCGACTCGAAGTCTGAAAAGTGGAGTCCAGTCCTCGGGGACCAATGCCAGTTCCCACTTCATCTGACTCGAACACAGCTCGTATGCTTGATGCAACTGAAAGGGATAAGGACAAACCGTCTCGGCAGTCAGTAGTTCGGACCCCAGGCCCACCTGGGCCGTCCTCCATACCTAGGTACCCATACACAGCGCCCTGACTACCCCATCTTTGTCACTTTCTTTCCGGCGCCCCAGAATGAGCTGAGAACTCCGGAACTCTGAAAATCGCAATGGTCACGGTGGAGAACCTTAAAGGGCGCTGGCTCACGGGAACGACACATCGCTGCCAGAATGAGGTCGCAGTCACACAAAACTATGGTTCAGCGCTGAAAGCATTTTCGCATAGAGATGGGGGGCATAGAGTCGTTGACGGTCCCTAGCAACATACATGACTGAAACTACGGGTAATTTCACCGCGTACCGGCATTATCGCACTAGGACCCAGAAATGAGGCTCCACCTTCATGACAGCCCCAGGACCCAGGTCTCGATGCTGCTGGGGCCTGAGACACCCTTTTCTTTCCCGTTGGGTGACGCCAAAACGCTTAACCGCTTGATATACCCCGTTTCCTCTGATGGCAGAAATCCAGGCCAGATGTTGTACCGACAACCAACACAAAACTTTTGTGCTCTCGGTCTGTGACCAGGTACTGACTCATCTGACTTGCTCTATCTTTCACAGTTTCTTATTCCCTGGTTCTTTGAAAGACTAAATTGTTGCATTTCGACATTCTATCGGCGCCCAAAGCAAGTCTTCGCCGCCGACAGTCCGATATGCCTCTAGGCGGGAAGGGTCCGGCGGTGCTCGCGTGTATATGGACCGAGGCAGCGATAACGCTGACCTTCATCGTTTTGAGATGGTATACAAGACACTTCATCAAGGGCAAGATTGGGTCTGATGACTATCTGCTTTGGATAACCTGGGTAAGCATCTTTCACGACTTCGCACGGGACTCAGAGGAATGGCTGCCCCGCAGACAAACCTCTCTCCTGGGGTCTTTGGGATCTATCAAGGCTGATCAGACATACAGATATTGCAACTTGTATTTGCCGTCACGTTCTCAGTGTCTTGTGCTTATGGGTTCGGCCAGCACAATGCCGACCTAGCGATCTCTGACAGAGCCGGGGCGACATTCTGGGAGCTTATCGGGCAGTCGGCCGTAGCCCTGACCATGGGCACAAGCAAAGCAGCTGGAGCCTTGTTCTTGTTGAGGATTCTTACTACTTCTTGGTCAGTATCATAGACTTTTGGACCACTATTGCGTTTCCTCCTATCGATGAGCTGAATTGCTGACTCTGACGTTCTTTGACAGGCACAAAATGCTACTCTGGGCGTGGATGCTAAGCAACGGCTTTGTTGCCGTCATGCTGGCTATTTGCGTCTGGGCGCAGTGTACGCCAACGCACGCATTATGGGACCAGAAGACTCCGATAGAGGCATGCCCCATCAGCCTCACCAATTTGGCCTACGTCACCTGCAGCTGGAGCGCTGCCATGGACTTCTTTCTGGCCATCTTCCCGTGGTTTGTGTTGTGGGAACTCAACATGAAGAAGAAGGAGAAGATCACCGTCTGTGTGTCGCTTAGCCTGGGTATCTTTGCCGGCGTCTGCGGCGTCATCAGGACTACCGGCCTAGGAGTGCTGGGCAACTCTGCCGACTACTTGTGTAAGATTCCGAAAAGTCGACTCTCCTCCCCAATTTCGGGGACAATCATTGCTATCGAACAGAGTGGCTGACATTTGACTCCCGTGATCTAGTCGCCACGGCCGACTCGGTGATGTTCACCTCCAGCGAGCTCATGGTCACCGTCGTCTGCATCTCCGTCCCAACGCTCCGGCCTATGTGGCAAAAGGTGTTGCATATGCAATCATCGGCCTACCAGTACGGCACAGGAGACAACTTTGACGGCAGCCGCTACGGCAGGGGAACCTCCAAGAAGCAGACGCTGGCATCGGTGGATGGCGGGCCCGACGCGGAGAGCTTCGGCATGGCGAATTTCGGGCCGTCCAACGGGGCCAAGAGCAAGGGGATGATGGTTACCACGAATGTGACCGCCTTCTCGTCTGCCCCGATGGGCGCCAAGAACACAGACCACATCTCTGATAACGACAGTGACAAGGAGATTCTAGGAGATGACCAGCAACACCAAGGTTACGGAGATGGAATTCGCAGGACGCGTCAAGTCACCGTTACGTACGGATCAGCCGTCTAGGGGCGGCTCTGGAGACAGATGAAAGATACCTACTTTGTACACATAGTTCTACTTAATAAGCAATAATAATGACACCGATGAGACCGTTCTGGCCCCATAGCCTGCGAGAAATTAAAATTCGTGGATATCACTCACCAAAATACAGCTGGCTGATAGTTAGCAAAAGAGAGCATCGGTACCGTGTTTTTGTACGAACAGATGTCAATAGACAGTTGGCGCGAATATCATGATCCCAAGGTGAGACTGGCCCACCGAATTCCACAGAATTATTGATCTCTGGCTGGACGGATGGACCTTAGCATCGCCGAGAATGTTCGTGATCAGCCCTGCCGAGGTGCATCCATGCATTGCTGAAGGTCGGTGTAACGCTCACTCGGCCGGCCGAAATGATGCATGGGGCCACACCCAGGATATTCCATGATGTTCAATCAAGCTCAGACGTGTCTGGTGCACTGATCAGGTCTCGTTGGATACCATGACTCCTGTTACCTGCAGCCAACGGCTTGTCGAACTCCATATGGACCGTCCCGGAGCCTTACCCACACGTGGGTCTCTTGGGTCCCTGCATGCTCAGGGGTCAGTCAGGAGTACGTCGATCATTGTCGGTACTTGCACGGGTCAGTGTTCGCTTGATGCGTGCACAACTTTGCATAACGTAAAGATAATCGTTGTTCTGGTCGTATCGGACCGTGAATCTGGTAGAAATTAAAGCTTCCCCATCGCGACCCTGATCCGTCATGTCTGAGTACTTAAGTACTTAAGTATATATTCCGGAAGGTTCCGCCAACGGCTGGACTTGCCCTTGAAAACGTTAAATTTTAGCTGCATACTTTCACTTACAAGACCGTCGCAAGACTCGGCTATCCCCGTTCTGACATCTGGATTCACTTTGCAACATGGCGGCTGCTGGACAAGAGATCCGCGTGCGTCGCGCCGACTGGCGCCACGTGCCACGAGAGGAGAAGTTTGAGCTGTCCGACATGGACCACACCATGCCAAAGATATTCGTCCCAATAGTCGAAGTTTTTGAGCTCCCGGACGGAGCAGACAAGGACGAAATCGTCACGACCTTCCGAAAAGGCCTCGAGTATGCCCTGACGCAGTACCCGGTCGTCAACGGCTCTCTTCACATGGACGAGGACAATGGCCGCCTGTGTATGTTCCATGAGACTGGGCAATTCCAAGACGTACGATGAACTAACAGCGAATACAACAGGGGTTGTCGCAAAGCGTACTGATGCCGTGAGCCTTTTTGTAGAGCACCTCGACGGGGATGACGAGGAGGCGCAGCATCCATCTTTCCAAGAGCTCGCAGCACGGCACTTCCCGGCATCTGAGCTGCTCCCAGACAAGCTCCTGCCGAAGGTGGTCACGGAAAAGATGATCTTCTCTCCAGTGGGACAGGACGCTAAGGACGGGTTGATGGTCGCCACTTTCCAGATCACGTTCATCAAGGGGGGCTTCATCCTCGGCCTGGCCATGCACCACAGCCTTACCGATGCCCCCGGCGCTGATGGGTTCCTCACCACGTGGGCGGAGAACTCCATGGCTGCCAAGCACGGCACTGCCTTCAAGCCAATCGACGATGCCAACCGCGACCGCTCGCGCCTCAGCGCGCCCAAGGCACCCAGCGCCGAGCGGTGGAAGCAGCTGGACGGCAAGTTCACGACGCTCAAGGACGTGGGCGGTCCGACCCCCCCGCCACCCGCGGACTTTGTAGTCCCACCAATCGTCAGCCGCATCTGGCACCTGACCCGGGCAAGCCTCGAGCAGCTCAAGGCAGACGCCTCGCCGGCCCAGGCAGGGGACGGACTCGGAGGGTGGATCTCGACCTACGACGCCGTGATGGCGCTCTTCTGGAAGACCATGACGCGCGCCAAGATCCCCCTGCTCAGGCCGTCCATGGACGACAGGAGCAGCATCATCCACCCCGCCAACGCCCGCTCCAGGCTCGACCCGCCGCTGCCGCCGCGGTACCTGGGCAACGGGTGCGCCCTGCCCCGCGCCGGGCCCCTGGCCGTGGGCGAGCTCGTCGGGGCCGACCTGCGCCGCCTGGCCCCTCTTGTGCGCCAGGGCATCAGGGAGATCACGCCGCAGTACACGGCCGAGATGCCCGAGTGGGTGGCGGGCCTGCGCGACAGGCGCTGGATCACCGTCAACATGAACAACTTCCTGGGCATCGACCTGGCCGGGACCAGCTGGCAGGGCATGGAGGCGTACCGGAAGCATGACTTTGGATTCGGCCTGCCGGTGGCGCTGAGGTGGCCGAACCCCCAGTTTGAGGGCTACGTGTTCATATTTCCCCAGAGGACTGGCGTCAGAGGCGCCGCGCCGGATGAGGGTCTGGAGGTCTGCGTGTGTCTGGAGGAGGGGTGTGCGGACCGGTTATTGGAGGATGAAGAATTGTTGAAGTATGCTCATGTAAGGCTGTAAAGAGTCTAAGCATCCTTAACTCTTGGCACTTCTTCTTCCACCAGGCGAAGGGAACACTTTTTATGCGATAAGGCTAACAAATAATATATTGAATACTGATTCATCGTTAAATACCCCTTGAATATCTACATATCAATGTCACAAAGCAAAGTGTGGCCGAATGTCTGACCGCAAAGCATGACGTCGAGATCCTATGTGTGTTTCCCCGTTCACCCCCTACTATCCAGAAACCAGAGCACCGCCACACCTTCGAAAACGACGCATCAATGGATCATAAGAACGCTGCTGTAGCTTAACTAGCTGCTAGATACTTAGGTATCTATGTGATCACCTCCAATAGGAGGTTCCGCTGTGGTAAGTATTCCATACAGGGAAGTCCCATGCGAGGGTCACAATAGCAGAGAGCCATCCAGGAGGTTGCCCTATGGTGTGGGTGGGTAGGGGGACACCGTTGCCCATGCTGCGAAACGGACACCCAAGCGACGGTGCGTCACCAGAAACCCGGAGATGGGCGATGTTTGCAGCTTTCTACACCAAGTAGAAAGAGTAATATTAGCGACATGGCGCACGCAAATGATGCGCCCAATCTCTGAGCGAAGCGATCATGACTCGCAAGATGCGGTCGTGGAGGACCTCACGGTATGTTCCGACCAAAGAAAGTTCTAGCCAAAACTAGACCAAGCAAATCTCAGTGGCAGCTAACAGGATCAGATCAACCTGCGCAGGCGAGAAAGCTCCTACTCAAGGGTGCCTTTGATGGCGGCGATGAGTGGATCAACCACAACGCGGTCAACCCGCACACGGAGCTTACCTAGGTATCTGAAAAAGGAACAACAACAAGGGATATCTGGACTCCAGTAGTCAACGACACAAGGACAGAAAATAAAGCAGAGGTTGGGCTCCTTGGTGAAGAAACAAAATCCGAATCTCAACTCGTAGGGCCTGGCCAAGGTCATGACGGCAGCAAGGCCTTCTAACCTCTTGCTTGGCTACTCCCAGCCCTACAACCCAAGTGCAGTCTGGCCAGTCGTCCAAGCAACCTTGGAAGGCTTTTACACCTTGTCTCGTGGTGGCCAGAGGCGATCAGCCACCAGCCCAGTCGAGCGGCCGTCCGTGTGTGTCAATGCCTCCGATGACTGGGTAGGTCAAGCTGCAAATCGCCCGATCCCATAACGAACTCTTTGCTGTGGTGTGTCCCATGATAGGGCCAAGGGCAAGTAACATCAAATTTCATGGCTGTGCTGAAGGACTCGTCTTCTTGAAACTGGGCTCCTTTTGAAAACCACCCATCCTACACTTGTTGCTGTCTACCTAGGTGCTGTGAGCTGAGTCCACAACCCTAGAGTCTTGTCTGGCTTATGATATGCCATCTGAGTGAATTTATGCCCCAGCTCAAACCTGAGCAAACAGTAGCATGAGGGCGTTGCAATTGATTCAACTACCACAATCAAAACTTTAGGCTTGGGGGTGGTGAATGGCGCCCTCCACTCGAATTCACGTGATATCAAGGTTCTTTATACCAGTCTTGTGATCTTCCAAGGTAGGACTTGCTGCCCAGGTACCTAGGTACTTGAGCAGTTATGGCCCTGTCCCTATTGTACCTTTGGTTGCTAGGGTCAACTGGTCAACTGGTTGTCCAATTGCTGCCCCGTCCCTTTTGACAAACGCAAGTCAACAACGCTAAGCGCGTCCGAATTGCAAGCTGCTTTGAAAAACTCTGCAATCTTTTGTTTGGTTGCAGGCAGCTTCCTCCATCCTTGATTCATAATCCTCCATCTCCAGTTCCCCCGAGCTGACTTCCATCTCGGAGAGCCTTTGTCAACATCGGGACATCGTCTTCCCAGAGCAACAGCATCTCCTCACTTGTACAGACAGACACCCGATTCGCCCTCAAGATGGACCCGACCGTGGAACTCACCCTTGAGCGACGCCAGTGCCAGGTCTGCCACGAACGCGTCGCGCTCAAGCCCTGTGATGTGTGCAAGCTTGTCTACTACTGCTGTCGCGCACATCAACACCGAGACCGAGCCGCCCATGAGCACCCGTGCAGTGTCATCAAGAAGGCCCTCGAGGATCTTTCCCGCCAGGATCAAGACCGCACCAAGATGGCGCTGAAGCACCGCAAGGTCGCCACAGACACCCTGAATCATTTCGACAACATTGTGGCCGTGGAATTCGCACTTGGCCACCTGAACGAGGTGCTCCGCCTCTGTCCCTCCGATCCCGATGAGCTGCGCGCGCGCGACATCATCCCCACCTTGTTCCTACGCCTTGGCCGCGACCAGGAGTGCTACGACTTCATCAAGTGGTGGGCACTCACAGCCCCCAGCTATGACTGGGCCCATCCGACTCGGAGTCTGCCCTATCTCGACATGAGGGGCGAGGACCCCGTTGAGTGCCCCATCACGGCCCTCCGCGTCGATGGCCCCATGAACATGAACCACATCATGGCCGCGATGCTCATCAAGGTGCGAATCCTTCTCGACCTGCAGAACATGCAGAACGCCACCCGCGCCTTCCAGGGAGTGCTCCGTCAAGACTTCATCCATATGATCCGAGCTCAGATGCCGCTGGTCAGCAACGTGGTGGCCGCGTGGAAGGATATCGCTGAGGCTTCCGTGGATAAGACGGCTTTCTTCGTGAAGCTGCTCAAAGTGGAGGTCAAGGTCATTTTTTACAGAGTCCAGCGTACCGATCCGATGTTCTGGCCAACTTTCCTTGTACACGAGCAACTCAGACAGGAAAGGGTCATCCGGGGACCTGTGGCGACCGACGCGAGTCTTCAAAGGTCGATCAGGTATCACTACGAGCCACTCAGACAGGAAAGGGTCATCCAGGGACCTGTGGCGACCGACGCGATTCTTCAACAGTTGGTCGTGTGTGACTACCACGCACTTGCATGGCGAGAGACACCGGGCGCCATTGGGATGCTCGAGGACCTGGTCAGGGCAGCAACAGCAAAGGCAGCAGCAGCAAAGGCAGCAGCAGCAAGAGAGTGATGGGATTTCCAGAGGAGGAGTCTGGCGCGAGCCCACCTGGACATGTGCACATTCAGTTGGGCTGGGGGAGAAAACGAGAGAAGAGACAGTGGCCTGGCGCCCTCATCGGCCGTCATTGGGTCTGAACTCGGCAGTTTACCGATTTCTAATGGCCTGGGCAGACATTACAATACATGTTGAATTCTGGTAGCATTGAAACCTTGGAATGCATCACTGGCACGCGTGACAAGAAGAATCTGACTGAATTACCGTAGGGTAGGCATCAACCAACCATCATAACCTCGAAAGGCAGAACATCTTTCTGCGCAAGACTTCCCAGGCGAACAAGTAAAAGGACAGTCCACATCCGGTCACTGCCAGCCAGCACTGCAACGCAGTTTTGCAAACTGTTACACACCCTGCCCTGCACTGGCAGTACCAGTATACCGCGGTACATCAGGCCGCAAAGAATCAGCGCTGATCTCCGTCGCCGGCTCCAAACCTCCGTCCTCGCCCTGGTCCAACATGGCGACCTCGACCGCCGGCGTGGCGGCGGCATCGACCCTCGTGGGCCGGGACGGGGACAGCTCGTCCCGCCGCTGCTGGGCAACAGCGCGGAGTGCGCGCAGCTCCCGGGCGCACTTCTCGTCCGCGCAGTCGTCGAAGCCGAACTCGTCCTGGATCTCGCCCTTGGAGGCCACATGGCTCGAGTTGCCGGCGACCACGACCAGGCCGACGTCGTCCACCCACTCGCGCCTCGCCCGCGCGGCGGGCGCATACGCGGCGGTCAGCTGTGCCTCGGTGGGGTGGTTGTCGAACCAGGGGTCGCGGTTCAGCACGGCGTAGCCCGGGTGCGTGACGGGCCCGTTGTTGAAGATGGCGCAGGCGTTGTCGCTCATGCCGTCGTCGGCCCAGTTGGGCATGTTCTGGGTGGCGATGGTGAAGCGCTCGCGGTCGAAGACGGCCCTGAAGTATGTGTACGTGACGACGCCGGCCCTGCCGCCCCTCCCGGCGGGGACCTCCCTGTGGGGGTTGTCCAGACTGTACGGCGCGTAGGGGTTGCACTGGTCGAAGAGCCGGCCTGCGAGGTAGTTGTCGCGGCTCGCGATGAGCCGCACCATCTGACCGCGGTCTACATACCCCACTGGGCGGCGCACGCCCTGAGTTGAGGTCAGGTCGTTGAAGCCATCGTTGATATCTGCCATCGCCGCTGGTGGATACTCGTCGGGAGAACAGCCACCAAGAGGCAAGTTTGCTAGTTGGGCATCAAAGCGTGCCCGGTCGCGTTGGCCGTTGAACTCCGCCGTGACAGGTCGCAGCGTTCTCGCTGTCGGTTTGCGATATGGACATGTAATGGTCGCATACTGTGGGTTGACCCGAGAGATGGACGCATAGTTGAAACAAGCCTGTGGGTGGTCGTTGATTCCGGGGTTGGCACCGCCGCCGTCGCACATGATCTGTCTGACAGGGCTTCGAAATTGGTCAACCACTGCTGTCGTAATTGTCTTGTGGTATTGCGGGTCGTTGTTCTCGCAGTCGGCCCTTTTGCTCTTGGGGCAGGCTGAACGTGTGGGGGCTGAGGTCTATCCGAAGATCAGTACTGAGTCAGGTCGTCAACATAACGATCAGATCGTGAATGTGCACTTACATGGCTTGACTCTGGTGGCCGGGAGACTTTGGTTGTCTTTGGCTTGTCCATAGAAAGGCTATGCTCTTTTCCAAAGACCTTGAAGACTGCCTTCCCTTCCTTTTCCACCCCCTTGATGCAGAGCTGAACCAGTGCCGGCGTGGCAGCAACTTCGGCAATATCCAAGATCTCTCCTGTGGTAACATTTCAGTCAAGTTCCTCATCTCTGCTGGGGAGGCGTTAGGGGAGGGAGAGTTTTCCATACCTATGATCGGGATGGCCGCTTCGATGAGCTCTAAAGGTGCCAGCAGAGCCGGCACGGCAATGCGACAGAAAGCCTTCGCTGCAATATCCAGGGCAGCCTGCTCCGCAGCCTGTTCAGCCAGGTCCTTCGCAGTATCTTCGGCCTCTTGTTTGATGTCGTCCGCAGATGGTGCTGGCTTGAAGTCCTTGCAGCAGTAGCTCTGGATGCCGCCAGTGCAGGTGCGGTCACCATTCTTGTCATGGCTGTTCGTGTCCTGCACTATCTCCGTCTCTCCGTCGGCACAGCCGCCCATACATGACAGGCCAACGCCTCGGTAGCCTCGCCACGTACACGTGCCCATGCGCGTGCCGTCATCGCAGCAGAGTGACCGGTACTCACCTTTCCCACACCGGCCATTGGTTGACAATTTTCCTGGCTGGCCGTTCATCTCAGACACTTTGTTCGTGCCCGATTTGCACTTCTGGCCACAGTCGGTGGTGTAGCAGGTCACTCCTGCGGCAAGGTCATCGCTCATTTGCTTGGCGTCCTGCTGGTCCTGTGTCGAGACGCCCGGGGCTGGAGCAAGGTGGTTGTCGTCCTCTTGATTCACCTGGTCGATAGCCCAGACCTTAAACAAGGAAGGGGAAATTGATCAGCCAAAAGACAAGATTAGGTGATGTGACACATGTGGTGCACAAATGTACGTGGAGTAGAAGGATGGCTCACCATGGTACCACCGAGACATCTGGAATTAGCAAACTTGCGCTTCTGGTCAAAAGTATCGTCGTCATCGTAGGATATCCACTGGTTAGAGTCCCAGGTTATCCACTTCACCATCGCATCCTTGTCCCAGACAGGCTTGACGTTCTTGTCAGCGATGACATCCTTGATCTCCTGCAGGTCAAGGATGCCACTCGCACCGGAACAGGGACCTTCTTTTGCGCCACCTGAGAACTGGCAGACACCATTGGGTGTATTGCATGATGGGTCTGTCAATGTGAACGACCGCCCGTACTGTTGGGACACGCAAGATATCATCAGCCACACGACTTTCAGGGGAGGCTGTCGGCTCTGTCAGTAGACTTTGAGAAATAACGTACCCAGCCGAATCCCATTATGACCTTTTCTGGTTTGACTCCTGCCCGCCAGAGCAAGTCGAGGCCCAAGTCTATCTCGGTCACGTTGGTGTGGGGAGCGATGTAAGGACCGAGGAATTTGGATTGGGCATCCCACGTGCCGTGGACTTATTGCTGTCAGTATGTGATAAAGTTGGTCATTGTTTGAAAATACTTACGATCGTAGGACATGAAGTTGAACCAGTCTACATTGGGCTGGATGGCCTTGAGATCAAAGTGCTGAAGATACCAGAACGATGTTGGCAAAGTCATTGAGATGCCATATCTGTCGCCTATACCGAGAATCTGTCAGCATGTGTGAAAAGCGCAACAAGTTCCAAGATTATGGAAATTTCTTACCAAAGGCTGCGCGCAGATCCTTGACCAAAGCGGAGTAATTGTCCTTGTCTGCCGTGATACCACCACGGTCATCGGCCTGAGGGTATTCCCAGTCGAGGTCCACCCCGTCGAAGCCATACTGCTCCATAAAGCTGATGAGCCCCGAGATGAACTTTTGCCGGTTCCCAGCAGAGCTTGTCATGTCACTGAAGGCATTCCGGGTAGGGCCCGGGTCCGTGAAAGACCAACCGCCCACAGAGATCCACGTCTCGAGGCCAGGATGGGTGTCTTTCAGCGCGGTGAAACGTCCGAATAGCTCACCGCTCTTGGAGTCCATGGGCGCAATGGCGAAGCTCGAAGGGTCGAAGGAGGCAAAGGCAAAGTTCAAGTGTGTGAAACCGTTGAGGTTCAGATCCTCTGGCGACACGGGTTGACATTTTCTCGTGTTGGCCCAGGATTCGTAATAGCCGATTGTGCGCTTCGCAATCGAGTTCCCATTGCAGGATGGTCGTTTGACATCGCCACAACCGCCAAAGTCCTTTTGACATCCTGCATCGCAGAAGTCGCTGGTCGAACCGCAGAACCTTGAGATTATATGTGTATTAGACTCAAGACCAAGCTATGAAAAGCTCCAGAGAGGGGTTGGGGACAGCTTAAACCTACCCAAACTTTGAGCAACACACGTCCAGCGGGCAGTTCTGCTGCCCAGGCTTTCCATATTGCCCACATGAGGCCTTAGCATCGCAATTCGAAGTACAGTTCCCTGTAAATGAGTCAGTCTTGGAGGGACATTCATACAGGCTGTGGCATCAAAACCCCACCTGCTCCGCATTCAGTTGGCGAGTAGCCACATAGGCCGTTGGTACCGCAGCAGGCCGCGTTCTCGCAAGGTGTATTTGCGTCGCATGTTCCCGTGGGTAGCCGCCTCTCTAGACTGTGCCTGTTCAGAGATGGGTGTTCGAAGAAGGAATTGTGTTGTCTATGGTCAATGCTATTGAAGGGAACTGCAATGGTCAGGTCAAAGTAAAGAATGTGCAGAAGCAGGATAGGAACTGCCAAAGGAATGTAGGATCGAAGCATTGCAGTGAAGCTCGTCTAGAGTAGACGACACTGTCACGATATCATAGGACTATGGTGATGGCCACAGGGAAATCAAAGAAAAGGTTTTGCGGTCATGACACCAATTTGTGTCCTTCCGTATCCCACATTCTTGACCTCGGTAAAACCGTGGTTTCTAAAACCTCTGCTGATAATCCCAGCGAGCCCAAGCGATCCCAGTCGCCTGAATTTGCTCTGTCGTTGCATAGGAAAGATGATCCTGGTGATTAAAATCACTACACCCTCCTTCCCAGATGAAAGTTGGTCAAATGATCACTTGTGATGATCCTTCCCGAGGTCTTTCCGGGCCTGGAATGCTGTGTTGCCCCTGATTTGATCCATTATTCTTTAGGCAGACACGTTTCCGTGGTTATTGTTCTTACTCAGCTTACACCAGCTTCGCATCAAGATTGAAAATCATTCCCGGTGATATCAATCTGCTGGATAAAGGGGCCCGATGGGGCTGGCCCTGAGAGACCCTACTGTCCGCGCGGACAACGTTGGCCAATCATCGTCCGCTGTTCGACACTATCAAACCTAGATTTGGTACAATGGTCAGGGCTTTTAAAGGTTAGTCCGGCGCTAAAGACGGGAAGAATTCTCTAGTGGGAGTGGTAGAGAATTTCAGTGATGCTCACCAAAGATTCTGTTAGCCGATCCTACCTTGCTATCGATATTACATCAAGATTAAGGGTCTAAAGGATTATACGGAGTGCGGTTCACTGTCTGCCTGCTGCCTGTTCGTGCGAATTCGGTAACACGCCCGGCGCATGCTAAGCTTTTTGGGTCTAAAGTCAAGCTTTCTGGGCGGAGGAATAAGCATTGTCGGCCGAGACAAGCTTCTTCAATATTGTCAGCTGGCAAATTGCGATCTGACTTGGGGTCTTGGCAAGCCACACGAAGGAAGAAGGATCCGACTCCCGGAATGCTCTACTACCTAGGTACCCTGCTCAAATGTCAGAAACTTCAGGGTCTAGACTACCCATCTGGCGTGTTAGTAGTACCTGATACGCTGACGCGCTCATTGATTATGGTGGGCCTCAACCACACGCACGAGGCCCTCAGGAACAGGCTTAGCGTGTCAAATCCAATGCTATGTTTGTACAGGGTCTACTCATTCTCTGATATACAATCAGAAGAAGGAATCTCGAATTCTTCGCATGACACTGCGGTCAGGAGCACAGCAAGTCGCCTTTGTCTACCTCCAGCGACATACCTTCGACGGGCTCTTGTCTCCCCCATTCTAGGGACTTCGCGCCCTCTTTGAGGAACCTGTCTGTTGCTTCCCAAGATACTCAAGCATCCAAGCATCATGTTCTCCCTAGAATTCATGTTCCCCTGCGTGGGGATTCTCATGATGGCTCGTCCCACAGTCGCACAGTTCAATCTGTATCCGCCAGTGGACCCAGGAAAATTGAGCAAGGCTTTGAACATATCTACAGACTGCATCGAATCACTGTACGGTAACTCATTCGGCTTCTCTGAGATTGAAAGTGGAAGACCATGCGAGACTGACATACAAATTTTCAAAGAAACCAGACCATTCCCAGCTGTGATCAAACATTGTTTCAAATGGTTGGCGAATTTGATAATTACTGGTGGGAGGACGACAACGTTACAACACTCTGTGGCGGGACTTGTCAACAGGACGCGTCCACCTGGATTGACAGCATCACCAATGACTGCTACGATCAGTATCTTACTGCGTACGGCAAACTCGTTCCTGCGTACTCCATAGCTGATCGCTTCATTGATGGACTCAACGTTGCATGCCTTGCTTCTGAGTAAGTCACCCTTGCGAAAAGCCTGTTGAAGCTTACTTGGGAATTGGTTGTCTGACCTATATGCGCCTGCATAGTTCGGACACCCATCAGTGGTGTCTAACAGAGTCACAAGAATGGGTCGGATCCGACATCGTGAGGGCCGACTGTGCTGTAAATCCGACAGATCCCACTTGCAGCGGGAACTCGTCGTCGATCCCAACTGAAAACGTCCGTATGGCAAACTTATACGATGACGACACAGTAAGCAACCGATTCCGCCTGAACTGACAGAATTCGAATGTTGGATATGAAGAAGCTGACAGTGCACACATGAAGTTGTGCAATCCTTGCTTTATCTGGATGCTCTACAACCGCGTCACTTCGAGCTTCTTGACCGAGGCGGACTACTCAGACTACCTCGTCGATCAGCTCCAGGATATCGAGGATATATGTACCACCAAGCTTCCGGAATTCACGATCCGTGCCGTGCCCGAATACGATGCAGCACCCCCCCTGACCTCGGCCAACGTGGGCGACTCGAGCACTGCCACGACCACAACCTCCCCTGCAGCCACCACCTGTCCCGGACAGACGGTTTCAAGCGGCTCTGGCTGCGACTCCCTCTCAAACCAGTACGGTGTGACCACTGGGGAACTGAAGGCCAAGACAGGCAGCGATACTTGCGTTGTGGGTGCCAGTACATGCCTGCGCGCTGCTTGCAAATTGCAGCAGGTCGCGAGTGGTCAAACCTGGTACGTTTATGTGTTTGGCCTGTAACCGCTGCTGTATTCTTTCTAACGAACGTTCGTCTGCAGTGACACGCTTGCAGCCTCACTGAAGGTAACAACCGTTCAGTTCCTCAGCTGGAACAAGAATATCATGGGCCTCTGTGATGATCTCACAGCAGGACAGTATATATGCATCACGTATGTCAAGGTGTCGTGTCCGTGGGGAACACCAGAAAGAGTCAACAACTAATCATTTCGGTAAATAAAATAGTGCCCCAGGAACCACAGGATCGTTCGTGCTACCTCCCCCGCCACTGTAAGTATCGAATGTCCCCATGAGTTAGGCTTGATGCATCAGCGAAATCCTCGATGGATACTTGTTGGGTTGTTTCAGCCGTTTTGGAAATCTCTTAGCTGACATTCTGCAGGGGCACAGATGCAGACGCCGGCAACCAGCAACGAGGGGGCCAAGGGGGAATCGTCACCCCGACATCAACGGCAACGACAACAGGCAACTCAGCCTCGGAAGGAGCCGGCGCCCCATCTCCCACGCAAGACGGCCTGGTGAGCGGGTGCAACAACTTCGCGATGGCCAAGGCCGGTGACACCTGCTTCGACTTCGCCGGCGCGCACGGCATAAGCACCGGGCAGTTCTACGCGTGGAACCCCGTGCTCGGCCTCAACGGTGCCAACTGCACCACCAACTTCTGGGCCAGCGAGTACTACTGCATCGGGGTCAAGGCCGCCCCGACGAGCACGGCGCCGGCCACGGCGCCCGGGCCGACGCAGTCTGGCATCGTCAGCAACTGTAACAAGTTTGCGCAGGCGGTGTCCGAGGATACGTGCGATGTCTTCGCGTCGCGCAACAAGATCACCGATGCGCAGCTGTACGCCTGGAATGCGGTGCTGGGCACCTCTGGGCAGAACTGCCAGACTTCGCTCTGGGCCCAGGAGTGGTACTGCGTTGGCATCGCCCCGCCCCCTGCTCCTACGACGCCCGTGCCGGCTCCTGGTCCGACGCAGACTGGCATCACAGCCAGTTGCAACAAGTACGCTATGGCAGTGGATGGGGATAGCTGCGATGTGTTTGCGTCTCTGAATGCCATTTCGAACGCCAATCTGTATGCGTGGAACACTGTCTTGGGGGCCAACGGGGCAAATTGTGCGACGAGTCTCTGGGCCCAGGAGTACTACTGCGTAGGCATCGTATCGAGCTAGATTTAGAATATGCGTGCTATTTTAGGGATTCTTGAAGAATTAATTGCTTTTAATTTTCAAATCATCTCCCTACCAACATAGAAAGGCTTGATCTGGAACCTCTGCGCCTGTGATCAAAACTGTTGATCTCAGGACCCCTTGACTTTGTATTTCGTGCTCAAGATACTTGTACACATCGTATCCCAGAAGAAGACTGCTCAAGCTACCGAGCCGCACTCCCTTCTGGCTTCATTAAATCATAGTGTATGAACTTAGTGCCTAGTTGTGTTTTCTGCCTCGAGTCCACCACTGCTCAATGGCTGTGATACACTCATCTTTGCGGTAATCATTTGGCCACCCATGCTCTGTATAAATTTTCCTCAGGCCCTAACTTGGATTAGTAACTTGATTGGCACCTAGGCAGTGAAAACGATTGATAGGCCCATGAGTGTGCCATTACTCACCTCGATCTCATTCCAGTCCACGGACCCAGGACCGTCCTTGTCACTCCACACGTAGACCCCGGGACAGGCGTAATCGGAGATGGTGGGCGGCACAGCCAGGTATATCAGATCCCGATATCCAGCCGCCCAGGTCTGCAGCTGCGCCTGGAGCGGCAGCGTAACATCATCGCACAGCCTGTCGCGCCAGGCGCGCGGGTCGTCCTCCCCGTAAGACGGCGGGAACCGGAACCCGACCGACCTGCCCCGCGTCACCGTGCCGTCCGTCGTGTCCAGCATGTAGCACGCGCCCTCCCTGTCCACGCCGGCCGTCAGCTGCACGACCCAGCCCGGCCAGAAGGCGTCGTCGAACTTGAGGCCCCACAGCCAGCCGGGTGCGGTCTTTTCGTCGGCCGACCCGAGGACCCGGTAGTCGCACGCGAAGGCGGCGGGGGCGACGAAGGCGTGCTCGAGCCCGGTGAGGTAGGGCAGGTGGCGCAGGAGCTCGATGGCCTCGTCCGTCTTGTGGATCCCCCAGGCCTCGAGGCTGGATTTGGAGATGCTTGGCCAGCCGCCTTCCGGGGCGTGATGGATCATTGACGAGGAGACGTGTGGAAGCGACTCGTAAAACGAAGACAGCAGAGACACTACATCGTCTCGGTTGTAGGCGCTGGGTGAAGCGAGTCTTGGATCCGGACCTGGGGACCCCGTGGGTGGGCGTCGAGGTTCAGTCATATTGGGGGTGCGGGAAGTGTGGTGAGAAGGGAGATTCGGAATGTGGGATCTCATCCTGTTGTATTAGCTTGGGGGTTAGGACTAGGCAGCAAGCGATGCTACACGGGATGAGCCAATGGTATTGAAGTTTCTGAGCGTCACCAAATAATTGCTATAATTAGATATTCTTTCATATAATTCACTGTACTTCTCACCCACCAAACAAATAATACAAGCAATCTCACTCGATGAGAAGTCAAGTTCCGAAATAATTGTGATGCGGCTCTATGAACCCTAAAGCCAGAGACAGAGACGAGCTTGCATAGCTCCAGCAATTCATTCTTAGATTTTCAACTCCAATTTAAGCAGCTACTTGAGTAGGTAGGCAGGTTACTGCGTTTGGTGGGTGGCAGTTCAGTATTTGATTCTACATCTTGCGAGTGAAATTTCGCCTTAGTTCCTGGGCACGGGGTAAATTTCAGAATCCGGCCAGGCGGGAGCCCAGGTGAGGCAGTGACGGACCGGAATTGGGAATAGGCCCACTTTGGCAAGAAAGTAGCCGGGGGTCGATCTGGAAATAATATGCTTCTCTACGATCTATAAAATCAGCGATCAGACATATGTATTGGTTCAAGACCAAGATACAACCCACTTTCAATTAAGTACAAGAACTATAGAACAAGCAATGCAAGCTTTTTAACTCGGTCCTTTACATGGCCATGCCACTGAAATTGGTGGTCTGAAAGATGTTGCCCTGGAGATCCAGTGACTGTATTTTGACCTGCAGCCTCATGTATTCCTACCATGGGGGCTCCAAGCTGCCCAGGTGGTCGATTGCCTGGGTAATCTTATGTCTGGGGTTACAAGTAAATCATGTGCCACCGGACTCGACAACGCTCTGTGGGCCGCCAAAGAAGGTAGTTAATGGCTGCTTTATAAGACAAGTAGTAGGGCGATTCAGTTAGGGCGATATAGAGGCTTGCACGGCTAAAAAAGCTTCTGGAATATCCTTCCATTGACATCGTAGCTCGCTGCAAAACCCCAGTCGAGTTTCGTCAGGCAAAATGTCAAGGCAAGTCACCTGAACAGCATCCGTGGAGTAACATTTGAAGGAGACCAGGACTAGTGGATACACGATCATCGGTACGAAGACAGGGAGGCAGCACACAAACCTAGCAGAAGGGGGGAGGGTTCTGATTCGGTCATACAATACAATTAATTTAATAATAACGCTGATATCTATTTGGAATTATGAATCTATAGCGAAATGCTCGTAAAATGGTGGGTAACGCTTGACATAAGAAAGTATATGTACGCCCCTGCGCCCATCACGATGACTTGACCTTGCCGGCATCCCCCTGCTCCTTGATCCTCTGCTCAACCAAATCCAACCCCGTCATCTTCCTCATGATGCTGTCCATGAATCCAACAGGCAGCAGGTTCGCAATCCTCAGGATAGTAGTGTGCGAGCCCCGCCACACCCAGTACGTTGGCCTGTTCTTGTTGAGGTCCCTGACGACCTGCGCCGCCCACACGTTTTGGTCGGCCCCATTCTCGTCCATGACCGCGCCGGCCATCTTCTGCTCGATGATATCCTTGGCGGGGGCGTAAATCGAGGTGGGCGGTAGCCTGGCAGGGGGCGCGTTGTCGAAGAATGTCGACTTGACGCTGCCCGTTATGATGTTGATGACCCTGATGCCAAAGGGGCTGAGCTCTAGGCGGAGGGTCTCTGTGACGCTGGTGGCGGCGGCCTTGGACGCGTTGTAGGCGCCCTGCCACGGCATCGAGCCGGCAACCGTGGACGCCCCCGACGTGTTGTTGATGACCCGGCCGCCGGCCCTTGATTGCATCAGGAGTGGGACGAATGCGCGCGTCACCCTGAGCATCGACCACACATTCAGGTCGAACAGCCCCTTGGCCTTGTCAATGTCGATGTCCAGGAGTGGCAGGCTGTACGCGGCGCCGGCATTGTTGAGGAGTGCGTCCAGCGGGCCGCCGGTGAGCTCTTGGACCGCGGCAACGCAGGCCGCGATAGACTCCTCTGAGGTGATGTCAAGCTTCAGTGTCTCGATGCCGGCTTCCTCCGCCAGCTTGAGCTTTGACAAGTTCCGGGCTGATGCGAAGACTCGCCAGCCGGCCTTGTGGAAAGCGAGGGCCAGGGCTGAGCCCAGACTATGGTCTGAGCAGCCGGTGATGAGAATCGTTTGTTTTGTTGTCATGGTAAAATGTGAAGTCATTGCTGCCACACTAAGCAGGCGTGCTGGAGCTGATTAGATGTGTACTGAGGAAGATTATCCAAGGCTTGAGCTGCACGAGATCGGCGGCAAGTTTCCAAGGCTCTTCACAATGACAGAGGGCTCTAATATGAGACACTACTACCGGAGATTCCGTTCAAGATTGTAAAAGTACCTATGCAATATATATGGCAACTTACCTTGCTACTTAAATGGGCATGTATACACAGTTCTTGGGCCCAGATTTGTTGGTAATCTGACGCCCAGGCCGCTCCAGTGCAGCTTTCAGCCACAGATCCTCAAAGCAGAATGACTTCCGGCTGGGCCCTGTGGGCTCCAAACGTTTGACATCCGGCGTGAGCTTTCTGCATGCCTTTCAGACTACATGCTCGCACGGGCAAGGCGAGAAGGAACCTCGAATTGATTACAAAAACTCAGGGATCGGGAGGACAATCACTCCGGCACGGGCAGACAGCGGAGACTTACCTCGTCTATAAAGTCCGTTCCCCCTAAAAGTCCGTTCGCCTTGGCGAGTGGGGCGATGGCTACCGGTAATACTTCAATTGTAGCTAGGCATGTAAGAGGGATAGTGTAGCTAAGACCAGCAGTAAGCTGACCAAGTTCTCCAAACAAATGAAACACGACATGCTGGTGCCATGTGGGCTCGCAGAGTGATATGCCCAATGTAGTGCTCACGCTTTTCAAGACTACCTAATCTTGAAAAGTGTAAGCATCGATATTAGACGATATCGTTCGGCCTGCAGAGCAAGAGATACACGCATCAAAAAACTCGGAGCGTTGATCATACCTTCAGATGTCGAAGTGGATAGTCAAATCCTTGAAATTATTTACGGCACCTCTCTTTATGCCCCCATCATGTCGTGAGAACTAGAAAGCACGGCTTCTTTCGAGTGTAGTACTGTATTCTTTTCCCACTGTTATTGGCACTGTATTTTCTAAACGCTGGGTGTTGAGTGCTTACCACTGCATGAAGGCGCGACATACATTTTATCTGTATGTGGATTCAAGACGAAACCACACTTTCGAGGGTACAGCCCTGGGCTTCTCGGCCCGGCAGTTCACGAGACCCAAGCTCTTGCCGGGCAAGAATGGATTCACAGACCAGGTGGCCATTGTCATGGGAAGCAATGTAGGACTGGGACTAGCTGGGTGCCGACAGCTACTGTCTCTTGGGATTGCCCACCTAGTGATGGCCGTGCGCTCGCAGGCCAAGGGCGGTGCGGCGGCCGCAGACCTTCGGAAGGTATTCCCAGAGAGGACTATCTCCGACTCGGATCCCGGACATTGAGGATTGCAACTCTGTTACCAAGTTCTCAGAGTGTTGTGCAACTCTCCTACGTATTCACATTGTAATACTCAACGCCGCCCCGATGAGTACGATCTATACAACGGTCCCCAATACCGGATAGGAAACTACTGTCCAGGTCAACTACCTGTCAACGGCCTCCTTGTGATCTTGCTGTTATCCATACTCAAAGCACATAAGCCGTAGAATGATGCATCCCAGCCAACCAGGCCACCCGTGCTCAGTTTTTTTTTATTTCCGACATATAGTAGTCTCGCCGTATAACGGCTTTGCCGGCTTTCTAGTTAGCGGCGCCGTCCGGAGCGATGCCTCCTAGCCTTGTCTGAGTGGTACGAGGCTGAGGCCACGTACCCATAGACGTATTGTATTCTCTCTGTACTGTTATTGGTACTGCATTTCTTTAAACGTTAGGTCTTGAGCGTTTATTATTGTGTGAAGGTGCTATATATGTTGAATATGTATGGGGATTAGAAGTGAAACCACACGAGCAGATGCTGGTCGTCTAGATGGAGACCATCGCAGCACGAGGTCCATATTCTAATGGAGTGGTGGTATGATGTGATTTCGTCAGCACGGCAATATAACATTAGCACTGCAATGTGTTTTGCAAGCTATAAGCCACCTCTGCTCATTTGAGATTTGCACGATACTGCTGTATACCCCTGTGGCTTGTAAGCAGCATGCATTGGCAGTATCCTTGATAAACAATCCTGGCTAAGCACGCAAGCCGGAACAAACCCGTGGACCCGAGGGGAGCGTGCAAATCCCCGCCTCTTCATCACAGCCAACTACTAACATCTAAGAACGCAGGGTCATATGCATGATTAACGCCCTGTAAATTCGACCCTGCGACGCAAGGTTTGACATAGGTATCCAGAGAGCTATCAGATTAAGGCTGTGTAACTGAAATTAGAACTTGAAATACTATCAAGGTTGAAAGATCAGGACATTTGGCGGGGGAATACGTGCCTAGTATTGCTGGCTGAATATTTTCAACACATTTAGATCTCGTACACCGTGTGACTCCTTTCGTGGTGTTCTAGCTAACACCGCCGTCAAGACGGTGCCCCTTAGCCTTATCTATGCTTCATAAGGCTAAAACTATAAGCACCTATCATATTTAAACTACCCTCCATTATCAACACTATATGTTTTTTAATTGCTAGGTCTTGAGCTTGTACTACTATATGAAGGCGCCATGTATGTCCTTAGACGTACATGGAACAGAAGCGAAACTAGGTAAGATCCCCTACTATAGTAGGAAATGGTGAGAGTACAGTCTGGCATGGATTCCGAAGCTGGGTACCAAATGTAACAACTACCTCACTAAGATGTGGGTCGTTATTGTGGTCAATTTTATCCAAATTTGCTAAACCAGACTTTTATCGGCTGCATGCGAACTTTTAGATCTTACCTAGTAAAAAAAATACCTTTGTGACAGAATTTTCTTTTGCGGCAAGAGAAACATGCTTCGTGTCACTAGGACATGTCGACTCTGCGCCAAGGGGAGCTTTTCTACCTAAGTGGACATGTAGCCAACTAGTCTCGTGAACGGAGGAGGTAAGAGAATATCGTGGGATAACTAGTGCGGCGATGACAAGTTCGATTCATCGACTAGTACCAGGTAGTGCATGGATAGCGGAAGTCAGTAAATTTGAAATTCTACAGCTTTTGAATTCTTGCCTCCATCCAGACTTCTGCTTCAATCCGAATACACCCACTTCAACTCGAACTACCATCATCACCTATCTATGTTGCCCAAGACACTTCTCGTCGCCCTCGCCGGGTCAGCGCTTGTCAGCGCACTTCCGGCACTCACTAGTCAAGATGGCCTGACTCCCGAACAGATCAATGCAGGCTGTGGCCTCAATTCGAGTACACACATCCGTCCCGAGTGTCACGCCGGCGCCGGCAACCACACTGCATATCCAGGAGCTGCGCCAGACCCAAAAACCCGTGTCAACGTCGTACTTGAATGTCACATGACGGGACACGTCTTCCCATGCTGCCGTTGGACTTTATTCAATCGCAAAATGAGTTTTGGGTGCAAAGAGGATGATCCTGACAACCCGCCACTTCCGACTCAACGTCCTTCTCCCTCAAATCATTATGGGAACCAGACGACTTCCGCGATGCCGTCCATCGGAGAGACAACCACTGCACATAACGCAACAACGGGTCACAGCACTGCCGCCACCACTGCAAGTAGGAGCAGCCTGTATCATATGCCTAACTCCACCACATCCGAGACCCGACCTACGGCCTCGTCGTCTGGCACCAGTGTCGGCCCAGAAAGCTCATGCAGCGTCAACAGCCAAAGTCAGACCAGGAACCACAGTACTAGTCCAATACTTCCACCCTGCACGTCGACATCACAAAGAAGCCCATCTTTGTCTCTGAATTCCACGTCCACTCCGAATCCTTCTAGCGGATACACGAATTCGACGTTCACTACATCCCGGTCAAAAGAGTCTCATACCACGAACTCATCTGCCACGATCACCTCGTCCACTCATGCCGCCTGGTCTAGCACCGTCAGATGGCCCAATTCCACATCTCTCAGCCATACCAACTCATCAGCTTCTGTCACAAGCACCCCCACATTGTTCAAGCCAAGCTTAACGGCCTCCAAAACTAATGGGACAGCCACGACAAGCTCAACTACTAGAACGCCTGTCTTAACAAGCGGTAGTTCCTCGGAGTTGTCGTCCACTGTTGGGCAGAAGACAAGCAGTCCGTTGAGCTCAAGTTCCACTATGCCTTCGAAAACATCCACCAGCAGCTCCTCAACACGCTCGAGCTTCATTATCGCCCCTATTCCCACGGGAACCAAACCTCCACCGACCATCAAACCTCCCGGGGCCACAGAGACCAAAGAGCATGATCGCACAAGTACCAAGCATCACCATGACGATACGAGTACTAAACCGCCTGAGCCCCCTGGGCCACCCAGGCTACCTATGCCACCTTTGCCCCTTGTGCCCCCCGTGCCACCAGGGCCACCTGGACCACCTACACCCCCTGGGCCACCTGGGCCACCTGGGCCACCTAGACCACCTGGACCTCCTGGGCCACCTTGGCTACCTGGGCTACCTCCTCCTCCTCCTGTGCCCCCTAGACCGCCTAGGCCACCTGCTCCACCTATGCCTCCTGGGCCACCTGTGCCCCCTGTGCCTCCTGGGCCACCTTGGCTACCTGGGCTACCTCCTCCTCCTTCTGTGCCCCCTGGACCACCTGGAGCACCTGGGCCCCCTGGGCCACCTATGCCTCCTGTGGCTCCTCCTCCCCCTCCTCCCCCTCCTCCTATGCCTCCTATACCCCCTGGACCACCTGGGCCACCTACACCCCCTGGGCCGCCTGTGGCTCCTGGGCCACCTTGGCTACCTGGGCTACCTCCTCCCCCTCCCCCTCCTCCTATGCCCCCTAGACCACCTGGGCCACCTAGGCCACCTACGCCCCCTACACCCCCTGGGCCACCTACGCCCCCTGGGCCACCTTTGCTACCTGGGCTACCTCCCCCTCCTCCCCCTCCTCCCCCTCCTCCCCCTCCTCCCCCTCCTCCTCCACCTACGCCCCCTACACCCCCTGGGCCACCTGGGCCACCTGGGCCACCTGGGCCCCCTGGGCTACCTGTGCCTCCTGTCCCCCCTCCCCCTCCTGTGCCACCTGGGCCACCTGGGCCCCCTAGGGCCACAGAGACCAAGAAGCAAGACGGCACGAGTACAAAGCACCACCACGATGATTCGAGTACCAAGCCTCCCGACACCACGAGCACCAAATCTTCAACAAGCTCAAGCTCTGATATCACGAGTACAGCGGAGTCAACTGAATCAACCACAACGGAGTCAACTAAATCGACCACAGCCGAATCAACTGAATCAACCACAACGGAGTCAACGAAATCGACCACAGCCGAGTCAACAGGATCGACTACAACAAACTCGAAGTCCCCGGTGCCTACTGACCCGCCACTTTCTAGTGACCCCCCGGTCTCTCCAGAGGACTTGGATCAAGACCTGCAAGACGTGATCGATAACGTCGAACCTTCGAAGGGGAGGAAAAGAGACCGCTTTGCAAAGGCCCTCGGCATTGGCTCGGGCTCCGGAATCCCCGGTGTAAACCTCATCAAATGGGTTGCCAAGGTGCTCCGCGCGCTCAACAAGATAAGAAAGCTCTCAAATGGCAGAAGCCCCTCGGAAGCCGTGATGGAAACCCTCAAGAATTATCGAATGGAAATGAGTCCGCACTGGAACTTCAACCCTAATCCGAACAAGCCTTGGGCTCCCCGTCCGCCAAGCGACATCGTCAGCGAGGCGGCCGATTCCGTGGACGACTGGTATGACGACCTTTGCCGAGGTGGAAAGACCGGGGAGCAGGCGGCTGAGATCATCGACAACTTCAAGGCCGATATGGAAAAGGCGGAGAAGTGGGCGGCCGACCAGGCGGCGGCGAGCGGCTCAGGGGCAGCCAAGGTCGAGCCTGTGGTCAACGCTGCTGCTGGAGCTGCCTTCAACACTCCTTCTGCCATCAACTCGTGGACCGCACAAGCAGCCGCGCAGCTCGCTTCAACTCCTGGAACCTCCCCAGAGGAGTTGGCCAATGCGCTTCTCAAGGCAGGCGTCCCCTCTGAAGCCATCGAGTCAACGGTCGAGGCTATCAAACTCGCCATCGCGGCCGCACCCAAGGGCTGGATCGGAAGGCCGGCCTTCAATGCTGCACTCGGGGTCATCTCAAGTTCCGCCTCCTCCGCGTGCGTGGCTGCGTCTGAGGCGGCCAAGGCCGCAGTCAACGGAGCTTCCGGCCCAGGTCTCGCGTGGTCTCTCGGCCCCGCTGGTGTTCCCGCTGCTGCTGCAGATGCCACTGCCGCGTCCATGGCCGAGGCCATCGAGGCGGCCAAGGCCTCTGGGACCGATCCTGTCGTCGCTGCCATGAGAGTCATCACAGAGGCTGCATCCTCGGCTGCCGAGGGCGCCTCCGGAGCCGCTCCTCGTGCGGCCTTCGCAGCCAGGGGTGTCACACTGTACAAGCGTATCGGCAGCGGTGCGCCGCCTGTGTCTCCTGCGCAAGGAGCCCTTGATGTAGTGGGAGCTGCGTTCAACTTCTGGCAGGCTGTCCCATGGGTTATTATGGACGTCCTGAACGACCTCAAGGCCAACGCCACTGATCCGTCAGATATTGAAAGCCTGGACAGCGTTCTTGCGATGGGGCCCCCACCTGATTTCACTTCAAGACTCGAGTTCCCGCCGTTCCCGTATCAGCACGGTGGTAACCGCATCACTGGTATCCCAGAGCCTGAAGTCCCAGCCGGGCGGCCGACGCCATCCATCCCTCCTCAAGCCACTGAGCAGGGGACAAAGACGGCTCCTGGGACGCCGTCCTCGACACGAACATTGGAGCCGGCACCACCAGGTACAGGCGGTTACTTACACGATGGCACGAAGCCGCATCCATCGCCTCTCCGCCCTAGACTGCGTGATTAGCTTCGAGCGTCGACAGGCACATAGAAGTTTATATGGGATAGCGATGGAGTAAATTGTAGGGTTTGAAAGGTGTATTGTGCACTGTCCTCCCAAGATTCTTGAGCACTCCCTGGTGTGCTAGATTAATGGAGGAACAGGAAATACTTTGGATCAAATAATTCCGTTGATAAAGTTTAATCTAAAGTTGTTTGAAGTCTTTACATTCCCCTGTCAATGCCTAGCTGTTTTTTTCCCGCACCATAACAAATTTTGCCTTTCTTTCTGAGAAATCTTGTAAACTCTCTCGGATGTGATTTTGCGAGTAGCTGCATTTGTCTCTTATGAGTGCTGACGTAGAGACGAATGGAATGGCTCATAATTGGCATTTGATATAATGTTGCATGCGATAAAGAACCTATCGAGCTGCAATCTCCACCCATCGAAAAGCAATGTCCATACATCATTGACACCGCTAATTTCTTCATCCAGCCCGCATCTTAACTTAGAAGTAGGATGGCCCCACATTCGAGTACTAGAAGCATATACACACTCACAGACCGATATCTCGGCGCTTCTCACGCTCATAACCACTTATCCAATACTAAGAAAGATCGATGCTGTCTTGAGTTTTAACAAAAAGGCTATGGGCCTAACGAATCTATATAGTCTATCATCAGCCGACTCCTCGCCGACATCTAACGCACGGCCACATTTGCTCCTCAAATTGTAAGTCTCCATGCTCCAAAACTGGCAATGCTGATGCTAATAATCATCAAAAGTCCTGTGTTCAACAGGTCGAGATCATGATAGCACGCAGCCCACTTCGCCGAAGCTGCAGCCAGCACACCAATCCACACAACAAAGAACCCCAAATCAAATTGCGGCTTTTCTCCGCTCACTGTTGCCGGTATAGTATCTCCATCTGCTCGCATGCTCGTCCCCCATCCGTCAGCCGTCAAAGTCAGCATGCTCCAGACATGGACTGCTGGAAGCGGGATGTAGTAGAAGAAGAAACCCGGGACAACCCATTTTCCGGAAGCACCAATTCCTCTCCCTAGGCGGTCGGGATTCCGCAGGACGTTGTACAAGACGCCTAACAGCATCCTTATCCCGACATCAGCAAAGGACACCGACACAAGTTTTCGAGACGTCAGTAGGTAGTACGCCACGGCAACGGCACCGAGGACCGGCCCAAACTCCCGCTTAGCCATGCCAAAGAACAGCAACGGGTGCGTCCTCAGGTACACGCGCGGCATGAGCAGGCTCTCGATGTGCGTCGCCCTCGCCCACCGCAGCTGCTGCTTGAGCCACTTGCTCATCGTCGTCGGCGTGTCCGTGGCGGCGAGCACATCGCTCGCGTACACCACGCCCCAGCCCCTCAGCAGCAGGTTCGTGGTCAGGTGCCTGTCCTCGTTGATGATCATCCGCTTCCCCAGGACCGTCTGCAGGTACCACGGCACCAGTATGTCGGGCAGCGCCGCGAGGCGGAAGACGGAGCTCGGCCCGCTCTGGCAGTCGCTGGTGGCCGTCACGGCGGTCGACGAGCGCGTCAGATACAGCTCGCCCCAGTAGATGGTGGCTGCTAGTTTGGTAACGGCCGTCTCGGCAGAGTTGTGCACAACGAGCCCGGACGAGGCGCCGCCGATCCGCGGGTCCGCGGCGATGGAGTCGACGGTGCGCGAGATGGAATCCTCGAAAACGATGGTGTCGCTGTCGGAGGACCAGAGGAACTCGATGCCGAGAATATCTGCGATGACGAGGGAGAAGACAAAGGTCGTGAACATGATGCCCTTTTTGTGCATGTGCCGCTGACGGAGGCAGACCTGCCGGATACCGGTGTGGTAGTCGCCCCCGATGGTGAGGTTGTGGTGGTCGAGGATGGTGCGGGCGAGGGCGATGCAGTGCTGCATCGCCTGCTTGTCGATTTCGGCGTCATCAACCGGCTGGCCGTCTTGCAAGCGCATGGCGACGAGCTTGGCCCTTGTGCGCTCTGCAAGCTCGCCTAGTGGTTCTGAGATATGGATAACGGCTGAACGTTCAGGGTAAACCTGGGCTAGGTTAGCATGGTGCTATGTGCCCAGGTGTGCGTGTCTGTTTGCTCAACCCTTGGGCTCTTACCTGATTGAACACGTCAACCATGTCCTGATCCTCTGCTTCGTCACCATCGACACCCACCAAGAGGAACGTACATCCCTCCGTGCCTTTGTAGCTCTCCAGCGCGCGTGAAAACAGATCTGGATCTTCCCTCCAGCCAACAACGGCGGCCATGCAGTCCAGTCGCGGGGCTGCCTTTTCGACGTTCAACTCCCACTTCAGCCAGTCTTCTTTCTCTCGTACAGGACTCTCATCCTGACCGTTCAATTCTTGAAGCTTTTCTCGTCTCCGTTGATTGTAGAAACGGTTCAGCTCTGCTAGTATTATAGTCAAGAGTATATCAAGTGTGACGGGGTAGTGAGTCGACATAGTCATCAAGAAGTAAATTGGCGCGGAAAGAAAGCAGCAGATAATATTGAGACATTGCCGCCAGACGGGAACGTGACGCGGATATGCTGTGCTGGTGACATGAGCCCCGGAATCCTTTTCCAGCAACATTGTATGACTTGCAACGAAAGACAGTTGGACAGGAATCCGAGCAGAAAGACGAGCTTTGAAGCGCCCAAGAACGAATGACGTGACAGGGTTGACGAGCTGTGTGAAAATAAAAACCACGATGCCCTCCCTTCTCAACCCCAAGGTATATATACGATGACCCTGAATAGGTGCATTTTCTTTTTACACAGTCTAAGGATCGGGTACGCATTGCCAAGCAGGCAAGTCAGCCACAAAGTGTTAATGCTTCTCTGCGGTGACTCTTCGGGTCCCGTACCCATGACCACATTTTCAATCCCACAATGTACCTAGCAGGCATCATCATCGTATGATGGCCAAGTAGGCTGTGCATCTATATGCATGTTGACGTGAAATAATACCTGTAGCCGACTGAGACTCGGCCCGTCTACCGGTACACTAGTATCCGACGCAGGCAGGCCAGGCAAAACTAGCAGAACTGGAGAATACGGGTTGAGTTTGCAAGAGAGTGGGGATTCGCACACCTATTTTCGGAGGCTGCTCACTACCTACCTCCCTCCTTCACGATCACGAAGAAATGTTACCTTTGAGGCTCCAATTAGCTTGGGTGGTATGATTACTCAGAAATGGGTGTGTGTGTCTCTGATCTTTTTGCAAATTCGCAGCCCAAGTTGCCTAGCACGTGCCTAGAATGCCCAGAACTGTGCCATAGGAGGACAGTGAATTTTGACGCCACAGTACCATCCTGCAGGGCCGCTGCCTGCAACAACCCCGCCTCTGTCAAATCAGGCCGTTCTTTACCCCAATGCCTCTGCTGACTACCCCCAATGATTCGTTGCACGGAAAAAAAGAGGCTGAGTAGCCACACCAGACTTCGGGTACTCCTCGCCGGACCGTGTGACTGCATACACGAGCTGAAGGAGCGGTCAGGCCGACTCCGGGAGTCATTGCAGTTAACTGGCTGATGTGAAGAGATTGTGTCCTAGCGCCTCGTGTGCCTAATTTAGGATCGTGGATGGTTGTGAAGGATACATAGGCACTTAGTAGTCACCACTGCACATGTACACGGGTGCGAGTGAATGCACCAGTATTTTGCCTTGACTATAAGACGATTTGGTTCAGTAGAGTCCTCAAATATATACAGACATACTAGTCATTGAGACTAGAGAGAGATAATTACCTAGCCTCTTACCCTCATCTTCAACAAGGGCTTCAGCAACTAATACATGCAGTTGGGCCTCTTTCAATTATATTTACGACACAACATCTCTGCTCTGCAAGGCGCAGGAAGGAGACGAGCCACTATTCGCATCAATTCCTAGGTATCTAACGGGCGTCTATCCCTCACGCCCTTTACACTCGTGGCATCAAAATGGGGGCACTCTACAAAGAGAACCGCTTGGTGCCGGCCATCATCATTACTGCGTCGTTGTGGTTCTTCTTCATCCTGCTTGATCCCGACAATTTCCACCACGCAATACAAAGTCCGCCGCCAGTGGTGCAGGTGGCTACAGAGTCTACACAACAGCCACACTGGCAATTGGAGTTTGAATCGCCGCAAGTCAAATCACAACCATTGCCAGCAACAACACCATCAGCTCAATCTCACTCCGACTCTCGCCCATCAGCCACTCCCACCCACACCAAAAATGAGACGCTCTCGCCCGAGGATGTCTTGCTCATCGTCAAAACCGGCGGCACCTCAATGTGGAAGCGCCTCCTAGCCCACCTCCTCACCACCCTAGCACCAGAGCGCATCCCACTGAAAAACACAGTGATCTACTCAGACAGCTCCGACACCATCGGCGCCTTCACGGTGATCGACGTCCTGGCTAACACCAGCGCCGAGATGCTCAACTCCCCAGAATTCGACGTCTACCGGTCGCAGGTGTCCTACGCCGCGCACAATGTCTACCTCGAGGCCGCCGGCGTGGACGGCGACGACTGGGGCCCGCAAGGCGGCTGGATCATCGACAAGTACAAGTTCGTGCCGCTCGTCCAGCACGCCGGGGAGAACTGGCCGGACGCGAAGTGGTACATCTACACGGAGGACGACACGTACCTGTTCCTCTCCAGCGTGCTGCACTACCTCTCGGGCTTTGACCACCGCGAGCCCCACTGGCTCGGCAGCTACGCCGCCAAGTCGGACGTGGTGTTCGCGCAGGGCGGCGCGGGCTTCGCGCTCAGCCGGGGCGCGTGGGAGGCGAGCTTCGGGAGGAACAAGGCCATGGCTGAGGAGTACGAGAGGTACACCGCGGACCACTGCTGCGGCGACCAGGTGCTGGGCCATGCGCTCAACAAGTACGGCATCAAGCTTGGCGAGAATGGCGGGGACGAGGTGTTCCGGTACGGCTTTAACCCGCTCGTGCACTGGACCTTTGCATTTGAAAAATGGAGCTGGTGTCTGCCGCTTTACTCGTGGCATAAAGTCCACGCGCGGGATGTGGCGAGGTATTACGAACTGGAAAAGACATGGGACTACACAGTGAGTTTCTCTCGGTGACGATAAGAAAATTGAGTAACTCTGACGAAGAGATTGTAGACTCCGTTCCGACATGGAGATTTCTTCGCGCATATGATCGCCCCTGAGCTCGAGAAAAGGGCTGAGTGGTGGGACAACATGTCGAGCAAATATCGGGTCACATCGGCCAACACCGCCGACTCGCCAACGCCAGAAGGTCTGGAGAATACCGACACATGGGCGGGTGCATGGGAATCTGTTGAGGCCTGTGAAGCAGCTTGCATGGCTTGGGATAACTGCGTCCAATGGAGCTTCGCAGAGGATCTCTGCAAGATGGATGACAGGGCCATCATGGGGAAGGGCTATGCGCCGGAGATGCCACAGAGAAAAACGGCGCTCAAGACAACGAGTGGGTGGTTGAAAGAGAGGATCGAGACGTGGGATGCTTACTGTGATATTCAAAATGCGCTGGGGACAAAATGAAGACGTAGAAAGTGGTTTCGTTTCTAATTCCTAGTTGTACATATATCAAAAACGCATGAGACCCAGAGTCTAAAGAGGCACAATCCCATTGAGCGTTCAGGGAGAATAAAATACTGCTGGGAAGTAAAGAGCGATCTCTTAGACAGAAGTCTCCCAATCAGCTGGCGCTCGCAAGTGCCTGGTCCATCAAAGCAAAGACTTTCTTGACAGCCGGCCTATCGCAAAGCCTTTCCACCCATTTCTCGTACTCCTTGTAAGTCTTGGTGTTTATCTCCGGAGCGATCAAGACATTCAGGAACTTGATGTAGGGGAGGAAGACGAGGTCTGCATATGTACATTTGTCGCCCACCAGGTATTGCGAGCCCTCTCTGCCCAGGTGAAGGTCCAAGACTCCAGTGACACGCTTGATCTCATTATCGTAACGGTCAAGGGCCGATTGTATTCTCTCCGGGTGGCTGCGGCGGAACCAGGCTTTCTGGCCAAAATACGGCCCCTGGCCGCTGCATTGGAAGTACGTCCAGGTACGCGTCTGGTGGAAGTGCGCCATATTGGACCGAGCGTAAGAGAGGGTCATTTTGGTATCATACGTGTCGATGAGGTATTCGACGATGGCGCCGGACTTGATGTTCCACAATCCTATGTCAGCCACGGGTCCTTAAATTTTACACAATATGAGCATAACATACCTCCCACAACGTTATCCCCGTATTGGGGTCCTCAATTGTTGGCACTCGGCCGTTTGGGTTCAGGGATATGTACGGCTCCTGCTTGAGCTCTGCCATGCCGATTTGCTTCATCTCATACGGAAGGCCAAGTTCCTCGAAGGTGAGGACCACCTTCCAGGGGTTGGGGCTGTAGCCCAAGCTCCAGACGATAATGGGCTTGAGGTCTGACATTTTGGAGCGCTTTCCTATCAGGTGAGATAGTTTCCAGGAATGTTTATGGATGGGCAGGTGGCAAATCTAGTGTACAAAGCTGTATCCGAAGACGAAATGAAAATGGGTAGAGATATCATACTTATACTTGAAAGAACTCTGGCCAAGCTCCAAGTGTGTGGGTGGGTTTCTAATCATGCGGCTCACTTGGGAGGTCTTTCTTGTGTCGATACTAGTATTCTTTGTGATTCTATTGAATCCGGGCCCAACCATTTGGGTCATCCAAGATCCTGTCCTGTGCCTGTTGGTTCCGTCGGCCTAATGCTTTCCCCTTCTGTTTAAGTGAACGACGATTACCTAACACTTTAAATACGAATAACGGTTAGACCGAATTTTTCATGGTGTCAGCATCCAACTACACACAATTTCCAAAGATCCCAGCATGGTCTGCAACCGAGCTTGACATGCAAGAATGCTGATCCAGCGGAGGATTGAGAACGCCAGCATGATGAATACAGTAGATATTTGTACCCTTCACAATATGAACAAATGCGGCTCCTGAAATCTACTAGTTATTGGGCGTGCTGGCACGGGTATCTGATCAGGGCTGATGACGCGCTTTGCCTGAACGTGCCGTACCTAGGTAGTATTCCTGGTGGCACTAATCGAATTGGTACTAAGACTAAAATAGCCCACAGCCAGTAAGAAAAAGACAACGCTACTTCCTAATTGATTCTGTGGTTGGCTGTCACAAAACCAAGCTTCCGAAAATTGGCCGAGGCGTTTCTTGCCATTCCAGGCAGCACCGAGACACTCCTCACCAACGTCGTGACCGTCATCATCGTCACAATGGCTGGGAATAGGCTCATTATTTGGATCTGCGCTCCTGTACTCTTTGTTTACCTCGTTCTCATCGCCGCTCATGCTTTGTATATGCATCTGGAATCAAGCGGCTATCACTGGCTTGGGCAAGACACAGCCACTGCTACTAGTACGTGGGAGTCCATGTGCAACTCGTCAGGCAACTCCTCAGAAACCTTTGGCCAGGACGCAGATGAATCCTACTTGACGGGTAAAAGGAAGCAATGGCGGGTGAGCTTTGGCGATGGGCCCGGCGCATCAGTCCGTGGATGGCCTTCAAAAGGTGGCTATTACGTTTTGGACTCCTGCCTCACAGTCGAAATGAGCTTCCTCGGCTTGGATCGATTTCAAGAAATCGAACGGCCGCTGAACTCGACCGCCGCAGACGAGGAGGCGCACTGCAAGCGAATGCGTCAGCTTGGCGCAAAATGGTGGGCTAGCCAAGATGAAGAGTGGATGTGGCAGCTCGAGAACCCAGAGGAAGAATGGGACCTGGAAACGCCAGTAGTCTACTTTGGATGGCCAGCCGAGCGTGGTGTTTGGGCTTTGAGCACAACTGTTATTGATGCTAGCGAGATGGCCATACCGTGCGTTGCTGGGTACTAGAGATAGTCACCATAAATACCTATATCTTTCTAGTAACCTCTTAATTACTATATTACTTCTTTTCCTTTAAGGTTATTACTATAATATTTATTTTAATTTAATAATTATAATAGTATATATTATTAAGTTAAAATAATTCTTTCTAAATTTTAAGGGTATTTTAAAGGTTAAAAATAGTTATAGAGAAAAAGTAGTTATAGGAGTGGATATAGACTTATTAGGGAGGCTCTTTCCTTTTGAGTAACTCTCTCTTTATTCCCCTATAGTTGGTTTTCTATTTAGGTATGTTGGCTGGCTGAGAGAGATTCCCTCCCTTTCTCTTCCTATTGGGTCTTTTTTAAGTTCTTGGCTTTTGTTGGCCTATTTTTGATGGCCCTATTTTTGAATTTCTAGATGTGGTTGATTCTGACTGCCTAGGTGATTGACTTGAAGGAAGGTGGAGGACTTAGTTGAAGTTGAAGGAAGGAAGGAAGGAAGGGGAAGGGGAAGAAGTATTCCTCCACTCCTTATATAGGGGAAGGTATAAAGACTTCTTAACGACTACTTCATCCCTTAACGACCCTCTCTTTTATAAGTTTATTTAGCTATAAAGAAATCACTAAAAGGCTAAATGATTACCTATACTATAAGGCTACTATTTACATTGAGTGTATTTAAAGTCGGTCTTAGAGGAATGATAGTTAAATAGGTAAATGAACATTATAGTGACTATCTCTAGTACCCACTAACGTACGGTATGGGGGTTCGGGAAGAATTTATATGGCAATCACTATGGAGGAGCGGTGCAAGATTATGCAGGACCTTGGTGCGGTGTACTATGCGGAGCCTGAGCATTGTCCGCTTCTTGATCTGTTAGATGAACTAGTAATAGTGGATAGTTGAAGCAAGTGCATGTGGTGGGCACGAAGCTGCAAGCTGTGCGCACTTAGTCGGCTTCGCCACATGCAGGCTCAGAAAGAGGGCAGAGTGTTTCCAGAGTATTTGGTGCTTGTCAACTATTAAGTGATACCAGCCGCTCGGACTCTCACCCAAATGTATCTGCTTCAATGAATAATGCGATACTGACCAGCCAGATCTGCGCGCCGAATATATTCCAACCCATGAAGTCTCAGAATACAAAACGTTCCCATGCCCTAGTCCATTCCAGATCGTACAACAGGATGGATTTCTAATCGTGTCTTCAAAATAAGTAATACCCTTAGAAAAAGCAGCAAAGTTTCGACCAGAACCGCCTGGACCGCGACTTTGGGGCCCTCTTAGGCCCTGACGGGTCTCCTTTGGGCTCTGGTATGTGTCCTCTAGGCCCTGGCGTGTGACCCTTGGGCCCTTGCGTGTGTCCTCTGGGCCCCGGAACATCCTTGAAAGCAAAGGCGCACAGGACCTTCGACCGATTCTTATTGATCACATCGTGCCAGTTTCCATTGATCTCTTGCTCCTGGCCTCTCACTTCCTTCCATCTCTCCGTCCCGCCGGTGTCTTCCTGGAAACACACGTATGATGGAGGGTTGGTGTCCTTGACGACAAGGAAGTGGGCTTTATTCTCCGCGGTTGTGTACCCAATTCCGATCTGGTTGACGTTCCACTCCCCAAAGAGAAATTGCTCTTCCCTCCAGACAATATTCCCGTCACCTCCCCCGTGGCGGCCACCGAGAACCTCTGAGCCCTGGCGGTTGTCAGGGTTCGGGCCAGTAAGATCGACCCAGCTTTTCAGTAGGTAGGGACGGCCAGTTTGCTTCAGACAGTCTTCCATCTCGGTGTCAATTCCATCTGGAGCAGCGATTCCTCTACTTCTGTTCATCTTATCCCTGACAGGCTGTGGCAGATCATTGACGCTGTCAAGACCCAGGAGGTATGTCACTGTCACGAAGAAGCAGTTCATATACGAGCCGGAGGGGTTGAATGTCGAGGGCATCTTTCCACTTGGTGAGATATTATAAGAAGTGTGAACGGTATGTGAGTTGAAATATAATGCGAATCTGTCCGGTTTGATTCAATAACTAATCCGCGCACGGAAAACTGCAAAGAAGGAGTCGACCGGGCTCGAGGGGATTAACAAGAGAAAAGGCAGAGTCCAGTTTTATATTGTGCCGTTGACGAGTTTCAAGGACAAATAGACGCCCAAATACAAAGTTGCTGGAAGGAATCGAATAGGCGGTCGCTGACTGATGTGGAAGAGTTACCCCCAGCTTCAGGTTTCATGTGTACTTAAGTATGTTCAGAATTGCTTACGGGGGGACAAGCGGCCGCCGGCCCCCACAACAATCCATTTCAGGTCCTGAAAGGCGGTCTTGTCAGGAGCTGCTCAGGCACATCTGCAAGGGAATCATGTGTCACTTTTCAGCTGATACCTAGGTAAACATATCTTACCAGACGTGTGTGAGCACCGTTTAGAATCGGTGTTCATTGCAGGCACGAAATCAGCCCAGCACTTCTCTGGCCAGCAGCCACATGGGCAGCCACACCAATCAACCCCATCCATCCCGCATCCTCCTAGTAACTTGGCTAAGCAGGGATGAGCTTAGTCCGCCTCAAAACTGATCCAACAGTCACTGAAATAGATATTCTTGCTGGTAGTCAATTATCTGGTTCCGCTTCTATTCCGCGTAGGTCAGAAGACACACATGTCCCCTTCCTACAGCGGCAAACGCTCAAGACAGTAGTCTAGTATGTTGTTGTAACCATCATTATACCCGGCAGGCATTCGTGGTTCGATCGGTTGAAAACAGGTTGACTTGAGACATGAAGCCGCGGCATTGCAAAAGTTGGCAACTCGTGGCATTTGTTCAATTAGCCGGGGTGACTGGCCTTTTTAACCACAATATCCACGCTTCCCATTTAAAACCCCACCTTTGAGTCGACAGAGAGATATTTCTTTTCATGGCATGTAGGAAAGCCTAAGGCCAACTATGTGATCGAATACCCTTCTTGCGTAAATCGCGGAAGAAGGTATAGGAGTAAGCCAAGTCACCAGAAACAGCAGGGTCGAGATCCCCCCATGGGCGCCAAGGCTCGGGGCCAGTCATGGGCGGATAAACAACGTCTATAAAGATGGATAAACACAAATACGTTAGTGACTCGTGTGACCATGTTATGGAAATCAAGCTGGCAACAGGAAGAAGTTGGAACAGCTTACGGTGCTCAACCATCAACTCATCAATATTAGCACTAGCACCGCCGTTCTCAGGGTTGTCAGCCAGCAGGTTCTTGATGATCGGTACCTCGATCGGGGCCGAGTCAATGTCAAGCTTGAGGACGAAAAAGTCACCCGGCTTGGATATGCGCTTGAAGAGATCCACGGCGTTGAGCTTGTCGCCCTTGTCCATGGTCAGCGGGATGTTGATCAGGTTGTAGATGCCGACGAGATCGGGGGGCAGCTGGGACTGGACGAGCGTCGGGTCGAGCTTCTCGACCTCGACGGCGACGTAGGTGTCGAACGGCCGCCCGCGGGCGTGGTACGTGTCGTAGAACCACCGCCCGCTCGCGGCGGTGCCGCCGGGCCCGGCCCAGCCCTCAAAGTACGAGGAGCCGAGGTCCACAAAGACGTTGCGCGGCTTCTCAAACACCGTCATGCCGCCGCCGCGGGGGTCCTGGCTGGGGGTCAGGTGCGAGTGCCACGGCGGCACGCCGTGTGTCCTCCACAGGTGCGCCCTCCTGTGGTCGTCGAGCCCGATGGCCGAGGTGGCCGCCGCGTCGTATGCATAGGGCGCGAAGCCCATCGGCATGATGGCCTCTTTGCTCTGGTTCTCGTGGCGGCTGTCCCAGCCCGGCATCGTCAGCCGCTTTGCGCCGCACCACGGGTCAAAGGGGTCGCGCAGCATCCCCCACAACGGCTCGATGAGCTGCACGCCGCGGCCCGCGGACGGGCGGAAGGCTGCCAGCTTGTCGTCGTAGCATTTCCGGTGGTAGTGCATGCGCGAGAAGAGACGGTCCTCCGGGACCGGCTCGGTGTGGGGCATCGTGTCGAAATCGGTCCATGTGATGTTGGGGTCGAGGCGTAGGAGGCTCTCGATTCGCCGGACAATGTTGGTGCTCTTCTCGGCGTGCTCGGGTCGCGCGACTACGGAGCAAATGTCGTGCTGGGCCTCGTGGATGATCGAAAACCATTGCTCCTCGTATTCGCTCGCCTCGTAATGCGAGAACTCCCACTTGCAATACTGTTTCTTCTGCAATTTCTGCCAAATATTCCCGTACCAGGTATTTTGGCCCTGATGCGGTGGGCGGGGGCTACCTGAAGCATGGTTCTCCTTCTGACTGGCGGCCTGTACTTGCTCGTAGTGCTTGAGGGAGTCAATAAGCACGCTGGTATCGCTGAAGTCTAACAGCACGAGCACCGTGGCGAGCACCGAGAGGATTGCCAGTACGATTAGGATGTGAACTTTGTTCAGCCTTTTCTGTGATGAGAACATAGTGAAAACCTGTTGGGGGGGGAGCCTCGAGAGCCGATCAAGGAGATGGACTGTCAACGACCTCCAATGTTCGAATGCTCGATTGATCGTGAAGTTTGACTTGGCAAGTTGCCCAGGAAGTGAAGAATCACCTACATTCAGTAAAGGGCCAGGCGTGAGTGGATGGGACATTGCGCTCTCAGGGGCTGAGGGGCAGGTTCATACTGGACAGGAATTAAGCCACGTTCAAAATAAGACAATTGCTCAAGCCATCGCTTGGCGGGAGCGGCAGTTACCCACTTGGAAGCTTGTTTAATTGAGCAAGGGAGCAGCATGTGATACTCTTATCCCTAGATGAAAAGCCCAATGGTCTGCCCGATATAATGCCTCCCATTTTGGTGTTAGATACGTGGATATCTACGCAAGTATCGAGTGGCAAGCACTGAGAGTAGTTCACGGAAGAGGTTCCTGAATTCTGTGTACGAAGCATATAAATACTGATACGTTTAACGTGAGCTTGTTGGTTGCAATGAACGATGCATGCCCATTTATTCGGTAATCAAGGAGGCATATGGTGCGAAACTAGGGTAAATGTTTCGAGGCACATCTCCCTTATTTCTACTTAAGTAGGGAAGCCGCCCCTGCCCAGGTGGACCTATTCGCGGCCATGGTTCCGCACAATACCTCGACGCGGAAATGGAAACGTGTTTGACTGTGTCGAAGAAGCATAGTTAGGAGCTTTTAGCCAACGCAATTGCTTTCATCATGACTTTTCCAGCACTTTTCCAGTGTATGAAAATGATCGGGACTGCTATTGCAACTGGTCTAGGGCGCAATTCTCTGCAGGCAGGCGCTGCCCATCAGATTATGTACGTCAAGCTCCGCCACGGTTCCTCATATTGGCCCGAATTGCTCTGCTGGGAGAGTATTGCCCACCGTATATGGTTGCGGGTGAACGTCATAATTGGTACTTCTGCCATTAAACGCGTTGAAAACGCTTTTTGACCAAATCCTACTTGCCTGCGCCATCACCGATAATATGTAATTCACTGCCAAGGAGATCTTCAAATGACTGCGAACATTGTCGTGTGCTAAGAATTAGGCAATATTCAACCCCGACATGTGTCATGAGTGAGAACAACCCTACGGTTGGCTGGCTGAAGGTTGCCCAGCAACTGTGTGTGTCTGTGCCGCATCGCCCGCGGGCGACCAGACTGCGGCTGGGGACCAACGCCGCATGCTGCCTTGGCTTCTCCAACCCCGAGGAACTCGCATCACGCCTATTTGAACTTGTCTGCCATTCCAATTTGTTTCTAACTGAGCCGCTTTTATTTTTGTTCATTGTACTAGTGACAGCTCGCAAAGATGTCGACTCACGATCTCCAGACCCGACTGCAAGACTTGTCTATTGATGGCCACCGTAAGCAAGGCCAGGATAAGGAGAATTCGACTTCCCAAGGGCAAGACAAGGAGAATCTGAAGGCGAGTCCCAAATGATTCTCGAGTATCACGCAGCCGTTACTAATCCCCGTAACAGACCAGGCCGATGGGAAAGTCTCTCTCCTATACCTTCTTCCGCCCGAAACTCGTCAAAGTCGCCCTCCAAGCCAAGATAAACAACAGCACGTCGACCTCGTCTGTCCCCCAAACAGCGGAAACAAAGCCCTCGCAGGATCCCAAAGCAGCCCCTACCGTGACGGTCACCCCCGATGAGACCCCCGAAGCAAAGCCAACACCGGCACCAGCACCGGCACTGGCGAAGCTCACCAAGCAGCCCTCACCCCCCAAGGCCTTCCACCTCGGCATGTTCGAGATAGGCAAGCCCCTGGGCAAGGGCAAGTTCGGGCGCGTGTACCTGGCGCGCGAGCGGGCGCACGGGTTCATCTGCGCGCTCAAGGTGCTGCACAAGAGCGAGCTGCAGCAGGCGCGCGTCGAGGTCCAGGTGCGGCGCGAGGTCGAGATCCAGGCGAACCTGGCGCACCCCAACATCCTGCGGCTGTACGGGCACTTCCACGACCCGCGGCGCGTGTTCCTGATCCTCGAGTACGCCGGCCAGGGCGAGCTGTACGGGCACCTGCGCAGGGCGGCCGGGGGCAGGTTCGGCGAGGGCCGGGCGGCGCGGTACGTCGCGCAGATGGCCGGGGCGCTGCGCCACCTGCACCGCAAGAACGTCATCCACCGCGACATCAAGCCCGAGAACATACTGGTCGGCCTGCACGGCGAGATCAAGATCTCGGATTTCGGGTGGAGCGTGCACGCGCCCGGCAAGAGGCGCACGACGTACTGCGGCACGCTCGACTACCTGCCGCCCGAGATGGTGGCGGCGCCGGGTCCCCCCGGCGCCGACGGGTCCTACGACGAGAGGGTGGACCTCTGGTCCCTCGGCGTGCTCACGTATGAGTTCCTCGTGGGCGAGGCGCCGTTCGAGGATACCTTTGTGATGACGACCCGGAGGATCGCGAGCGGCGACGTGCATATTCCGTCGTTCGTGAGTGCTGAGGCTAGGGATCTCATAGAGAAGGTCGGTGAGCTCGATATCCGCTCGAGAAAAGGACTGGCTGCTGACATGCCTCAAAGCTGCTTGTCGTTGACCCCAGTGGAAGGCTTCCCCTCGACAGGGTCCTGCAACATCCATGGATCCTCAGGCATTGCCGAGGGGTCGGGGAGAGCTGCAAACCCCAAAGGCTGACGGGAACCTCTGACAAGTAGCCCCAAGGTGCGGCAGTAATATGCGCTATTATTCTGCTCAGGTGCCCACTACGCGGCCACCAGATACCCACAAGCCTTGTGTGGGACACTCTCCTATGGTGTCTATCACCACCTCTCCTTTGCCCGACGCGGGTCCACATCGCCAACGAAGTCGCTCATGATCTGGTATCGCTCGTCCAGCCGGTGCCTCGCCCTAAGTTCCAACGGTATGTCCTCATACTCGTCCCTCCTGAGCTTGTTCCACCCTTTGCCCCTCATCGGCGGCATCCTCACGGTCCGGTCGTTCTCCCTGTACATCATACCGTCGCCCGTCTCCATCAGGCTCGCCTCCAGCGGCAAGGTCGAGTATCCCGCGCCCGAGTCCTGGCCCCCCATCGTGGAGCCGAACACAGTGTCGGCTTCCGTGGCGCCGCCGGCAAGACCTCCCAGCGTTGCGGAGAGGCTGGCCTCGACCACGCCGCCCGAGATGCCGATGTAGAAGTTGGGTGCGAGGGGCGACGACCGGGCCATGCTCCACACGCCCGCGTAGGCATCCTTTCGGGGCAGGGATTTGGAGAAGAAAAAGGTGCCGTTCGGGCGGTAGTACTGGTCCCGCGACAGCTCGTGCCATGTGCACCGGCTGCCTGTTGGCCGGGCCTGGCACTGCGGCCGCGGTTTGGCGGGGAGGCCTGGGGCCTGGAGGAACGGCTGGATGGGCTTCGGGAAAGGCCGCTCGCCGCTGCACGGCAGCGCCGCGGTGTGGTAGTAGTCCTTGGACCAGCGGAAGTCGAAGACCTTGATGGTTGCGCCGTGGGCGCCGCCGGCGACGAAGTGGCCCGTGCCGAAGGGCAGGAGTGACTCGAACTCGGACCATGGGTCAATGTTGTCACAGTACACGAGGTCGGAGGGTGACTGTGTGCGTAGATCCTGCAGCCTCACCGAGCCGTCGCGCCAGGCGGTCAGGAGCAGGTTGGCGTTCCCGCCGGTGATGGATGAGGCGTCGATCGGGGTCAACGAATGGGTGCACAACCTGCCCTTACCATAGCTGATGTCAAATCGGTCCTCCAGGGCAGGGTTCTTGTAAGGGGACAAGGTCTCGATCCCGGTAGGAGTGATCGTGGCGTATCTGAGTTGGTGCTGACAGCCTTGCAAGGCAAAGGCCATCGTGTCTTCCCCCATCCACCGTGCGTACCCCAGGGTCATGCTTGGCACATCGAAGTGATCGGTCGTCAGGTCAAGATAGGCGGAGGGCTCGACGTTGACCCCGGATGCTTCAGGGAGACGGTACAGTTGCACCCCAGCCTTTGTAGCAGCAGCCACAAGCCTTTTCCGAGGAAGCACGTCGATAGAATTGATGGTGGCCTGGCTGAACCGTGTGGTTGGGCCGACTTCTTCGGTCCCATCGATGGTGGTGAATTCGGGGCTGAAATCGGCCATCTTCTCGCCGAAGCCCTTCTCGCTCAGATCCAGCAGGACAAGATGGCCATTGTCTCTGCCGACCAGAGCTCCTAAGCCATCGACAACATCCTCCACAACCGCGACGGCCTTGATATCATCAGGACCAGCGGAGTAGCCCTGGTCTTTCCCATCCAGCCGATGCCATGTGACCTGCTCCGGGCAGCCGCCTTTTCGCCCTAACCTTCGCCTCCTCGCAACAAAGTTCTCGCCAGCGCCCCAGACGACTAGCTCCTCCCTTGCCGCAAAGTCAAAGTGGGCATCCAGGACAGGATGATACGGAGTCGCCTGGCGGCGTCGCGGACCTCTGCCCTGGTTGAGACTGGCTTCTGGCAGCATGGCCTGGAAAGCAAGCGAGCGGCGCTCCCAGGCACGGGATTGCCAGGTCAGTGAGCTCGCTATCTCAGCCCATTTCGGATAGGTGGGTGAGGTGGGTGAGGGCACGAAGGGGATGGGCGTTGATGGGAACCGGGAGCGGACGAAAGCACGCCAGCCGCTCTCGTTGTCTGCTCTGATCAGGGATGCGAGACGTCTGTTTGCCAGGAGGAGGGCACGGATATCCCTTGCGGTATCTAGATGGACGACTATTATGAGTAGAACGTCATCTGGAAGGGTGTCGAGCATCGTCGACTTGAGTGGCCGTCGAAAGGACAGCAAGGCCTGATGAAGCCAGGTGGGCTTCGACAGGAGTGAGATTTGAGTCGGTTATAACTATTTCAGGTCGAGAATGTAACCGAGAATTCTGCAGTAGATAGGTTCTTAGGTGAAGAAGAGGCGGGTTTTATGCAGATACAGTTCAAGGCGCATGCATGCTGGAAGGAGAACGGGTCGAAAGAAACGTCGAGTGCAGTGGCGATGAAGTCATTAGGACCCTGAAAGCTCATACAGTAGCGCTGAGCGATCTGCGGCTAGTGGGGCTTCCAGGCACCAGGGCCCATTCTGGCCCATTCTTAGTCAGCGGGCCAACCTCAGTCCTGACTTGCCTGGGACAATCCTGGGCAATTGTGACTCACGTCTCTCAAAATACCTATGACTGCTATTGACTCCCACAAACCGACTCGGACCTTTCCGTCTTTTTTGGAGCGGTGAAAGACCCAAAACCCTCGAACTTGTTGAGTCACAGAAAAGCCCTGCCATGGCTATGCTCATCTATGGCTCTGCGCGACTCGACAGGCAGCGAGAATCGTTCCAAGGTTGTTATTTGGGCTCATGCTTGTCATGAGTGTTGGCGGTTTCATTTAGAGACTCAATTCTACTTGATGAGTCGCTGCTGCTGCTGCTGCTGCTGCTGCTGAGGAGATATGGACTGGTGAGTGGTCGTGGGAGAATGCAAAGCCATGAACAACTTCCTTTCAGGCCTGATTGGCAGTTCGACGATGCTCTAGAGGCGTAAATTAAGAAACTTCACATCTTTCACCCAGTCTCATCCATGTTCCCAAACTCGACACACGGACTGTGAAAAATCAATCAGCCCTTGGGCATGTCCAAACATCCATGGCATGCCGTCCTTGGTGACCCTACAGATCTTTGTGAGACAATTTTATATTCATTCTGCCATATCACCATGTCCATTTGAACGTTATGTGCTGGTGGAATTGACCCGACACAACCGCCCATTCTCACTCGGCAGGGTATTCGCCGTCACCACCTGCCACGACTCACTGCCCACGGCCGTAGCCGCGTAGAACACATCGCCCGGGTCGTACCTCTTCTTGATCTCCAGCAGCCGGGGGTACTTGTCCCCCCAGAACGCCTGCTGGAAGCCCGGCTCCATGCGGTCCGACTCGGCGAGGTAGCTGCCGGCGCCGGGCGTGATGTCGCGCCAGCGCTGCATGTGCCCGTGCGTGAGCGACTTGCGCGCCTCCCAGATCTGCTCGGTGCTGGCGTTGACGGGCCAGCGCACCGACTGGATGGCGAACAGCACGTTCTCGCGCCACGCGGGGTTGACCGCGTTGTCCGGGCTGTCTGGGGACGTCGCCTTGATGTTGAAGCCGACGATGACGAGGTTGCTCTCCGAGGAGAGGCGGATGTTGTCGAAGGTCGTGTTGAGGAGGCCTGGGTCCTCGAAGTTGGCGCGGGGGAACAGCCTGGACCCGTAGTTGGAGTTGACCTTTTGGATCGTCTCCAGGGGGAAGGACTGCACCCAGGCCGGGTAGAAGGAGTCGTAGTGGGTGATGTTCGGGTCGACCTTGATCCCGAGCGCGTCCAGCTGGGTGAGCCATGGGCCGAGGATGGCTTCGGTCTCTTCCAGGGTCTTGTTTGGCGCGAAGAAGGGCGTCATTTGGAATGTCCACACTCCTTGTTTAGGATTGTTCGGGAGCAGCAAGAAGTACGCATATGTTCCGAGGTCAGCGTTGTTGGGGAAGTAGTCGAAGTAGGCCCGCACTCCAGCCCAGAATGTCTCGTTGCCGACTGTGGATGTGTCAAATGAGAACCTCGACGCTGTGGTGGGTACATCCGGGTGCGCCTTGACTGTCACGGACGTGGCGACGCCGAATGTGCTGCCGCCGCCTCCACGTAGTGCCCAGAACAAATCTGTGTTCTGCGTGAAGTCGGCAGTCACAAAGTTCCCATCTGGCGTCACCACCTCGAATGCGAGGACCTGGTCGGCTCCGGTGCCGTAGATGGAGCTCAGGGGACTGTGTCCGCCGCCCTGGATATAGCCGCCCATTACACCTACGGTCTACGACATTTGGTCAGTTACAGCTGGTAACTTTCGAGGCCTTGTCTTTTTTTTTAATGTCCTTCCAAGGAGACTTACTTGACCCTCGCCACCAACCACAACCTTGCCCACCTCGCTAGCAGCCTTGTATATCTCAAACGCCTGAACACCGGTCCCGGTCTTGAAAGCGGCACCGGAGTATCCGCTGGCTTCGTCTTCATACTCGGGGATATACTGAATGTCTTTGAAGTGCCTAGTCCAGATACTCAGGGACTCTGCGCCACCAGACTTGCCAGAGAAGTCGTGCCCCGTGTTCTTAACCACGAGCCGCACGCCCGTGTTGCGCGCAAAGTTGACACCCGCCTGCACGTGCTTCGGCGTCGTGGCGTTGATGACATACATCGGGAAGCCACCGGGCGTGCAGCCCTTGCTGTCGTAGATGGTGGGCGGCATGCAGGTGAGGCCCTGGTAGATGGGGGAGAACATCTCGATGGGGTCCTGGAGGTGGATGTACGAGTTGGTCCAGTTGGCCGAGATCTTGCTGCACTCGGCCGCGTCGTAGTACGGCCCGTCATAGCATACCGACGCCCGTGGGTGCGGCTTCAGGAGGTTGCCGTCCACGGCCTGGTTGAGCGCGGCCCATGTCTCGTCGGACGGCCAGTCGGCGTCGCCTGGGTAGACTTTGCAGGACCGGGTGCTGCCTTGGTGTTGTGAGAGGGAACTGGACTGGAATAAATGGCTGGATCCACTTGGGAGTGCTTCGATGTCCGCCGCGGTGAGCTGCTCCCTTTCCGACTCGATGAGCTCCGGTGCCGCCTGGCCGCCTCTGGCCAAGAGCAAAACAACACAAAGCGAGACCTGAAGGGCTGACATGATGGATCAGTACAGTACAGTGGCAGGCCAGAGGTGCGAAGCCACATACCACAATCGAAAGCCCTGAAGCCATTCTAGCGGACGACTGAATTTATTGTTTTTCGACGTTGTAATGTTTCTGGGTCCGCCACCCGATATACGGGCCCGTCGCCTTGGCTTTGTAACCTCATTTCAGGCGGTCATTGTTAACTCGCCAGCTCGCTTTAACTCTCCATACCTTTTAAGGTCCCGATCAGCACTAGACGAATTCGGGACTCCGTCCGGGTCGCTGGAGTCCAATGGCACCCTGGCCCGCTGCCGATCTCCTCGGCGTACCCTCTGGGGGCGCAACTGATAAACCGGCGATCCAGCGCTCTGCCGCCCGGCCAAAAGACCATCAAAACCAATCTACCTATTAGTTATTCCTAGCAGTACATGAGACTCGTACCATCACTCCATCTGTGCATGACTAATAACGTAACTACTACCTAGATATTTTATATTAATATTATTAAACTTTTAAATTCTTAATATAATAGTTAATAAAATTATAAAATATAAAATTAAATTATTATTTTTATATTAATATTTAATAAATATATAGTAATATACTATTATTAATAATATAATGGAATAATAATATATCTTAAATAAATATATTTATTAAAAGTTTTTTAAAAAAAATAATATTATAAAATATATTATATAATTTAAATAAATATTCTTTTATAAATAAATAGGTAATTCTTAGAGGCTTTTAAATATAACTTAGAAATAGGAACTAGAATTAATATAACAAACATAAGCTATTCTATATATAGAACCCTAGTAACAATATTAGATACTGACTATTAATTGTACTATGACTCGACCCGCTAATAAGTACCTCCAGCCGCCGATGTTGCCACACCACTTCTGCCTGAAATTGTAAGTACCTCGCGCGATCAGTCCAATCACGCGCCTCGAGTCGCCGCAAGCTTCCAAAACCCAACTTGAAGCCTCAACAAATTGAAGCTTGAAATGAGCATCTTTCCAAGGCCCTTGATGCTGTAAGATATGCGCACACACCGCGTAGAATTCAACTACCTGATTACTCGGGTTGAAGGTCAATTCTCACAACAGACTTCATATCCCAGTGACCCAGTACCGTCTCCATCAAGCTGCACTTTCAACATCACATTGCTTGGTATGTATGTCCTCGGACGTATGCGAAATAGAAGCGAAACCAGCTAAACTCCAGGGGATAGTCTAGAACGGAGTTCTGGATATTTTATGGCCGAAAGTAGTAAGGCGTCGCCTACCGCCGCCGTTGGCGTTCCGACCATGGACGGTGTCGATGATGCCAACCCCCCTACAAGGGCTAGCCCAAAGTTGGGCGAAGAGCAACAGTTGTTTTATTTGAATGGTGATGGCTTGAGCTATGAAGACTTTGCTATGTACCGGAAAAATGGCTATCACCCCATTATCCTCGGCGACGTCTTGCCGAAGCCGGGTACCTGCGAAAACGATCAGTCCAAAGCTCCTAGGTACCGAGTGATTCAGAAACTCGGTTTCGGTGCATTTGCAACTGTGTGGCTTGCACGCGACCTTCTAGAATGGTGAGCACTGCCTTACTAGAAGTACTAGCATCACCGTTTTAATAAAAACAATTACTGAGCATCTCGTTCTTAGCCGATATGTTGCTCTCAAAGTCTGCTGCGGTATCGACAAGCCCTCCTTCAGCAGGGAGACGAATATCTTATACGGAATCCAACAATCTGGCCGAGCACACCCTGGATTTGATAACATCTTGACTTTTTATGAGGCTTTTATCATATCAGGCCCAAATGGGTTTCACGAGTGTCTTGTTACCGAAGTTGTGGCTCCATTGGAAGGATTAGGAATTAAGCAGGGATGGCCGAAAAAGGACATCTTGAGGCAGATTGCATCTGCAGTTCTCCTATTACACTCCCAAGGAATCGCACACGGTGGTAAGTATAATGAGTCTTGCTGGACCTGAAAACACTCCGAGATAAACCGACCTGTGGACAACCGCACTGACAGCACCGGCCTTGGACGCAGACCTGCACGGGGACAACTTTGGCGTCGCCGCACCAGGACTTCAGGAGATTTCTGAAGAGGATATCCAGGATTTCTTCCTAGGCGACCAAGAGGTGCTTCCGGTGATACCCCGGGACCCAATATTTCCTAGAAATACGGTACCAGCCTACGTCACTCCATCAGCACAACTCGGAGCCTTCCTCGCAGAACAGGGCCAATACCCGAAACCTATCTCGGCCACCATCAAGTTGCTCGACTTTGGAAGAGGTAAGCAGGAGCATTTTATTGACTGATTGGCGCCTGTGCGCTTGCTCCGTTGTAGACTGAATAGCATCCTTACAGCATTTTCCGTTGACCGGTCTCCTCGCCACTTACCTGGCGGGGCCCCTTTCCAAATTCGTCCCCCTGAGGTAATACTTTACGACATTACTAACGGCAACGCGGGGACCGTTTGGAGTAAGGAAGCGGATATATGGGCGTTGGGGTGCACGGTAAGATCCTGAACACTTTCTTTTTTGAGTCGCAAGTCTTAGCGCATGGCAGATCGTAATATTTAGACTCAGCACCTGACCTGTTGATGCCAACTAGATTTATCCCGGAATCCTAGTCGACCAACACGGCTTTCGAGACTTTTACCAGCGTCTCGGAAATGCCCTCCGCGTTGGTGGCTCACCGCCTAAGGAATGGCTCGAGTGCCTAGACTTTGAGAAACTTTCTAGTTCCATAAGTCGTGATTTACGTGGGAGCGCACCAATCTTGTCTAAAGACCAGCTTATTTTAGAACTATCAGAAGCTGCTGTGACGAGCTGGAGAGACAAGCAATATCGTTGGGATGCTCAGTCAAAAGGAATTATCGATCTGATTCAGCGAATGGTTGTGACTGAGCCTAGTGCTCGACTGGATATAGCAGGAGTACTAACACACCCTTGGCTGTGTCGGGACGTATGATTGTGAGTATATCGGTCTCTGTATAACGCAGGAATATTAGTATAGGTTCGTTATCTTACAACTGGAATGACAACATCCTTGATCCCGCTAATTGGTTGAAATCTAAAGCATCTTGACGCACTCTTTATGTCTACCGATATGCATTCTGTCATGGTCAAGACACCCACCTGTATTACTCACGAGGCTCCTTTCGCTCCACAGAAATTAACCTGTTTATGAGAAGGACGCAGCAACCCTCTTCAGGGAGGAATCTGAGCGGATAGAGAATGTGACTTCTGACGAAATTCCGGAGGAACATTCTTCCCGGATTGGCTCAATTCATAGGCCATGCGAGCCTGTGTGTTTGCTGACTCTTGCATATTCTATCTTCCAGGGGGCTCAGGTGGCACAGTGATCGTCGACAGCGGCATCAAGATCATAGAGGAGATGTGGAGAGAGGAAGCTGCGAAATATGACGGAGACTAGACGTCTGGCACACACAGCACATCATATTAGCGTAGCAGGACAGACTGCATGATTACTATAGTCGCCTTGGTAAGCCGGGCAAGGACCCAAATAGAACAGCTTGAGGGTCTGGAATGGCCGGTGCTTTTCATTCCACTAGGGACCGGTGCACTCTCAGGTCAGGTTTTATCAAGGGATTTAATGGAGACGATGAGTTGCGCGGGCCAAGTCCGCGTGAGTCGACTCCTTCTACATTGTTGGTACTTATGTAGTTGTTGGTGGCACAGCCCTGGAGCTCAGGGCATAGGAAAGCTGCAGCCTATTTTAGCAAATCAGGTCCCCTTGAAAAAGACCCCACAAAGGGAGAACAGTAATATGATAGGTGATTTTTTTTCTTAAGCGAGTTTGTAGAGCCTCTACTCCGATCTGTGGGAGCCGTGTCGGACATGTGGGCAGCTGATTGATCTGTGCATTTCTTTTTTGTTGGGGACGGCCTACAAGATTTAAAAGCAGCCCGTTTCACGCCACTCAGACGCCTCCACACTTCCGTACTCGACAGGATTCCCACACTCTCCGTCACTCATCCTTCTCACCATCCAGAACACAATGCCACCGCCCGGCCAAGCCTCATCCAAACGGGAGATTGCCTTGAGCTGGCGCGAGGAGGACATCATTGCCGCCTGGGAACAGACACCACGAGTGAGGCCTAGCGGCTATGGTGTGACGGGCTTCGCTTTCCCCCCACAACTTGAACAACCCATCGCTTACGTTAAGGTTGGCTCCCAAGCTGCACTCCAGCCAGAGCTGCGGAACCAAGAGTATGTCTGGAAAGCTCTTAATGATATGCCACCAGATCAGACAAGAGGAATCCGTACCCCTTGTGTCTACCGCACATTCCAGAGCGGCCATTGGTTCTATATCGTCATGGAATACATCCCCGGAAAGACACTGCAACAATTGATGGACCAGAAGGACTGGAGTGACCCACAAAGAGCTGCTCGGACCAACAGTATCGCAAGGGCCATGAGGCTGCTTATGTCAATTCCAGTACCTGCAGGGCAAACGCCTGGCCCTGTTGGCGGTGGTCGAATCCGGCATTCCCTGTTTAGGGATGACATTTCGTATTGCGTTTACTCATCAGTCGACGAGCTGGAGAAGCACTTGAACGATGTAAGTGGATACACAGGGAGCCCCGTTGTCCCAAGGCAGCCCCAGTTCTGATCGTGGTTAACACGAATTGCTACCTAGGCGTCCACCATCAGATTCAAGACATCCCCGACTGTTAACCTTGAGAAGAGCCTATGTTTCTATTACAGTGACTTCTATGCTAGCAACTTTATCTTTACTGATTCTGGTGATGTTGCTATTATTGACTTCGACCAGGCCGGGTTCCTGCCCCCCAGCTTTATGTCCTATGCCTTGGCCGAAAGCCATTGGGTACCCGGCATATGGGTTAGTGACGTGTTGAAGCTTCCTGATCACAATCTCGCGGCTATGAGGCATATTCATTACTATTTTATGATTGGCGGTTCTTCTTTCGGTGAGTGGGAAGAGCCCTGCCCTTGGAGTCAAACCTAAACTGCGGATAGCTAACATCAAATCGCTTCTTAAAGGCCTCCCGCGTCGACCTAAGAACGACAGGACACAACTAGAGGGTTGGACTATTCAGGCTTATAGACAGCATTGTGAATCCTTTCAGGGAAATTAGGAAGACGAACCAACATTCCGGGAGTGTAACGCGCTTTCAAGAGCGTCCCTGTCTGGGGCGTCTGCCACATGTCATCGGCAGAGGCAGCCCGCATTGTCATAGGTGAAGAGGCTGGAAAATGGGGCTGAGGCAAATGGTGGTTTCGTTTTTAATCCCCATACATGTAAAATGTACGTGGCGCCTTCATACAGTGGTAAACGCTCAAGACCCAGCGTTTGAAGAAATACAGTGTCAATAACAGTGGCTGAGGCAAAATGGATGATGCAGCTTTAGCGCTGCGGTGAGATGATGTCTAAAATAGACTTTAGGTACGAGAGAAAAGAAAAGAAGAGGAAAAGAAAGGGTAATTACATATACATGTGTCTTGCGGGTAGATGATGGTGGAGACGTCCTGGCCCTTAATATATCAAAACTTGTTACTACATAGTACAACAGTCCTGGTTGTTGTCTAGCGTGAGAGTGAGCTCCTCTGGGAATGGGGGAAGGCGACTGGCCCCTCTCTAGCTTCTTGTATGCGATCCTTTTGCCCGTGGCCCGCGTATAAAGGCATCTGAGAGCTCATGAACCCTGGCCTATTCCCTATAGGTGGTTTCGCTTCTATTCCATATACGTCCGAGGACATACATGGCGCCTTCATACGGTGGAAGATATTTGAGTAGATAAAGGCAACACCCATTGAGCGTGAACTGACCAGGATCTTCTTATATAAAATTAGCCTGAATTACAGTTCCTTACACATAGCGATACACATTAGTTATAGTACTGGGCGCTCTTCGTAACTGGGCTGTGCTCATGCCTCGGGCTCCCCACGGCGACCTGGAACTGGACAGCATCCCGTCCCCCACCCACTTTCATAGTCTCCTGCCTGACTTCATGGGTGACATGCACTTTTAAGATCCGACGGGTCGACTCGTCGTCTTCCGAGTGATGGTCGCGGTCGCCCATGACCGTGTCGAGATCCGGGTTGGTCAGCTTCACATGCGTGCGGCGCCCGCCGGTGCCGCCGATGGTCACTAGGTTGATGTTATTATGGCCGGAGGGGCCTGTCGCATAGTTGTCGCTGGAGCCGTAGTTCGAGTAGAGTTTCTTGAAAAGGGGGCGAAGCATGGGCAGGGAGCCGCATATGATTCCGAGGTCGCATTCGAGAACTGTCAACATGACGATTTTGGCGATGGTGTCTGTGGGAGAAATCATCAGTCCCGCTTTAATGGAAGAAAACGCTTCTTGCGGTGCGAGAGCAGAGAAAACGACGGACGGCAAGACTCACAGAATTTATCAACCTCAGCCGTGTAGGCCCATGTATAGCCGATACGGATAGTCGTAGCCACAGCGGCCAAGACACCCAGTGACAGAATACCCACAGTCGCTATCTTGGCTTTCTTAGGGATCTGTAGGTGGCGAAGCAGGAAAGCAGGCACTGAAGCGGTTGCAATGTCCGTGAAAATGTTGGCGGCGGATACGAAGTAGGACACCTGCAGGATAACCGTCTGTCCCGAAGTGCAGTCTCCCGGTTCTCCCCAGGCGGCTGAGACTGGCTTGCACTGGAAGATGGCTACCGGCCACGAGATCTGCCACACTATCCAAGCCAGCGCAAGGAGCGCCCAGAGGATCCTCTGATATATCCTACTGGTGTCTTGGGAAAGCCGGAGCATGGTCCAGATGATGCTGGACTTGATGAGAGCACCGTCCAGCACGTAGAGGAACTGCCAAATTATCGTCCATAGTCCCATCTTATACATCATGCCGACGGTGATAATGTCGTCGTGTGACCCGATTCCGCTGAAGGCGAGGACCATGACGGATGCATTATGTCCGAGGTTGACTACCTGCAAGAAAGTTCATCGGCTAGGGTTCATCAAAAGAAGAGTTGATGTGGCAACTTACCCATCCTGCAAGCATCAACCAGTCCTCGGTAGAGAAGGCCGTCACCGTGAAGCGGACATAGAACCGGAGACACACTACCAGGCTGGACACGACGGTCATGACAATCGTCACTATCAGCATGTCGAGCGCGAGGCCCTCCGGTTGGATGGGCTCGAACTCGGTCGTCGTCAGATTCTTCGCCATGTTTGCGGTTCGTCCAGGCCGCCCGCAGCATCCGGCGTGTGGTTGAATGTCTTCAAGACAGCTTCGCCTCGAAAACTTCGCAGGAGGTGTGATTCCGCCGAAGACGCCGAGAACGACTTCTGTTTCAGCATTTAACCATGACCCACCCTTGATCAGTGTCTGCAGGAGACGGTTTTTGCTGGCATATTAACACGATTACCTGATGGATCATTTTCCAGAGTTTCATCGGGGATCATCGATTTCCAAGAAGAAGAAGGGGCGTGATGCCATTAAGGGGGCGGCAGGACCCCGGGGCTGTCCAGCAGGGCACCAAACAACGAATTGGTCCCCGGAGCAAGACGAGATCCACTATTCCTCATGAAGACTACACATGGCATGGAACAGGGAAAATTTCCAGGGCTCTGAATCTTGTTGCTTCTCGCCACCCCTCCACATACATAAGTACTTAGGTACCTACCTAGGTACCTAGGTACCCTGGGGACATGTAGGCGAGAACCTTTGAAGCACAATCCTATCGCCGCACGATCGCCAAAGAACCTGGAAGGATGGTTGGCACATGGCACCCGTTCAGCCAAGCTTTATGCTAAGCCTCTTCTGCACCGGCAGATTCTCGTTTCCCAGCGGCAGTCTTCTGCGGAGGAGTTCTCAAGTGCTGTCATTGGTTTCTACTGTAACAGCTTGCCGTACGCTCCACGCGAGGTGGACTCGCTGTAGCCGATACTATTCTACAGCTGCGCCCCATGCAGTACACAATTTTCTAGTAGTAGCGGAAATCTGGGTCCGGAGTAATGCCTAATTTGGGCTTCGTGTTGGGAGAAGCGGTACCGAAAGTAGGATTGAGTGGAAACCATCTCGTTGCGTTGGGTCATTGTCGACGTGATTTGCGACTGGACCGACCTGTTGGTGCCGGATCCACTCAAATATGCCGGGCTACTTTGCGTCTTCTACATTCCAGAACAGCAAGCTGTATCAACGGATGACTACCCTAGGGTACCTATATAGGAAGTGAGCGATATTTTCTCGAGGATGCGGCAAACGTGGGGTTGATACCGGAGGCTTGGCGGTGAGAAAAGGTATCCAGGCAGGCAAAAGTGGTGTGTTATATATTGGGAACACCTTCCGCTGTGAGAGGATGGTACAACCCAACCCCCGTGAACCCATCAGAGAGATCCCCCCCTGCAGTACGCCAAGAAAATGTCTACAACTACGACCGAGGAGCTCCCCATCGTGCCCGAGGGCGTCACTCCCGAGTGGCTGGGAGCCAAGCTTGGACACAAGATCAAGTCGCTCGAAAACACACGCAACATCTTCGGCACGGCCAGCAAGCTCTTCTACACCATTACGTACGAGGACGGAAACGATGCGGACGAGTCTAGGCCCAAGCATGTCTGCATCAAAGGCGTTTTCAGCCCAGAGATGGTGGAACAGCAGCCCTGGACGCTCAGTCTGGCGCAGCGCGAGGCCGATTTCTTCTCCGAGATCGCGCCCAGCATTGAAGGACAGATGATCTTTCCAACGAGCTTGTGGGGCGGCAAGAGCGAGAAGCAGGGTATCGCCATCATGAGCGACCTCGTCCACGAGGGGTGCACCTTTGCCCCAGAGGTCGCCAATTACTCGGTCGAAAAAGTCAAGAATGGCGTGGAACAGCTGGCGGGTCTGCATGCGCGTTACTGGGGCCAGAGTCAGGAAGATCATCCCTGTAAGCTGATCCCCCTGGCGGCGGCTGCTCCCTTTGACCACCGCTTGAGGAAAATAGTTAGGCTGACTGAAGAGCAGGGATCTGGAATAACTACGACCCAGCAATGAAGTTCATGTGCACGCCATGGCACGACATCGTTCGCGAGCCCGGCCGGCCCAAGCTGCCAGAGTACCTGATGGACGGTGCACGATGCAACGAGGCACTTGACCGGTACTACGCCGAGCGCAACCCCCGGTTCCGCACACTCCTTCACGGCGACACGCATCTCGGGAACGTCTACTTTACCGACGACGGGCGCATCGGCTTTCTCGACTGGTCGGCGTTCCACTTTGGCTCGTGCTTCCACGACATCTCATACCACCTGACAACCATGCTCAGCGTCGAGGACCGCCGGGCCCACGAGATGGAGATCCTCGACCACTACCTCGAGAGCCTGCACCGCAAGGGTGGTCCCAAGTTTGACCGCAACGACCCTGAGCTGATGATCGAATACCGCCGCTCCTTCATGACCAACGTCGTCTGGATTGTTTGCCCTGCTGCTTTGCAGTCCAAGGAGCGCATAGAGTCCTTCTGCGAGCGCACTGTTGCCGCGTACAACGACCACAAGGTCATCGACGTGATCCTCAACCAGCCCAAGCCATCGGCCGCGGCATGAAGCAGACGAAGCCGAAAATGGGTCGCGCGGGGTTTCCGGGGGCAGCTGGTTGGACCTGTTGGTCCAGTGTTGGTCCAGGGGCTAAACCTTAGAATCCACATGTGAGGTTGAACGCACGATGGTGGGGAGATGTCATGTAGACGACTCCAGTCTGCCACCAATACGGAGTTCAGCAGGCCAGATACCAGCAGGGGTTGGCAAGCTGCCTTCACTGCATGGGTAGACGGATCATCGCAGGTGATATCGGGCCCACATGAGCAGTCGAGCTAGTGAAGACTAGATCACCTGTCAAAAAAGATTCAACCGAGTTTCAGGCCGAACTTCAACGCTCCTTTCGTGAGAAACATTACCAAGTGTGGACAGGCGTTGAGTTGACAGGTGATTTTGCCAGGATCTTTCCCTGTGGGGGCCCGTACGGGTTGATGAAAGGAACCCAACAGGATGGCCCCGCTCGCCTAGCTTCCGGTTGTTCGGGTTTGGCTTGCGCCACGATAAGAGAGGTTGGTCTAAAAGATCCCTGTCTGTGATCCAGTAGGCCCGAGTCATGAGCGAGTCCAAGGCTGGCATTCCGGAAACGTGAGGTGACCGAGGATCGCACGACAGCGACGGACGCAACCGCTGAAGATAGTCCAACCAGGCAGCCAGGCCAGGTAGACCAAGAGCTCACAATGCTGCACAAGAGTGTTTTTTTTCTGCCAGGTTCGAAGCAGTCGCGACGAGGTTGCTTGATCGGCTCGCGAAGAACAGGTCACCCAAGACCACGGGAGTGATGGAATGCTTTGGTGTTCGTCTTATTCTATTCAACACACTCGGTGTCTGCCAAGTCGATCATTGACAGCAGGGAACACAGGGACAGAGATTGGAATCTACGCCCCACGTTCAAATTGTTGATCAGTAATATTTTGGTTTGCGTTGGTTAAGGATTTTGACCAACAGCCAGCAAGTGGACCAATAAGCAAGTGACCGACCCAATCGAACTGTGGGCTACGATGTGCCCATGTGCATCAGGCTCGTCCGCGGAACGTGAGCTGTCTCCTCTAGGTCTAAACGGGGCGTAGCAACCTGCCTGCCCTGTCACGGGAGGAACATAAGAGAGGTGAAGCTCTCCAGTCTTTGTCGAAATCTTACCTAGCCATTCAAATAATACATATCCCAGTTAAGAAAAGAAGCAATGAGGGAAGAAAGCCCCCAACGAAGTCGAGTATAGAGTACCTAAGTAGCTAAGGGCCTCAACGGCTGCAAGTGCTCTGTTGCGGGCTCATCGACCGCTTCATGGACAACCTGGATCGGTTGGACGTTGGCCTACAGCTCAGATGCGTCCGGGCTACGCTTATGGCGTACTCCACCGTACCATCAAGTAAAATTGACTCGTGTGTGACCTCTACAGCTTATCATTATGTTATCTGAAACTTCAGAACTGGTGCGGTGGTCAGGACCATGGAGTCGGTCAGCTCGATAGATGATGGCCATAGAATCACTGTCTACCATTGCCTATCATTATAGCTGGTTTGTCTTCGCCCACTCCACAAGACCTCCATGGTTGAGAGTTCTTGATTGTATAGATCCTGCATCTTGCCATAGGATGGCTCCATGGTTCTGCTTTCCTTGAACTTGAACGGTTGCATCCGCGCCTTGTCCGACTGCGTCATCTTGGACCTGGCAGGGACCTAGGCCACCGAAACATTGATGTCACTCAAACTTGAGCTACTCCACGACCATTGCAAAAGTCGCGATCTTGCGTAAGCCTTGTCTGAATCTCTCTGTTTGCGCATGGGGCCCAGCTTCTGCTCCTCAAGCTTCCTCAGAGCCTACGCGACATCTCGCCTCAGCTTGGCACGTTGGCTTAATATCTTTCTTCCACAGTAGATTTGATGCGGTAGACGCTGCTTCTTCCATGGGTAGATATTCCTGGAATCCTTGTGCCCTGGGAGCGATGCCTTCCAGCCTTGTCTGTGCGAGGCTGAGCCACCTGTAGACGTGCCCACAGACGTGCTGCATTCTCTTTCCACTGTTCTTGGCACTGTAATTTTTTTTTTAACTCTGGGTCTTAAGTGTTAAGCGTTTACGAATATATCAAAGCGCCAAATACATTTTATATGTATGGGGATTAAAAATGAAATCACTTCTCCACCGCTTCCCTGACGGTCGCATCTCATCACATTCCAAGAGCTCGAAGTGTGGATGTTTTGACAAAGTTCCCAAATGACGGAGATTCGGAAAAACTTCCGTGGTTTTGCACCACGATTCAAGACATGTACAAACGCTGTGGATAGGTATCACCAGCAGGGCAATACTGCTCAGCGATCCGAAACTCCTTCAAGAACAAGTGGACGGTATCGAACAAGTCCTCCTCCCAAGGCTGCTGCAGAAGGACACGCCCTAAGTGCACACAACTTGGTGGACCAGATACAGGCGCTTTGATCTTTCAATGGCGTCACTGAGGAAGAGACAAGCGAAAGATGGCAGGTCGGGATCGAACCTTTCTGCGGTGGTTGCCTGTATCTTCCTCCCACCCCACACAGCCTCACAACTCCCGAGTTCCTCAGTATGAGCTTTCGCGCAAAGGATATAGGGGGGAACGGCTTGACATTGTCTTCTTAGTGGCGTCAGTCACGCTGCTGGGCTATGGATGGCTTGACATATCACATTTCATCAGACATGATCAAGGCATGGCTTCCATGAGGGAATTTCGTGGTGATGTAAGAACTGAAAGACTAGAGAAGTATGAAAGGTAATAACTCTTGCACTTTTCAGTATTCTTCCCTCTCCAAGCCAAGCATTTATGCATCCAGTGTGGGTGATGTCCTGGCATTTCTGACTGGCATGTTTGTGTGGCTGGAGACTGGAGTGAGAGTATTGGCCTTCATTACGGCAGGCTCATTCGGGCTTCTAGTTTGCCTTTACCCTAGGGTACTGCTTAATGAACCTTCAATGCTTTGGTCTGGATTCTCAGATTGATTAAGAGTCGATATTGGATATGGCCTAATTCATCTCCCTCGAGACTGGGCCTTGCCGTCAAGTCAAAAATGGTTCACGTACTGTTTACCTGTTTTTTTCTGCCCATAAGTCCTGCCACATTTTATCTGCCTCTGAGTGTGCTCAGTCTAGTCATGGGGAGCATGGTTTTCGACCTCCTCTACGAGACCATGGAGCGCAACGAAGTGGCAGCAGCCCGAGGTCCCCATCACTCAGACCATCAAAGCATTGCGGAGAAAGGTGGTACACAGTCATGAATTATGTATGGCAACCGATGTGATTTTTTAAACGCTGGGCCTTTGAGCGGTCGCCACTATGTGAAGGGACCCTACGCCTTCTGGTTGCATGCGTATTTAGAACGAAAGCACTGAAAGTGCCGCAGCCGTAGCTGAGTCCTGAACCCCTTCAGTCTCTTGCCCCTGTAGGCCTCTCGAGCCTTGTCTGTGCGGCATGAGGCTGGGGCCCGGAGTTGTATTTCCTCTGTACTTTTATTGGCATTGTGTTTCTTCGGACGCTGGACCTTGAGCGGTTACCACTGAACGAAGGCGCCACATAACTACGATTTCTATGTATGGGGATTAGAAATGAAACCACTTCAAGCCTCTCGGACCAGTTGCCTCCCACATTTGTATTCCAGAGTATTGTCGTAGAAGAAATCATCCCTGAACATACTACATCTTACTGTCGAACCTTTAATAGCAACGTTTACAAGGTTGACATCTTTGGCACGGTTAGTAGAGCCACATGCCGCTTCGCTCTCGGCCTGTGAGAGCCTCACCTTGTCCTACTATGTAGCTGCCATATGCGCAACGCTTGAGCGTTCTTACACGCGCTACCTAGGTACCTAGGTAGTGAAACTGAGGAGAAACAACTTGATGCCGCCCTATAAAGGCTGCCTAGGGTCTTAAGTGCTCCATGACGAAACGCTACCGTTATGACCTGCGCCTTCCATATCTTTGCTAGTGCAGCGCGGATATGATTGAGTGTGCTGGTGGACTCGAGAAGCGCAAGCGCAGAATATCCAACACAGAACCATGTCAGCAACTCCACCTGCATAGTCACTATTACGACTGAGTGAGTGAGTGAGTGAGTGAGTGAGCTCACAGAGCACCGACAACACACGCATCAGGTAAGGCCCGGGTCCCGAGCCACAAACCCGGATGGGCGCCGACCTCGGGAGGCAGAGCAGCGCGGCTAATAAGAAGCAGGTACGGGAGTGCCTGTGCCAGCCAGCCTGTGTCCCCAAGGGTCCTCCAGCCCACCCCACGGCCCTCCCCCTTCACGGAATGACGTCGAGCTCGAGAGAACACCCCTTTGCGCTGTGCCTGCTGGCCGCGAGAGTCAACTATCTACAGTGAAATTCCTTATCGGACCATTCACGAAGGGCCGGTGTGGCAGGCAGTTCCGGTCAGGTGGCCATGAGGGGGGGGGTGGTGTGTGAGCAGTCATCAGCAAGCGAGGGGGATGGCGCGGAGGGTGAGGGTGGTGAGGAGGGTGGTAGGGTAAGGTTGTTGTATGCATGCAGTGCTACGTGTTGCATGAAGGGACCATGGCTGATCCTTGCAGCGCACCACCTGTGGCGGCGGGATTAGTGTCGAAACCGAGGGGTGCTTATGATGATGATGATGATGATGCTGCTGCTGTGTTCTGTATGCGGCTGATTGATTGCCTGGGAGCGAGCGCATACAGTAGATATCACGCCTTATAATTTGTGTATAGCATTGATGGATTAACTATAACTACACCATGTTCTAGACTCACAACGGATAGACGTTGTATCTGCCCAGCAACCATCAGCCATGACATGCTAGCGACTGCCTATCATGTTTCGGCCTGTCTCTCGGGGCGGGAGGACTATAGTAGCTCCGGAAACCAACGGGAACGACTACACACCTCTCTACCTAGGCACGTAAGTAGTAAGTGTAGCAAGTAGACAGATAGAAGCAGCAGTCTCAGCTGGCAGTCTGGCATTCTGCCCAGCATGGTTGACAGTACACATACACAGACAGACACGAGGTGAGCTAGCTTGTGATCAGTAGGGCCCCCTTTTCGAACGATCCAGTGGATCTCCTGCAGGTTGTCATGTGGACATATGCGTGGACTTGTGTGGACTGGGCCGGGAGTCAGGAGGGAGTGGGACCGTGGGGGAGGGGGGTCTTGGGCAGGAGGGAGGCTGTGTGCTATTGGAGGTCAGGATGGATGAGCGGATGATGGCACATGTGGGAATGGGGGAGGAACTGCAGGTGCATCGGACATAGGGCAGTGTACATGTGCGGTGTATGCAGGTTGCGGGCCGGAGTGTCGATTAGTCTGAGTGCTTGCAGGTATCCATTTGTTGGGTCCATCTGCCTGACTGTCGGTCTGTCTGTCAGTCAGTCATTCAGTCAGTGCGTTCAGCTTCTCGAACAAAACACAAACATGGACATGGATGGGCACTTGGGGGGGGGGGGATTTATTGATTTGAGCAGCCTATCAGGCAGACCACAGACCACAGACCACAGACCACGGACTTTCTTTTCCCAGGCAGAGGTACATGCCGCAGGTGGCAAGCCGGACCCGACTAAAGACATGTCTCAGGAACCCGCCACGATCAGCAAGAAACATTGGGAAAGCTGGGCGAGACAGTGCAGGCATGGCATGGTAGGGCAAAGCAGGAAGGACAAGGCACTTGTTCATGTTGAGACTGGTCCGTCACGGCAGAGGAGGGACAAGTTGATGGGGTGTGCATGATCTCAAGACGGAAGGGAAGGGACGGAGCACCACCACGAGGGCTGGAGGGGTGGGGTTGAATTGGTCGGGAAGCTGGCTGAGGGTCGAGGCTGATTGGCAGAGAGCGTGGTCTCCAAAACGGCCGTCCCCTTCCCTTGCATGGGACTTGCATGGGGGCAGGGATGCGCATGTCTAGCCCGCCAGCCCCTCCATTTTGCAGAGGGAGGAGGGACAGTTTCCCCCAGATGCCATCAGATGGAGGGCATACCCCCCTCCCCTCTGCCCTTCCAACAACCGTGGACCTTACCTCCATCGAGTGCATATCTAAAACCTTATGACAGCTGCGTGGGTGTGTCACAGTGAGACCGACCTGATCTGGGGTCCTCATTCCAGAGATCTGCCCGTATTGTATGGCTGCATGTTTGTAAGCCAAGTCATAATAACTGCAGCCCACAGCACAGAACACA